TATATTATTGATATATTGCATGAACATCATTTTGTTGTTTGCAAAATCGTGAATAAAGTATTTCTGTAAATTTGTTGCTGAGCTAAAAATAAGCAACAATACTTCATTTTCATGATGGGAGTACTATATTAATATTTCTGTGTTTTTCCAATGCTACCCCTAGTTTATAAAAACGCAAGGTAACGAGGTAAGGTAAGGTAAGAAAGTTGAAGCATTGAGAAAACACACTTGCGTTCTAGATGAAAAATAAGGTAAAGTAACGTCGGTAAGGCAAAGTAACGCAAGGTAACAAGTCGGCTATTTTCAACTTTCTGCGTTGCGTTCTTACCTCCGACCAATCAAAAAGCGCCATACTACGAACTTTGACGGATATATCCGAATGGTGTAAAGGTAATGTCACCAGATAAACTTAAACGTCACATTGTGAAATTTGATTTTCCTTTTGATAGATATAAATACAAAAATTGCCGCGATCGTGTCAATAGTAAGTGTGTATCTTTTACTCAAGAGAAAGAAACTAAAAAGGAGGAGGTTTAATGTTAGATCCATTCTGAGAAGCAGAAAGACTCACGTATACACAAGAATGAACAAAATTTGTTTTGAACATTTACTAAGTGAAATTGTTAGCGCCTTCATGGTTAAAAAAAATAAGGATCGATATCTCCAGAAGAGAAATTGGCTATAACACACCAGTAAAGTGAATTTTTGAAGTTGTAAATATGTATCTAACAAAACAATGTTCAGCTATTTATCGCAAGAAACTTCGCAACAGTCGGACACGTGGGTATACCATTTGGGAAAGACCACAATCCATAAAATCATTAGGGAAATTTGCGGTGTTCTGTGGAAAATTTCAGCCCCAATATATCTTTGACATTGCTCCTCTGGTAGCCCTATTATTTTGGCAATCACCTGCCATGCCTTCTCCTTCATTAATTTGTTTTAATTTTTTTTATCATAAATTATTGGGTATTGTTCTTTTAATGATATAAAATATGCGTCTTCCATAATATTATAGAAATGAAATATGAATGATTGCTCATGTCGAGATTATGGAAATGGAATGTTATGTCAATATTTTTTGTTTATGCATTCCTGCCAACCCCAAAATTACCAAAACCTATAACCACTATGGCAATTCTTCATACTTTACTTTTTCGTGAACGTCAAAAAATTGATACCTTGCCTTACCACTCTGCATTACCTCACCTTACTTTACCTTGCATTATCATAAACTAGGGATTAGCTTATTTACAAGCAGTAGCCATATATATTAATCTAACAACATAATATGCAATATTAAAGTACTCTCATATAAAATATTGCATGTATTCGGGATATAATGTTTTGCACATATATGTGCTATAACCTAAAGTATATCACATTTTGATATCACAGCTCTGTACATATATATTTATATTATATACAGTGAATATTATATAGCGTTTTTGGAGCATTTGAATGCCGAAATTGCAAAGAAACGACCGCATATAGCAACACGAATTGAAGTGGAGATTACGTTGATGAATAAAGCCAATTTTAAACAAAAAAAACGCGTTTTCTTTCTCAGGCCAACCCAAGTTTTAAAACCTATTCTATGTGTCCTATTTTGATGCTCCTCTCAAACGAAATGTTTCTTCGCGTCCGTCCCACTGGCCAAAAACTCGAAATTCTTATCGATCGAAGTGTTTCCACAACTGTTAATTAAAATTCATCGGTTTTAAAGGCGGCCTAGTCGTTATTTATCTTGTCACCCATTAATCAGCGTTCACTCTGAACCTGAAACATTCAAAACGCGTCGACGATACAGAAAAAATTCTTGAGTCGATTTTGTTATCGACTTTCGATATTTTTCAAGGAATTATTGAAATGTTTTCAGTACCGGTGACACAGGATACCGTTTGAACCGATTACAAAGTTTTATGTAGTGGAGAACGAGAAAAAAATTAAAATAATTTCCTAATTTTGTACTGCAGTGGGAATAAAATCATATTATTATTATTAGTATTATTGAATTTCAGGGGGAACGTGTGTTATGATTTATATCCTCATTTGGGAAAAATGACGTTTATTTCTTGAAAAATAATGACTCCTGATATTTCAGCATCTTCTTCTTTGGGCTTTCAGTTATTTTTAATTTATCCGTTAGATATGCTTGCGGAGAGTCAACTTTTAGCATGATGATTATCGAGTTCCCTAGGTTTTTATCAGAAATTACATCAACTTTCCATTTTTGAATAGAATTCCCTGTATATGATAATATATTTGGAATCATCATAAATTTTTTATTTGAATCATATATAGTATATATGCATTACTTTCTAACCATTCTGTCCTTCCATCTAGGAAAATTTTCGCAAAATAATTACAAGGAATGCAATTAATTCTCAAGGTACCAAAAAAAAGTTCTAAATGCAACTTTCAGCTATAAATTTCAGCGTTTGTTTGAAGGTGGTTGAAAAATTTCAGCTGCATAATATATACCTACCCATTTCTCACCACGGCAGCAAAATAAAACTTTGATGATGATTATTATATTTTATTGTCCAAAGAAAAAATCCTGTTGACAAAGTAACGAAATAAATTTTTTTAAAACTTATAAATGTCCTATGAATATAAAAATATAGAAAAAATATAATGTTAACTGAAGTATAAAAAACACCGAATAAAAAACCACAAACAATGGTGGTAACATACATACACATAAAAGCTAGGTTAAAAATGATCGGTTTAACTATAAAAGTGTCTAGAGACTCAAAATGTCTTCAATAAGTTATCTGTATTGGTTGGTATCAATATTTGTATCCTTTGAGTTCAGCAGATGGTGATATATCTTCACACCATTGTAAGATAAGAAGTCATTGACCAGAGAGTTGCAAGGGATAGGTAATTTCAAATTGTTTTGTATGCTTTGACGAGTTATGTAGATATGAGTGGTAACCTCAAGTTTCATAAGCTGTTTTTTTAATCAAACACACTGTCTCCAGAATAAAAAGAGCTACAACCGTCTTTTTTTTATCTGTGTATAAACAGTTGTCTGTTTATAAATAGATACACCGTACATTAAGTGAGACTCTACCAAAGCGTGATATGCTGTTTTTGTAATTTAAACGCACTCCTCCTGACGAAAATCAAGTGTTTTTCATAGAAGAGCTCTAAAACAACGCATTTTGAACTTATCAGTCTCAGAAATTTAGTACACTCCCTGTTCTAAATGATACCGCTCGCTACAGATAAATTCTGAAGTGGACCTTTAAAAGTCATAATTTTTGTTTTATACATATCAAGGTAGAGGGAAATCACACAAAGGCTGATTTTTCGTATATCATGAGCTATTGTCTGATTGAGTATATCTATACCTTCACTATGCCACAATATAGTGGTGTCGTCAGCAAAAACAGTGAATGTTCCAGATATATTAATGTTCACCAAATCGTTATTATACAACAGGAACAATATGGGACCGAGAACCGATCCCTGTGGTACACCAGTATTTATTTCAATACTGTTTGGACATTTAGTTGTTTTTACAATCTGACTCTGACCATTGAGATGCGACTCAACCCACTCGATAATAAAACTCATTAGTTTTAATAATACTTCATTTCAGACATTTTTTTCAATCATCACAATATCACTGAATACCACAGACCTTGAAAAGTGTATGCCTCACGATTTGAGGCATACACTGTCACGTTTCCAGGCCTGTTTTTCTATGCTTTTGCGCAACCGAAACGATCATTTTTTTTTATTAAATCGTCCGGTGTGGTAGAAACTGATCCTGTACCACAACGGGAGACGTCCAGGACAGTGGTTGGACACCGATGCATTTCCGGGCCTACATTTGAATTAACCAGTTTTTCATAAAATTAGCTTTTGAACACTCGCTTGCATTTTTTCACCACAATCAGAAAACACCCTGTATAACGGGATTAACAAATGAATGATGGGAAATGTTCAAAGGCGTAAATTATTCACAGATATAATACTACGCGCGACATCTACTGCAAAAATTGTTAAACTAACTCAGGTTGTCTTAGGAAAACTGTATTTACGGGTCCGAGATACCTATAAGATTCATCAATAAGCAACTAGATGGCACTGATGAACAATGAAAAATATTTGAATGTTGAAGAAAATTGAGGTAAACAGCATGGGCCCCACTCTGTAATGAAAACAGATCGACAGGTAAGGGAGCGAGAATATATACAGAAAAGCAACAAAAGAAAACTCCTCATATACATTATTACCTATATGAGTCAGTATTTTCATCTTTACACAACTCTATGTATATAACAATAATATAATGATATATACACATAGGAATATACTTTAGTTCTAGACAAATGCGCCTATCCAAGAAGCAAAAGCCAGCAAGAATAAGGAAAGAATATACTTTAGGTTATGCCTAATCGAAAACCAGATAATTTTAAACACATTCTATAACTAGAATTTGACTTTTTTAATTTGATGCGTCCGGACCATTCTTTATTTTCGCATAAATTACCATCACAATCCACTAGATGATTGAATGAGGATATTGGCCAACTAATGTCGCCATCTAGCAACCAAATTATAAAGCATGAGTGTTTACAGAAAATCTGTCATTGTCTATAGATGTGTCTCGTATTGATCTGAAACAAGGGAGCAGGATTCATATACATCCTAGGGTTTTATCTTTGTATATAGCTACTATCTTAGTAGCTTTGTATATACAATGCTAGTAGTCAAATATTATATATTATATTCGGAGCGGAGTACAGTTTCCTATCTATTTGTGCTTTTTTCTATAGTCATAGATGGCGCCTTTATAATAGTGGATTTCCTTATCAATTTTCATTCTGTAATTTTGCTTATGATTAGAAATCTGAAAAACATAGACAAACACTAGTTTTTTGTGTTCATATCTCTTTTAATAACCCTCTCAGCACTTCGTTTTTTTAATTGTATTTCAACAGTAAATTAAATGCAATATTAAAAAAAAATCCTTCAAAAAACAATAATATTGAAAGTCACTTCAATTTTCCTCCTGCCAAAAGCGTCCTTTTATAGAAATCGAAAATATGTTTACTTTCTTCTCTGCACAAATTAATGGCTTCTTCAACCTGTTGTTCGGAAAAGGCTCCCATTATCTGAGAATCGAGTATAGTCCCCTTAGTATTGTCGAACACGGTAACGAATGATGCCTTCAAGTCTTTCTGATTAAGTGGGGGAACAAGGGTGAGTTCTTCCGAATTAGTCAAAAAACAAGTGACCGCTGCGAACATGCACTTCATGTCTATTCCTGAGTCGAGACAGGCTAAGCAAGCTGCGTTTACAGCGCAGGATACTAACTGAAAAATATGATGAGAGTGTATGGAAAGGTTGTTTCCTATACCTTACCTGGCCGCTGTTTTGCATCTCCTGTATCGCTACCAACACAGCAGACCGAGGATACAAAGAGGCCACCAATGCCGTTTCACAAATATTCCTTATGATCGACTCAAAAGATTTGTCTTGCACACCTGCACAAAATAATAATGGGTTTTACATCATCCAGAGCTAAGAATGGAGTCTTTTTCACCTGGTAAACCCGATTTGGGTCGAAAATGGCATTCAACTGAGGCTTTGTCTATAAGAATGTTTTTCATTTTAACTTCCACTGGGCCATATACGCCGGCAACAACTGTAGTTTCTCCTAAAAGATATAATGAAAGTGTTTGTACCGAACGGTTGTTTTCCTCATCTCGTACCTTCTGATAACATGACAGATCCATCTGGTCGGCTCAATTCACCCAATCTGCAACTGCGGCTGAGTTCCCCCATTGTTTTTATTAGTGTCCTACGTCCTACTGCATTGATAAATTTGAAAATAATTTCCAAGAACTGCTGAGGTTATGTTAACTTTATTTTCAGTTTCTTCTTCTTCTTATGGTTCTAGTTTGCGAGCAATTAGTCAGTTTTATTTTTTTTGTCTTCTTCTTCTTATGGTGGCCTAAGCAACTCAGGCTATCCGACCAAAAGTTTCACTGCTTGTTCAGGAGTGAAGTTAGGTCACAGTAATGTGAATCTGGACAACACAGCCCCAATGTTTTTATTGGTTTTCTGTATCAATGTAAATTTGACATTTTCAATAAATTGAAAAGGAATTATACATTTTTAGAAGAGATTAGATTTTAGGAACTCTGAACATGTAGTTTGAAGTTATCAATATTTGAACTTTCTCAGGGAGATACTAAGTTCAAAAATATAGAAATAGGTAGGTAATAAAGAAAAGCATGTATTCGTTTTGAAATTTCAACATGTGGGTAATGAACATTTTGAAATTCTAAAACTGAGACACATGTATGTTACCTATTCTTTAATACCTAACTATTTCTATATAATGAAATTCAGTATAAAAGCAGATCCAATATTGATCACTTCACAGGGAATCAATACATGTCTTATCAAAGACATGCCATGAATTATTTAAAAAACAGTCATTTTTCCGTAAACCGGCTGTCGCCCTTCACGAACGACAACTCTAAGAAGTCGAATCTTGTGCGAACTAAAGATTAACGAGGTCCTACCTTTTAGGGTGCGGTTCTTTTTTTCGTAATGGGTCATTAAATTAAATATTTGCAGGAAACTATCCTGACTGAGAAAGCTAAATGTTCTCACACATCCCTCCAAAAAATCAATGAACATAAAAAAGGAGAAACACTTTCTCTTAAATTTATTGGTACATTTTTGCATCTTAGTCTTATGAAGGTGACGTATATAATTTCATAAACAACAGAAAATAAATTATCAAATAACAAAAAATTAACACAAAAAAAGCATAGGAATATATGAATCCATAGTAATCTTATAATAAACAATGAGAAAAGTGTTCAAAAAATGTGGAACCATTCAAACAAATCAATAAAATAGTATGTCCAGACAGATATTTCATTTGAATAGTTTTCGATTCAAAGATGAAATATCTGTTGAAAAATATAAAGGTGTACGTAATAAGTAAATAAAAGGAAAAACTACAACCTCTGACGTAGAATAAATTCAAAACAAATACTTTTTCCAATCACCAGTTGGCGTCTTCAGAAGATGACGAGACCTCCTGAAGACGTCAACTTGTTTGGTGAAACGCTCATCGGGAAAAGTATTGCAGTTCTGGTAATTAGGAAAAGTGCTCGTCTTGCGATTAGCACAAAACAACTATATTTATAGAAATCCTCGATATCAATGATTTTGATTTGATTCAACATTTCACAAACTGAATAAAATTTGACAGTTGATATTGGAAATGAATGCAAAGTTGTTGATATAGCGGGGTAAATTAAATTTTTGATTATTTTTTGATCCTAAAGTTGTTTTTCTTCAGTTTTGAGAACATGGAACGTTAAAAATAAATACTATCATACAAAAAAATACACTACAATACGAATCAATACTCCAGAAAAAAATGTCAAGGTGAGTTTATGCACCTTCATTTAGCAAGTAACGAGTAAAGATATGAATTATCAATTGCCAAGGAACACACAGATGAAACGATAGCTTTTGCATTCCTAATCAAAAAGTCACAATAAAATAGTTGTAAAATAGTAGTATAAAAGAAAGAAATCTATCGACTTTATATATTTTTAACTCACCACTCAAATATTTTCCAGAATATGACAATCAAATTAGACAAAGACTCGTGAATCGACCAAATATTTCACACATTTTTTATGTCATCAATCATCATGAATTTCCATTCCACCAAATATAGAAAAAACAACATTTTGAAATTTGAAAACTATTATCCTCCATTCCTTCTGTCTGTGTTCTAAAATGGACCAATCGGTGATCATTCGCACAACATACGAGCCTTTCATAACTAGAATTCGAACCTACAAAATGAAATGAATGTTTTGAAAAACTTTCCCCTCGTCAGACCCAAAGCAGTGTCTCTCAGCGTGCGTTTCGCTAATCGAGTCAACTTTTGTCACTGTTTGCTTGATATTTGTGGATTTTTCTGCATGAACATGTCTATTGGAAATTGGAATGTTCGACTTACAATTGATAATTGATATTTCTCAAATGTTATTTATTACTTGCTAATCAAACATGCATTAATTTCCCTTGAATAGCTCTAGAGGTTATTGCCTCTGAAACTGTGGAATGCAAAATTCATTCAGAATGCACATCACTCCAAATTATACATCAGTCTTGAGAACAAATGAAACCAAAGAATACCAACTACTTTGGACCCTGGAACGAGCATATTTATTCTCAAAATTTGGCAAAGCTACGATCGAAACAAAGTATGTTTGAATCGCTCCACACTTTTTGAATCCTACCTTCGCAAAGACAAACCTAGAATCGACATCCACAGTTCAAGGTCAGTTCTACGTATGAATCCAAGTCTGTCCACAGTAATTAAAAACGAAAAAAGTGGTAAAAATCTACTGATTTTGCGCAGCAGTCGCCTGTTCGAATTTCTGAAGCCTCCTTCTCCGTATCTCCTCCTCGGGACTGACTACTTCGCTCGTCTGTGGAATCTCCGCTTTCGAAGTGCTCGGCTTATCCGAACCGCTATCTGCAGGGCTCTCAGTCGACGAACTAGCCGCAGCGCTCGTAGTGGGGGCCACTTTGGCCACCTTAGGGACGCTGGTCGAGTTGCTGGACTGAAATATGTTGGAGGGAGAGGTAGTGGGCGTTGCCGAGGTCGTTGGTGGGGGCATCTGGGCTGAGTGAGCCACCGTGGTGCTGTACTGCTGCATCATTACTACTGCCGCATCGAGGAGCAACTGAAAATGGATGGATATACATAAAAATCGGCATGAGGATGTTGAAGAAATATATCCCCTGAAGTATTCAAGAGACTAAAGCCGTGACAAAATTTTACATACATTGATTCAAAAAAGAAACGCAAAAACCAATTGGATTCATCACTTCATCACATGTTTTTGCTCAGATGGAACTAGCTTCTTGCTATCTTTACCATTTCTAGAGTGTACTTTGGTTCTTTTTACTTGTTAGTGAAAGCCTAAACCGTAGTAATTTTCAACTTATGAGGCAATAAACAAACGAAACTCATATAATACTAGTTAGGCAATGATACTTTGTGTTTTCAAAATGAAAATTTTGCAACTCTCATGTACATGAGAATGAACACGCCTATCGAAGCTATTTTATAAAGAAACACGTGTTGCTGTTTTGTAAAATGTTCATTGAAAATTTCACAATAGTGTTTTACTTGATACATCACTATAAAATAGCTCCTTCAGGCGTGTTCATACATATAGAGAATAAACACGCCTGAGGAAGCTATTTTATAACAAAAACACGTGTTGCGGTTTTGCTAACTGTTCAGTGAGGATCTCACAATAGTGTTTTACTGAATACTGCACTATAAAATAGCTCCTTCAGGTGTGTTCGTACATATAAAGAATGAACACGTCTGAGGAAGCAATTATATAAAAAAACACGTATTGATGTTTTGTAAACTGTTCAGTGATAATCTCACCATAACGTTTTACTTGGTACTTCACTACAAAATAGCTCCCTCAGGCGTGTTCATACATAAAAAGTGTGAATACGTCTAAGGAAGATGTTTTATGAAGAAACACGTGTTGCTGTTTTGTAAACTGTTCAGTGAGAATCTCACAATTACGTTTTACTTGGTACTTCACTATAAAAATAGCTCCCTCGGGCGGGTTCATACATTTAAAGAATGAACACGCCAGAGGAAGCTATTTTATATTAAAAAAACACGTGTTTTGTAAACTGTTCAGTGAGAATCTCACAATTAGGTATTACTTGTAACTTCACTATAAAATAGCTCCATCAGGCATGTTCACATGTTTAAATAATGAACACGCCTGAGAAAGCTACTTATAAACACGTATTGCTGTTTTGTAAACTGTTCAAGTGAAAATCTCACAATTAGGTGTTACTTGTAACTTCACTATAAAATAGCTTCCTTAGGCGTGTTCATACATATAAAAAATGAACACGCCTGAGGAAGCTTTTTTCTAAAGAAACACGTGTTGCTGTTTTGTAAATTGTACCATGAAAATCCCACAATAATGTTTTACTTGATACTTCACTATAAAATAGTTCCCTCAGGCGTGTTCATACATATAAATAATGAACACGCCTGACGAAGCTATTTTATAAAGAAACACGTGTTGCTGTTTTGTAAACTGTTCAAACAACAACCTTTTACTTAATACTTCACTGTAAAATAGTTCTCTTAGGCGTGTTCATACATATAAAGAATAAACACACCTGAGGAAGCTATTTTATAAAGAAACACTGTTCAGTGAGGATCTCACAATAGTATTTTACTAGATAATCCACTAAAATATAGCTCCCTCAGGCGCGTTCATGCATATAAAGAATGAACACGCCTGAGGAAGATGCTTTATAAAGAAACATTGTTCAGTGAGGAGCTCTCAATAGTGTTTTACTTGATACTCCACTATAAAATAGCTTCCTCAGGTGCGTTCATACATATAAAGAATGAAAACGCCTGAGGAAGCTATTTAATAAGATATATTGTTCAGTGAGGATCTCACAATAGTGTTTTACTTGATACTTCACTATAAAATAGCTCCCTCAGGCGCGTTCATACATATAAAGAATGAAGACGCCTTGAGGAAGCTACTTTACAAAGAAACTCGTGCTGCGGTTTTGTAAACTGTTCAGTGAGAATCTCATGAATAAGTGTTAGTTGAAATCGGTTTCATCGATGTCTATCTCATTGCAAATAATAGCCATTGCTACTGCACACTCGACTTTTGAAAAATCTTTGACAGCATTTATCACGATGCCCTATTACAAAAACATCTGAAATATAGATAATGCAGTTCAGCTTCTACTCCCATCAAAATATTGGGCACGGAGTTCCACAAGGGTCAGTGTTGGGATCATTATCCTTCAAAAGTTATAAGAATGACCCACAAACTTCAAAGGCACTTTTGTTATAGTTACATTTGCACTTTCTACATGAATAATGAACATTTTATTGAAGCATGTAGGATATCAGAAGGAACTCTGTCAAAATGTGAATAGCATTTTTATTCAAATGAAATACGAATGTTTGAATGAAAGCAAAATCACAAATACATATTCCTTTAAAAATTGAGAGATTATACACAACAAGAGCAATGTAAATTTCTGTAAGTTATTTATTTCATCCTTCTTGAACTTTTTTATTTCTACCCTCGCTCTCCTCATTCTTCCGTCTTTTTCTCTCTATGCTCTCACTACTTTCACTTGTTTTTTTCTCTCATATCTTTCAACCTCTCTTTTTTTTTCTAACTTTCGAACAAAGGAATAGTTTCCAGCCTTTATTATATTCAATTTTTTTTCAATTAGTGACATACAATATGCACCAAAGTGTAGGATTTTCCTCCCCCTTTTTTCATATTTCTAGTAATCTATGTATCTCACCTGTATATTCCTCAAACACTGAATCCTAGCTTCGACGTTTTCCCTCTCGTTCCCCTCCATCCTCTGAAGTTCTTCAGGCGTCAGCGTAGCAAAATTTGGCGGCGGCATGGGAGGAGGTAAGAACGGCATGAACCTGAAGGGCGGAAACATGAACCGAGGAACGTTAGATTGAGGCTGCTGAGTGGTTGCGTTCGGATCTGCAGAGCTGGTCGGAGGCCTAGCCGGCTCGGGCACCGGAACGTTTTCGATGTTCTGCTGGTTGAACACCTGAAAGGGGTTCTGCCCCATGAAGAAGGGATTCGCGAAGGCATTCTGCACGTTCTGTGGAACCGGTCGCTGCCTTTGGGGATTAGCCGTGTTGTTGTTGAAAGGATTCCTTAGAATGTTCAGCCGGCAAGTCGGACAGGTCTGCTGCCTCTGGAACCACGATCGGAGGCAAGCGGTGTGGAAAATGTGGTTGCAGGGTAGCTTCTTCGACGCCGTGGTCATTTCCTCGCGGCAAATAATGCAGACGTTATCGGCAGCCTCGAGTTCTTCACTAGTGGCATCCGGATACAAAGTGTTCATGTTGTGAATCGCCCTCCTCGACAAAATAACGTCGCTGAACGCCTTTTTGAAGTTGCGGATCGTGTAGTACATCGGCCTGAAGGCAAACAGCGGCAGAGTATATATCCTCACCATTATCGCTACGAAGGCGATGTATAGAATTACTTTGATGAACCCCATGACCAGCTCCGTGTACAGCAGAAAAACGGCCTTGTTATCCCAAGGCGTTTCGCTGTTCAGGTCCACAGAGTGAAGAGCATACTTTATCGCTATGTTTATGACGACCGTGATTAGGATGGCGTACTCAAAGCCAAAAACGAGCTGCACCGAAGCCCCCTTGGACATAGTCGAAAGGTAGGCGTGCTGGATGAAATGCAGGTCGAGAGAGCCTAGTAGAAGCAGCAGAGATAGTACTCTGACATGGAAAAGTAAGCTGATAACAGGGCTTCGTTCCATCTAAAAAAGATTATTACTTAGTATGTTAGTCATGTTTTACGAACTGAAGCAAACTATAAATTGGTTTCTATTTTTTAACACTGCAAATATTTCAATGAACTTATACTTACATAATCCACCCTGTCTTCTGCAAGCCAGTGAAATGATTTTAGAAATAACAATAACGTGAACAATGCAACAAATTTTGGATTGAAATCATCTCGGAAAACTGTAAATGCCAAGCAAGTTTCTGTTATGGCATACCAAGACCTCTCCATCAAATGCTGAAATTTAAAATTTGTTAAACAATTAAAAAAGATAGACCTGTTGAAACATTTTTTTAAATAGTAACAAGACAGAAAAGGAAAATCAGACGAAGACAAATGGAATGCTAATGGCGATTTAAAAAGATGAAATTTGTATCCTATATAGAATTTTTTTTCATGGATATCAATTTGAAGTGATTGGTGTTATTTTTGTATTTGAAGGAATTGTAAAGAGTAATGTCGATAAAACAAGTTGTAAAAGTACCTCGAATTCAGTGGTCCTTAGCTGTCCGAAGAAAATCCTCCTCATGATTTTCCCACATATCCACACGCAGATAAAAGCTTGGATGTAAATTACCTGCAAGAATTGTTGTTATAAATTCAATCCACGATTCTGAAAAATACTTACAGCCATACTAGGGTTTGATTTTGTGATGTATACAACAGATGGATAAAATTGTTTCTTTTGATAGTATGCATTGGCGATAACTATTGAAGTTAAAGCTAAAGTTATGATTGATATACTAAGGGACCTCATGATTATTCACATTTAGACGTAAATGAAATGGATTTTTATTCACTCTTCACTGTTTTGATTTTACTTGAACATAATAATACGTCAACCAATTATATAGGGCAACGTCAAAACATTCGTGTCCCGAATCTAAAACGTCAGTGTCAACATATCATATGTCATCAACAATTAAAGCTGCATTCGTACTAATGTCCGATCGAACGCCACGTCAGTGACAATGATTAATAATTTTTTTCTTTTTTAATTTCAAAGATAAATAAATTATTATAAAAGGTTATGTTGTCGTTTGTGTTGTAAGAATAACTACATACTTTCAAAATGAACTTATTTGTTTCTATGTTTGATGACGCTGATACAAAAGTAACAGATAACAATAAATTCGAAATCATTCTAACGAGAAACCATGACTCAGGGTTTTAATACATCGTCAGGACAATAAATAACATTGAGCATAGTAATGTTTTAGAATTTACAACATTTAATTATTTTATATTCAATCTATTCGATTTTTTATTTGCTAGTCATTTTCAAATCAGTAATTAATGTTCCCAATCCACAAATCATGAAAATATTATGTTCTGAAGGAAAAAGAATTGACTTTATTAAGTAATGCGATCTCATGGTTGCCAACTGCGTAAAAATAGTAGCATTTGACATCTGCTGATAAATAAATTACATATCTTTTTGATTTCCTTCTGCATTTTCATTTTTGGTAAATGAGAAACTGATTTCCAAAATTTGTCTGAAAAGAGATTCCCAGTTGTCCTATATGAAGTTGGGGCTCCAGAATGAAGAATCAGCTATGATGAAATACAAGATGGTCTGTCCCAAAGATGAAAATGCAGTAGGAACTCAGAAAGATGGGTTATTTATTCATTAGCAAATGTCAAAATTTTACCGCAGTTGGCAACCATGGGGTCGCAACACTTAAGGGTCATTTCCATGAATATATCCCAGGGGATTTCGAATCATTGTTGCAAAATAGCATAAAGGAAAGGAATCATTAAACCATCATTTAAACATTCAATAATAATAAATAAAACTTGATCAGTATCATACATTCAATTGGTATACATACATAGTTTTCTACTGTCATGGAAATACCTGTTGGATCGAGAGAAGACTCAATCCATGAATATCGCCGCCCAACGGGACTCCTTCCTTCAGGAACAGTTTCACAAAAATTTTTAAAAACCTACTTGAATCGTCAACTTGACTAGCAAATATTGAATATGTGGATCTTTGTTCAGGTGAATTCCTCCTAATTAGCATTCATTTCAAGACAATAAAACAATGTATCCCATTATAAAATATATTTATTTAGGTACATTAAAATTCAACTATAAAAAAACAACATGGTTCAACAATATTAAGTTGCACTAACAATAAAAACATTCGAATATTATATAAAACTGGATATGATGAATTTTGATAAAAACTAAAAAATTACTAAATTGGCAACCAATGCATGTCTTATCCAACTGTAAACTGAATACAATAAAACTCCAATAGAAGAAAAGTTAAAAGGTGATTGAAAGAAATATTTCCATCAAAGTTCAAATTTCTGCCAAATATAAAGCTTCAAACATTAGATTTTTCAGGAAATCAAATATTTCTACCATATTTTCCGTTAACTGAATGTAAAAAGCCTTACCTATTTTTACAAGTTATTATCCCACTTCTGAATACCGTAGTGAGCATTCAAGGCCAAACTCGATCAAACTGAATATCCCCAGCTAAAATTCATCAACAGTAAATTTGGAAAAGAACACCACGTGATGTGATGAGTTAAAAGTCGGACTTTACAAAAACCATCCTATGTAGCACAATTTGATATGATTCAGACACATGTGGTTATCGGGTACCTTCCTGAAAATTGCGACAAATTCAAATATGACCTCCTTCCTTCAATTTACCGACAAGAGCATCAACGTCCGGTAGAATAGCTCCAGCTTGTCGAGTAGGAGGTTCTTCTACACTCAATATTTGTATTCGAGGACTGATATCTACACCTAGATCCTTCGGGGTTGTTTTCTGTATAGGTTTTTTCTTGGCTTTCTGAAAAAGGCACAAACTTGTTGAGCAACAGCAAACTATGTAAAACAACAATCACTCAGAATTCGTGAGCGATTGAACAAAACCATCGAATTTCACTACAAATATGTTTTATCTCACCATAATATTTGGTAAAGTGGCATAACGTGGTTCGTTGAGTCTCAAGTCAGCACTGATAACTGTAGGAAGTTTACACTTGATAGTTTCTAAACCTCCATCGATTTCTCTTGTAACCGTCAAATGTTTGTCGCCTTTCTCAATCTGAAATTAAGAATCAGTGAATGATCACACCAAGTCCAATGGACAAACATCAAATATCACCGGTTTTTCACAGGAGCTACTCGACAATGAATTGAGAGTTGATTCTACTAACCTTTGAGGCATTGGTAGCTTGAGACCAGTCCAGCATGGCAGCTGTCATTTGTGCCGTCTGATTTGAATCGTCATCAATAGCCTATAGAAAAGGAAAATTTATTAAAAACTATGTGGACAAATCTTCATTGTGAGATAGATCAGAAGTATATGAGTATACTTGTGGATCTTAAGCCAAAACTTTATATTAGCCAAACAGGGAGAATCTGCTCTTAAAGAATAAAAGAACATAGGATTAGTTTCTAACTAGGATACTAATCATTTCAATTAGAGATGAAAAGGCTCATCGGAATGAACAGGTGGCAGATTCACGCCATCTATCAACCAATGCAGGAAGCACCACACCAGATCCTAGATCGTCTGACAAAACAATATTTTCAGGCTTCCTAATTTGGAACATATTTTTTCATGCAAACCATGAACGGCTATGGTGGCTAAAGTCATGGGTATGTATGTTTACGAAAAGGGCCAACCTGTTTCCCAACAATTATGATATCAGCCTTTTCATTTTGGGCTATTTTCGCCAGGATTTTCGAGACGTGAATCGGCTGCAGGGTCTCGTAGTCAGGTCCTGATACTTCTACGTGAATTCCCTTATCGACTCCCATCGCTAGAGCGGTTCGTATGACTTCCTGGGACTGTGCGGGGCCGCAAGACACAGCAATTATTTCTGAGGCAATTTTTTTTTCTTTGAGACGAACGGCTTCCTCCACAGCTATTTCGTCGAAGGGGTTCATGGAATGTTTTACTCCATCCGTTACAACGCCTGTTTTGTCTGGTTTCACGCGGATCTGAAAATTTGGGGTTTTTCAACCTTTGCACTACATTCAGTGATAGGAGTTTTTTGAAAATTGATAAGTTGACTCACTTTCACAGCATAGTCTATAACTCTTTTAACGCCCACTAGAACACGAGCCATTATTCACTTCTAACAATTTTGAATCAATTTAAATATAAAAAAATTTCAATATTTTTGAAGTAAAAGAACCTGGACTTTGATACCCTGTGAATAAGATCAATGGTCAATGTTGACAGTTGACGTTTTTGACAGAAACAAGTTCACAAAGTACAGAACAGAAACTATAGCTCCATTTTTTTGTTGCGATTCCGATAGTTGAAGAATAACGTTTTAAACTAGCTTTTGGCTTTTTAGGTAAATTTCAAGATAGAAAAAAAGTAACTAATAGTTAGCACGTTTTTTTTTTTAGTGACTACTTTTCATTTCATCTCAATTGATGAAATATTTGAAACAGAGTACTGAGAGATCTCGAAATCAAAAGGTTTTTGTCGAAATTCTTATTAAAATTGGTGATACTGTCAAGGTTGACACTTAGAACTGTGGCGTATAATAACTCCAAAACATTCGCTTTCCTAAACATCAAAACTGCAACACTTTTCTCAATGCGAGTTTTTCCAACCAAGTTTGCTTCTTCTGGAAATGAAGTAGACTAGAACACAAGTTTCTAATATTACAATCACTTCATGCACAATTCACACATCTGGCAAGTCAGTGCTACCAATTGTCTCCGTCATTGGATATCTATGAACAGCGATAGATAAAATGGTTAAGTCTTCCTCGGCCAAGGTTTTCAGTGTCACTATTTTTAGGGTTTGTAGGCCGCGAATTTTTGGAATTTCTTTCTGTCGTTTCGCTGGCGCGAGTGGCTAGCTTCTTCAGGGTTGAAATCCGATGACTGAATATTACGCTACGCGTTACGAAGCCATAATAGTTCCCATCCTGAATAGTCCATTGACCACCCTCTCAATACATAATAAGGAATAGAAACTACATAAATATTAGTCACTAGTAGTCATTATGTAACATATAGATTAGGAATATTGAGGTATTATTTAAAATCAGCGCAATACTAGAAAACCATTTATTGCACCTTATTCAATGATTATGTTATAAGTATACGTATGTTAACTTGATTAGCTTGATTTTGTAATACATATGAAACTGTCCTCGAAACAATCACTAATTTTGATTTTTGTGTTAAGAAACGCGTTAAAAGGTAAGATCTCGTTAAAGTCTCAGCTTGCACAAGTTTCTCAACGTCTGAGAGTTGTTGTTCGTATGGGGGCGACAGTTGATTAACGGAAAAACATATTTTAAACATATTTAAACAGATGAAAGATCTGTTAGTTAACATCAGTTGATGGCTTTACTGAACGAACTGAACAAACGGCATCTCAACGATATATTTAAGGAATACAATTCAAAAATGTATCGTTAGTTTAACGATAATCGTTCATGAATGACGTTTCAGAGAGTCACAGGATGCTCCTATGCTATTATTCCAATATTTTCCATAAAGGCCCCATTGGCAACACTGCATATTAACCTGCCAATACAGTCGGTAAAGTAGGTAGCCACCTTGACATTTTCTTCTGGTCCGGTTGTGCACTTTGTAGTGCATTGTGGAGGTGTGATTTTCATAAATTAATTGCCAAATTACTCTTTTGTGTGCTCCAAATTTTCTGCTAACGTTAAAATATGGCAGATCTAGATGATTTTTTTGCCAAAAAAGACCGAAAGAAGTCCAAAAGTACAAAAAAATTCGCGACCACGGAAGAAGTAGCAAAAAAGTTGGAAGACAGTGCGAAGAAGACTGAGAAATTGAAGAAAGAGCGGGCCCCTGGTGAAGGAGAAGACAGTGCTGCACCTATCCACGTAAGTTTCTGACAAAAAGTTACCCTGCATGACGTATGAAAACTGGTCTGTGGAGGTTAGGTTCAGTTTCAGTAGCCATATTGTATTGGAAAAATAAATATTTCCAATTAAAATAGTCATCAACTACAGAACGGTTTCGTAGAATTACCCCTCTTCAGTGCAGGTGTTAGCCATGAAAGTACTTCTTTCTTGACAGACATCTGCCAGATCTATTTTATACCTATGTATCTCTTCTAGACACAGTCTTCTGACTTATTTTTTATAGGAACAAGACGAATGGAAAGACTTTGAAGAAGAGAAAAAAGACTACACCGGTTTGAAAATCGGTAATCTAGCCATCACGACTACTGCGGAGGGCACTCCGGGAACCAAGGAACAAACTACGGAACAGCAGCAAGAGGAAGAATCCGCCCAAGAGATAGATAGAAAGGCAGGGCCCTGGAGGCGTATAGACAGCGAAGTCCAAGAAGAAATTCCCGTCAAAGTTGTTGAAAAGAAACCAGAGACTCTCCCAAATGTCACTAAAGGGACTTACGTGCCCCCGGGAATGCGTAATATGGGTAACCAACAGCAGGCCCCACCAAGTCGGATGAAGACAAAAACAGCCCCTGACATACACAATGAGGAGTTTTTCCCAACTCTTTCCAAAACCGGTGGAGACTACAAAAAGTGAGTATAACCTAATTAGGTGTTATTCTTTCTAGTTTTCACCAGTTAACACTGGGAGGATCCGATTTCAAGTTTGAATGAGTTATGCATGACCTAATTGCCACAAAAGACATTATTGTACAGTGCTAGGAATCGCACTGGTGGAATTAGTTGATTTTTCTGTTGATTATGAAGTAAAATGTATATCTTAATAAACATTTTACAATAGATGAATCATTTATCATCAAGGACAAGGAAATCAAGTTTCTTTCAGGCAATACTCTTACTGCAGTAAACTGGTTTTAATATTTTTTCTACGGTTGACAATTCATTTCAATAAAATAATGTTGTATTCTTCTTATGAGCAACTAGTATAGATTGTGGAGCTAAACAAGAAAAGACGTACTAAAATGAAGTTAAAAAAAGTTTCAAATCTATTCACATCAGTACAATCTTACAAAAAGTTGCAACTTATTAACTCAATGAACTGTTTGAGTTATAAAACCATATATCTTCACAGAATTATGTACAGACTTGCAAATGGAGGAAAAGAGCTTTAAATCTCTAATTCATTCTACAAGTTTCGATTCTCTTAAATGATTATATTTTCAGCTTTTGCTAATTTTTTCCTGTCTATATAATAAGTTATTTATGTCTGCTGTTGGTAACAAAACCTTTACTACTATTTTTTTCTAATTTTATTTCACACCCAAAGCTTATATTTTCAATACTGTATATCTCGTTCTTGCATTTTTTTCTTTCATTTATATTCCCATTGTGTAAGGGGATCAATTGTTCTTTAAAAAAACCATTTGTTTTCTTGCCAACGTTTCGAATTTGAATAAATTCTTCTTCCCGTTTCTGAGACAATGAATTTTCACAAAACTTATAATTTTATGACGAATTATGGATTCCTAATTAAATTACTCACCGTAAAAGAAGTCTCTTCTAGTTTTAAAAACATCAGCCATATTAGATACCACAATAAAAATAGAAAAAACTAAAATAATAAAATTTTCAAAACAACACTACATAAAGACATGAAACAAACAAATAGCTAAGATGCTGATAAGGTGGTGTCTGTTTTTATCAATGATAGAAAAAATGAGAAAGGAAAAGGGGAATTATTCAGCTATTTTACTGATTAAATCGAAAAATGCAGTTATAAGGCCATCGATATTCCTTCTAGTGTTAACACTATTGTGTGTCTTTCATGTGTTCTGAAACCCGTGTTTTAAGATATCATCCGGTTTGACCAGCATAGCATCTGGGAAAGCTTTCACAGTTCAATTTTCATTTGAAAAGGTCACTCAATTATATTTGTTACTATGTAACATTTCATTGGGTATATTTATGAAAATTCATCGTTACAGAGCCGGGAGGAAGAATTTAATTGAATTTAGAAACGTTGGCAAGAAAACAATTGCTTGAAAAATTGATCCTGCTACTAAACTAACCCTTCTTGAGAATAAAAATTGGATAACTATGCCAGTTAATTGATTATATTTGTATTGATGCAGTAAAATTTATTCTGTGTTTTAATAACCGCCATTCAATTTTGACTCTAAATCTTTTTTTGCAGGAATCGTAGTGAAGGCTCTTTCGAAGTGGTGCAGCACAATCGATCTTCCTCACACAGACAAGTGGAGTTATCGAAGATCAGTTCGTCGCAGGGCCCCAAGCTGAGCCTCGGAAACCGTTATAATACTCTCAGTAACGATAGCTAGTGTTGCTATCAACTCCTAGGGACATGTTAATATTGAGTGGTGGCCATGGAAGATATCCGTTTCGCCTGATTCACACCATCGGCTCGGCAAAAGTTTGAGATTACGAATCAAATCTCGCTGAATCAACCGTTGTATAATTCTTTTGTGAGGACTTTTCTGTCTGTTTTGATGGTGTGAATCAGGCGGTTGGTAATGTCTTGTAAGAAACCTATTGAAATTTTCGCATCCAGTCGTTGTTTTTCCATTCCCTGATTGTGCCGATCTGTTGACTAAATTTATGTTGCATCCCGTTCTAACGCCCTCCACCGAGGGTTTCAAATTGTGGCTTTCGATTTTTGAAGATCATTACTAGATTTTTTTTTTTACAAAATAAATTATATTATTTCCATATAGTTGTCTTCTTTTTGATCCCCTGGATGAAAATAGATTTTTTTTGGTAGCACAATTTTTAGTTTCCGATTTGTTTGCTGAAAATTAGGAGTGTTGATCATAGTCTACTGATCAGATCACAAAACTGTCTTTCTACGGTATTAGAGGGCTGCTACTCGAACTAATTACGTCCTATTTGAAATAGACAGCAATGTGTTACTGAAAGGGATACTGATGGAAATGTAATGAAATCAGAAATGCTATACATTGTAAGAGGTGTACCCCAGGGGTCAGTGTTGGGCCCACTACTATACATTCTTTACACTAACAATGTGCCTGGAGTTGTTGATGGATACATGGTTCAGAATGCCGATGACTGTTCTGTGGTTTTCAGTTCAACCGATCACAACTACCTACCGCAAGATCTTTTTCAAGCTAAAGATTCTGGAGGAGTACTTTACATCACACAATCCCAAACTGGACAAAAACAAGACAAATCATATATTTTACCCAAAACGGCACAAATAATACTTTTAGTGATGGTGTAACTATGTTAGAACCAGTGACCCAACTTTCCTTTTTTGGAATTATAATTGACTCAAAGCTGGACTGGAACAGCCACATAGATGAAGTGGCAACACAAATGTCAAGGTACTGCTATGCCCTGAAAATAATTACACAAAATATATCCACCGAGGCTGCAATTACTAAAAAGATTATTTTGATCCATGTAATTCAGAATTCTGTTACTAAAACTTTCTCAAATAGTTTAGAGAGGAAACAAAGTAAAGATATCTGTCTGTAGTTGTCTACCTCAGTTTTGTTGCCTTTTTTATATAGAGGAAATATGAGAGCCGTTTTAAATACATTTGGAAAACAACCTACAAAAAATGACTGATTCATCAAAAACAATAGTGGCTCGATTATAAGATCTACAATTTTTTTTCACAGTAACTATTGAGATACCATCAGTACCTGCGGAGTTTTTATTTGCCATTGTTTCCAGAGTACCTAGAATTTCTGTCTTTATGTTAGCATATACTGGTTATATTCAGAGTCACACACAGATATGGCATTATGTTCTGGGGAATGTCTGCACATACACAAAAAATATTCATATTGCAAAAACAGTGTCTCAGAAAAATATTCAACCTTTCTCAGAGAGGAAGCTGTAAAAAAATAGTCGTAGAGAAAAAAATATTAACACTAACAGGTATCTATATTTATGAATCTATGGTATTTATCAAAGAAAATATATCTCTCTTTGCGACTCATGATAGGAACCATACCCACAGCATATGAAACAAAAATAACCTTTTGAATATGAAGACACATTTGACCTATCTTTAAAATAATATACCTTTTTCAATCATTAATATTTATAACAAGATACCTGAATCTCTCAGAACTTTGTCTTCTATGATCATGTAGATAAAATTGAAAACTTTGCTTCTCTCCAAAGCTTTGCTCGAAGAATTCTTCAATGATAATTTAAACTGATGTTGTTCGCGTTGAATATTTCATGTCCTATCGTTCTGCATTGTGATGTAGTTTAGTCTCTTTTGAACCCTACATATAGATGTATATGTTTGTGTTCTGTATCTAAAATAATAATATTAATGATATTGCCTCATGATTTTCTACTACTTCTCTAATGTTTACTGTAATTGACATGTCCTACACCTGAAAAGATTTTTTATTACAAATAACTAATGAAGGATATCTATCTATCTATAGCAAGGTGCTGGTAAGTATCTCTCAATTGTCAAAGTCATATTTTGTACTACTTGAGGAAAATGAGAATCAATCTCAAGGCTGCAAGAAACGCAGCATATGTGTCTCGAAACCCATACTAAATGACGTCATCCAGGGCTCTGAAGAAAGATTATAAGGTCCAGTTACAAAAGCGAAAAATAGAAAAGAAAACATATAGGAATGTGGACTTTCCGGGATGTGCCGTGGTCTTCTTCGGTGATAATCTCCAAACGTTTCGACTTCAACTACGGCAGTCATCTTCAGTGGCGTGATAGAAGTACTCTTGTTGAAGTGTCAACTGTACCTCAATCTTAATAAAAAAAAATACGGCGGCCATGTTTTGTGACCTAACCAAGGCCTTCGATTGTGTAAACCACATGTTATTTCTTCGCAAGCTATAAGTTACGGATTTAGAGGTTCTGCATTATTTTGGTTTGAGACGTACCCTTCTCATCGGCGGCAGAATGTTCCATTAGATGGAATTTCATCAGATGAACGTTTCATTGGCAGTGGGATCCCACAAGGTTCCGTTTTGGGACCGGTGTTGTTTCTCATTTATGTCAATGACTTAGTCCATGTCGACATAAGTGGTAAATTCACATGTTTTGCTGACGACACCAATATCCTCTGGCATAGTAATACTGCCTCAAATTTACTTAATCAAATCATCGTCGACATAAGAAGGGTGAAAGAGTGGTGATTCCAATCTTTTATCATTCAACATCGACAAAACAAATGTGGTCACGTTTAGATGTAACATAGGGGAAGTACACTTGGAAAATGTAAAAATTGATTGGAGAAAACAAATTTTTAGGGCTCTTCATTGATGAAAATCTAAAATTTGTTTCCTATGTCGACTACTTATGTAAAAGACTAGCAGCATGATGTCATGCAGTGAGAGTTGTTGCAAGAGAATTAAATACTGTTATTACAAGATCAGTTTATTTTGCATAATTTATTTCAAGTTGCGGCAATATTTCCAAAGCTTGCTGTACTATATTAAATAGTGAAGGGAAGCCTGTAGGTGCTCTGCATATTCAGATTTGAAGCACTGATGGAAATTAAACTGCTCAACAATCTGTAATCTGAATTTATCACTTCAATTATATATCTGCTAAACTTTTACAAATATCTAAAAAAAAATCACAACAGTTTTGAATAGAAAAATCGAGACCTTCCAAAATACCTATAATCCCCAAATTACCAATATTGCAATTAACAAATAAAAACTTTATAGACACACAAACTGCACGTAAACTATGATCGCGAGTACTTAGAAAGTCAAGCCAATTCAAATAAATTCAAATCACTTGGCCATGTGTGATAACTGCCATTATTGAGAGGAATGTGTGTTAGGAATCACACGTTAAAAGGTAAGACCTCGTTAGTCCTTAGCTTGCACAAGTTTCGACTTCTGAGGGTTGTCGTTCGTAAGGTGCGATAGCTGGTTAATTGAAAAACATATTTTAAACAGAACAGAGAGAAACAGAAGTCGCTGATGTTGGTAGTTATGAGATAATTTCCTTTGTGAGCAAAAGAAATGCTTAAAAGGGTTCAAAATAGAAATTGATGAATAAATAAATATTTTTTGTGAAAAATAGAAATGAGCCTCGTTTATTGAAGCATTTATCTTATCAACAGTAGGTATATTAGTCACACTTGGGATATACAAGAAATTGCCACAACCATTGAGTTATACAAATTCAAATCTTCGAGCGATGCATTTTCACTGCAATCAAAAGAAAACATTTACTTCAATATTGAAGCCTTATAATCACCATTGATGCGCAAATACCTCACAACGTATCTTTTCCCATGACTCCCAGAGTCACTGTAGCTTTCATAAAAATGTTCCTTCAAGAGCTTTTCCTTGTAATTTTTTATCAAATAAATCCAGACTTTCATCGTAGATTCTGGACCATCGAGCGGGATAACGTCATATATATCTCTCGCGTAAAAACCTGGATAGCCCTCCAAATCGTCCAGGTCTGCCATCACTTTATCATCAACTTCATACACTTCCCCTTTCACTTGATAACCGTTACCTAAAAACGACGAAAAGCATAAAAAATCCCGCTACAAACAGAGCATTTACTTTCCGGTCTAAATGGCCTAGTACGAACCTGGACTATGCAGCAGGAAGGGAATGTTATACTCAGTCGCGATTATCAGAGGGAATTTCTCTTTCGTTTTGGCGTCGCAAAGGTACTTGCAGAAACCCTCGGAAGATTTAGAAAACCAAAAATGATTGGGTTCCCCTTTTTTCAACGTGCCGTACACGAAAACTTTGTGAACCGTAGCGGTACTCATAACGTCGCTTTTACCGGTAGCCGGAACACTAAAAAATGAAAAATATAACTGTAGTCAATAGTCTAAAAGCCGGTGGAAGATCGAACTTCACCCATCAGATAAAAAAACTAATAAAAATAGCTATGTAAAGTTTTCGATAGGCAAGTTATCATAAGCATGTTTGTTAATGAATTATATTTGATAAAAATATATCTCCAGTTATCTCCCACGGTCTCCTCTACTTTAATGAGAGGTAGGTAAGAAGGTAAACGTTCATTGTAATTGGAAATACGGGTCATTTGAATGAGAAGCAGCAAATTACTAAAATAACTTACTATCCTTATTGAGAAACAATATTCACACTATGAACTTTGGTCAAGAACCGTGTCATAGTGTGAAAATTGAGTATCTAACGTCATTTTCATCAAGTATTAATAAATAGTCGGGTACGGTCCTGCAGAGCCCGCTAGCGCCCCTATCATTTTTTATGGAGATCATCATTAAGTTAAACAGCTGATTGAAATGCAGAGGGGTGTGGTGAAGGTCTAGTTGCCATCCAGCGGAACACGCCTAAATCCTGAATTTCTAAAGAATTTGTTTGTGAAATACTTACAGGTGAGGCTTTTCTATTGATTTCCGAGGCTAAGCTATTCAACTACTGATTTATCAACAGGTTGTTCAAATAAAATAAAGACCCCCTGTGAGAAGTAAATAAATGAGTAGGCGATAAAATTCAAACGTTCGTTTATTGGCAGGGTTGATTGGATTCGCTTTGTTCGTGCTACAAATTTCAATCGGCGATTCCACGACCTAATTTCCACTGCTTTTCGTCTTTTGGCTTCTGTTGGAGCTGATACTGCCGTACTTTGGCTTTTTGGCGAGCAGCTTCTCTATTTCGACGAGGCCGTTAACATTGTTTCCTTCCAACGAAATACGTGATATGCCTTTATCATTGCTGTAATTACTTCTCTGATAGTCCAGCATGTCAATGACGTTTTGTAGTCCTTCCTGTTTGATTCGATTGTCTGTAAAGCATAGTGTTGGTAATTGAATTGCTTTTTTTAAGGACAGTGAATACATGATAAGTTGAGGTTCGTCAAAATGTCGTTTCCTCTGCAGTAGATTTCGGCCTCCAGTTCCTGGGAGTCCTGAATGAAGGGATGGTATGTCGGTTCGTTTATCGAATAACGATTCGAAGAGTTTGTCGTTCGTACTGAGTGTGAACTGTGAGAGGATTTTTCTATAAAGGAAACAAATATTGGTATGTACATTTCTATGTGTGGTTATTGAACATTCGAATTCAACAATAATAATAATAATAATAATAGTCACCATGGTGAGTGAAGACCACAATTTTAAGACATCGAATTCTGTTGCTTCGAAGTCCAAACGGTTTGAAACTTTCTAAGCAAAGATGATTGACTTTTATTATGTAGCAAAGTTTAGAAAATACTAGGAGGGGGGAAGGGGAGACAATCAATTCACTGTACTCTCAAACTTAATTGTAGAGTTCCTCATGGATCTGTCCTTGGGCCCCTGTTACTTTTCATTTTGATTATTGGTATGATAGCATTTACCTCCAATTTATATTCAAAACTGTGTCAAATTCATTCTCTCAATTTTAAATGAAAATAAAAAGTTCATTGAAATGATTCGATGCGTGGCAAATATTTCCCAAAGAGATTCTTGTAGACAGTATTTTGGAAAATATAACTTTCACATCAGCCTATATATTTGAAATGTGTGTATGTGTATTTAAAAGTGAGTCAGATTTTTTATTGAATAAGAGTGTTCACCACCACGATACGAGAATCAAAAACCAGTTCCATGTACCAATTGCTAAATTAAAAGTGACTTTTTCTGGGCCAGAATATATTAATCCAAAAATTCGCGAATATCTTCCTGAATATATGAAGGCTTCAAAGCAACTGAATAATTCTCAACAAACACTGAAAGCATATCTGTTAGAAAATTGTTATTGTATAGTAGCAGAATTTTTTCATAAACATTATGTATTTCCTAATGTTTTGGAACTGATTTTCAATAGTTTAGTGCAACCCCTAACAGACCTAATAAATATGTCTATCGAAACACATGAATTCCCAGATGTGTTGACATTGAGTAAAGTAATAGCAGTACATAGAAGTGATAATAGATCAGATATCGATAATTACAGACCGATTAGACTTCCCCGTATATTTTCAAAAATATTAGAAAGAATAATGTACCATAGACTCATAAACTTTTATCTGATTGTCAACATGGATTTCGCATTGGCAGGTCAACATTTGGCAGGAATTTCCTTTGACCTGTGGAAGCTTTCGGCTGGATTGATAAGGTGTTTTTTGCTTCCAAACCATATAATATTGGTATTAGAGGAAATATTCTTAACTTAATCATTTTATTCGTAACAAATAGACAATTCTTCGTAAAATTGGATGGTGTTGAGTCAGATAAATATACAGTTGATGTTGGAGTAGCGCAAGGTTCACTTCTGGGGCCACTGATTTTCTTACTCTTTCTCAACGTCCTCCCACTTAATATTGATAGGTGCTTTTATCTCATTGGCTTTGTTGATGTCACAATCTCTGGTATGGATGATTCAGCTTTACCAAAGTTTGCGTCATCATGTATGAAGCCTACTGTAATCTTTGATTCATGAATAAATTCTATTATTATACGGTGAGAGCAGTTTCTAATGAGCTCGGTTTCCATACCGCCGAGGGGGTGGAAGTGACAAGGTTGATAATAGACGCAAAAGGTTTTGCCCCATAGGTAGGAGCGAGTTTTTTTTCTGAAGGAATGGGTGTTGTTTATAACTCCCTGTCCCCCCCCTTATGATTCAGTACAGCAGCAAAATAACCTCACACTAACCCTTGGCTGGCTTTTTCGAAGTTTTCGTTGAACTTCGCTTCGATACAGCACTTTTACCTCCTTCAGCAAGTTCCAACATCTGAAAAGTTATTGTTAGATATATACAGTGTGTACAACACAATTCAAAGTAGAATGTAGCCTTACATTCTTCCGCATTTTCTCAAACTTTATCCTTCTCCTAATCACAATTTCATCCTGATTCAAACAGAATTTTTGTAACGTGTTGATAACAAGCTGGAGTCCCTTATTTCTAATTTTATTGTCAGCTAGATTCAAGGATAGAAGCACCCTTGAACAAAAGGAAGGTTTTAAACATTTAAAAGTTGAAATGTGATAATCCGGAATTTCTTTTTTTGAAGACAATACCACAGTAAAAATAATCAACCAGTAAGTCAACTCCCACCACTTTCATTCATAAATTCACAAAGTTCTCGGTGATCTCGAAACGAAGTGCGGAGCCGATTGCGTTCTTTTACCATAGGCGTGCGTTCTTTTACCATAGACGTGCGTTGGTACTTAATTACCTTTGGGGAATCTATAAAATTTCTCACTACAATTATAGGCCTTGTTTTTGCAATCAAACTACAGCGAATAAACTAAACGCAATATCAATTTCCGACCGTTTATTATAACTAATCCAATGGCTGTATTATTCTACTGTGACAAAACATTGAAAATCTTTTTTTTGGAAAGATTTTCAAGGAATTAGGTATGAAGGTGGTTTTTAAAACAAGTCATACACTACAGAGCCTTTTGGGAAGTCCAAAAGACAAAGTCGAGAATTCGGAAAAGTCTGGAATTTACGAAATTGAATGTAAGGACTGCGATGCAAAATATTATGGACAGACAAAAAGATCTATTAAAGTAAGATTTAAGGAACACATAGCACACTTAAAATATGGAAGACCTGAAAAATCAGCAGTCGCCCATCATATTTTGCAACAAAACCATTCCATAGACTTCAGTTCATTGAGATTAGTTAGACAAGTTAACAACAACAGGCAAGTAGATGCCTATGAGAGTGTAGAAATGAGTAAACACAATAATATTATGAATAACGATGATGGACCTATACCAAAGAGCATACTATATAGCTTGTTAAAATAAAATAAAATAATGTTGTTGGGTTTACATTGCAAAAATAAATTTGGATAGGCAATATTGTAAAATTAATTTTTATATAGCTGAAAATTGTTTTATATAAACATATATTGTAAAATAATAGATAAGGCAAAATTGTAATTAATTTAGGTTGGTATGCCTGTATGGTTGGTACGCCTGGATGGTTTACCTGTATGAGTTACCTTTATAGCATAAATAGGATTAACTCGCACTAGTCCTTAGTTTTAATCTTCCTCTTTGAAGATGATCACTTGGTGATCGAAAAATAACGATTTGGTGTTGGGAAAAACTCCAGTAATATTCATTACTACACCAAAGGTTCCAAACAGTGCATCATAAATACATCCATACAGATGAAGCTAATATAAAGCGTGTAAAAAACAGCGAAACAATTAACAGATGAAAGAGTATACATTTATGAGGATTCTACTTATCAATAAACATAAGAGAGAGAAGGAAAATATGCTCCTCTAGCCAAGAAAGAAAAATTTCCATGGCAAAGCCCGTATAGTATGAAATATTAATATAACATTATGGTTGAAATGAAAACAAACATAGGTTGAAAGTACACTTGAAAAAAACATGGATTTCACATTAAAGTATGTATTATATGTATATAATTTTTGCGAAATAAAGGTTTTGGCTTTCTATTTTTCCATCCTTATACAAAAAATGGAGGAATCTTCCTAAGGAAGAAAAAAAGCAAGGTGTTTTGTAGTGCTCGCCGAGATGATAGCAACGTTTTGAAAATTGGAACATCATTTGGACCAATTCTACCAAAGCAAACAAAAACAGTGTCTGTATTAAATATCCTGTGTAAAATTAAAATAAAAGCTGTAACATCATTTGCCACTAATAAGAATTGGTATGCTACATCCAAAAAAATTCTAATCGCTCATAATTATTTAGAGAGATACCTCATATTGATTCACATATGTTATTGTAGTACCTCATTGTAAATATAGAATGTCACCCATTGTCAACAGCGTTGCTAAAATGATTTATATACCTATTGATTCTCAAAAACTTTGCCACGTATTCCATTCCTTCGTCGTAAAGATTGTTACTGGCCAAGTTGAGATGAAGCAAAGGGTTATCTAAAGGTTTGCTGAGCTCTTCACAAATCATCCTGATTCCATCTAAGTTAATACCACATAATTTCAAGGAAAGTGATACGAGTTTGGTGTCCTTCAACAGAATATAAAAGTTCTGTTCTCTGTTTGGATTTCCGTTAAGGCTCAGATGTTGCACCAATCGTTGACTCTCGATTAGGTTCGCCAGAAGTTCTATTTTTTCAGCTGTTAGGCCACAATTTTCGAACCTGAAAGAAATAAGAGGCAATTTGATTGTTGTATTGTTAATATTGCTGAGTCGATTCTGTTATCAGAATGTATCAGATGTATATAAAAGATCATTCGCATATATTGTCGGTAAGAGAGGGCCTTTCAGAGATCTGATATCTCTATGTTATAATAAGTGGCATTGATTTATATTTTGCAAAACGAATTCTATTCTATTAAATATCAATCATTCTTCTTCTTCTTCTTTTCTTTTTTTTGTCTTTGCTTCCTTTCGGCGCAGTAGACCAGATCAATCATTATCTTCGATGAGAGAATTTATCGTCTCTCTTAAAATTATCAGTGATTTTTTTTTCAGGATAACTATCGTATGCAAGATAACATAACACCAAATCTACTTGTATAATGATGGAAATTTTGATGATTAGTACCTATTGAAGGGCAGTTTCTTCAATTATTAACCTCACCAGAATGTATTATATTTTTTTAGTTGTATTCTTTTACTATTTGAGTTGAGTTGCACTATGTTCCGAAATTACGGTTTGAAGATAAGAATCCAAGTGGGTTGAACAATGAAAACTAAGTTTTTTTTATTACACGTTTTATATTAGCTTCACCTGTTTGTATGTATGTATGTTTGTTGGTAACTCTCAAGATCAGGATCTGAATTTGACGGAATTATCAACATTACTGCTTGATCTAGTCGCGGACAGATGGCGCTGTACGTAATCTCCTTGATATATTTCGAACTCACTTTACATGATTTCTTCATTTGAAAAAAGTATTTTTTCTATTAACACGCGCGCCTGCTGCCTTGGGCTTTTAACTTTATAGTTCGATGTTCTTTAAAAGCGTGTTTTTTTAGTTTTTTAAACTATATTTATTAATGTTAGACTCTAGGTAATATCCTGGTAATTTTTGTCTGTATGCGTTAAATAAATATCTTATTGATGACGTTTACAAACACATACACTGTTTGAAAAAATCTAATTAATACTTTTTGCATTTTTTTTGTATATGACCTTGAAATAACCATATTTTGGATTATCGATAACTTCCACCTTCACATTTAATCTATCATGGAAATGAAACAACCTGTTTCTATCTTTTTGAATACATCAGTAATAAATGACATCCCAAAACAAAGGTTTTTCAGATGACAGTTATAAGTAGATAATTTATAAGTCGTTTCAAAAAGTATCAAAATAATTGGTCTTTTTTACATTCATGAAATGATGTATTCAAAATCAGCTTGAAATAACGTCATTTTGAATACGGAAATAAAACGTTATATACGGAAATAAAATATGCTTCTTACGTTTTTTTAATCCATTACAGATTTAAGTTGATCGAAGAAATACGTATTTTCATCTGCTTGAAGAAAATTATTTGATATGAGAAATACTTGTGAAATTCGATGTTTCACCATGAAAAAAATGTATAAATGCATCCAATAATGAACGTCGTCCAGCTGACGATCATGTAAACATAATTTATAAATCATTTCTATGATCATCTCATCACGAACGTAATTTACAACTATTTTGGTATATCTCAGACATACAATGTTCACCGGGCGAACAAATTTGAAATGAGAAGTTACAACTTGAGTCAACTTACTTTAAAACAGTTATGGATTTATACAATTGTTGCCATTCTTTCAGTACAGGAAATATGCTGTTCTCAATCTTCTCATTTTTGAAAATGATCGTATCCAACAACTCCTCTTGGGTGGTTTTTTTAAACGATAACCATATTTTTGGATCGTCGGTGTTGTCACAAGAACTGCGTTTCTGAAACGATCCAAATTCGTATATGACCTCGTTACGTGATTAAATGTTCTTAATATATTAAGATCAGTTGTTTTCTTTTCTTCTATCACAATTTGAATCTCCATACAGAGAATCTACAAATATTTCGTTGAATTTTTACAAACCTTTTCATCATATACTAGGGGAATGGGCATTTTCTTCCATTTGTATTTTTGACAGGTAGATCTGAATCTCAAGATGGCATCATCCACAGGCGACAAGCGATAAGCAAATTTTCCAGACTGAAAATTTTCGAATGAATAAATCACTTGGTATATTCCAAGCATCTACAGCTCAAAATTGTTGTCAAATCAATGATAACCCCGTTGAGATCCCTGCTGGTTAGGAAATATTGGACAACAAATTCTAGAATGAAAGAACATATAAATGCTTCAATAGGAGAGTAATTAAATATTTGCCAATTATTTATTGATAAAGAGAGGAGTTACAGCCTTAGAAAGAAATATATACAAGACCTCATTTTTCAGAATACTCAAAAGTTAACATAATTTTTAATGTCCATTAATCAGTTGGAATCGAATAATTCTTCTATTTTCAGTCTATTTTCTTATCCTGTTTCCCGACATTCAGGTTTTATATTAAACCATATTTCAGGACTCAAAGAATATTATGATTATACATTCAAAATTTTAGTAATAGGCACTCAATTTATTAATCAATTATTGAGAATCAATATCAAACGTTTCTTGTGAATGAAATTCATGATGTATCCACTTCAGCATTTAGAATCGGGAATTTATCTGCAGTAAAAACCCGAAGATGTTTTATACTGTATGATAGGGAAAATAAATATTCGTCATTCCATATAATCCGCTAAGAACAATGATATAGTCACTGACTCAATATAAAACAGATAAAAATGATTAATTATGTGACAAAAGCCAAAACGATTTGAGGTAATTTTCACACATTTTTACAATTTCAACAAATATCAACAAAGTTTTATTTATTATTTTTTTTATCCATCCATCCATCCATCCATCCATCCATCCATCCATCCATCCATCCATCCATCCATCCATCCATCCATCCATCCATCCATCCATCCATCCATCTGTGCTATCGTCATAGATGGTGAACTCTTTCTTGATTTAATTTTTGGTATCATTTCCAGATTGCTTATAGCGGCCTTCGAAGTAGTCATTTTTCTGGTGTTCACAGAATAAACTACTACAATTGAAATTACTTTTACTTGAAGTTTTCATTTGACAGAAATGCGCTAGATCTACGGCAATCTGGGTTCTTCATGAAATGAAGAGATCCAACGTACTTCGGCATTCCGTTCACAGAGGCGCTAAGCGCACGCGAGTGTTTACAATTAGAAACGATTCTTGCACCATCTGTCAACATGTATACAAAGTTGAGTCAATGTCATTTCCCGCATCGAGAGTTTTTGACAAAAGTGAATCGGTTCAAACACCGGTTCAAAACTGTCAATGGAATCGATTTCAAATCATGTAATTTTTCTTATTATTGTTGGATCGTAATTACCGAAATATGATAATGTAATATCAAATATGAATAATAATTGTGTGCACAGTGAAGGTTATAGGTGTGTATGACTTTGACGTGATTGTTTATTTCCAGTTCCGCTGCTAAGGAAAGTCTGGGTTGGGGTAAATTGGAGGAGAGATTAACATTTGTCCTTCTGACAAAAATCAGTCAATGTGGTCATGTTAAATTTGCATTACTTATGTTTATGAATTTCCAAGGATTCCAAATAATTGAATTTCCTATCCTTGTCTGCAAACAAAATTTCCGTATCGTTTAGATCAGGAACTTGTGGTTGCATTCCAAGAAATGGATCTTATGGAGAAATCTGGAGTATATAAGCTTGAATGTCCTGATTGTAATATTGTTTATGTGGGACAATGTGGCCGAAATTTCTCAAAACGGTATGCTGAATATGAAATGTCCTTCAGAGCAATTGTCATTCCGTCCGTCCACAAAAAAGATACGCGGATTTCATGGAATATCGCATGACTTTTTTTGTGTTTTGTGCGTTGTGCAAAGTCTCCAATATGTTGAATTTTATGCAAGAATGTGAAGTGAGGGCCCCATTCATTCACGCCGGTATTCAGGCAGGAGTGGTTCGGATAAACACGTAAAGGGGGGTTATATATGTGAAAAACCCGAAAGTATCTCGGGGAGGAGGCGACTTAAAAAAGACGGATGTGTTTTATTAAAAAAATATACGAAAAAATTTAGGGTGGAAGCTTTGCTTCGAGCAAGACAGATAGAAGGAGGGTCAAATTCGCCCGAGTTGGAGGCAACAGCTATTAAAAAAGAGAGAAATTACAATGAAATTATGAATTTTGTCTTTTTTTTATAAGTATCTGTCTTCAATTATATTTTTCACAAAAATATACCTACGGTAACTTTGTTTTGTAGTCAACTTATTAGAATATTTTTGGTCGGGTGCTCATGCAGAGTAAGATTTTTAAAAAGGTCTTTTTTAATGTCTAGGCATTGAATAGGTAACTTTTAATGTCATGATCGATAAATGTCACCGAAATTGACGTTTTATGCCAGATGGAGAAAGACACATTTTATGTATTCGTACTAGTGGCACTTGTTGAAAAAAGAATATATAAAAAAGTCATTTGTTATAATCAATTCTGCAATTATATTGTGTAATGTCTCATATAGAGAAAATTATAGTGACTTTCGTCAATCCTCGTGATAAATTATTATTCAATAAAACCTTTCAAATTTGATAGTATTAGTACAGTAGTATTCAAAATACACACATCGGAAAAGTCTAGGGATATTTTTATAACATACTAAATATCATAAAAATAAAATGCATGAGGTCGTTTAATTTCGATTAAATTGGTACACTCGACCACCCTGTAGATTTCTATGGGTTGAACAAAGCCTGCAAAAACGGTAACTAATCTTTTATCAAGTTTTTTACAAACTGTAGGTTTTCGGCTAAAATGAATAATCTGAAAGTGTCGAGTTTGTACATTCTATGCAGTTCTTGCTCAGCAATTAAACTGGAAATATTGTGATTTAACATGGAACGCCATCACTTACCATTGGCTGAGATGAATAGAGTTGTAGGGCTTCTTCAAGGTGGCATGCGACAAAATGATGTAGCTCTTCGTTTGGGGGTCTCCCAAAGTGTTATCAGTCGAATGTGGCGGCGTTTCCGTGAAACTGGCAGTCCAGCCGAACAACATCCAGGGCGAGGACGCGCTACAACTGCAGTTCAAGACCGATTTTTGGTCTTAACCGCAAGAAGACAACCGACAATCACAGCACCTGAGTTGGTTAACGTGTTGCAGCAGACGCACCAGGTAACCATTGGTCGTGATACTGTCAGAAATCGACTGTGTGAAGCAGATCTCCACAACAGAAGGCCACTTAGATGTCCACCTTTGTCGAGAGGCAATCGCGGTAGAAGATTAGAGTGGTGTCAAGAACATCAAAACTGGGATGCAAATGATTGGGCCACAGTTTTGTTTACAGACGAATCCAGATTTGGATTTCATCCAGATTCTCGTCGAGTAAGACTGTGGAGACGACCTGGAAATAATGAACAATCGAGACACGTCCAGGAAGTCCACACATACAGAGGTGGTACAGTAATGCTATGGGGCGGAATCATGATCGGCGGCAGAACCGATCTCGTTTTTCCAAATCGCTCCCTCACAGCTCGACAGTACCTCGACACCATTCTTCTACCTATCGTCCGTCCGTTTACTGGTGCTGTTGGTGAAAACTTCCACCTAATGCACGATAATGCTCGTCCACATGTCGCGCGTCTAGTGACTGACTGGCTCACCAACGAAGGAGTTGATGTATTGCCATGGCCAGCACAATCACCGGACCTGAATCCCATCGAGCATGTGTGGGACATGCTTCAACGAAGAATTACTCCGCATATGGGGAACATTCACACAACGTTTCAATTGAGAGAGCTTTTAATCGCTGAATGGGCAAATGTACCTCAACAAGACATTGACAATCTCATTTTGTCGATGCACGATAGATGTAGGGCCGTAATAAACCAGCGTGGAGGCCATACTTTGTACTGATTCCAATTTTTTTGTATTATGATTTTTTTTCGGGGTACCACCAAAGAAGAGCCATTTTTTTTAGTTTTGCTTATATGCGCACTCAGTATTTTTGACCATTTAATAAATTTTGTTGTAAGTTACATTCGTTTAATAATCACCCGTCAACTTTTTTTTCCCTAAAGCGATCTAAAAAAAAATGATTGCCATTTTTAAAATATCCCTAGACTTTTCCGATGTGTGTATGAATACTTACTTTTAACAATTGTACTCTGTACTCTAATTTTCCAAAAGAAATTGATATGAATTTAAACAGTGCTTCTCAATATGTCTCATATTGAAATTTTGACAAAATAACTGCAAAAATTTCAAGCAAAGCCGTTTGAGGTATCAAAAACTAAAAAGGTGAGATTTTTTCCAGATGATTTTCCAATACTTTTGACCGCTTCCTGACCATAAACGAACACCATGTGGTACCTAATAGTTACAGCGAGGAGCCTGATATGGATGCTGCTTGCCCTATTCTCCTCTCTGCTACTGCTAACCTCCCTCCTGAGCCCTTCTTGGCTTGTGGCGGCCCCAGAAACCATCACAGTTGGCAACGAAACCATCAAATTCAGACCCAGCTTGGGGATCTACGCCAAATGTGGGAAGCCCATAGGAAATACCTACCCCATTTGTACTCTGCTCGCAGTTCGGGGGTTGAGCGCTGATCCACATATTTATCCAAATGTTTGGAAAGCGGGGACTGTGTTTCTGGCTATGGGTGAGTAATGGACATTACTACACAGGGCGTTTCTTGAAAATGTGGCGTTCAAGGGGCTTTTTGGAGTCCATTTTGAGGAATAGTTTCATAACAAAACCTATTTTATAGTTTTTATTTCACAACCAACAATAAAATAGATCGGTAGTTGTGTAGAATCTTCAAGATTAGAAATTGTTTTAAATATCTTCGGTAAATTTTCGTTTTGAGGACACCCGGCGATTTTGAAAAAATGTTTGCGTGTACTTACGTATTTAAATGCGTAGATTACGAATCCGAAAGAAAAAAGCGGCGCTCTCCCTTATTTACAAAGTTACGGGTTTAAAAACGAATGCTTCTCCTGGTGATATTATTCTATTTTTAGGTTAGTTACTAGTGACATTTCAGAAAAAAGCGGTTGGTATTTGCCGCCGCCTACTATTTCAAATTCGTAATACACCACCAAAAAACCAATTTACGATCTAAAGAATGAAGGTAAAAAACATTTGAATTACTTTAGGAATATGTACTGCATCAGTCGTGCCAGCCATGCCATTAACCTTAAAAACGTAAAATACAGAGATATTTAACATTTTTATTGGGAAAATGTTGAAAATTGAAGTGAAAAGTGTCAAAGAAGGAGGAATTAGGTGTAAACGTGACCTAGTGAATGAATGCTTGTGTTTTTAAATAGTTTATTTTGTGAAAAGTCGCCCTTTTCACAAATTGATGAATAAGTTAAAGAAGAGCCCACAGTGGGATCCTTGGGGGATTCCAGGCACGTCATAACTGTTTTGAAAATTGAACTGCACTTGAAAAAAATCGCTAATCGAATGTTGGTAGCCTGCGAAATTTGAATGTTTCCTTGCCATTAACTTATAACATCATTTCATAGTATGCACTGCAGTGACGGCTCGTGCATTGGAGAACAGAAGAGGCTAAAGTCATAAAGACTATATACACACAGGAAATGAGAGTGTACCATTAACCTGTGCTATCGTCATAGATGGTGAACTCTTTCTTGATTTAATTTTTGGTATCATTTCCAGATTGCTTATAGCGGCCTTCGAAGTAGTCTCATTGAAAATATTACCAAAAAGCACTGCTATAATACAATACTGCCTGTTTTATACACAAATAATAAATATTATCAAGAAACACTAAAACGATTTACCGAAATATTTTTCAGTCCCGGTCCGTCATGGCATCCCGTCCGAATAATTAAATTAAAAACAAACGCAGTCGTACACTAACAGAGACCAACTGGAGGCTAGCCTCCTCCAATTTGCAACTGAAATTACGAATCGGGACGTATGTCGCTGGTTGGATCGGTCTCGCGGTGCTTGTGTTTTTTAAAGCGGTCGGAGGCTTGGCTCCCTTGCAACGTATGGCATTTATTATTTCGGATTGATGGTTTATCAGTTATTCGTTCATGGGCAGTGCGTTTGTTGATGTAGGTTACAGTGTGGTACATACTACGTAGTGAGTGATAGTGTTTTTTCGGGCATGATATGTATTTATATTAAAAATTAATGGTAAAGTAATGATATCCGAGCATTTTTAGAACAAAATAATCATATCTTTTAATTCATTGCGTTGGATAGCCTCAAATTTTATGGAGAGGCTAAGCCTCCTCTGATGAGCCGCCGCTGATGCACTGTATGACACAGGTGTATCTGTATTACAGAGATACTGCTTTATCACATGAAATTATGCATAGATAAACTTTATTTTTAATGAAATATTGATGTGAGTTACAAATAAGATTAGTTCTCGTTCTGTTTCTCGGAGGACTGTAAAATTTTTTTTCTACCTACTATTTTGTAATTCCCAAAGGCTTTCAATAAATTTCCCGATGGTCCTGATTCCAAGACAGCTTTCTATTTATTAATTTTGAGCTTCATCGATGTAATTGTCTCATTTTAACAAAGATTTTGAATTTAAGAAATCACAACTCTTTTACAGGTATATTCGTCATGTCCTTGACTGTGTGTACCGGCTTGATGAGTTGCTGTTTCCAAAGCATCTGCAAGAAGAGCATTTTCAACATATCGGGGGCTGCACAAGCAATCGCAGGTATAGCAGCTTTTAACTTTGTCTTATAAACAGGATTTTCTTTCTAACTAAATTCAACTTGGTAGATAGTTGTATGCAGACACTTATTTCAATGAATAATCATAATTCTCAACCCTATGAATATCTCATTTCCGTACCATTTATATTCATGAATTTTGTTATCCGGCTCGAAAGACCAAACTTCTATTCAATCATTTCAAAGAAAATTCACTCTCACTTCCGGATTATTCCGACATCTTAATCTCCAGGGATCTTCTACATCATCGCAGTTATGCTCTACCCAACGGCCTGGGGAATCTCGAAGGTGCAAAAACTATGCGGCAGGGACGCTTCTCCTTTCTATCCAGGCGATTGTTCTCTGGGCACCGGACTCTGGTTAGCGATTATCGGGACTGTTTTGACTTTTGTGTCCGCCTGCTTGTCGGCGTCAGCAGAAAAGTCCACTAGCAGCGACAAGGTTCAGGACAAGATTTATGAAGGGCAGACGCTTATATGTTTGACATAGGAAATGTGAGTATCGCTGTTTGTAGCTATGGCTTGCGTGTAGGTTTTTGGACTGAAATAAAGCTGTTATGAAACACAAGTTCAACGAGTATAGAAATATCGAGTCAATAAATAAAAAAAAAAAGGCGAAAAATCATTTTGAATAAGAAACTAAGCAATTTCTGGGACAGTAACTGAAAGCACAATTTATTGAACAATAACTGATAAATGTTGTAGTCCTTATAGATTTTATGCAGCAAATGTTGAAAAAATTACTAAAAAATGATTTACCACGTGGAGATCCTTTAAATTGACAGATATTATACTGCCTCAAGAAATTTATCAGAGACATACATAAATACATCAATTAATTGATTGATAATTGAATGTCATATTCTTCATAGATTTTATGGAATTAATGTTGAAATGAATACAAAGAAATTAATAAATTACCAGCAGTTTTTATAGTGGAATCAATTGATAGTTGTAATATGACTTGCCAAAGATATAATACTGCTTTAATATCAATAGTTTTATCAGAGATACTCAATTTTATTGACAATTATTAATGAATGAATATTTATCAGAGATATTCATCAATTCACTGTGCAAGTATAGATAAATGTAATACTCTCAATAGATTTCATGGAGTAAATGTTAGATGAGAACTAAAACATTTATCAATTATTAGAGATCTTTGAAGTGCAATTTATTACAATATAATACTGCTTCAATATCAAGAGTTTTATCAGAGATACTCAATTTTATTGACAATTATTAATTAATGAATATTTATCAGAGATATTCATCAATTTACTGTGCAAGTATAGATAAATGTAATACTCTCAATAGATTTCATGGAGTAAATGTTAGATGAGAACTGAAACATTTATCAATTATCAGAGATCTTTAAAGTGCAATTTATTACTATACTATACTGCTTCAATATCAAGAGTTTTATCAGAGATACTCAATTTTATTGACAATTAATAATGAATGCAATACTTTTGTACCCCATGGAGTAAGTAATGAATTATCACAATATAATACTGCTTTACTGGGAAGACATTGACAAATTTTATGGAGTAAATGTTACTGAAACAATCATCAATTATCAGAGGTCTTTCACAGTGTAATAAATTATCTCAATATAATACTGCTTTAATATAAGTTTTATCAGAGATACTCAATACGCAGAGATACACAATTATCGATAAATTTAATACTCATTATAAATTTTATAGAATAAATGTTTGATGAGTACTCAAAAAAAATTTGGTTGTCAGAGGTCTTTTACAGAGCATTAAATTATCACTATATAATATGGCTCAATTATTGAGAGTTCTATCAGAGATACTCACTTTATTTTGCAATCATTAATGAATGTAAATACTCTGATATTTCCTGAAGATGTTCATCAATTTACTGGGAAGACATTGACAAATTTTATGGAGTAAATGTTACTGAAACATTCATCAATTATTAGAGGTCTTTCACAGTGTAATAAATTATCACGATATAATACTACTTTGATATTAGGTGTTTTATCAGAGATAATTAATATATTCATTGATTTATAGTTCAATAACTGATATATGTAATACTTTCTGATAAATATATTCTAAATCAGATCTGAATACATATATCATGTTGGCTCATCCAAACCTATCTCAATATTGAATACAAAGTTGTTTCCCAATTTATTCATCCTGTCCTAACTTCTGCCAAACCAACAGCTTATTATTAGCCGGCATTTCATCGATATCAGAAAGTTTGATGCGATACTGCTCTGCAACTTTAACCAAATCGCAAATGTCTCTCACTCCGTACTCCGGATTCTGCTGCCGAATGCTCCTGTCAAAATCCCTGTTGGACTTTGGTTCCAGCACACCCCCATTCGCATACGGTCCATAAGTAACTAGCAAACCCCCGGGCTTCAACACCTCACTAACGTTTTTAAACAACCCCACAGAGCACTCGAAAGGCGCCACGTGCATCATGTTGATGTTGATGGCGTAGTCGAAACCCCTCGGAACGTTCCACTTTGTCCAGTTATCTCTCACGTCTATCAATAAAGGCTGTTTGATGTTTGTTGCAGAGGTATCGGATACGTACTCTCGGATGCTGTCCAGCAAGTATGGCTCGTTTTCGGACGGTTGGAAAGTCAGCATGGGAAAACTGTTGGCGAAGTGCACTACGTGTTGGCCTGTTCCGGAAGAGATCTCCAATACGCTGCCCCGCTTCAATCTGTCGAAGTATTTCAGTAGGCTTTGTAGGATGGGCGTCTTGTTCCTGTCCGTTGCGGGATAGTATATTTTCCTGCTGGAAATTTGTGCCTTCAGTTAACATATCGAAGCGAAATTTTGGAATGCGAGCGTACTGTATAACTGTGCTATACGGTGTGTCTCAGTTTTGCAAGACAATATTATTGAAACTTCTTTGCTAACTAATCACGAATTGATGGATATGCTTTTGAATACGGGGGCGGTTTGAAAAGTTTCTGACCTAACAAAGATACAAGACATTATTCAGATTTTTTTTAAGAGTAATTTTTCAACATAGTCTCCTTTTAACTCTACGCTCTTCCCCAAACGATGCTCTTGTCTCTGCAACCCGTCCAAATAGTACTAGGCGTTTTTATCTGTAAAATAATTGTTCACGAAGGTGATTGCCTCTTCATTTGAAGACAATTTCTGTCCTACGAGCTCAATTTTTCAATCAATCGATCATATATTTCATTCAGAGAAAGATATTCTACTTTATAAAAGGAAAATTATCTTTATAAATCAACAATTAAGGCAAAATATAAATTATAGTTCAATACCACCTCCACAAGCCACATAAACAACAGTTGTTTTGTTATTTATTTATATGAAACATTAAAAGTGTCCCATCTTCCCAGTCTTGACTTTCGTAAAGGCTCTAAAGTGAAATAATATTCATCTCATAGCATAATGAAGAGTACATTGTACTGCATACTTGAGTATTTTTGTTTGGTAATTATAACAGCTCTGAATATTATTTATCAACACTTCCATATCATATTCGACACTTTAAACTATGAACTGAGTATATTAAGGCTCATAAAAAGTGCTTTTGTGCTAGTTTACGTTTTAGTCTGACTCCTCTGATAGAGTCGAGGTCAAAAATATAAAAAATTGATTGTAATGTGTGAAATTGGTATTGAAAGAATGCTTTCAAAAGAATTCATATTTCGAAATGAAATCTGGAAATAATCATCTCTCCCAACTACCTACACAGCAGGTTCTCGTAAATGTCTGCCGGAAAACACTACTTCCCCGGCTATTGGTACGCTGGATATTGAATTAATCCGACAGACATGAAGACGTGGCTGTTACTAGTTAACAATCTTTCTCTTAGATAAAGGTTCCATGCATGCATGCCACGTTGAAATTATTCGAGTTCCAGATACTTTGCTGTCTGTGTAGGATCTTTCCTGCACTGTCGAGACGTAATACCGCAGTCTGCGGGTGATCTGCTTGAATAATTTTAGCGTAGTCCTGCTGCATGAACGAGAAACATCTGCGAGACTTACCTCTGTGAGGAATCTTGCACAACTGTCTTTCGGATATAATTCAATATCCAGCGTGGTATTAGCCAGGGAAGTAGTTGTTTTCCGGCAGGCATTGAGAGATGAGTATTTCGAAATATGCGTATGTATCTCTCCTAGATACATTCTTCAGACACGGTTTAAATTCATACAGATTTTTCTGTCAAAACTGAGGCACACCATATGAATATTTTAACTACTCAACATTCATCTCAAAGATGAATGTTTTTGTGAAACATTTTTGGACCAAGTACCACTCAAATTGTGATATTTACGTAAGCTCTCTAAATCCTACAATTTACCTCATTTTTGGAACCGTCTACTTGTGAGTTTTCGAATTTCTGCACCTGAAACAATTTTCATAATAATGGACTCCAATTTTTGTATACCAAATATCTAATCTTAATATACGTACTTATTCTCATATTACCATAGTCTTATATATTTATCGGAGCTTTAAGCATAGTAGCTTTTGTATTACCACCCGAATATCGTCGTTTTTTACTTTTTGTAAGTTTTTACTGTTTGTAATAATAAAATCGTATTCATTCAACAAGTGTTTTTATTTAACATCTGACTTTCTACTAACACGAAGGTGTTTTTTATAATTTTTACATTTTTTATTTGTGACATGTTATATCATGTAAATGATCCAAAAGACGAATAAAGTTATTATTATTATGTTTCGATGTATATAAGAATATACATCTCAAGTTTGGTTTCGAGGGGAAAAACTATTATAAGCAACATCAGATTTGACCGAAATTCCTTTCTCAACTGTACGTAAAATAGTCAAAAACAAACCTTATGAACGCAAGACGCAATGTGATTGAGGATTACCAAAACCTTTAGATGTTCATCTAAAAAAATCATTGAAAAAAAAACAATATATGACTGTTACAAAAGCAATGAGATTCCTACAACTGAAATCATAAGGAAGAAATTGAATACGTCCGGCCATAAAGTTAGCTGCTGTGACAAAACTCTTCAGAATTGGATAAAGAAACTAGGATTTAGATTCGAAATAATAAACAGACATCAAGAAGTTATGGAAAGCAGAAGAATAGTGGAATTGCGTAACAAATACTTGGAGCAAATAACTATATATATATTGCAAGAGTATTTTAATGAATCATTTTAAAAGTGTATTCCATTTTATATTTATTTTTAGTGTATTTGTACCTGTTTTATCCAAACCTTTATAAATTGCCAGTTTTTATCTATACACCATTAGTTATGCTTATATTTATACCTACAAAGCTTTGTCGATGGGATACAGAATCTGACAGTAAAGTATATTTTGATTTGATGAACAGCGGCAAATTTTCTATTTGGACAAAACTTGGTATGACACGACACAGTTACGAAAGGGTGGACTGATGGTTCGAGAATGTGTACGCCTAACATGCCTGTAAACAAAGGATCGCGACTAATCATTGTGCATCGCAGAGGAAGTGAAGGATGGGTTCCGACTATCATAAGAACATGAAAGCTAATATTTTCAAGGAATGGTTTGGAAACACATTGATCCCAAATTTGGATGCGAATAGTGTAATAGTTCTTGACAACGCTCATCAAAGTACCAAATAAAAATTCGAGGAAAGATGAAATACAAAGTTTTTTAATGAATAACAATTCGTATTTTGAAGATTACTATACCAAAAACCAACTACTTGAAGTTTTACAGACAAAAACATTTGAGAAAGTGTATGCCCTTGAGAGTATTGATGAAAAGTATGGACCCACCATACTGAGACTTCCTCCCTATTTTTGTGTTTTCAATCCCATCGAGTTGATTTGGGGAGAATTGAAACAAAGAAACAGGCGTAAAAATAATTTTCCAAAATTTGATAAGATGGTAAAAAAGCTAATTAAAAAAGTAGTTTTAGTTGAAACAGACTGTATGGAAGAGGAATTATCAGAAGCTTTCGAAGAAAATTAGTGAAGTGTTTTTGAAGCAATCGATTTCATATATATTTGAGTAAGTAGTATTCAGAACCATTTTCAATTATCACCCTGATATTTGGATTCCTACTTTTCCACTATTATATAGTTGTGATTCTTATATTATCAGAAATGATTATTGAATAACGAAATTAGTTAGCTCCCCAACTATATTATTGAAGAGGAGCTGTTGGAAGATAGGTTGCACTATATCTTTTACTTGAACTAAACCTCAATATGATATCCAGTGATTTTATTTATTTACACGTGTGTGTATTTTTTTATCGTGTCCAACTTAAATTCTGATAAGGCTGAAGTAATTTAAAAAATGACAATTGATTAGAGTAGTGAAATGTTGACTTTTTCAATAAATGTCTTAAATGTTGCCAAGTAATGTTTCAATTTTTTTTTAATTCTGTTAAAATCCCTAATATAATTTTTTTTTTGCAAAAAAATACCCTTTCAATTCACTTTTTTATGATTTTGTTGATCCCTAATCAATGGCAACATTGAATTCCAATTTGATTTGGGTTAGAAAAACTAAAGAAATAAATAGGTCATACATATAATAGGTCAACAATAAATAAACTGAACAATAAAACAATCACATATCTACTTTTCTCTCAAACTCTTCTTATTTTTACTTTTTAAATTTGATGGAATATACACCCCGTGTCCTGTTTTCTTCAAGTGGTCAAACAATTTATTTTTAGAAGGAAAATTCGATTTACAAGTAACGCAACTGTGATCCGTGTCCAGTTCTTGTAGATCACTTCGACTAGGGGCTTCCTTTCTGTTTTTCTTGTCTTTCCTCTTTTCTTTTTTTGAACTCTTGCTAAGAGTGCTCTCAGATGTTGAAGCTTCATTTTCGACTGTTTCAGCAACGATTTCATTGCATTCATCCGTTTCTTCTTCCTTTATTTTAGCATTGTTTTTCTTCTTTTTGTTTCTACTTTTTTTACTGGAGCTAAAATCTTCATCAGAGTTATTATTTGTTTCTGAAATACTAATAGGCAGCATTTCTTCATCACTTAGTACCAGAATATTACGAGCCTTTTTCTTTTTCTTCTTGGTCTTAATAACATCTTCCAATGAATCTGAATCTGACAGAACAATGTCCTGGACTATTTCTTCTTCTATAACTTCTTCTATATCTTCAAGATCTTTTTCAATACCTTCCTTCGAACCTTCTGAAGGATTTGACGCCAGTTCTTCATCCAGCATAGATTCTTTCAAGAGCTCAACGTTTTCCTTATGCTTTTTACTGCTCTCGTGGTTCTCAAATGCTTTTGGAGTTTTGAAGACTTTGTTACAAGCAACGCAGTATAAATTATTGAAATCTTCTTCGTCATCTTCACATTCAGAGTTAGAGAACTCTTCTCCGAACTCTTTCACTAAACTCTTTTCAATTTCTTCCAGCTCGGATTTAACATTGTCGAATTTCGCCCATTCCGGTTGATTTATGGATTGGTTCAACTCCTGCTGCCTCTCTAACCGTTTCTGCTTACTCATCTCGTCTCTTTTTTTCTTATCTTCTGCTAATTTCTGCTCCTGAAGTTTCTTCTGGGCTTGTACTCTCTTGTCTCGCTTCCTTACGAAGGCTACCAGGTTCTGCACTTCTTCATTGCGTTCTTTTCTGGCCTTTTGCCTGACTTTCTTATTCTCTTTTTCTACCAATTTGAGATACCTCCGATCCCGGATATCCTTTATGTCATAAGGATCCAACCAGACATAGCTCTTTTTGGTTAAATAGTTGAGCCAGTACGCATAGAATTCAGAAACTTTCTCGTAATCGGTAGAAGAGTTACCAAAGCTCGGTATTTCACAAAATTCTTCTTTGTCTTCCATAAATTCCATATCTTCCTTAGCAATTTTGTCGAAAACATTGCGATAAACGGTGTAAAATCCATTTTTGTCATCACCATAACCCTTGAAACAGGTGGTGGTGAAATATTGGAAGACATCCAAGCTCTTGTCTTCGAACGCTGAGCTAGAGCCTCTCAGAATCTGTTCTCTGTGGTTATCATACCAAGCTCTTTCTTGTCTGTCACTCAATATTTCATAAGCTTGCTGCACAATTTGGAACTGTTCTTTCGCTAGTTCGGCGTTGTCCAAATTCTTATCGGGGTGCCATTTGAGGGCCAGTTTTCGGTATGCAGATTTTATTTCGGCATCGTCTGCATCTCTAGAGATGTCCAAAACTTCATAATGACACTTCATTTTTGGTTATGTTTGATATGTTGGTTAATTTTTTGACACTACAAGTAAAACGAGAAATATTTCTTGTATTGTTAACTTTAAATAACTTTCAAGCAGTTTGTAACTCACTAATTGAAGGAGAAACGATTTCGGAAACGTTAATAAATTTAGATTATTGGTTTATAAAACAACGTGCAAGTAGAACCAACTACAAATAAATAGCAGAATTTGAAATTCTTACCCAGTGTTGGACTAAAGGAAAAATAGTGCCCACAATTGATCAAAAGTGCCCACTTGTCATTTTCTTCTTCTTCTCACAGTCAGTGGGAATTTTCCACATATTAATCTCTCCTAAAAATACATCCCTTTCAATTTAATCAATAATTATATTCCTTTATTACGTCGAAGGGCAATCTATTACGTTTTCATAATTCTACCGGTGACAAAGTCAGAAGTTGAACTAATTGCATTCTGAGCAAGCATAACTTGAGATATATTCATTGAGTAGAGAGACTTCACCTTCTTTTGTCTAAGGTCTAAGGTTTTCAGTCACTGGTTCAGCCGTTGACAATGATGTCGATGTTTATGGAATTCCCAAATAACAACACTGTATACCATTTCCCAAGATATAGTATTGTCTAGATACAAACATCTGTCTTCGGTTAGCGGCTGGTAAGCTTATTGACAGTTCTAAAAACGCAAACAAAAATGGGCGCGAATTTTGGGGATTTATTTTAAATGGATTTAGATAAAAATTCGAAAAACTGCTAGTATACTATCCTATTCTGAATAAATTTCAAGCATGAAAAAATATGTTTTATTCATGTAATATGACAGTCATATTCACGTCAAACTATGTGATAGAACTGACAGATACTTGATAAACATACATAACATATATATTTCTGTAACCATTTATTGTGGTTCGCAGACGTTTCTCATTAGTCTCGTGACTAAGCTGTTTAGGGAAAATCTCACAATAAAGTATCACTTGAACAATCAGAATAATAAATGATCTCACAAAGGGGCCACATAAATAGTTGCCCCGTATTGAGAGAGAAATTCAGGTAATCCACACTTTTTTGGTTAAACTTGTAGCAGGAAATATAAATATTTGCTTGGTTTGTTATGTTACCTCAGACTGGGAACCGTTTCAAATTGATGCAGAATCAATGCGAAGAACACTGTGGTTCAGGATCAAAAATTCTGTACCAGTTTTTACAAATGAAAACAGAAGGCTTCATGTTCACGCAGTTGGGGCATTATCATTTATTTTTCCTTGTTTTTTTTTTCGTGAATGCAATTGTAATTACAAATATTGAAATGGTATAATGTGATAGTGTAAATAACACAACTACTCATCTTCGGACTTTAGCGAATTGAGAATCGAAACAAACCTCCTATCTCCCTTGTTCTCTAGCCTCTTGTCAGTTGTCAATTTTTCATCGCAGCCATTTTGTAGTGCTCTCACCTGTCATGTTTTTTTCTACTGACTACCAGAGGCCGACTCTATCATTTTATTCCATTATAAAATATGTATCTGTCGTACAGGGACGGACTCTTATTACTATCGAGAGTTTTCGTTAATCTGCAAACAAAACTACATTTAGTTGAATGAGATAAATATGGAAATCGATATCATTGAATAATGATATCAATATAAATCAGCTAATCTGGGAAAGTGATGAATCACATTGCATTATCATTTATCTATGGAGATAAGAGTAGAATTTGAAGTACACATTGAAACGTTGTTCACAAATGTTGAAATAAATGTCAACATGATTTCGCTTGTTCAATTTTTGGCTTGCTTTGTTTTTTGTGCAGGCGTAGAAGAAAATGTTCTGTGTGGTCCAAAATCTTGTGATGTAGGTATTTTTTGTCTAATATAATCGTCAAATCATAATGATCAGCTGATATACATCATTTGGTATTGAAATTTTTAGGATGCCAAGTGTCCAGAGTTGCCAGAGAAGTGCAAAATCCAGAACGCTACACACAATGGAGTTTTTCTTCCATCTCTTGAAATGTGCAATTGTTGCCAATATTGCTTGGAAAATTTAAGTAAGTATTTTTGTTATTTCAGACTCAATAATTATATTATGAAATTGGCCGATACTCAATGAATATACAACACAAAGGGTCTTTAACTGTCACTTAGTAAGTAGGTGATCCACATATTAGCCTATCAAGCCAGAATTTATGATAATAGAAAAGTTATACAGGGTATAGCCACATATCGACGCATAAATTTGGGTTTTTCAGGGTGGAACAGCTCCAAACGCTACTCAGAGTTATCAATTTGTAGCTTGTCATCCCCAAACACGAGACCAAAGTAATCAAGCGAAGTTTCTTATACAACGATGCCAAGCTTTGAAATCAACGGCCTCCATAGATTTCAATATATTTAACTTAAAAAAAACTAAATTTCTTCTTCTCAACCAAACGTTAAAACCTGTTTTGATGATCTGACATTTTCCATTATTCAAAATTCTAATATTCATGTTGAATAGTATTTGTGTTTTTTATGATTTAGCATTGAGTCCTATATCTTTATTGTCTCAGTATAGTTTCAGTTTTGTTATTTGTCTAATTAATTTATTGATTGATTAAGTAATTCTAGAGGTTAAGTTGATAAACACTTTACAATGACACTTCAGCTTTTCACATTATAACACATCGTTTTGTCAAAATCTATTGTAAATGTGAATAAATTCGATTTATCATTACTGATCAAACAAATCAACAATTTATAAAATGAAATAAAATGAAACTATTATAATTTTCAGATGAAGGGGAAACATGTAGCATAGGCAATCCCTCTACAAAAATGTCTCAAACCATCTGTGGACCGAGGTTATCCTGTACGCTTTCGCCAAATCAACAATATGATGGGACATGTGAAAAAAGTAAGGAAACTGAATGTTCTAGTTGAAACGAGTATATAATTCACCCATGGAAACAAAATCGACAACTTTGACAAGTCTTGTGTGTGTCCATTGAGACAAAGGTTTTTTTAAAACACGTTTGTCTTCGATGGTCACAGTGCGAAGATTCATTTTTACAAAAAAAATTGTTCGGCTCAGATATCTTGCTCCATCTGAAGGTTAAGAGGGGTGGGGGGCTTTAAGGTCCCATATACTGCGAAACTTCCATGCAGAGGTTCTCAAATTTATAATAGTCTACCGCCCACTTCGAGAATTAATTATTTTGTAGCACCCCCCAAATTCTTTTACTTTACTACATCTTAAGAATCACAATCGCAGTCATTAATTTAATAACTAATTATGTGTGTAATGTGAAAATAAAACTTTCTGATGAGGGTAATGTAAAACACCTTTTTATAATATTAGGAAAACTTTTATTCATGTTATTAAAACAAACATTTCAATTTGAATTTTAAAACAAATCTAATGTGAAGGATGATTTTTAAGAAGATTTTTAATATCAGGCTCGAATTTACTCAAAAACAGCCGTAAGTCACCGCGTTCGGTAATCTACAACCGAGTTCTCTTTTTAGTTGGCAACGTTGCCACAGCACTAAATCCACGCTCACACAAATACGATGATGGGAATGCCATCAAAAATTGTTGAACGATGGAACACAATCCAACGAACAATTGCGGGATTGGCTTTTGTAGCGAAAATTCTTGGTATCCATTTTTTATTTTTATTTCCTCGTTTGTTATCAGTTCTATGAGTTCTTCTTCCAGCTGGGGTGATCCTGCTGTGTTGACATTTGAGAAAGGTTCCAACACCCAGTCTGGTATTTCCAATTTTAAAATGTCCTCAAATCGTTATGCTAAATCACTGTGGAGGTTCTCCAAATGTTGGCAGTGAACAAGCAAGTCGTCATTGTTGAAGGATACCGTTGACAAATTAGGGAAATTGTGAAACTCACGTCTGCCGATATTATTCTTGTATAAGGGCAATTTGGCTACAAAAGCTACAAACGCCCTTACGGGCGTTATCGCCCACTTTGAGAAATACTACTTTAGTGGATATTTATCGTCGCTTTGATATTAGAAACACTGGGAAATCTCTACAAAAACTTTTCATTTTCAGTGGATACATACTGTGTCAAAAATCAAACTAGTTTCGATGAGCGCAAGAAAAAAGGTACTTTGGGAAATATGGAGGTTAGAAAGAAATGCGATGACGATGGCCAATTTCTTTCTTATAACTGTATACCGGGACAATCGTAAGTTTGTGTAACATTTATTGTATTTATTGTATTAGTTTTAGAATGCCCATGTAGGACGAAACTGCAGTACCGTTAGTTACAATTAAAAGTGGTAAAAAACATAGAAATTTTCATTTCTCTTTTCATTATGATCTCCTACCACGTAGTAGCGGCTACATCCATCATTTTTTTAAATCCTAAAAAATGTAACTTTTTCTAACTTTAAATAATCAAGTTTCATCATATAAGGACTGAGTACAATATCTCTAATCTTTTTTTCGTAATTTTCATTAATGAATTTTAAATCACTTTTAAGTTAACTACAGACGTCTTGAAGGTACCACACCATACTACAATAGTAATTTAAATAGTAATACATGCCTGGGTATGGCTGATCCAACTAATCCCTTACAGACTTGAAAAAGTCTTGGACGCATCACTTGTTGAATCCGTAGGTGATTAAGATTTTGATGCATTTCCAAATGTGAATCACCAATCAGATTTTCCTCTAGATATATGGGACTACCAATATGATTTCCCAAAATTCCTGCCCAAACATTTATTTTCTCAGAAAAATATGTATAGGTTTAATTCTGACCCATATCGCATATTTTGGCGGTTGACATTGCCGTTCTTGGCAAAAAAAAGTGCATTCGTTAGTAAAACAAATACTCACAATTACTAACAAAACCCAATTTTTAAGGCTGACACGAGCAACTATTGTGGACCGCAGGGGGTTATTCACTTCAGACGAAACTATTTATATCTGTATCTCGTTGTTTGAAAATTTTCAACCCAGTTTCCAGGTTGGGGATTATCAGGAAATCTTGCATTGAACACCGGCCTCAACATAAATAAGGATTGTTTTCATTTATTCCTCTGAAGATCTGGCGCGAAGCACTTTCGAAAATTTACACGAAATGAAATGAAGCGAATTCTTCTTCTTATTATTTTTGATTCAATGGCCTGAGCAACTAAGGCTATGCGGTCACGAGCAAATTCTCAGTATTAGTATTGACAGCTGTCAAGATGACAATACTGATTATTCTGTTACTCGGGTACCTCGGTGTAGATTCTTATGTACATAGTCGATTACAGAAGAGTCCTAAATCGAATTAAAACAGGAATAGATTTTTTTTTTGTCAAAAACTCGAGTTCAATTTCATTCTGAACACGATTCATTTCCGTGAACAATTTTTATCTTGTACACATTACAAACTTTGTGTAATCTGTGAAAACTAAGTTCAAAGACGGTTCTATCCTCTTCTGGATGTAGAATAACGAATTATCATTTTTCCTAGTCTCCAATACATACACCAATAACTCCGAAACCGGTTATCCAAATCCAAAACAGTAAAGGGTCCCAAGACCCGCATTTCTATTTGCCCCGTTCATAATTGTGTGGGCTATTCACGTCTGCACCGTATATTATACATTTATACGTATTAGTAGAAAATTAAAAAGTTACATCGATATTACAAAAAATTGTCCTGAACAGTTGGCATATTATAGGTACTCCTTAAATATTAGAACGTTCCGTAATTTTTCACATGATGAATGATTTGTAAACAAATACTTGAAGAGAATCTGATTAAAAACTCATTAATAGTGTTTACTGTACAATTTTCACTATTGAAGGTTTTTCTAAAACACCGACACGTTTTTCGCATTACAATAGCTTCCTCAAGCAGGAGCTACGAGGAAGCTATTTTAATCTTCCTCATTGAGGAAGCTATTGTGTAGCGAAACACGTGTCATGGTTTTTGTAAAGCAATTTATAAATAAAATCCCTCAGTAAACTGTGTATTAGTGAGTTTCGAACTGGGGAGCTTTATACTGAAAAGTACTCATTTATGAAGCCTTCAAAATATTAATATTTTTCCTAGGTGTTATTGCGTTGACGTAAACGGAAGCAGAATTTTCGGAGAAATGGATTTTACGTCCCTACCCGATGTTGACCTTCAATGTAGTGAGTATTGAATAAGGTGAAAACTTCGCAGGTTAATACACAGATGGCGCTACTAGTATTAAATCCATATGATTTTTATCCTAACGTTATATCGCCCTTCACTAACATACCGCCCTCGACTCGAAGGGCGATATAACATTTGAATAATAAATTCAAATTCCATTCTAAGCTATGTTAGCTCACAACTTCTCAGCCGATAAAGAAGTAACAAAATAAGCACTTATTTCAAACCATTATTCATAGCAACTTTCTAAAAAGTTGCATCTACAATTAAGTGCCAGCATCTATTTCAAAATCAAAATCGATAGCTGTGAATCGTATCGCAGACTGTTATGAAACTATGACACAAATAATGTAGTATATATGTATCGAAACTCCTAAAATGATTCTCCGATTTTCTAGAATGTTCCAGAGACTTGGCTCTAGCAAATATAATCATTGGCAGAGAACTGAACCCCACCGAGCATTTCCGTTGCACAGCTAACGGGGATTACGATAAATTCCAGAGAATTAATGATAAGTTCCTCTGCGTGGATTCTTCAGATGGGGCACCGACCTATCCCGATGAGCTCATGGTCAACAGTTCTCTTGCGACTCAGCTGAAGTGTTGTAAGTATGTTTTTCGCGGTGAAACATTCATTCTTGCCACTTTGAACCTAGTTTAGCTTCGGAAGATCAAATGAGTTCTTAAACATTTAAAGTAGGTTTTTGGGCATATTTTGAGTAGACCTATCGAAGGCCGTTTTACAAAGTAGTAAACATGTATTTGAAAAACGTATTCGTCTGTGATTCAAATACATTTATTATGACGTTAAAACGATGACGTTACATCAACTATGATTTGAAACTAAGATGTCTAAAAACCCTGGTGCATCTACTCATACCTGCAAAAGTTTGGGGTAAAATGAGGGATTTATGGCTAACTTGATTAGCAGAGATCAACGCCGTTTACGCCGTTTCAGATGGCGCAAGCAGTCATTACAGTAAACTGTAATCATAAGACCACACAGGGTGTATTTGTATTTATATTTAATTCCACATTCATTTTTCATACCTACTGTGCTTTTAGGATAACTTAAAAAGTGAGTTAATGAATTTTTTGTGTTTTAAGTGTTATTGACGAATTGTCAGTATTAAATTGAAAGATAAGTGTCCAAGTTCTGGTGAATTATTAGTTGAAGTTTCAACCCAAGCAAAGTTTTGAAGAAATTNTAAAAAAAGCATAAGTGAATGTTTATTTTCAATTTGATATTATGATTAAGAAAGTAATGATACTCTAGTAGCAGAAGGTGGATTTGAAAGGGTGAAGGATTATTCAAAATATGAAGTTGGTTTTTGGTGTAGGCTGATACAAACTTAGTTTATCCGTGGTGGATTGACAGTAATTATAAAATGTTTCATTTACCTTTGGCACTGAATACAGATGATTACTCGAATTTTTACACTGTTCACACAAAATACAGAATTGTCCCATTTTACAAAAAGTATCCTTATACACTATATAAAACTATTCCTTATTACTACTGAAAAATGTAACCAAACTAAAATAACTGAGAACTAACGAACGAAAACTATAATAAAAAATGCGAACAATGTAAAGATTGGGATGACAAAAAATATCAATTTCAAAATACCAAAAGTTGAAAATTCTTTTTGACAATGACAGATAATAATTAATTTGACTGACTCAGCGGGGACTCGAACAATTCAGAATAGCGCCATCTTGGGAAAACTCACGTAAGTGTTGTTAAAAGCAACAGGTGGTTCCTTCAAAAAGTTCAAAACAAAATCTAAGCGTTACCAACACCAGGGTTTCTAGGAATCTTATTTGAAACGTATTCAGAACTAGCGTTTTGAAACGGAATTTGACGTTACGTCAGTTTCTGCTTTAATTTGATCGTTATAGTTTGTAAACTTTTGAAAACTTTTCATCAATTATGTAGTAAGGATATACAAAATAAAGCTGAAAATTATTACTTGCACATATTCGATTCTAATTGAGGGTATAAAAAATTTAAAGCTTCGTCTCGAATACGATTAATTTCACCCGCGCAACTCAGTAAATGGTACCTAATTCTCTGAATTTTCAGCAGTTAATTTTTTAAAGCTGTCGTCTCGACCAAATATTTCTTAGCTTGAAATAATGATTTTGAAAAGTAAAAATAAATATCAGTTTGTTCATGTTTGTTTCAAGTTAGAATCAGACAGCCAATTGTTGAGAAAAAGTTTGTTTTCGAGATTTTTCGGATGTAGAATTACAAATTATCATTTTTCCTAGTCTCCAATGCATACACCAATAACTCCGAAACCGGTTATCCAAATTCATAACAGTGAAGGTAGTTATATAGAGAATTGAAATACCTTTCGAGCGAAGGGTCACAAAACCCACATTTTTATTTGTCCTGTTCATAAGTGGAGTGGCTATTTACGTCTGTACTGTATATCATACATTTATACGTATTAGTAGAAAATCAAAAAGTTACATCGGTATTACAAAAAAATTTGCTGAACAGTTTACCGTTCGCGTCAATTTCAACTGCGGTAGCTATTTCGCTCGAGCTACAATCAGATGAACTATCTTCCATTTTCACTGTAATTATCTACATATAATTCATAATATTTGAAGATGTTGGAGGTTAGTTATATGGTTTATGATAGTAATGAATATATACAAAAATATTCTTCCTTTCTTTCATTATGTAATGGCCTCAGCTACTATAAGACTATAACGTATTCACTGCATTCAATTAGTCAATTGTCAGCTGTCAGCTTCAAGTGCTGTCCACTGCATCTTCTTCTTCCATTTTTTTTCAATATTGATTATTGGTAGAAAATTCCGCTACTTTATGTTCAAATCCGCTACGGTTGGCAACTCTGTAGAAAATATTCCCTATTGTAATAGATTTATTATGAAAGTAATAGAAGTGGTAACCCTACCTATGGTTTGTAGAAGTTGAAAACTGCACATGCGCTGTAACGTTTTTTCACAAATGAGAAGAAGAAAATGACAAGTGGGCACTTTTGGACAGTATCACAAAGGGGTTATAGAAATAAAAAAAATACTGAAAATATTTAAAACACAGTTTTTCGGCAATTAATTCTCTTCTCCACTTTTTTAACGTGTAGTTACATGTAAAAAGCTACTTTATGAAGACGTATTAAACTATTTTTGCAGACCATAAAGGAGAAGATGACGATATGTATTACAACAAATGTGAAAAAGAATATGTGGAGGTTCTGAAGGAAGTCCAGAAGTACGACTATGACATTGTTTTTGGATACACATATCCCAAATGTGACCCGGACGGGACCTACCAGGCCGTCCAAGAAAACTCAACACAGTAAGAAATTGATCGTTTCAATATATTTAGTTATTTCTTTTTATGTTTTATTATTTCTTTTATACTTATATTCACTCATTTATATTTTCAGCAAAATGTGTGTGGATAAGCAAGGCGAGGTCCTGAATGTTGTTGATAAAAAAACTAAAAAAGTTTTAGCGAATTCTATGAATTGTAGTAAGTTACTGAAATAACTTAACCGAAGTTTTTTTTTCGATGCTTACTGTTTTACCATAATTCAATCTCCCGTAGAATCAGATGAAGGCAAATTTTTCTGATTATATCAAGAGTTAAACTACGCGAGAACTAACTGTGTCTTGCACCATCTACTAACATGTTTAACGAGGTCTTATCTTTCAACATGCAATGGGGAATGTACCTCAATTTGGGTTATTACAGCAAATGCAAGTTTGAACAAAATAAAGTTGGGTTTAATTCATGAGTTTTTCAAATTCACTTCGAAAAGTATTCAAATTGATGTTTCAAATGTTGGGTTTTAATTTTAAAAAAGATTTGTTTCTAATTCACATATTGGCAACAGCGCCTAGAACTTTACCTGCTATTCCTAAAAATATTTTACCTTGCATATAATTTATCAAGTTGAAATAATTTATACGTACCTAGATATTCTACTTTAAAAAAAGGAAAATTATCTTTATAAATCAACAATTAAGGCAAAATATAAATTATAGTTCAATACCACCTCCAGAAGCCACATAATCAACAGTTGTTTTGTTATTTATTTATATAGAGGAAGATAGGTCAGGTGCACAAAATGTCATATGTCACAGTATGTCTCGGAACTCGGAACATAAGTAAACAGAACAGCAGGCCTCTGAAGTATGTCATCTTTGTTTGTCTCATACAGGTAACAGATTAATTGACCTTTATTAGCTGTAACCGATGTTGCCAAATGGTGAAATAGAAACGAATCCCTTTAAATGTTGAATGCATTATTCCATTCCTCTTTTTTAAGTATTTAAATATTTTTTTAAAGAAAAAGGTTGAAATAGTAAGTTTAAGATGCGTCGTTTTAGAGCTCTTTTATGAAAACTACTTGATTTTCGTCAGGAGGAACATTCCCCATTCCTAGCACTATAAATATTTCATTATTTTGATTTGCAGAGTGCAGCAGAGCTGTGTTAATAATGACGTCCGACGAAAAACCCACTTGCAAGGAAAATGGTAATTATGATCCGACCCAATGTAGGAGAGGAATGTGCAGATGCGTTGACATCGACGGAAATCAGGTGTGCACCAAAGCCAATTGTGAGGTCGAAGAACCTAAAAAAGCTACTTTGAAATGCAAGTAGCGGCATCAAAGATTCATTGTGTGAATAGAATGAAGAGAAATGTTACTCATATATTACTGTTATGAATAAAATGTACATATGTTTTTTTTCAATACTTATGTTCATATGTTCTATTGTACACTGATTTACTGGGCCGACCTATGTAAGTAATGGAAGGTTACCACGGTGTTCTATATATAACCACTATCTAATTGTGTGTCGTTCCCCTTTGACCCGTTTTTACTTTTCAGATATTCTAAGGTCATACTGAATAACAATTCTGCTCTCATTCATTCGAACTCTGTCTTTCAATTTATTTGGATGGATGTTCCCATTTATATGGGTTACTGCCACTATCTGTGTTTTCTTGACTACCTGTTTTGGCCCTATTACCTGAACTGACTCTCTGGCCTCTGCTATTCTACCTGTATTGCCCTGATGGAGCGGGGTACCTGCTCCATCATCAGTACTACCATGGTTTCTTCAGAACGGTTTGAACCGTCTGAGTACCACGACAAAACCAATATAATTCCAGATAGCCATTTACTCTTTCTACAGTTGATTCAGTGAAATATTCACTGCGCCACCTGCAGACAAAGCCAGGAATCAACTCCACAAACACATACGCCAGGGTGGGAATCGGAGTAATGATTTATATTCCGGAGATATGAGATGCTCCAGGTTCAAGTGTAAACACCTTACCCCTTACCTCTCATGTAGACCAACGATTCTGTATGTACGTGTGGCAGATACACAACTCAAAAACAACAACTAACATAGCTAATGCCGCGCAGAGAGTTGCCGATTCCATTGAATTATTGAATCATCCGTAAAAATAGCGCACACAAAAAAAAAGACTGGACCGAAAACCGAACCTTGCGGTACACCTGAATAACTTTGGAATCCTATCGATATATCGTTCATTCTCATCATATGATTGTGCTAAATACATACACAAATATTCATTGGAAAATTGGATATACTGTACATGTTTTGGCTAATTTTTTTTTTCACACTCTCTCTTTTGGATGACTGAAATAGAGGCAATACTTTTCCATAGTTATTCGTGATTCAGGAAAACCTCTCACCGACATCCTTGAACAAGCCCACAACGTTCTGAACAACGAATAAATATACGAAATAGTTGCCAACAAGAAAGGACATCAAAACGAAATGGTACACAAACGGGTCAAAATACTCGTCGATCTACGGTTTGAGAAATATCTTCGTTATATAACAGACTGCTTATACGGAAAGTGTTGCGAAATGTCGAATCTAGCTTAAGGAATGCAGACTGTCGGCATGTCTTGCGAGCATTTTGCTTGGAGTGTTTAACAAAATCGGTGCAAGTATTTTGTTGTTGTTTCTGGGTCAACAACAGAAATTCGACCCGGCGCTATACTATTTCTAATTGATTGGTTATGAGAAATTGAGAAAACAACCATCAAGTTGTATCATTAGCTGTTTTTTTTTTCTACAATTCCGATTACCGAAATGATCGCTTCCGTCGCTTTTATCATTCCGCATCAAAAGTATTTGGTAATATTATTGACAGTATTAACAGTTTATTATTCTTCCAGAGAGAGTGGAAGATAGTCTTTTGTGAATCAGACAGTAATCATGGTCTTTTTTGTGGGTTTTTGCCTTTGGACACTCACGTACCGTTTGTGATGAGTCAGTCTCCACCAGTGTCTTCAAATCCTCGTCCTGGATTACTGTAGGTCGACCACTTCGGGGCTCATCTTCGAGGCTAAAATCTCCGGAAAGAAATTTCGTAAACCAACGTCAAACAGTGCGTTCATTAACAATTATCACTGCCAAATCCCTGGTTAATTTTTTGGGTTGTTTCGGCAGAGCTCTGGGTCAAGGTTGACAGAAAATCAGAAAGATGAATGTAGTGAGAACAAGGTACATCAGCACATCAGGAACTTACCTCAGCTGCAATATCCCCGGTTCGTCGATAGTGTCCTAAAATCCCTGTATACAAAATATACGCAATTGATTTTAAAACCCAATTATGGAAGAAAGAAATGAAAATTGTGACTTTTACGTATGAAAATTCTCGATTGTTTTCAACTTATCTCTTTTATTATGAATATTTGTTCCTCATACCTAAATACAGAAATTGAGAATGGTGAGATCCAATATTTGAAAATCAAAACCAAATTTGGATATCGTAAAAAAATGATATAGGTACTGGAAGTACTTTTTTTTTAACATTTATTAAAACCGTTATTTGTGAAATTATAAAACAACAATAAAAATTAATTGACGCTCCGGGGCGACTTCATTCATTCCAGTGGCGCATTTGCTTTTTCAGCTGAAGGAAAACCAGGAAAAACCTGCAGCACCACTTCATCTGAAGATCTTGAACTGCCAATGTCCTCTCTCTCATAAAACAAAATGTAGGGTGTCTCCAGAGGCTCCAATAAATGCAATACATCGCCAGAACACTTCGTGGCAGTCCGTTTCGTCTTTGACCAAGGCGTAATAATGACCAAATTTAACGCCAGAACAACATTTTTCAAAAAAAATCAATTCAGGGGCAAAAAAATTGGTATTTGTAAAAAATGTGATTTCCAACTTTTCATTTCCAAATTAGTTTTTGAGAATTTTCAGATACATTTTGTACAGAGGAGTTTTGAGTAATGGTGAAACTGAATATGAAATCTATTCCAACATAAATGTTTACAGCAATTAAACCTTTCCTAATACCCCGTCAAACAGTACGCCAATGCAAACCCAGCTATTTTTGAGGGGTTGAAAACTATTTGACGTGTTCCACGATTTTTTCACAGTCCCAATATCAAGTGACCTATTCAGAATGGCTCGTTTTAACTGCAATGCACTGTATATTGGTCTCTCTACCCCTATTTAGAAACAGGCCATCACTTCGAAAACCTCCAATGGTAACTTTCAGAGTTCAACGCACGGTCTTCAGGTTAAAACACGATTTTATATTCAACAATAACATATCTTATATCATTTATGATCAATCCTTTGAGCTCGATGTTGAAATATTGAGAAACACTGTAAAATTTATGAATATACTGACCCGTTGCTTGATGAAATTAAATAACACCAATATCTACGACGATTGTCATGGATACTGTAAAATTCATTACGAAGAGTCGATTCGAAATCGGCACGGGTAATAAAATTATAAGAAACAGATTTCTCACATATTAATTGAATTCAGTTTTAGGTTTATGAAATATTTCGTAAGCTTTTCTTTGTCTAAATAGGTAACCATTTGAAATGTAACACTTCGTTAGTAACGAAGTCTTTAGGTACTACGAAATAAATTTCAACAATTAGAATGATAATAGTGTTAATTCGATGTTTGATCAACAAGATTGGTTTGGCAAATATATTTACATGCTAGAAATGCTCGAAGGCACTGATTAAATGTGATAAACACGTGAATGTGATAATATTAACGGGTTTGTTGGAAGCAAATTATTTTAGGTATGACCTATTTGATTCAAGGCAACACCGAAACAATTTCTGTTTGGTTGAAATACCATTCAAATTATCCTAAATGGCTTCTTTCTCTCTCTCTCTCTCTCTCTCTCTCTCTAGGTCTGTGCTTCAGGTACCTAGTGGCCGTAAAATATACTCGTTCTGATATATTAATCAACCGCAGATGTTGACTGCTTTATATCAATGTTTTTGTATTATAGTATAATTCCAAAATAGTACCTACTATTACGGAGTAGTATAGTCCACAGTATACATATATTGAACTAAACAGCAAACACAGAAAGCCAGATTACAGTACTCAATTTGGTTACTATGGTTACGACTGACTGGTTTATTCCAACATGTTGTTCCATCCACTTTCGTTGGGAATATGGTTCTTTTCCCAATTTCAACTTCATTTTTCGATCACTAACGACCTTATTGTAAATAAAGGAAAGTACTTCGCAGCCCTATATGGATAAACTTGTCTTTCAGAATCATAAGCATAACAATGTCGTCTCCACCAAATATATACATATATATTTATAAGTCAGAAAATTTAAAACATTGGAGTCAATGTTAATTAGAAATGTTTCGAGTCGAGGAAGCCACCCATCTTCAGTAAAACCAGAAACTGCTACAAAGATTAATAAATATGAGACACACTTGGTGATTTCAATAAAGTAGTACTTACATTATGAAAATTATGTAAATGAACATTAAGTTAGATTTGCAATTTTCTGACTTACAAATATATATGTATATATTTTGTGGAGACAACATTGTTTTGATTCTGATTGATTACCTTCACTTTGAGCTAAGGACTATTTCTCAAATAAACTTGTCTTTCTCACATGAAAGTTATCAAGATAGCCTATGTGAAAGCTATTTCCCCAATTTCCCCCAGCTGAGGCTGTTAGGCAGTATTTCTAAACTGATCAATTAATTAGTTATTGGTGATAATGGATAAACCATTTCAAAAACGTTCAGAAAAATTATTTCATTGAAAATCTGAGTAAGAAGTCACCACCAGGTGCAAAATATTTTTTATTTCAACTCGAAATGAACCAAAGATCTATGAACCACAAATTTACTAAAGTATATTGAATTGTCAAAAAAGGATTCAGCAGTGGCTTGGGAATACCCGAACGAAAACATCAGAAAACTCGTCGAAGTAAATATTCGAACCCCTAACTGATTTTTTCAAGGTCACCGAAATAGGGGACAAAAATATCAAAGGTTCTGACCGTTAGTCTCTTCTTATAGGCAGAGTACTCTGTGTATTGGTTTCGTAATAGCTTATTCGCAACGATAATAATCAAACAAAAAGTTATTTCAGTGAATTTGAAAATAATTGTGAGGCTCCTCAGAAGTATTCCTCATCGAACTGAAATTATTTGGCGAATATCAGAAAATCGAGCAATTCACTCAGAATATTTTTTCGCATTTCGAACGTGATCGTAGAATTCAAATTATTAGAATTGATTTATAGTATAATTAATATTTTATACTAAATGAAATTGGTATCAATTTGAGCATTCTAAATGGGTCCACGATTGCTCCTAGTATCATCTGTTCTTCGAGATTTCTATATTCTTTATCTTCCACGGTCTTCAACTTATTCACTCTTTAGGTAATTTCTACGCTCTTCAACTTCTATGTGGTGCTTGCCACCTAATGGTGTCACAATCTAAAAACGATGTATTTATTGTTCTGAAAATGTGTCACAATCAATGTGGCAATTCATAATAATCAAGAAGGTTCAACATGTATTCACGAATATATAACAATATCAAGTGATTAGCAATAGCGAACAAAAGACGTATGAACACAGATCCACTTCATATTGTTGTAATTCTAATGCTGGAAATTACAATGAAATAATCCAACTCAAATTACGATCCAACCTTGTTTCTTGTGCGTTTACAGAAGGTAATGCAATCATCACAATTGCCTGCAATTGGCAAATTTAATAACAAAACGATTCCGAGGAATTGTAGACAATGTCATTTCCTTCATTAAAACACAACTTGAACGATTTTTGTTTGTCACACGAAAAATAGATTTACTATAATGTAGTCACTTTTTTCGAGGTTCTACTCAGCGGCGGCTCGTCAGAGGAGACAAGGGAGGCTTAGCCTCCCCATAAAATTTGATGCTATTCATCGCAATAAATTAAAAGATATTGGAAAATAATTATGATTTTTTTTAATGCTTGGGTATCATTACTTTACCATTAATTCTTAATATATATACATAATATGCCCGAAAAAACACTATCACTCACTACGTAGTACGTACCACACTGTATCCTGCATCAACGAACCTCAAACGCACCGCCCACCCACGAACGAATAACGAAGAAACCGTCAACCCGAAATAATAAATGCCATACGTTATTACGTTGCAAGGGAGCCAAGCCTCCGACCGCTTTAAAAAACACAAGCCTCGCGAGACCGATCCAGCCAGCGACATACGTCCCGATTTGTAATTTTAGTTGCAGAAATTATAGCGTTAGAGGAGGCTAGCCTCCAGTTGGTCTTCGTTACTGTACGACTGCGTTTGTTTTTGATGTAATTATTCGGACGGGATGCCGTAACGGACCGGGACTGAAACATGTTTCGGTAAATCGTTTTAGTGTTTCTTGATAATATTTGTTATTTGTGTATATAACAGGCAGTATTGTATTCTATTATAGCAGTGCTTTTTGGTAATATTATTAATGTGTTTTCAAAGTGTTTTCTTTCAATTTCAAGGTGTTTCATCAGTTTTCTCGATGTTATGTTTTAGGTAGAAATTTCGACCTCCCTGTAAATTATTTTCGAAAATTCGATGCACCTGTTCATGACTTGTTGCTTAAGGTGTGATTCTGTGACATTTCACATTTTCAACTGTTAATCTCTATGAGTTATGATTTTTTCGGAGTGGTGCTGTAACTGTCAAATTTTTCATAAAAAAAATAATATCTCGAACACTAACAAATTTGGGTATAGGCATTGTTTATACAAAGTGGGCCTAAAATGTACTGAGAAATTCAAAAATGCAATAAAATACAGGGTGTTCAATTTGAAATAAGGAAGTTGCCCTCAACTTCCGGTGTAACGGAAAGAGACCGGAAGTTGAAAATATTTCAGTTGAGAAGGCCATTTTGTAAAACCCACTACCTGTATACAGACCAGAACACTCATCGAACGATATTGTGCAGATACTAATAAGAATCAGCGAGATCGAAGCAAATTGACTTCCCGCCTACCTCTTGATCTTGCACAATGCGCGAAGGACCCCTCCATTCTTAAAGTTTATAAATTTAATCCGAGACGCATTTGACTGATAAGTAGGGTGCAGATTGGTCCTTATGATTTTGGTGTGTTCGAGGAGATTTTGTGCTTTGATGTGATTTGGATTTTGTGTAAGTTTTTCATATTCATGTGAAAATGTTTTCTTCGTATAGTCTTGAATGTTTTTAAAAATAATCATACGTTTTGAAATTGGCGATGAATGAAGTCTCAGTGTAGGTAATTTTATTGTCAAAGGGTCTACTTGAGTGTTGGAAGCTGATAGGAAGACGAAATCAAAACTTATTATCAGTCTGTAACATAAATAAGTTTAATGATGATACCCAGAAGTCCGTACTAAGTGTTTTATCATTTGAAATAAACACGTGATATTTGGTTGAATTGAATCATAAAACAATAATGAGAATAATGAACAGTGAATGAATATATTTTTTTACGAACATTTCACAAGGCTCTACTTGAAATTTGGGATTTAGAGCGTGAAGTTTATGAATTCAACCCGAGGAGATTTTGTGCTTTGATGTAATATGGATTCTGTGGCAGTTTCTCATATATCTCCTAAAATAATCCACCGTTTGCCGTTATTTCGGTATACCCAATATTACGAGTCTGTCGAATCTTTTGAATAACTGTCTCAAGCCGGAGAATTCCAAAATAACACTTCACAATGAAAAAACACATGATGTCTCTTACAAATTGATAGATGGGACATCACTCATGGATAACAATAATGGCGTTTATCGTTTACCTTGTAATGACTGTGCCATAAAGTACGTTGGACAAACGAAACAAAATTAGAAGAAATCATTCAAGGGCCACGGATATGATTGTTCCGACTGAAACAAGAAAAATAATAACAAAAACAGCTCTAAGTGTACATCACTCTGATTCGAGTCACACCTTTGATTTTAAATGTTTTTGCGAAAAAAAATTTTTGGAGATGATGAAAAACACATTACCCCTTGCCTCTCATGTGGACCTACGACTTTGTAGGTACGTGTGGCAGATACCCGACGGAAAAACAACAACTGACCCAGCTGCAGAAAGCTGTAGCAAAACCATCTGGCCCCTGTCGCAAGTAACTTACTATAAAAAATGAAAAGTAGAAAATAATTTCATTTGGTCAGGACGGTCAGGACAACCGTCGATAGACCGGTTTCGGAGTACTTGCCCCTCGTCAGTACCGGGCAGGTCATTTCAGACGGAGTGAACCGTCTGGGTATCCCGAACAAACAAAATTAATTCCAACTAGTCATAATCTTTATCTGCAGTTGATTCAGTAGGATGTCCACTGCGCCCCCTGCAGACAAAGTTTGGAAGCAACTCCACAAATACATACATGTAGGGTGAAAAACACCTTAGCCCTTGTCTCTCCTGTGGACTTACGACTTTGTAGGTACGTGTGACAGATACCACATGAGAGGCAAGGGGTAAAGTGTTTTTCACCTGAACTTGGCCATGTCATATGCACCTCTCCGGAATAGGTATGTTTACTGTTAGATCCACATGAGAGACAAAGAATAAGGTGTTTTTCACCTGGACTTTGAACATTTCATATACCTCTCTCGGAAATAGGTATGTTCTTTATTAGATCCACATGAAAGGCAAGAGGCGAGGTGTTTTTCACCTGAACTTAGGGCATGTCATTCACATCTCTCCGGAATATGTTTATTGTTATATTATTAGGTTCATATGAGAGGCGAGAGGTAAGGTGTTTTTCACCTGAACTTGGCCATGTCATATGCACCTTTCCGGAATAGGTATGTTTACTGTTAGATCCACATGAAAGACAAAGAATGAGGTGTTTTTCACCTGGACTTCGAACATTTCATATACCTCTCTCGGAAATAGGTATGTTCTTTATTAGATCCACATGAAAGGCAAGAGACGAGGTGTTTTTCACCTGAACTTAGGGCATGTCATTCACATCTCTCCGGAATATGTTTATTGTTATATTATTAGGTTCATATGAGAAGCGAGAGGTAAGGTGTTTTTCACTTGAACTTGGGCATGTCATATGCACCTCTCTGGAATATGTTTATTATTAGGTCCACATGAGAGGCAACGGGTATGGTGTCTTTCACCTGGACTTTGGACATGTCATACACACCTCTCCGGAATAGTTATGTTCATTATTAGATCTACATGAGAGGTAAGGGTAAAGTGTTTTAATCTGAACTTGGGCATGTCAGATGTGCTTCTCCGGAATGTTTATATTGTTGAACATATTGTTGAAACACTAAACCATTTTTAGGAAGTGCACAAAGACCTTTATAATTCTATCAGTGTTTAATATAAAATCATTTCTGCTTTATCTTTGAACTGGCACGATAAATATCAATTCATCAAAATGAGTACAACAGAAAACCGTTTAGATATTTCAAAGGGTATTTTAATGTGTAATTTTAATTGTTCTAGTCCCATAGTTTTCATCGCGTTTAATATTTTTAATTATAAATGCACCTCATATTTTTCTAACTTCACATTTTTCAGAGATTTTCCACAAAAATACAATCCGCATTGGTAATAAAAAACTTTCTTTAGTTTTTTCTAACGAGTGGATCGGTGAAATTGAGTGGCCTGTTCATTCTCCCGATACGACCTCGCTGGACTATTATTTATGGGTTCATTTAACATCTAAAATCTACTACCTACAACAGAACAAATAACACCGATGGTTATAAAATTTGCCCAGGAATCAATGCAAAAACTTTTAAAATAATTTCAGCGAAGCCTTCACTATTGTCAATAAACAAGGGATACGAAGTTTCAACTTCTGATTCAAAATGTTTCCTGGTCTGTCGTTTACTTAGTGACATTGAAAATGTCAAAGTTCTCAATAAAAAAGTCTGGGAAATTTAGAAAACAGCGAAATGAAAACCATTTCAAATGGGACACCACATGAACCTCATTCTGTTTGAAAATTTTAAAGCCTATACTGTCACTACAACTTGAAAAATGCCGTTTCAGAAATGAAAATTGTCAATATAAGAATTTATGCATTACTTTATGAAATTACTGTAAATAGCTCGTATTCTTCGAGAAAAACTAGTTACCTATATTATAACATAACAAAATTATGACAAAATTCTGACAAATCTATGAAAATAAACGAATGCTGAAGCGAATACTAGGTACATAGTTTACGATTTAATGATCTGAAGAACACATATAGTAGTATTATTACAATGTTGCGTCTAGAAAAGTCATTAATATCATTGAATAAACACGTCGGATGTAAGATTCGCAATTCATAAACAAACTGCATACGGAATCGTATCTTTTGTACCGTGAATCAGAATCTTTTTTCCTAGTATCGAACATTTAGTTCAAGGTATACATTGCGACACTAACCTTTCTTATTTGAAACAGAATACTGCTTGCCCACATAAATAAAACAAAACTTAGCTAGCGGAACCGTACAACACCTATGCGGTAATTGGAACGTCCTTTCATTAACAACGAATGAATCATTATTATTTTTTGTGAAGTCAATGAAACAATAAGTTTGGATGATCATCAAGAAGACTTTTCACGTTTACTATACGGATAAATTTTCAAAAATACTAGGAAACTTCAAATGATGAAGGATTATTTTGTATACCCCAAGGAGAGTTCCTTGGGGATATCATTCAGTCACATTGAATTTAAATTTTAAGAATGTCAAATAACAATTCCCTACGTCTAAAAAAAAAGTATTGCAGTTCTGGTGTTTGGAAAAAGTGCTTGTTTTGTATTTATTTCACCCTTTTATCAGAAAGTCTTTTAAATATGACGTTTCACTAAATTTTCCTTGAGTTGAGCAGGAAATGAGTTGGAAGGTTTTTTTCAAAATATGCTAGCATTGCAAGTTTTCTATCGTTAATTCACAAAATTTTCTAGCTTAAAACTTAGCCAAGATGTCAAGTGGAGCAACTAGAAAGTTATTAGCACCAAAAGTCATTCGAGATTTTAAAAGGTCATACTCCAAGGACCGACCTTATTCCACCGCCCTAGGTGTGATGCCACGAGTTTACGAGGATGATATTTACGAGTACAAAGTCGAAAAAGTTGACGTCATCACCAAAGACTACAGCGAAATACCCGGACCAAAAGAGCTACCCCTCATCGGCAATGCCTGGAGATTCGCCCCTTTGATAGGTGAGACGAATACGGAATACCTCAAGGCGCAATCTTAGGGCCACGTCTTCAAAATCTCTATACATTTTCAGGTCAGTACAAAATCCACGAGCTGGATAAAGTAATGTGGTCTTTGAGGAAGGAATACGGGAAAATAGTCAAAGTAGGAGGTCTCGTCGGGCATCCGGATCTACTGTTCGTGTTCGACGGTGACGATATCAAGAAGGTATTCAAACGAGAGGAAACCCTGCCTCACAGGCCGTCTATGCCTTCGCTCCACTATTACAAGCAGCATCTCCAGAAGGAGTTCTTTGAAGGGAATGAGGGAGTCATAGGAGTGTGAGTTTGATTTGCTTACTCATTTATTTATCTTTAGTTCTCCAATTTCACTATCCACTGTTGTGAGGAGGAGCTAAATGTGTCAAAGCTGTATTCCGGGTTTGTTGACCATGGTATGCAGGTTTTTATCAAAGGCACAAACGTCGAGCACACAAACCTGTAGACCACGGAGAACAAACGAAATGAAATAATTATTGATTTTCAGGCATGGTCCAAAATGGGATGTTTTTCGAAAACAAGTCCAGCAAATTTTGTTGCCACCTTCAACCGCAAAAAAATATGTGGAACCTCTAGACATTATTGCTACCGATTTTTTGGACAGGTAAGAATCTTCTACCAGAAAAATTAAAATTGATACAATCAACAACAACAAAAACAAAATTATCGTATATTATCTATCAATTGTCATCAAGTGGTGTAAACCTTTCTTTAATTATTCAAGAATTATCATAATTTTTTAAGATTAGAATTAACATAGAATCCTAGATATTCCAGTAACTGTCAGTTTTTCTACATCACAAAAAAATCCATATTTTCCAATTTTACAATATATGTTTTTGTGTGTGTGAGAGAGAAAGAAGCAGGGGTTTCATCACTATAACCACTATACTGATGTCATAGGTCGTATCTAGGAACCGACAAAAATGTATACAAAGCGTCAAAAATCGTCTACAAAGTGTCATGAACGCGTCTACGAAGCGTCAAAAACAGGTCTATAAAGCGTCAAAAAGGGTCTAGAGAGCGTCAAACCGTCTACGATGCGTCAATAAATGTTTTAAAATGTCAAAAAGCATCTACAGAGCATCAAAACACCGTTTTGAAGTTTTTAGACGCTTTTCAACTACCATTGGGGCATCAGGTCACTAATTGCCCCCAGGCAGCACTTGACAAACATCTAAAAATCTCAAAACAAGGTTTTGACGCCTCGTAGATGCTTTTTGACGTTTTTAGACACCTTTTGGCGCTTCGTAGATGCATATTGACGCTTTGTAGACGATTTTTCTCTTTATTTTGACGTTTTATCAGTCTGTCACTCACGTACATCGAATTGCCATCTGTATGAAACAATTGTTATTTGATTCTCATATTCAAGAATTCTGGAAATAAAAATAAGGTTCAGGATCATTGCGGTATGAGTAAATTCTGTATTTTCAATAAAATCAGTAGAATCTCTGAACCAATTGTTCAATCAAGAATGATTGAACAAAGCGTCAAAAAGTGTCTACAGAGCGTCAAAACGTCTACAAAGCGTAAAATAAAGTTTAAAAACATCAAAATTTTGAAGTCAGTAATTATCAACTGTCAGAAACAGCTTCCTTGGGGGAAAATTACTTTTTTACCCTTGAAGCTGAAATGTAGCATTTCTACAGCTGTCCTTGATCCTCTTTTTAGTTCCTGCCAAAGACACTAGAAGTGGACAATCATTTTATGTTAGCTGTATCATTGGGTCAGGGTATCATTGACGTGTGTGAGACTGAAATGTCTGTTTTTCCTTTGTCAATATATTCAATATCTTGCCTTGAGAACCTCCATGAGAAAAAGCATGAAATTTTGAGGCAGAAGCGGTCTAGCCCCTTTACTAATATTCACCTATGATGACACAATATGTATGTGATTTCAGCCAAAATATTGAAAATTTTGTTATTCCGACACCCGCATTACTCAAGAATATAGAGCACACAATAGCGTATTTGTTCCAGTGAAATACCAAAGTTCATCAACAATCTCGGGTAACTGCCCTGTAATTGAACATCAAGCGATAACTTTGCTAAATATCAGCTGTTTGCTTACGCATCCGTTCATCTCACCTGAACTTGACCCACTTGAGTTCTGGTGACCGGCTGAAAAAATATCGCTGTGAGTTCGTTATATAATCGTGTTTGCGGCATGGTTTCAATTCGAGCCGATCTCACAGACGTAGACAAGCAGGTTGAGAGTTATATAATATCTAGAAGAATTATTGAACTGGATTTTAATAAGGATCTTTATGGGCGTTATATAACGCAATGCACTGCATTGCGAGTCAACCCAGCTTGTGGTGTTTTTGGTTTGTTTTGAATTTGTTGAAAGTAGTCAAGAATGTGGTTTATGCCCTCTTTGGTATGATACAAAGTTGTTAGGTTATGTCTCCGATGGCGAAATAATAAAAACGAATATGGATTTATGCTTTTAAAGAGCATTTTGTTGATTCTGAGAATATTAATTTAAAAAGTACACAGCCAGTTTTGAAGATTAGTTCCTATATAAAATATTCAATGCAGTACAATCTACGAAATCATGCACTCTTGAATACAGGGAGGTGGAGAAGTTAGGACCGTTTTAATTTTTTCATGTTTTATTATCTCTCACATCATTCTTATTATGTTTTTTTAATTATTTCAGCACGCTTTTTTTTAACACGCTTTTATTAGCTTCACCTGTATCTAACTATGTAACTCTCCTTTCATTTCATTTTTTTATTATTAGTTTCACCTGTATGTATGTTTGTCAGTTTGTTTGTAACTCTCAAGCTCAGGATCTGTATTTGACAGAATTAACGACATTATTGCTTGATCTATTCGCGGGCAGATGGCGCTGTACGTAACTTCTACGATATAATGTATAGGCCTTTTCGTCACAATTTTTGTGTGTGTGCATGCGTCAGTATCAGCCATCTTTTTCGTACTGTTTTTTGTAAACAACCATGTTGAAAAGCCCGCAACTCATGTTTTAAAAATTATAATATGAATTGAAGTTTATTAATTGTAAAAAAAGTGAAAAAAAAAGTAGTAAGTCAAAATAATCAGAAAAAAATTTTTATACTCCATTATAATTATGTTATCTGTACGAAAAGGAACAACAAAACGGTGTTGTTATGGAGTATGTAAAAGTTGATGCACGATACAAATCATTCAAAACCGGTGCATACTATTTTATAAACTTTCCAAAGCCTTGTCTTAAATATCGCAAAAAAAATCAAATTATCAAGCAAATTACATATTAAAGCATGTGCAAAGTGTGCGAAATGTGAATTATGGGTGATAAAATGTGGCAGGAGTGACCGAGGCTTTAAATCTAATGATGATGTTTCCAAGGATACTTATATTTGCTCACTACACTTCATTGGATAAAGTGGTCCAACTGAGCAAAACCCTGATCTTTTAAGCTATACTTATCAGGAATTTCAACATACGTAAATTATTTCTTATTGCATTTTTGACTGTAAATTTCATATATATTATGTTTTATCAAATATTTCCCTCTAATAAAAATTAATAAACATATTCAACCCAGTATTTACATATTTGTCTAAAGCAAATTCAAATCCAAGATAGAGTGGATGTAAACATTGACATGCCCTACGCACGTGATATTGAAAATCCCAAGAATTGGCCAGGGTCGTATTCAGAACCAACATCTTGTTGATCGCAAATGCTATATAATACTTAGGAAAACTTTTTTATAATAACGAGTGAAATGCACAAGTTAACGGGAAAAATGCAGATAATATGTGTTATATAAAAAGATTTTCATTGAATTTTTCACAGCGCACTCAAGCATTATATAAAAAGAGACGTAATCATTTCTTTATTGATAATTTTTATTTTACGTAAATTCAAAAGGAATATTAATCAAAATTATTCAACTTGATGAATTTGTCTCTTCATCAGTAGTGTCATCCTCACCAATCTGAATTATCAGTGGCTCGATTTGTGCCTCTATTATGTTATCAAGCTTCCACATCTTTGTCTCGACTTCCGATATCACATGCCGAACACACTTCTCCCATTTCTCCGCTGTGATTCTTTTCAAAGCCTCATCAAAAAGTACTTTGAGATCTGCAAATTTGAACGTGGTGTTATGCTGAGCTACAAAATTTTTCACATCATGCCATATTAACTCGATGGGATTGAGCTCGCAGTGGTATGGAGGCAGGCGAAGGACAATTTTGTTTTGGCCTGCTGCCATCTCATCGACTATATATTTTTGGTATTCAAGCTTGCGCTCCTTGACAATTTTTAGTAAATGTACTCTTAGCATCGAGTCTTCAAAGCTAATAATCTTTGATCGCAGCCAATTTTGGATTTCAACCTTCTTTGAAGACGTTGTCGGAATCTTCTCTAACCGTCGCGAATAATAAGGTGCATTGTCCATTACAATCACAGCATTATCCTCCAGATGGGGTAGAACTTTGGAAAACCACTGTTCGAAAGATTCACCGTTCATTTCTTCGTGATAATCTCCAGTTTTCTTCGACTCGAAACACCACAGCCCTTCAGCAACAAACCCATTCTCATTGCCGATGTGACAAATAATAAGCCGTTTTCTTTTACCTGAAATTATGAAGAGGTATGTAAGTAAATAAAACAAATACGAGGGTTACTTTTTTTATATTGAGATTGAGGCAGGTCTTAATATGAATATAAGTTAACCCGGTGGATAGTCCATCTAGAAAGGCCCTCCTAGATGAGATCACAGTTTCTTCCACACATACTTAGGGGTAGTATGACCAGCATTAACCCAGGTTTCATCCATATAATAAATTGTTCTCTGTTGTTCCCTATAATATTTAATTTTGGTCAAATACTCTCTCCTCCATAACACAATTTTCTCTCTATCCAATAATAAATTAATGGTTTGACGATTCTGATTTGTATTCGGTTTGGAAAATGTATGATTTTGTTTATATTCCTGTAAAACATTGTAAATCGAAGCGCCACACACTCCAACTTTATCGAAAACTTTCGATACGACTTCGTCGACAGTCGATGTCTCAATTTCTTCCATCCCTTTCTTGAACACATTTAAAATCACTTCTTTCATCTCAAAACTCAAATGTCTTTTTTTGGATCGTTTCCTGGCTGAACTCAGAGGATAGCTCACAGTGTCATCAGCAGTGTCTGTACTGGACATCTTGGAAAACAATTTTAAACAATATACTATAACACACGCCACACAAACACGCAAACGACTGATTACAACCCTGTGCTGGTACCGAACTCGTACCAAGAAGGCGAATTCACCAATGAACGCTGCCCTCTACATCTGACACTGGGCAATCACGTGATCATCACGCTTCGGTTTTGTTTTGTTTTACTCTATCTTGGATTTGGATAGACTTTAATTAATAATGTCATATGTACAGCATCAAAATATTAATGGCTTGATTTATTTATTAGTTTCATAAGTAATACTCTTGTCAACTGAAATATATTTTCAATTAAATCGAATAAATTGACAGTATCCATAAGAATAAAAACTGTAAAACTGTAAATACTATTTTTTATATGTTTTTAGATAGTAAACAAATGCTGATACCTAACCTCTCCTTTTTGCGGACGCCCATGACGTTTTAACTACCTTTTTAATTGTTCACAATTTGTTTGTAGAGATAATATTCCTTGCCCAGCCATTGTTGATTAAAACAGTACGAATGTTTTGAATTACCGCCATTTCAATATGACAGCTACGCTTGCGCTCATCTTATGATGAAAAGACCTATTTCTAAAAGAGGATCTATGTAGAAGGAAAATAGATAGAAGTAGATAGAATAATTAGACAGAAAGTTGGAATAAATTATGGCGAAACTGTCAGTACTCCATTGTTTTAAAAAAAATTGGTCGGTATTCTTTGTATAACTAAAACACATACTCCGCAAAATGCAACGCCGTACCTTGGATAAAAATAACACTCTGCGAGTCCAAAAAACTGTTTTCGTACATTATTCGCATCAAATATTGGAATTCGAACAGAAAAATTCCAATTCTCATTTTTTTCTTGGCATCGACTACATTGGTCTTATCCTCGTGTCCTGGGTAGGCTATGTTAATAACTCCCCGAGCCACCTAGGGAGCATCATGACTATTCACAGTCCGTCAGCCATGTAACGTTACAGAATCATCCCAAGTTCTCATTTATATTGTTATTTATATGAGAATTCGAGCACATTGAATGATTTCATCTGAATATTTTTGAACGGTCTTGGGAATCTTGATTTTGTTTGTGAGTGAATTGTCTGTATATCTTTCAGCGACATTGGTAGACTTCCAGCCAACGCGCCTCGTCAAATTTGTGATGTTTCCACCAATTATCATCAAATTACCTCGCTGAAATTCGACAAATGCTATGGCCTGTGTTATTTTTGGTATTGGGTACATTTAAAATTTCTGAGATTCTCAGTACGAGATTCCCAAAACTGCAGATACCAACAGGCTGAATCGAACAATTTCCTTTTTTGTAATTCACGAGTAATCTGTAATGTTGAGTATGGAATGGCCTTAAAGATAAATATCGCCTATGCAGCAGCAGGTTTTCTCACCCAATTACAACAAAAGTTTTCTCGAAACGTGTCTTAACAGAAAAATAAGATACGGAGTAGGAGAAAACATAACTTATACATACTTAAATTATACCGTGACAAGTTTATCAGTCATATTTGTTTTCATAAACTGAGCTTCTATAGTATTCATACTGAAATACGAGTAGATAAAATATTTCAACAAAATCATTCAGTACAACTGTTCCACATTTACCATTTTTCCCAACGTTCAAGGCCTCAAACACTTCACTTTTGTGTAATACGTCATGTGGTATTTGGGCTGCAGTAGCTTGTTATTACGCTAATATTCAACTATTAATTAATTGAAAGAACCGTATTCTCGACCAGCGCCTTCGTTAGTTCCTTATTGTTTACGTTTGATTGAGGCTATTGTTTCGAAACCCATGTCTGCCAACTGCTTTACAAAAACAAAAAAAATGTTGGTGTTGATGAAATATTGGTAATAGAAGGAAATAATTAAATAATTCACGTTTTCATTGATAGGGGTTAGGTTAGGTTCAGAGTGAGTGAGATTGTTCGACCCTCCACCGCAACCCGCAAGGATTTATTGTGGCTTACACCTATTCACACTCTACCAAATAAACCCAGCTCCTTAACGAAGCGTAAACTATATACAAACTATCGGAATTGTCTCTCTATCTCTGTCTAAAAAATCCGATAATATTTATAGCCAAATAACTAGGTATACTCCAAGGCACAGATTTGAGCGTTGTACTATTCAACATTTACATGAACCTTCACATGTAAATGCAGCCTGTCAAACTTACCTTCATTTTTGCAGATGACACCGCTGTCTTTCACGACGTTGATACAGAAGGAGTTTTCTGGCGCTCATGTATTCAAAACTTATTTGTCTGTGATTCAAATACATTCATTCTGGCGTAGAAACGATGACGTCACATCAGATATGATTTGAAACGCATTCATCATGATTAAAAACTAGCGTGAGTTTGGTTTTGAAACGGAATTTGACATAACCTTACGTCAGTTGTCAGTTTCTGCTTCATTTTGATCGTTATAGTCTATAAAGTGCTGAAAACTTTTCATTAAATACGTTATAAGGATGTACAAAATAAAGCTGTAAAATTATTTATTACTTGCACAAATCCGATTATAATTGACGTTATAGAAAGTTAAAAAGTTTGTGTTCATTATTGAATTTGACATCTGACACAAATTGAATCATGCCATTCTGGCGAATGTCATTATTAATGACGTCACTACGAATCGTTTTTGAATACAAGCTCGAATACGATACAACGCCAGAAAACACCTAAAGTAACTGATTTAAGGCGGAAAACGCTGTTTATATCATCCAATTTTGAATGTAGAAGATATATTGAGTATTTATTTTTGCCTTTATTCAAAACACACACATTCTAGAATTCAGAATTGTAAAATACATGAAACTGACTTTGTATTAATCATATTCCGTCGCTATCAATAATGAAACTTCAGGAAAAATACTTACTCCCGAATATATGGCATTACTGATCAACAAGTAGTTTTTTTGTACTTGTGATGAACTATTTGGAACCTTTGGTGTAGTAATGAATATTACTGGAGTATTTTTCCCAACCCCAAATCGTTATTTCAACACCTTGATACGTGTTTCGATCACCAAGTGATCATCTTCAGAGAAAGATTAAACTGAGTGCTGAGTGTTCCTTATATCTTACTTCAATAGATCTTTTTGTCTGTCCATAATATTTTGCATCGCAGTCCTTACATTCAATTTCGTAAATTCCAGACTTTTCCGAATTCTCGACTTAGTCTTTTGGACTTCCCAAAAGGTTCTGTAGTGTATGACTTATTTTAAAAACCACCTTCATACCTAGTTCCTTGAAAATCTTTCCAAAGTTCTTCGTGTATTGGTGGTATGGAACTGAGATATATTTGTCTTGGTTTTTGTCCTTTTTGAAAGTCGAGATTTCGTTCATTCTTAACCTAAACTTCTTCTTCCATATTATGTCATCTACAATACCCCTCGAGAAACCGTTAGTGGCTGTTATTCCCTGCATTGTACGTTTTTATTTTGTGAACCTCTCATATGTTAGAGGGAAAATCAAAAGACGATGCACTAAAAAATTCAACCCAGCATGTTTGTGCTGTCCACAGTGAAACTCCAGTAATATTTATGTTTTTGTGTTGTTTTGAGTGCTTTTTTTAAGAAAATATAATAGTAATGTGTAAATTTGTAGGCATATACACAAAAGGAGACTTTTCATTTCATTTGGTTTAAGAACATTGTAGATATTGACGATTCCTCATTAGAAAATCATGGGAGAATTGTGGCATTTTGGTAAACATTTTATTAGACAATTACTGAGCGAACTCGTATCTATCAGTAAACACGATTTTCAACAGACTATTGAAATTATATATGCGATGATATCTTCTGAATAGTATGAGAAATCTTTATTCAAATAGGAAACATTAAATTAACACTAATTTCCCAGTAGAGGTCTGGTTGTGTTTGAGAATTTCCACACGATGAGGTTGCGAAGAAGATGATATAACAATTTAGTAATTCAAAGTGTAAATTGGATGTTTCAATTATTCGCACAGATAATTTCGACAATATCTGTTGTGCGTCGTTGGATAAGTTATTTTACTGTTTATCCATATTGCTTTAGGATATGGTGGCAAGCAATTTTTGTTTTTTTTTATTTGATTTTATCCTAGATATTTATAAAAGTACCTACCTAAATAACGTGAATTTTAATTTTCCTCAAAAAATATTCATTTATTCATCAATTTCTATTTAGTCATACAATACCTTACCAAAATAACAGTGAGCAAAACTTTAGCATTTGATCGAACTCCAGAACCATTTTCTTAATTTCCTCAACATTTTCATCGGTTTTTTAATGTGCTGAGGCGTCCAGGGGGAGCGTTGTCATTCATATCTTCTCGACCCTCTGTGAAAAGCTCATACCACTTGTAAACAATTTACTGGCTCAGAGTATAATCACTGTAAGTCACTGTCAACATTTCAAGTGTTTTTGAACACTTAACTACATTTTTTTCACAAAATTTGATGCAAATTCTTCGACTAGCGCTGAATTTGCTCTTTTTGGAAACTGTATACAATAACCACTTCAATTTTTTTTCAGAATGGAACAGATGCTGGATGATAATAGAGAACTCCCTGACCATTTTCTATCAGAAATTTACAAATGGGCGCTAGAATGTAAGTACTTATAAATTTACTTCCTCAAGGTCCAGTATCAGGGCCACTTTCGGTTTATAATATATATGCCTTCTATACAGTACATTTCTTTGATGTCAACTCAAAAAATTGAAATTTGGGATTATGTAATTAATGCATGAATATTTTATTTTGAAGATAGATGAAACTTTCAAGATGGCGACTAGACGCCATTTGGGAAAGAATATTATATGGAAAGGGGATCTTGTGACACATAATTTTGAAGCTCCTGACGAATACTTCACAACCCTGGAATATGAAGTCAATATCTTCACTTACTACAAAATGGCGAAACAATAAATAATTTCCGGAAGACAAACACATTAATATCGATATTTCTAGAAATATTCCTTTTTATCTGCCATATGGCAATTCCAACAATCCGATAAGGTTTGTTAAGTTATTTTTTGGTTATAAAAATGTCAGTACGACAATGAACATCATTGTTCAGTTAGAATATTCTCATTTAGTTTTCGGTTTTACTAGTAGAAAGGTACCACGTCAACAATCTCTAAAATGGTCAATTCTCGTCCAGTGAAAGAAAAAATTGAAGCGATTTTTATTTACGGTGCGACGCGTAACTTTCACGAGACCGAAAGGATTTTCAATGAACGTTTTCCGAATCGTCCTGTCTGTAGAAAATATTTGGGGGAACTTGTACCCAAATTCACAACTACCGGTAGTGTACATAACAAAAAGCCCCTAGGTCATCCGTCCATTCCGGAAGAAAAGCAAGTGCAAATAATTGGTGAGATGGTAGTAAATCCTGAACAGTCTACTTATTCTGTCGCGAATGTTTGTTAGGTGTCTCCTTCTACTATGTGCAGATTTTTGAAGAGGAATAGTTATCATCCATACAAAATAGAAAAGGTACACCAATTAACTGAAAATGACCCTGATCGAAGAATAGACTTCTGCGAAATTATGACAGAAACCATTGCAAGGCATCCTACCTATCTCCATAATATTTGTTTTGGTTTCAGTATCGAATGTACATTTTTTATATATTATATATTATTTAACTCAATATCAATCTAACTTTCCACCTCATTTGATTGGTGAAGGTCAAACAATTCAAATTTCAATTTTTATTCACGAAAGAACTGAATTCAAAAAAGTGTTTATAAATTACTTGAATAAAATGGTATCAAATATTATTTTACTTCAATTGTGGTTTCCTAATCAATAATTGAATATATTTTCAGTCGACTATAATTTTTTTTCTTTAAAATTTTTTTATTGGAGCTTATTGTCTATCGTTCATTTATTATTCCTTTCAAAAATCTACAACACCATTTAGGGGTATGATTTTCTGTTTGTTTCATTTAAAAAGCAATCGTTTTTGATGTTGTTTGCTAAGTTCTCGTATTTGTTTCAGCTGTGGCAAGAGTTTCTCTCAATACGAGGCTAGGTTGCCTGGAACCCACTTTATCAAAAGACTCTGAATCCCAAAGAATTATAAATTCCATCAACACATTCTTCTGGAACGTCGCAGAGGTGGAGCTGAAGTTCCCTGTGTGGAGGGTGTACAAGAACAAAGCTTTCAGAAAATATATCGGAGCACTTGAGGACTTCAGAACGTGAGTAGTAATTCATTAAAAAAATGAAAACTTTTCACACCGATAAAAATAGTTGGGAATTTATTTTTGGTGTTTGAAAATATATTTTATCAGTTATTTCGCTGGAAACAAAAATTCGTTTTATTTTGCGGATTTAAAGGTTTTTTTATTTACTGTTTCAGCCACTTTTTCTCTCCTTTTCATCTATTTTCTTGTTCTGTTTATTGGTATCTTTTCTTGTTGACCTGATTGTTTTACCAACCTCTTCCACTCTTTTTTCCCGCATTTTATTTCCATAATTTTCTATTTTCTCCTCGATTTACTATATTTCGGCTAATGGGGTTTCCTTCTCGACTTATCATTCGATTGTTGTGTCAGGTTTCAACCCATTTTATCAAGTTTTGAGATTTTGACAAAACTCTATTATTTGGCGAAGGAGCTAATGTTTATGTAGCTGTAGATTATTCTAAACGTTCGACAGTGATACAAAAATGCATTCGCTAAAAATATCCTATCAGAGTTGAGCATTTGATGCAATTGTAAAAAGACAGGGCCGTACTAACTCAGTTGTAACAGTGATGCCATAGAGACCATAGAATTTTACAAGACTTTACAAGACAAAAGATTCCCTTGCCGTTTTCAATTCTATGTCGAAAATCGAATAAACTAGTGGAAAGGTAGGTCTTAGGTGAATAGCTGACCTGCGCAGAGGGAGTTTCTTTTCTCTCCCGATGCAAACTCCAAGGAAAACTCCTTCAGCTGCAATGTAGATACATTATATTAAAAATTCCTGGTATTCCTTGAAGGAGACAGGTTGAGATAGGAGGAGAGAGAAGGAGAAGATGAACAGTAGCTAATTAAGTAAAGAAATAGAACTAAAACTAAAACTCTTCCAATGAGTAAAATCCACCTTTCAGCAGGTACTTTCTAAGCCATTATTGGAATGGTTTCAATGTTACACAAGATTTGATTTCGACGGGAAGTTTATTGAACATCCTTTGCCCAGTCACAGTGAGTGAGCTATATGAAAGATTAGTCCTTAAAAATGGCACATGTAAGTCCTTTCGCTGTCTTGTATTAATAGTGTGAGTTTGCTTATTAGTTCTAATAGAGTTTGAGTTACAAAATACAAAAACACACACTTTAAATATGTACAAACACGGCAGGGTTAAAATTTGATGAGTTAAAAAAAATATCTACAACTAGAGGTATGAGAGATACCAGTGATACAACGAATACATTTTTTCTGCGATCACATCATCAAAACAAGTGGATGACCCTCAATAACATGTTCTGGATCTTAGTCGCGATTCGACTTGTGTTTAATATAACATTATCGGTTGTTTCTCCGTCAAAACTGATCTCATGTTCCTGAATAGATAGCTGATACAGTTAAGTTTCGAAAGTACCGACTCACAGTGTCTCCGCCAGTCAAGACACTCATCGATGTACAGGACCAAAAACCTTACACATTATACATTTTCCAAAACTTCAGATATTATTGATATTCACATGAATTGTAGGCACTTGTGTTTGCTTTTCCCGCATTTAATTGCTATGCATCCATGCAGAACCAGCCATGGAGATTGAAAAGAACTTTATTACATATTTTTTCTAGAGAATAATTAGATGGGTTTGCTCTAACGATATCATTTACATATATTAGGAAAAACATTGGGCCCACTACTGATCCTTGAGGAATACCCAAACTTATGTCAAGATAATCCGAATTACAAGGGTTCACTGTTTTCTCAGTTACCCTCTGGAAGACTGCTGAGGTCACAGAAGATCCCAACAGGGCACTCGCCCGCATCAGCCAAGTTAGTCAGGTTTTCATAAAATGAGTTGACAAACTGCCATCAGTATCTTACTTTGGACCAACATTATCCTGGGTAAATAACTCAGGTTCAGAGGTCTGCTTGACATTAGTCAGTAGTCATCTGCTACACTTGTTGAAAGAGATAGGTTGGGTTAAGATTTAAAAACATAAAAACGTTTCTTATCGTATCAAATTGTACAGTAAATTGTATAAACGAATCATGCAAAAATCTCTCTTTACAAATCCAATAATGCCGTCAATATGAATCAAACAAGAAGGTTACCAATTCATTACATAAGGACCTAACGACAGGGGCAAAATTAATTCAAATCATCCTCATCTGGGTTACATCGGTTTTTTAATCTCCAGCAGCAAGAAATGCTGACACACTTAGAACCCAAAACTTTCAGTTTCATTCTCAGTGAAAGTCACGGCAATGAACTTGAACTCGCTCTTGTTGTGTCGATGTAATAAGTATTGGGCTGTGTTTACACTGAGATTATATAATAATAAAATGCTTGGGAGATTACAGTTGTCGATGACCTTCAGGTTATTGGCAATATATAGACATTAACTTTTAATTTAAATCGGCTCCTCAAAAATGGTTGAATTGGAAGCCCCAGAAATTGTTTTAGGAAATATTTATTTCTATACAGAATAGTTCCTATAACAAAATGGGAAAAGTATATTTTCAATGTGTAACGTAGGACAAGTTATAAGATACAATAACTTCTACCTACATACCTACTACGTGAGAATTTGACGTTGTATTGACCAATTCTCTCCCAAATTCTTGTAAATTATAAACATGTTCTTTCTTACAGTTTGTGCTTGAAATACATCAACCAATCAATGGAGAAGATGGAAAGTAAAAATTACGACAACGTTAAAGAAGAAGATATTTCAATTGTAGAAAGGATATTGATCAAAACTGGAAATCCAAAATTGGCAGCCGTCCTAGCCTTGGATCTTTTGCTAGTTGGCGTTGATACGGTATGTAGGTACCAGAAATGAAACTATCAATTACAAAGACAGTCCAAAACAGGCACTTTTTTCAAAAACCAGAACTTTAACTCTTCTCGAAGCGCCATTCACTAGCCAAGTTTGCTTCTTAGGGAAAAAAGTAAACTACTCCTTCACTATGAAACTGGTAAGCAATGGGCAATTTGGAATGGGACCTGTGTTACCTTCAATAGGAAACATGTGATAATCTAGTGTCATGTAAATATTATTAAAAAAATATTTCTACATAATCAAATAAAAAATAAAGTAGACGCTAGTAACCAGGCTGGTTGTTAACGGATTCGACAAGATCGTCAGTGCGATAATAGATGTGTTATTTTTTTGTGAAAGTCATTTTAAGAGGACTGACGGCCCCCTAGTAGAAAGTGAAATGTTTTTGTGAAAGGTAAAGTGAATAAGAAAACTTAGGGTGGCAGCATAGCCTCGAGCAAGACAGCTGCGTCCCCGGACGATGCTTTTGTTCACTATGGACAGATGGAGTCTGGCCAAATGCGCTCGACTAAGGAGCAACGGCCATATACATTAAAGAAGAAGAAGTTGACTTCAGGGGGTTGGTTTTTCGTGGCGTTTCGCGCGCGCATCGTAATAATTTACTTCTATCATTTTTTTCCAGACGCGCGAAAAGAAGTTTAACTTGAAAAAAATAAATGGCTTTTCAGATTTTGAGATACGAGTTGTCAAAATATTTTGTTTGAGCTTTTTTGTATTGCCGAAAAGTTAGTAAGGTTTTTATAAACAGTTTTATTCCATTTGTATACCTTTTGATACGCATTCTTCACCGGGTAGGTGCCGTTTTACGAATTTTATAATCTGCAAAGAGTGTGTTAAAAATAAAAAATACGTTGGACAGACTAAGCGAGCTGTCAAACCTGTCAAAATGAAAGCCATCTGAACTTGTTGGAGATGACACTGGACTTTTGAGTGCTTTCGGCAGTCTAGAAATGGCGAAGTGTGGCATGAGAACTATGAACACTGACAAAGCTCCCATTCCAAACAGTCCATTGTTCAACTTTCTGTGTATTTCTCTGTTGAACTAGCAGGAACTTTCACGAAAAATTATTCCGCATATGTCTACCCGAAATCATTGATGTGTGTTGAAAAGTGTTCGTGTTAGAGTTAAAAATTAGTTCACCCCCCCACCTGAAGACGTCAACTTGGTTAGTAAAACGCGCCTCAAAAAAAGTATCGAAGTTTTGGTGTTTGTAAAATGAGCTTGAATTCATTCTAGGCCAGAGATTCCAGTTTTCTCTTTTTTAATGAAGACACAAACATATTGTACAACTCAAAAGAAAGTTGATTAAACTATATACGTGGTAAAAGCGAATATAAACTTCATGATACAACGTATGTGCTAAGAACTAGTATTTTGTAAAAGAAAATTTCCACATTGTGATAATCACACAAGACACAAGCTGATATAATAGCAATGTTGTTGCAATCAACATCTTTGAAGATGATGCCTATAGTCCAATATCAAACTATTCAACATTCCAGACATCCATAGCAGCTGCTTCAACGATATACCAGCTAAGCCAAAATCCAGAGAAACAGCAAAGGTTGTTCCAAGAGTTACAAGGCATTCTTCCCAATCCAGACTCAAAAGTAGAGGCATCGACTCAAGAGCATATGCCTTATCTGAAGGCATGTATAAAAGAAACTCTAAGGTAAACATGTCTTTGTTTTTAGTATCACCGATTATCACTTTAAAACACATATAATATCTCAGAGGTACCCATAAAAATAAGCTAATGGTGGTAGACATAGAAATCGAAAAGATAAAAGTCATACAAACCCAATAATTATCTTGAATCCAATATTAGGTTGGCTGAAAGTTCGTAGGCTAATACACAGATGGCGGTACTAGTATCAAATCCATATGACTAGTCAGTCCTAACTTTCAAATCAAAATGCATTTGTACAAATTTCACAGTTATCGGATTATTAATTTGTAAGATATAGAACATTTTAAGTGGAGCAACTTATGTTAGTTTGAAGAAAACGTATAAAAGGAATGACGTATGTTGGTGAATCATTGCTTTTTAATAATTGATGCGTGTAGCCGTTAGTTACTACTACCACAGAACTATAAATTAGGGTTATAATTTTAAGTTATAGTTCTGTGGTTACTACGTGCTTTTTAGCGAAAATAACTGTTGAATCCAAGGCTTCGCTTGATAAACTTTCTTCGAACTCTGCACCAGGAAAATCAACTGTTGAGAAGTGGTTTTCAAAGTTTAAACGAAGTGAAATGAGCACCGAGGGCGAAGCACGCAGAGATATCAAAAAACCGTGTTGAAAATATCGTGCATGAATATTTGGGTATGCGAGAGCTTTGTTGTAAGCGCGCGAGCTCACAATTGACCAAAAACAACAACGAATTGAAGATTCTGAGCAGTATTTGAAGCTGTTCCGCCATAAAAACCCCGAATTTAGGCATCAATATCCCCACATCCAGTGGGGTCCGTTAGTAATTGGGCCCCACTGGATGTATTTCCGGGTAACCTACTATGGAGCATTTATACCAACTCATTAACATCAAAATCATTAAACGATGCATGATAACGACTTACAATAAAAGATATCTGAACTGAATTGAATGAGGAAAATCAACTATCAAAAGTATATAGATGAAAATCGAGATGACATAGAACAATTACAAGATATTTGCAAGCACAGAACACAACAGGAGAAGGACCATGGCATACAAATCAACTCGTGTTCTGAGCAAACAGATCCCATAACATCTATGCATGCCATCTTGTTACAAAAATAAGGATTCATGGAACATCCGGGCAGGGGAAATATAGTTATAGTTAATTGTGGAGACTTCATTGAGTTTTTATTCTTCGCAAATCTACTGCACTCCACTTTGAGATATAATGGACTTCTACCGGAGGTTCATGAAATATTGATTGAAATTCGAAGTGTTTGAATAATCTATATTAATTAGACTATAAATCCGAGCCTGAAATAATAATGTTACGAAATCAAATGCTGAGAGATATATAAATTTATTATTTATTTCATATAAAGCAACTCAAATTCAGGAAAACTACTTATAGATTATATTGTCTACTACATTTACTAAATCGATGATGAAATTTGAGTGAAATATGATTAATACATAGATTATTTTTTTAGGATGTATCCTGTCATTATAGGAAATGGAAGGAGTCTGCAGTCAGATACTGTCCTTGCGGGATACAAAGTACCAAAAGGAGTGAGTAAATTTTCAACATTTAATAGAATGTCAGATTCAATTTCATTTATATGAGAAATTTAGATGAAATCAGAGCCGAAAAAACGAAACATTCGTGATCCAATAGCGAATATCACTGTTTATACCTGTCATAGGAGTCATCAGTGATGTTATGCTGAACCATGTTTGCATTGTTGAACACGGCCTGTTTTGTTTGAACTCTGGTTTCCCTTTGATTGCTTTGCAGTGACAACTACAGAGGAAGATAGCTAAGCTTATCAAGTAACCACCCTGGAGAACTTGTTTATCATGGATAAATGAAGTTGAAGTTAAGATCCCATAGCTTCTTCGCATTACTTACTTATATGAGTTTGTTCATTTTACATTTTCCCACCTCTCCTTGACAACTTTCATGCACTTAAACCATTTCAACTATTTTTATATTAATCAATTGATACTTATTCCAATACAGACCCATGTGATATTCCCTCATCTGGTGGTCAGTAACAGCGAAGAATACATTGAAGAACCAGATAAATTCATGCCAGAAAGGTGGTTGAAGTCGAGTCACCCCGAATGTCCAGTGCACCAAAAGAAAATCCACCCTTTTCTATCGTTACCATTTGGTTACGGAAGGAGGTCTTGCTTGGGCAGGAGATTCGCAGAGACTGAACTGAATATTTTATTAGCAAAGGTAAGTAAAAGAAGTAAAGTGGCGTGTCTCATAGTTTATGTTTGGTATACTCATTCTGTAATAATTTTCTTATTTTTCATTTCTTTCCAGATTTTCAGGAAATACGAAGTCGGTTACAAATATGGACCACTAAGTTACAAAATAACCCCCACCTACGTTCCAGAGCAGCCTTTGAAGTTTAAACTCACAAAACGACAATACTAGAAGAATATCTGTCACTTATAAATTTATTATTTGTTAATGTATTTTATAGTTTGGAATATAAATATTTTTTTACGACTTTTTTATCAACTCTGTATAAAACCAAAAGCTAAAGGAACGATATGAGTGAACCTTTTGGCCAGATGGCCTCAATAGATCGGGCCACTACACGAAGAAGAAGAAGCAGACTGAGCGCCCCCATCAGAAATGTTAACAACTTTGAATAACAACAATAAACAGTAAACCTCACTTTATATTATATATTTTGGATTTCAACATTTCTCACATTCCCTTCTGCAATTCAATATGGACGAAAGTAAGGGCACGCCGGAAAGTGATTTCAGCATAGAATGCTTCCAAAACTACACAGCTCCCGAGGTTTTTATTCAGGGTCTCGCTGGCATAGTTGACCAGCAAGATGTGGAATCAATGATAAGAGCTCAAAAACATATGTACGTTCGGCAAATAACAAAATTGTATTCTCTAAGTGCTTTAAATTTTTGAAGGTTACAGCGTTTCGAAAAAACCAACGAAATGTTGACCAACTGCAATGCTCTCAGCGCATCTCGACTGAAAACCGTAGGCCCAGAGTTCAAACGACACATGCAACTACTGAGTGAAACTAAAAAGGATCTAGACTATATTTTCAAAAAGATTAGGATAATCAAATCCAAGTTGTCAACACAGTACCCTGAAGCTTTTGCTGAGGCTGTTCGAAGCAGTTTTGCTGAGGAATGTGAGGAGGATGAAAGTGTGAAGACGCAAAAGGCGGAAAATGAAAACAGGAGAAGTTTGCATATCAAGAACGAAGCTGCTCAGTGTTCTGATACCAATAGAAGGGCTTCTAAGTAGGTCTCAGTAATATAAAGCTTTTGCTAAACAATATACAGTATGTTCAGCAGTGTGGTAGACAAGAAGAGAAAATTTCATTTTTCGAAGAGCATTTTTTTTTTAATGTTTACTTGCTGAAAAACAAAATTGTATGCACAGTGTGGTCTTTCCATTATTGACACGTTACAAATTTTTTTATTAACTTTATCATTAACTGTAGGTCGATGATGGCCACTATCTTGCACTGACGAGTGGCTAATAAGCCCGAAACCGGTCTGCAAGTGTGCCCGTTCCAAAATTGAAGGTCGACTCTTTCACTTGTATTGCCAATTGCATATGCAGGAAATTTTCTGTGAAGAATCCTGCACTGACGCCTGTCAGATATAATACAACGCCCTTCGTGGTATTAGCCAGGGGAGTAGTTGTTTTCTGATAGGTGTCAGTCCATAATAATAATAATATAATTAGTTTAGTTACCATAGAAACTGTTTCCGTTTTTAATTATAGACATTTAAAAAATACTATGTTTTTTTTTCCACCCCAATTTGTTTGTTATTTTAATCTCATTAAAAATCGTGTAAAAAATACCATTTTTTCTTTTTAATCACCTTACCCTAAAGTATAACATTTCAACTCATATTTTTTTCCACTTGTTAGTTAGGTTTTTCTTAGTCGGTTTTAGAGACGGATGTTAGCTTTCTTGTTAATATTTATCATGTTAGCTACGGAAGGTTAATGTGGTTGTTGAAAATAACACCCCATGGAATTCTACAACATCTCATTATGAATTCTGCCAAAGACTGATATATTAGAAATGTTGTTTTTTTTGAAAGAATATCTCTGGGAGTATAAAATTTACGTGTGAGTAGTCTCATACTGTTGTCTACATCGCCGGACGCACTGTATATTGTGAATTCAATATTATGAAACACTGTATTGATTATTTCTCACTAGTATGTATTTTACTGAAAAGCTGATATGTTGGAGGAAAACAAATTGTATTTGATCTCAATTTTAAGTTTAGTGTAGTTTTTGAAAAGTAAAGTTCTTGACAATGGACTAAAGTGTGGCAAATTATTTATAAATTGGTTATATTATTTTAATTTTTTAGTAATATATAATTGTTTGTGATATACAACTATTATTCAGTGAGTTTTACTCCAAAAAGGTGTTTAACATTAGGTCATATATCAGTGTTGAGGCGTAATGAGTCATAAGTAGTTGGATCATTCATTTTGGAACATTCATGCAGGATCAATCTTCATTTTACATTATCTACTATCGAAAAAAAATTGATAAAAAATTTGCAACTTTTTTTTTGTAAACATTAAATTAAGTGCTCAGGGAGAGGTGGCCCCTGTCTGGATCCGCCACTGTACTTCGGTAAAAAACATTGATTGGTCTTAGTTTGAATACGTTGATAGATTCTGCTATTGCAATGAAACAGACAGGATCAATGAAGTAATTCAGAACCATCCATTCTCTTTATCAAACAGTAGAGAAACAGGCATAATAAAAACTATACAACAAAAAATAAGAAAAAATTATCTTGTTTTCACGAAATCTGATAAATCGAATGCCATCGTTATCCTTGAACGAGAAACATATGTTCAGAAAATTGAATCAGTCATTCAAAATGAAAACCTTACTGTCATCAAGAAAGACCCAACGAAAAATAGTCAAAATGAACTGAAAAATTTTCTCTCAAATATTTAATCAGTGAAACGGAGAATCACCAACGCCAACCCCTCTTGCCCTAATAAAAACACATAAAGAGGATAACCCCATAAGACCGGTAGTTTCGTATATAAATAGTCCGGAACTGGGAATACGTCTAAAAAATTTGTTCAAAAATATTACCAATTTCGTCTCACCTCACAGCATTAAAAATTCACTGACTTCAGTATAAAATATAAAAAACCAAACCACAATTTTAGTTTCATTCGATGTAAAGAGTATATTCTCCAACATACCGTGTACAACGAGTGTAAGCCCCTCATTTTAGACATATTAGATCAAGCCAAAGTAGATCATATCACTTCCTTTGAAGTTTCAACAGCTTTCGATGTGTGCCTGAATCAGAGCTACTTACAGTTCAACAACAAATTTAATAAACAGGATTCAGGTTTACCAATGGGCTCACCCCTTAGCTTGGAGACCACTATAGTAAATTCCGACCTGGGTAAAAAACATATTCTTTTTGGTACAGATATGTAGACGGTATTCTCGCCCTGTTTTAGAGGTACTACACGACAGCTGAACCAATTTATGACATTCATGAATAATTTCAACAGCAACATTCAGTCCACACTCGAAATAGATACAGAAACAGATAAATTTCTTAGACTTGACCATTATACACAATCAGAATAAATTTGAGTTCACTGTTTTCAGAAAACCTAGCTATACAGACATTACCATCTCAAGCGATGTTTTCTATCCAGACAGTCATAAATTAGCAGCCTACAATTCAATGTTGCACAGAGCATTCACACTGCCTTTGTTTGCTAACATGAACGGTATGCTGAACATGAAAGTCCTAGCCTGAAGACTAGGTAAAAAGGATTCGACGTTTTAAGACCATTTCTTGGCATGCAACCATAAGTTCCCTAATCTAAACGATACAGAAATTTTGCACTATACAAGGAAGGGTTACAAACTCAATTATTTAGAATCCTTGGAAAGTCACAAGCATAAACATTGCGGGGCAACCTGTTAGATGATCAAATCGATTTAGTCAACCCAGATTGACAGTTACTGGAAACTCGTGAATCAGGTGGTTCAACTATTGTAACGGGCTTGATATTATTGGGACAAATAGCAGTTGAGTGGTGCTCTATGAAGGAAACACCAACTATATTATCTGAGACAATTTTACTTTTTTGTCTGCGATCATCTGAATAAGATTTGAGCCATTCCAAAGCATTGCCACTTTTTTCCGACAGGGAAAAAATGCTTAGTAATATATTTCCTTTATCATGTGCATTGACAATAATTTCTGTAAATTATATAATAACAGTCTCGACAGATCTACTCGTTATACACTCATGTTGTTATTTTGAAGATTACGGGATATTAAGAAATACATAAATTGATTGCACATGATTCCTCATCAATATGTAAGTGAATGAGTAAAGTTTTTACAGCAACAAACAAAAAACATGACTTCATACGACTAGAAACTTATGGCTTAAGACTGGTTATGGGAAAGTAACAAAGACTGGTAAGTAATTGGAAAGTGACTGAAATAAAAATGAGTTTTATTGTCTTAAATTTATAAACACTAAAAAAATATATCACATTCTTAGAACTTAAAAATTATCATCTGAAGTATAAGCACTTCTATTCTGTAGCATATTTTGCGGTCATCATCTCTGCTTTCTTCACATACTCGTCGTTATAGTTTTTGAATTCTTCGGCGATGTCTGCCATTAGAGGATCTTCTGGATTCGGATACTGCAAAAGCATCCTTATAGCAATCAACAGGCCCTCTAGGCCAATCGTGGGCTTCCAGTTGCCTGACGGAGGCATTTTAATCAAATCTAAGCAGATGCGACCATTGTCATCAATATTTGGATGATAGATTTTTGTAATGAACTTAATTGAAGGAGGCGTAAAAGGATACTTTTCTGGTATTACTATTTCTAACGTGAATATGCCTTTTTTGTACGGAGAGTCTTCAGGGCCGGTGAGTTTAACTTCTAAATGTTGTAGTTTGTCGTTTTTCTGAAAGACGCAAATTCCTCTTGGGGGCGAATTTGTCATTTTTTCCAATTCTCGAGTTAATCGATATCTCTGCATTTTGACTACAGATATGAAATAAGTAAATGTGCTATTTTTTACTTTATTTTTTTTATACCGGAATTCTGAAGACTAGGTTAAATATCAAATTTGAAATAACCACACAACACACAGATGTTCTATTGTCATTCTCGTTGTCATTTAACATGGACATGGCATAATTATGACAGCTCTGGCTGCGAAGAAAATAACGAAGTATTATTTCAAATAAATTTTCGTACTCCTTATGTGCAAAAACGTTCGATTCCAACAAGTACGTTGACTGTCAAATTTGAAATAATCACAGAGAGTACAGATTACAGATGTTTTATTGTCATTCTGAATAAGAAAAGAGGTAGCTCTCCTTCTCTCAAATATCAAATGTTCACTATATCGATAGGTCCTAAAAAACCATACTTATTTCAATTTGGATGAAAAGGAGTATATTTTTTGAAGAAATTAATTTTTCCCAAACTAATCTTTCTCACAACTGGAATCACAACACCATTTGTAGTCATCGAAGGTCAAAACCTGAATAACCGTTATAAATATAATGAAAACCAATTTCCTTGACAAAACTTTTCTTTATTGTTTCTTGAGAAATGTTTTATATAGAAAGGAAATAATATAAATTATTTAATAGGAATTCTGAAATTCTTTATTACAAATCAAATGATGTGGTGCTGCAGGTTTTTCCTGGTTTTTCTGCAGTTGAAAAAACAATTTCGCCACTGGAATCAATGAAGTCGCCCCGGAGCGTCAATTATAGAAACATAGTTAGATTTGGTCACAATACGTGAATCACATTTATTACATTTTAAGAGAAGAAGTTAGTTACAGAGTACTACGAGATATTCTCACGAAATATTACCAAACATCCAAAAAGAAGCAACAATGTTTTCTTCATTTTCTATTTTTCTTTTCCTATAGTCTATACCTCAACGTATCCTCAGTTATTAAGGTAAATCCAGTGATTGCGTTCCACCGTTCAAAAATCTTTCAGTGGAGATGCAGTATCATGATACAATTATCCCTTTGGTAAGTTGCCGCTAGCTTCGGCCTTTTTTTATGTCAGCCTTGTCTCCAGAAGATCTCAGAGTTAATTTCATTCCGTAAAGAGAGAATTTCAACAAATAATTTCTTCGACAAAAAGTAACCACCCTTCTACGCCAGTCGCAAGTGTAAGGTTGCTAGGTTTCAACCTGTCTACTTCGCGCAAATATCATATGATTGACCGTGAGAAACATTTCTTCGACCATTGGTCCAGTAATTTGTTAGAAATAATAGATTATTTACGCTGACATACTTCGACAATGTTGGAATTTCATTCAAAATGTAATTTTCTGTTTCCTTAGGATTTTGCACTGCCATCTTGCGGCAATGGTCGTCTCGGATAAGGTCTAGTCCATTTTTTGTTGTCTGGAAACAAAGGATCCAAAGAAACAAAGAAGAAGAATTTTAATAATATGTTCTTTACCGTGATTGGTCATTTTGAAACAAAGTTGTTAGTTTTGAGTTCGCCATTTCTTTTCTACATTTCCTAACGAACTTTTGACTGTCAACAGCAAATCAATTGATTTTTTAAATAGCTCAAAATGGCCCTAAATATGAACTCGATCGTCGAGCAACAAGCTGATTCGAGAAAACAGAGCGATGACCAGGCGAAATCCGTGACAGACAGTCACGCCGTGACCAAAAGGTAAAAAAAATTCTTAACCTCAGTTATAAATTTACTAATTTTTCTGATGGATTTCTCCAGACTTCACAGGGAACTGATGAATCTAATGATGACTCACGACGAGAATATCTCTGCATTCCCGGACGGGGAGAACCTTTTCAAGTGGGTGGGCACCATTATGGGGCCCAAAGATACCGCCTACGAGACGCTGAAGTTCAAGTTGAGTCTGCAGTTTCCCAACTCGTATCCCTACTCAGCGCCCACAGTCAAGTTCGTCACCCCCTGCTTCCACCCCAACATCGACATAACTGGAAACATTTGCCTCGATATCCTCAAAGATAAATGGTCAGCCCTGTATGACGTGAGGACTATCCTGCTTTCCATCCAAGCTCTCCTGTCCGAACCGAATATCGATAGCCCTTTGAATGCTCAAGCCGCCGAAAAATGGCAGGTTCCCGAAGAATACAGGTTATTAGTTTTACAGACCCATAGAGAGGCGTGAGGACGTTTTGAATATTAAATTAATTGTAAATTATTAGTTAGGGCGATCAATATAGAAGCTGCGGGTTATGAATTTGAGCGTATGCTTTCAACCTGAAGTATTTCAGGGCTGCGACGATCGATGGACAACTCAATATACAATTTTTTATGTGGTTGTATAATCATTCATATAAATGTTGTTTATTTTTATTTTTTATGGTAGTCTACCTCAGAATTTACTATCTTTTATACATTTTTATGGAAAATTGTATCGATTCTGTTTCTGGATTTGAAGTGACGCAGGTAAACGTAAATTGAATATCAAAGGCAGATTTCATATGTATTATTGACAACTTGTATTTGTAATTTTTTCTTATTGCGAGTTCAATAAAAATTATAAATTTCATTGCTTTGATTGATTACTACAAACACAAATTTCAGAAATGAAATTTTTTGTTTTTTCAAATGTGTGAACACGATGGTCCAAAAATGATGGTTGAATATAAAATTAGTGGAATCAAGAAATATTGATCACGAAAAATATTGGAAAATGTATTTGGAAGTTCAAAATGAGTTTTGGGTAAAAACACTTGCTACCCTCTCATCATGTTCATAACAAGCTTCTTCAATCTTGAAAAATGATTTATTGATAATATTAAATTATTAATTTGTTTTATATTATTTCACACCTTGATGGGTTTTTAATACTAAAATAGCGATCCATTGTGTTGTTTATGCATCATAACGCACAAGTTTCAGAGATGTACTTATGTTCATTTCTCAATCTTATGTTAAAAGTCTCCTTTATGGTATTGAAATATTTCATCTTATTTTTGGAATGAACATTATTATTATTAAAACACAAATATACTCAATATGCTTCCAGTTTGGATTTTTTTTCAACCATGGAGTTAAAAAACGCTTTAGTACTTTCGAGAATACATTTTTTGAAACCTTTTTCATGGCTGGATCAAAATATAAATAGTAATAATATTTATTCACCATTTGTGATACATTTGCAGAATTCAACCTCTTTATAGAAAGTGGCAGTCTGTTATAAAAATTTATGGCACTATATAATGTAGATTTTTTGAAATGACCACTCTTATGCGAAGGGACCCTCAGAGCAGTAGCATGGCGAGTAAGTATCACGACCGTGAATGCTCAAGTTCGTTATGTACAAGTCAAGGTTCCTGTGCACAAAAATGACACATTTCATTATATAAATTGCGGGTGCAGTCAACAAGCGTTCTCTTTTGAAAACGGGTCTAGACAACTTTCTTGGTACCCCAGGTTGAATGTCAATCTTATCAGTCGTTTCTGAGAGATGAAAACTCTAGAAAATTCCTTCGCACATCCCCAAGCCATTGTGTTGAAACTGATGTGGGAGTATGCATTCGCAAAATAAACATTTAGTAAACCAAAACCATCTTAACAATGTTTTAACTGTTTGATCGAATAATACGCTGAATTGAGTTTACTGCACACTTTTTGTATGCGACTTCTCCAAGCGAGATTCTCATCTAAAACAGTTCCAAGAAAATTAACTTCTTTTGATATTTTTATGTCATTCAAAGTGACTAAATTACAACAGAAATCCCTCCTAACAAATATTTTCATCAGCACTGACTTAAATTTATTTAAAATCAGTTTGTTACGTTGACACCACCTACTGAATTCGTCAATAACTGAATTAATTTTAATTGATAATTCATTGTTGTTTTTTCCAGAAACAGTGATTGTAGTATCGTCAGCGTACATGGTTATGTGACGGTCTGATATGAATTCAGGCAAGTCACTGATGAAAGTCAAGAATAACAATGGACCCAGAACAGTTCCTTGTGGAACACCTAGTTTCACATCATAAGGAACTGATGTAATTCCATTATGTTTAACCACCAAACTACGGTTTGGTGGTTGATAAAAGTCAAGAATAACAATGGACCCAGAACAGATCCTTGTGGAACACATAGGTTCACATAATAAGGAACTGATGTAATTCCATTACGTTTAACCACTAAACTACGGTTTCCATGTATGATTCTATCCAACACAACACATCATTGGAAAAGCCCATTACTAGTAATTTTTTCAATAGAAATTTGGAAGAAACAGTATCGAATGCTTTTGATAGATCTAAAAAAAGTGAAATAGTTTTTTGTATCTTTTTTTCCCTCATTGTGTTTTCATTATAAATATTTAATCTAGTCTTTATTGGATCTTTTCATACTTCCTAAATGTGTTTTTTTGAATATCTCATTTAATATTATACCAAAAGTAAATTGAGATCAAAATGAATCTGCATGTTTTTAGCTCAAAATGTTGTACAAAACTTGTTTAGTGAAGAAAGGATTGGGACCAAGATTTGTCAAAAAGATATGCATTTTAGGACGATAACGCATATTTTTACTCACACTTCGAATATTGGGAGGCAGGAAATTATTGATTCAAAAACGAACTTTACTTTGATAAATAAATAAAATCACCGAGTTTAATACTTTGCTTAAAATAACCATCTTATATACAGAAATGACTAGGTTTTGACAATAATCAGTATAAAAAACAGCATCACAATAGTGCCAGCAAGAACAATGATAGCGCACATCTTTCTGTTTTTTCTCTGATATGCGTCGGCCTTCTGTAGCTGTTTGAACCCCTCCTGTACCTGCATCGAAGTCTGCTCGATGTTGAAGTCGATTCTGTCCAGCACAGTACCTTGGTCCACCACCATCTGGCTCAAGTCTTTGAAAATCTCGTTCAGATCCAGGATGGATTTAACAATGGCGTTTACTTCTTGCTCGTGCTCCTGGGCATACCTACGAGCAATGAGGTCATATAGACATGACTATTGACTTTAAATTTACAAACCTTAATTGAAATTGACTGTTTATTGTATTTACAAATAACAGAGAATGCTGATGGCAAAAAACCTCGTACTACGTACAGTGACCTCTCAAAGACCTTTGACATGGTAAACCACGAAAAACTCCTAAATGAGCTGGAAAAGTATGGTATAAGAGGTGTGGGTTATGAACTGATTTGGTCATACATAACAAATCGATCCCAGATTGTTAGGTAGGGTGTACCTCAGGGCTAGATCCTTGGGCCGATACTCTTTCTTCTATATGAGATCTTTTTTCGAACTTTCAAATATTACTTCGACATTGCTTTTCCTCTAAAAAAAAGTAAAAGAAAAACATGCATCATATAAAAGAAAACCATAAAAACCTAAAAGTCTCTCAATCTACTGGTAATGATGAAATAAGTCCCAATCTTTTAAAAAAGTGTTCGTCATTTATTGCAGGCCCACTAACTTTTGCTCGTTGGAAGAAGGTATTTACCCTAGCTTAAAAATTGGAAAAATAAAACCTATACATAAAAATGGAAATAAAACCCTAGTTGAAAATTCCATGCCCATCACTGTCCCCAGTGCTTTTGCAAAGGTTTATGAAAAATGGGTGTCAAATTCAGTCGTTTCATTCTTTGATCTTCATAAGCTATTCAATGAAAATCAATTTGGTTTTAGAAAGGGACGTTCAACAACACAAGCTATAATAAAACTACTAAAAGAGCTATATAATAGTCTAGATATGGGTAATCGAACTCTGGTACTATTGGAGTACCACAAGGCTCTACTTTGGGACCTTTACTTTATATAATTTATGTCAATGACTTTGAAGGAAATTTTGTAATGTATGCGGATGACACTACACTACTGGTTAGTGGTAAGAATGTTACATCCACAGTAGACCTGGCTCACAGGGAAATTTTAAAAGCGCAGGATTCGTTTTCTAGCAATAAATTAGTCTGCAATGATAAAAAATCATCCTTCCTAAGATTTAGTTATGCCCCAAATGGTCATGATCACAGTTTACTGTTAAAATCACTGCACGGTTTAATGAAACAGGTGAATTCAATAAAATTTCTAGGACTTACTCTCACTGAATATTGTAAATGGAATCAACATATTAATGAAATATGTAAAAAAATAACGCCTATGTGTTACTGTATCTATCAACTCAGTAAAATTATAGATAAGTCGGTGGTACTCATGTACTATCATGCCCAATTACACTCAACAATCCCATATGGTATAAAAGCTTAGGACCTATCACGTGAGGCACAAAGGGTATTTATTTTACAGAAGACAGCTGTCAAAAACATTCAGAGTGTAAATAGACGTACTAGCTGCAGAGATCTATTCAAAGTTTTAAGAATATTAACTCTCCCATGCATTTACATGTACCAGCTGTTGATTTTTGTAAAATCGGATCAGCGACCTTTTACCTTCTTAAACAAATATAATTACGGCACAAGAAATTCAACATTGTTAGAAATACCAAATCATAGACTGGCTAGATCAGAATCAAGTCCAATTTTCATGCGTATCAGGCTATTTAACAAATTGCCGAATCATGTTTTGGCTCTGTTTTGGGACCCCTTCTATTTTTGGTTTTTATAAATGATCTTTTGAGATTTTATTCAAAAGCTTCCATTCCTGTTATTTTTGCGGACGATACTAACATCTTAGTATCTGCAAGAACTATGTCCGAAGAAATTGTCAAAGCTAATGAAGTAACTGATCAAATTTCTGAGTGGTGTTCTATAAAAGGTCTGCACCTGCTACTAAATTCTGCTAAATCTCAAATGCTCAACTTTATTACAAAAAATACAACAATTGATAAAAGTTATTTGGTTAGATTAAATAATGAAACTTTACATCAAGTTAATTGTACTAAATTCTTAGGTGTTGATATTGATAATAAACTTACTTGGAAGTTCCATGTTGATAGTGTCAAACTGAAGCTCAATAAACATATATATTTACTTCGTCGGTTAAAACAAACAGTCTCTCTTGATGTTCTCAAGCTTTTATACCACAGTTTAATTCAGTCAGTAATTTCCTATGGTCTTTAAGCTAATGACGTTTTCGTTATTCAGAAAATTCTCAAATATGAATGTCTTTAAAAGGCGACTCAAGATTTTTCTATTGCAAAAACCATACTACTCTGTGGATGAGTTTCTCCTTGAATCCTTTTTTTTATGCATGTTTTATGTTTTATATTGACTTTTTTATGTTTGTTCGACCTGTTGAATCAGCCAGTATTTTATGATGATGTTAATGTTTTTTTTGTTCTAATGTGATTGTGAAGGAAAACTGATTCAATAAATGTTTGATTGATTGATTGATCACACTAAATTCTTATGTGTCACGATGGATGCAAACCTCAGTTGGTAAACCCATATAAACTTATTGAATAACAGATTGAGCTCTGTTTGTGGTGTGATACGATATTTGGAGGATCAAATCTATGTATGTAGCCTGAGAACATATTGCTATGCCCATTTGCAGTCATTGATTTCATATGGTATTATATTTTGGGGTTCTTCAGTATACTCACAAAAAATATTTATTACTCAAAAAAAATTTCTGAGATATATTCTAAATCTAGATCGAAGAAGCTCTTACAGAGAGTTCTTTTGTGAACTTGACATTTTAACAGTGCCCTTGTTGTACTTCTTGGGTCTTCTCTGCTTTGTAAAAAAATGTAACCTAAATATGAATATTAATACCAGGCATTGTAACAAACTGGCTATCCCTAGTCATAACTTTAATACTCTGAAAAATAAGCTTACTATCAGGCACTAAAAACATATAGTACTCTATCGAAAGAACTAGAAAAATAAGTCTTAATAAGTTTAGAGGTTCAGTCATTTCTTACTCGAGACATAAACGCTACTATTGCTGCAGGCTTGGTTGAAATTCGTCATGATTTTTTTTTAATAAAAACAGATATTTCAATTCTGTTTATCATGAATATTTTTAAAAAATTCCCATTAACTTTATGTAATTTTCAACTGTATTTTGTCAATGATGAAACATTTACTTATTGTAATACTAAATTCAAATCATTGTTCAAATTAATACCTACTTTTCCTTAGGGTGAATGAGAATCAACTTCTCAAAAGTTTCACTTTTGCTGTGTCCACTGCTGATCGTATGGCAATAAAAAACAATTATTATTATTATTACCTCGTGTTCTCCTCTTCCAACATGAGCAGCTGCTGATGCGACATGGGCTTGGAATTTACGAAGTGAGAGTCGATATCCTCCATGTCCTGACCGTTGAAATCCTCAAGGTCGATATTCTGGTCAAAGTACATTTTTGATCTGTCCTCTCTTGACTGAATCTGCCGCAGATAGCCATTTTGGGTTGAACGAAATAACGTCGACATTTCTTGCAGAGCGACAGCTAGCGATGTGTAGACATTAACTGTGAGTCGCTTTTCCTTGGACACTCCCTCTGAAGCATGGCTTTTAATTATTTGCAGCAGCCGATGGCATTCGTTGAACATCCTCGTTATTTCATGCGTACAGTTTTCGATGGCAACTTCATCGTCTGAGCTTTCGTCGAATGTTGACTTGTGTAAATGTCTGGAATGCAGGGATTTCAAGTCTGTTATTTTGGCTTTCAGTTTTGGAATAATCATTTGAGCCTTTTCTAAGTAGTCTATCCATATCGGAGGCATTAAGTTCTCGTTTCTAGAGTGTATGCCATCTTCTAATTCATTCAGAGATACTAAGTGCATTCGTTCTGAAGAATCCTAGAAAAAGTGTCATTGATTTGTTTACCTCTTCTTAAAATGAAGACCTTACCTGATCGGGATAAATGTTTCTACTTCTAATAGCATTGTTCCTCATCAACAGGAACACATCTGTTAAGCTTCTAGTGGCCATTTCAAAATTTAGATTTGATATGGAAAAATCACTAACTTCTGTTCAGCTCAACATATTTGACGTTTTACATTTTCAATGTTTATGTTTACGATAACACATGTTTCGCGTTTCAATCAAAAAAAGTTCTATATGCCTTTGATGACATTTCACGGCTATGTTCGTCGATGGGATGGCTCGATTTTAATTCTGTTAATTTAGCCAATCGTTTGCAACGTCACCAGCTCTGCTAATGTGCTAAGTCTGTATCTTTTTAAAAATCCGTTCTTTTTTTCGAATTCATGCTGCATGTTATTAATTTCTTTGTTTTTTTTTTGAAAGTATATATATTGAGTATTAGTACGCAGTGACCTCTCATTCAAACCGTATTAAAAATGTTTTGAATCACTGAATATTTATTTTCATTAAATGTCGAGACGTGCATCTGAGATGAAAAAAAATTATTTAATTCAATTATATAAAAAAACCCGTATCACGATATCAGCACTCGTCTGAAACGGTATATTTGATTTTTATGAATGTTTTTATTATTATTTGGTAGGTATGAATATACGTCGTAAAGTATATTTCATACCTATTTTTGATGGAATCGGCCGATACTTGATGAAAATCCATGACGTATTCAAAAAACAAATACGTAACACGTGTTTCGTCATACAATGGATTCTTCAGGCGTGTCTTTATTGTAAGGTCTTTCTCAGAGCAAAGACATATCTAGAGGCATCATAGCTATCTATCTACTAAGTGTAGACTATGTCTATCCTTCAATGTCTAGTTTATAGACGAGAGAGGTGAGGCATATAGAAATCGAGTCGCTTACAGAGAGCCATGACACAATGACGTGGCCGAAGATGTTATATTCATTCTTCATTAGAAATGACCTACTGCTCATCAGGAATAATAGAGAAAACAAAATCCGGGCTAGTTAGCTCTGGTCGAACGAAACTTGTTGTACCAACTACTGCGGCAAACATGTTCAGCAGCTATTGACTCAACCAGCCACATCTTGTTTTCTCTACTCATGACCCGGCCATAGAAGTTTATTCAAAATCCACTTTTTTTTCTTCTATTTTTTTATGGTCTTTGCTGTCTTTACGGCGCAGTAGACGGATCAAAATCCACTATTGTGTTGGTGACGCAATTATTTATTAATTGATGCATTAAATGCCAATTTGTCACGCCACTATCTTTAGGTCCTCCATAAACAAGTGTTTATGTTTTTTTACTCTGAGGTGTGTGTCAAGAACAAATCCCGAGTGAAAGTCGAGTTGGATTAAAATCGAAGAAGAATTGACACTGACAAATGTATGTTGACATTCAGTTACAAATAAACAAAAAATGGCGACATATAATAGAAACACTTTGCCACAATCCGATTTATTACACTGTTATTTAACTGTGAACGTGAATAATATTTGCAGAATATGTCTGGAAAAGGGGCCAAAACTCATGCCCATTTTCGATCCAATCAAACCCCCTCATTTCTCAATTTTGATCATGGCATGTGCAGCTGTCCAGGTAACACATTTGCACTATTTTCCATGAAATACCCTGCCTCATTTATAACTACGGTTCGACAACTATTTCTAATTTTCAACTATATCTGTCCAATTAGGTGTGATGCCTGATTTCAGGTTCTACAAGGTGACGGCTTACCCCCATACATTTGCCAAAAATGTATATCGAAGCTAAATATTGCATTTCAATTTAAAACACAATGCGAAAGCTCAGATGCAAAACTACGACAGTGCTTCGACAACTTTCACCATTTGCCTTCTACACCTGACCTAACGGGCTTTGTAGAACTCAAGAAGGACTTCTCTCAAAACACGTTCACTGAAAACAATGATGGTGGAACAAATATAATACTAGACAAGCCCCAAGAAGGGATTCGTTTGGAAGGAGTGAATACAGCTGATTTGAACTCTACAGAACAAGAAATTCTGCAAAGCATGCAAACAGATGCCGGGTCATCGTTATACGATTTTAGTAGAAATAGTTTGATGGATTTGAAATCGGAGATGGCTGACAGTAAATCTCAGGATTTGAAGGAACTGAAGGTTTGTTTACAAATACAAAAATAGCTCTCAAAGTTTGTAATACTAAGTCTATCCTTCCGAAACGTTACAAATCAAGTTTTCATTGTCTTATTGATATAGATTTTCATTAGGACACCCCCCTTTGGATTTTAAAATCTTTCATCCACCTACAGCAGTTTGAACTATGGAATCGGTAGTAACATCTTCCAGAATAACTTTTATCTTTTCTAAGGATGTCTCACTTTAGACCAAAATACTCGGATGTCTTGCAGTTATAAAACTTGATGCCATAGTTGTTAGATCGCTACTGCCATACTCCTCAACTTACTATTGTAACTTTCTTATTCTTTTAAGATACAACCACTAATATTTAACCATCATTATCATCTTACACATCGTTTATGTTTACAGACCTATTTATATGTTAATACTGTTTTAATTTGTTATTGCATGTATATTATTTTAAATATTCTGAGTTACTTTATCAACTCCCAATTAGTATATAAGATCCTTCAAATATCAGATCGTTAACAACAGCTTTAACGGATTCAAGAAACGCACTTTAATGTTAGATTTTCCACCGAAAGTTTTTAAAATCTTGACGCTTGTTTTGCTATACAATAGCATCTTCAATAGCATGTATTATATTGAACGAGACAATCTAATTCTGATATTTTTCAGTTGGAAGACATGATTCTGATTGGTACAGATGACACTAAGAAAAAATTCAAACGGCATCAGTGTGATACCTGCAACAAAATATTTCGAACCAAACCAGGCCTCGTCCATCATATCCGTATTCATACAGGAGAACGTCCTTATGTTTGCCATCTTTGCGAAAAAAGGTAATTCACATTAAAAACTCATTTATTTCAAGAATGGCGAATCATTTGAGAAGTCATTGATGCTCATGTATTCAGGAGGACCACGGAGTGGATGACTCAATCTCAACTATTCAAACTAAAGGAAAACATTATTGCCATAAAGAACGGTAGTCATAAAACTTCATATATTCCTTGTGTTATTTTATCTGGTGAAATTATCCAGTTTCTAATACTATGGGACTATTGAAGTCCCATAGTATTAGAATTTACATTGTAGAAACTAAATTCAAACTTAAAGACAATTTTGGGTCTATAAATTATCACAAAACATGTAATAAATCTAAAAGTATAGTTATAGATAATGAAAATATACACATTTCTCTTTATCAGGTCCTCTATGTCACAGAAATATCACATGATTTATACAGAGAACTGCTTTGCCTTTGACAAGCAATCTACTATTATCTTTCAAATGGTGGATTATTTCTTCTCAGAAATAATTCTTTCCAACAGATATTTTAAAATATATTTTGTTAATATAATCGTAATATTTCTTGAAATTCAAATGTTAACATCATTTTGGGATTTTCTTTGTTTTCCTTGAGTTTTACACCACCACCTTGTGCTAGAATAGTGTCAACTGTTTTCCAATAGAGTGGAAAAGAACAATAAATTGAAAGGAATGGTGTTTTCTAGTTTTGCGTTCATATTGGCCACATATCTTCATGAGCAGTGGCCATTCTTCTTTTTTTAACTGCTTATGGCCTTATCCCTTGAGGCTACTAAGCAACTTATTGACGTTTTGTTTTGTCATGTTTAATGTTTTCAAAAAGTGAATTGTATTATTCACATAAACTATGCCATTACGTTTTTGTGGCTAAGTATTTATTGTTTAATTTCATAAGTTGGAGATGAGTGGATAAATATTACAACCGATTTTTTTTATGAAACTAATCATTCCTTTACTTATTGATCAATTTTTATTTGCTTTTTTTTACATCATCTCTTCTAGTGATTGTGTAGACTGCATGTTAAGATAATTTCGTTCCTGCATTATTGGGTAAAAAAAAGCAATTATGCTTCCCAGTGCATGATACTATGTGATCTTCGGCGTATTTGATTGTATGTGTTTGGAAAATAAAGGCTCATCATTTTTATCATTTAACAAAACTATCACCACATGAACTTCCCTATTCAGGATTCGATTTTTTTGTCCGATAGGTTCATAAACGGAGGTCACCTCCACACTCACATGCGCACACATACCGGCGAGAAAAACCACGTGTGCGCAGCTTGTAGCAAAGCTTTCGCAACCGCTCAACAGCTGACGAAGCATACCATTGCCATCCACACATCGGAAAGGCCCTACGGTTGTACGTATTGCCCTAAGAGGTTCGCCAGCTCGAGTAATCTGAACACCCACACCAAAATACATACGGGAGAGAAGAATTACCACTGCGACCAGTGCGGAAAAGCGTTTTCCACTAAGGGGCAGCTGTACCAGCACATGCTGGTACATACCGGGGTGAAGGCTTACCTTTGCGAGTACTGTAATAAGAGGTTTTCGCAGAAGGCCCATCTTGTGAGGCACCTCAAAACGCATCGGGCGGCTTCCTAGTGAGGTGTTGGTGTGAGGATGTTTTATTTAAGTTAATTTATTTGATATGTTTTATATTTACTTGATGACTTTTTGTGTCTAAATAAATTACATTGTTTTAAGATGGGTTTCTATTTTTGTATGTATGAGTTAGTTTATAACTGTTCAAATGAGTCTGTCGGGAGTTCTAATGTGCAATTTTTATTCGATGAGGTGTTTTAAACGCTAACGCCCTCAGTGATAGATTTTTTCTCTACTTCCCTTCTGTAATTCAAAGACATTCAACATAAAAGGTATACTCGATACTGATCACTTGAAAATAAACACGTTATATACTAGTGACCACTGTTCAAAAACAGCGGTTAAGATAGCATCCGACTTGAAGGAAAAACTATTCTCCAAGAGTTTTGCTTTTTAACTGTCCGCAGTATTTATTTGAATTTGTTTTTTATTCAGTAAAGACATAATCGAGTCACATGTTCAGCTTGGTTTAACTCGATTATGGAACTGATATATTAATATCAGATTAGTGCCGGTCAGCTAAATTAGGTAAAAAATATTAGAAATTACAACTATTATACTTTCAATGAATTCTACAATATTTGTTCAAATTATTTTCCATTTATATAACTGTTCATTGTTGGAATTATCAACAGTCTGGTGACATATTTTCGAGTGCTGTGATATGGACAAGCAGTTGATTGCTGTCTCTAAGAAGTGATTTGTTCGTGGTTTGTGCTCTCCAGTAATGTTTTGAGATGGTTTCTCTTCTTTTTCCATTAATGGCTTCAGCTGCCAGGGCTATCCAGCCAGGAGTTCCAGTATCTTGTTGCTACTGCAGGTGGAGCACACACTGAAGTGGATCTGAATTGGACCCAAACCCCACCTGGGTGTTGGTTTCTCTGTGCATCTGTCATTGACACTAGTCTAATTGTACGTTACCACAGAATACCTTACAGAAGAGACATTCAGCACGGAACAGGAACCATGAACTGAGAATCTCGAGGTAATTAATGTCAACCTAAAAATTTTATTGAGTCGTTAGTGAACTTGCACATGGTAAAATTAAGCTAGTTTGGTTGAAATGTTGGCCTAACAACCTGCTGATATGACATCGTAATAATTCTTCGACTGCAACCAAAATAGATATATGATAAGTTTCAAATAATATGAATTTACCGCTAAAAATGACATTAACATAACACCTCGAACACAGATTGTAGGTCACAGAAACTTGACCACTCAATATAAAAGTGCTGCCTGCCAGATGTGTGTCCCTTCTGTAAGGTATTCTATGACGTTACTTCAACTAAATGTTACGAAAACTTAATGAGACATGAATATGATGCAAAGAAAACTACAAAAAGTGGATAATACAAACTGACATTGTCAGTTGACATAGGTAGACAAAAATACAGAATTGCCAACATGAAAAAATACGTTTCTCATTTCCGAAATGGTATTTTATATTAATAAATTGAAAAAACTTATGAATAGTAAAAATAAAATTCTTTCGGAAATGTTAAGAACAAGAAAATTATAACTATTTGATAGGACTCTGTTCTCGTTTCACTGTTTGACTTGACTTGGTTCTAATATAGACGATAATAGACTATAATTCCTATATTAAAAAATGAATACATAGTATACGTAGCCTAAAATAGTTGAAGTGGGATTGAATGACTGAAATGAACAATTTTTAATGTACGAATGAGGTTTTATTCTCTTTATAATTCATGAAGTGAATTATATAAAACAAACCAATAATTATCAGGTACCGGAATAATAGACATAGACAGGAGGAACTGAAAGGATTTAAAATTCAAATATGGCATGAAGAAAAAAATATATTTTTTTAAACTGGTACTTTCTGATATCATTTCAAAATGAAGAACGAACATTCTCCTTCAGAAGATCCAATCTGGTTACAGAGTGCAGAATTATTATCTGCAGAAACTGTAGAATGCTTGCCAGTTATAGGCAGTTCTCAGGTGTCTTCTATACTCGAAAACTTAGAACAGTCAGGATCTGAAACAAATAATCAGAACTTGGATCTGATTATTCTCCCTTCGACGGATTTCAAACATACAGCCGAGAATCCACTGAGCCTACATGACAACTACATTGTTTTAAATGAAAGTGGCAACGCTAAACGTCTACAAAGTGATTATACGAAAAGGAAAAAAGATGACTACGAAGACATGCTCTATTTCGTGTGCAACATGTGCCCGTTTTTATGTACCGAAGACACCAAAATCGCCGAGCACTTAGAAAATGCCCACATAAACAACACATCCGTCAAACTTCCAGAACTGAAGTGCCCAGCATGTCCCAATATTTTCTATCATAAAATTTCACTGAGGTCGCACTTGATCCACGACCACGGAGTAGCAAACTCCGACTTGAGTCAAATCATCCAAGCTGTGATATATTATTCGCAAAAATCGAAGACGAAAGAGAAGGAAGACCAACTGAAGGAACAGAATCGTATCGCTGAGATTGTCAAAAAGGCCCTTGAGCCTCAGAGCACCAGTTCTTTCGAGGCTGACGGTATTGAAAGGGGGGCCGAAAATCTCGACGACATTTACTTGCCAGATATTAACACTTTAAACCAACCCGACGCAGTTATGAAATATATTGACCAGAAAAACAGAAGTAGATGCATTTTCCCAAATTGTAAGGTTCGCCTTTGGGGAGAAGAGAAGATGAATTACCATATGGCTTGTCACGTCAGCGATGGATTCTCATGCAAAGACTGTGGGGAGCAGTTTTCTGTCTGGAAGCCTCTGGCGTCGCACTTGTGGCGACTCCACAAGATCGACATGGACCTTTACTCGTGCGACAAGTGCGATTACAAAACCTACAGCCAAGCCAAGTTGAACAACGTACACAAACTCATACATAGCGATGCCAAGAACTTCCTGTGTAACGTGTGCAATAAGGCTTTCAAGAACAACAAACAGCTGAGGAATCACAAGTTGACACACAAGGATAAAGCGGAGAGGTTGATGCACCCGTGCGATGAGTGTACCAAAGTTTTCGTGGACCGCAGGCAGTTGAGGACCCACAAAGATGTGGTCCACAAGAAGATAAAGCCCTATCTGTGTAGTTTCTGTGGGTATAAGGGATCTTCAAGAAGTTCTTTGAAAATGCATATTCGGCAACATACGGGTAGGTATTAGGTGAAGCCAAAAAATATGAAAAGTATCAAGTATTAGATAGATAGATAGATAGATACTCTATTAATCTTCTCAGATTGTGTTTACAACAGCATTAGGCACGTCAAACAAGGTGCGAAAACAATACTTTCAGTTTACATTTATGAGATGAAATATATGGAATTAAACATATGAGAAGCTAATTATAAGTTAATTAGTCATATTAAAAGCTAATTACATAACAGCCAGGGTCATTGATAATAGTAATAATAATAGCCTTTAACCCAACAGTTAAAAACCATTTACAGGGTCAACTAAGTAGGTTAAAAAAAAGTAATATTGATCCTTATAATTACAAAGTTACAATTTGAGAAGATGATTAACAAAATTATAATATAATAATATAAAATTAAAAAAAAACTATACCAGGAAATTAAAAATTCTCCATGCAGTTTCGAAAATATATTCTAGGGAATCAAATTGATATTACACAAATTTGAAGTTAAATTGAAATTATTGCAAATGCTTATGATAGGTGACTTGAGATACAAATTGGTTCTGGCCAGTTGGCTGTAAAAAGTTTTTATACTTCTAGTTCTAAAATGAGGCACACAGAAATTTATAAAAGATAACACCTCCATAGCATCCACATTGTTGTGCAGTAATTTATACAAAAAAATTATTCCAGCAAGTTTTGTGCTTAATTCAAGACTTTCGATATTGAATGTCATGGTAATACCTCTATCAGGATAGATACCATAGGATTTGAAGTAAATAAACTTTAGGAAACGACGTTGAACTTTTTCAATTAATGTATTATAGCAATTGTAGAATGGAGACCATAGAACAGAGCCATTTTGACCTTACGTAGGCAACATAAAGAGTAAATAGAGTAGATATGTTTGAAAAAGACCTACAATTGCAAACTATGAAGCTATAAACTCTCAATGCTTCACTTACTTTCGATCTAATGTGGTTGGAAAAAGACAAATTTTGATAAAAAATATACACCAAGAACTTTAATTGAGTTACTTTGTGACACTGATATGATATCTACTCGATAATTGTACTCGATGACTGACATTTTCCTACTAAAAGACACTACTTTACATTTGGATGCGTTGAGATATAGTTTGTTAATTTCACACCAAGTCTGTATATTTTCTAATTGTCGTTGCAATGTATTACAGTCTTCGAAAGTTTCGACAGGTAAATATATTTTCAAATCATCTGCAAAAAATAACTTATTACAATCGACATAATTACTGAGGCCATTAATAAATAATAAAAGCAGAAGTGGTCCGAGATTCGACCCCTGAGGTACTCCAGATGAAGGATTGTAATAAAAAGAATCATAGATACAAACTGGTCGTGTTGAAGTAAGTAGGATTTAATGAAAAGTACTGCTGAGTTATGTAAACCAAATTGGTGGAGTTTTTGTAGAAAGATCATGTGATCAAGTCGATCAAATGCTTTAGCAAAATCAGTATATATCACATCAACTTGACCACGATTATCTAAGACATCACTAACATTTTGGGTCAATACAATAAAATTTGTTGTGTTGGATCTGTTTGACATAAATCCATGTTGTTGCTGAGATATGATGTTACGAACTGAGGAACGTACGTGATTGTAGATGACAATTTCGAGAAGTGTAGCAAAGTTCGATAGGATTGAGATAGAACGATAATTCCGAATATCAGATGGATCTTCAGACTTAAAAATGGGACAAACTTGTGATATCGTCCATAATTCAGGAAAATTATTATTTTTAACTGCAAGATTCAAAAGTGTCAGTAAGGGATAGACCAATACAACAATGCAATCTTTTACCAAAAAGGATGGTATCAGGATTAATATAATCTAAGGAATAAAATGTTTGAATCAAGTGATTTTTAAACATCTGTTTAAACATTTTCAAAAATTGTTTCTGATTATGAAGGCGATCTTTTGTGCTGTGACCTGAGTGTTTATTGGACATGGAAGGTATATATCAATAGTTTGTATAGATGAGTAGATGTGAGTATCAAAATATCTGCACAGTCAAGGTCAAATATCATTCTGATAAACTCTTTCTGGATTATAAAGCCTCTAGATGTTTCTGTGGACCTTCCCCATACCTCATAATCATATCAAGGTAATTGGTTTTAATGTGGTGTTAATGATTCTGAGGGTAAAATAAGTTCAACTTGTTCAGTGATATTGTTGATGATGTTGGAATAAATAACATTGGAATCACTCAAGTCCATATTCCTCAGTTCCCATTTGATGAAGGGCATCTCAACTACTATTGGTCCAATAGTATGTACAGATAAATTCCTTATCTTTCTCTAGTGGTGTTTATCTTCTCTACAGATAAATTCCTTATCTTTCTCTAGTGGTGTTTCTCTTCTCCACAGATAAATTACTTATCTTTCTCTAGTGGTGTTTCTCTTCTCTACAGATAAATTCCTTATCTTTCTCTAGTGGTGTTTTGGTGTTTCTCTTCTCCAAAGATAAATTCCTTATCTTTCTCTAATGGCGTTTCTCTTCTCTACAGATAAATTCCTTATCTTTCTCTAGTGGTGTTTCTCTTCTCCACAGATAAATTCCTTATCTTTCTCTAATGGTGTTTCTCTTCTCTACAGATAAATTCCTTATCTTTCTCTAGTGGTGTTTCTCTTCTCCACAGATAAATTCCTTATCTTTCTCTAATGGTGTTTCTCTTCTCTACAGATAAATTCCTTATCTTTCTCTAGTGGTGTTTCTCTTCTCTATTTGTGTACTCCTCTCTATTTGTCAGTTTTTAAACAATCATCCACAACATTTGTCATTTTCAGGCGAAAAACCTTTCTCTTGCAACAACTGTTCCTACACTACTTCGGACCACAACTCGCTGCGTCGACACAACCTCCGGCATACTGGTCACAAGCCATACAAATGTAGCTACTGCTCTTATGCATGTATACAGAGCAGCACGTACAAGACTCACCTCAAGACGAAGCACCCCGGTATGGAGAAGGACCTCATGTTCACGTGCCACGAATGCCAATTCAAATCTGTCAATAAAGAGATGTACGTCTCGCACATGATTACGGTGCACAAGACGACTCCGCAGGAGGATTAGCAGGTTAATGGGCCGAGATCTTAGGAAGATATATCATCTGTGATGAAGAGAATTCGGAGGAGGTGTGCCACAGAATATTGAGAGGTTTTTTGTTTGGTATCGAGTTTTTGACGTAATTCACAAGAGAATTTCAGGTAATGTTTTTTGAAGACGACGGAGTGTATTGTTACATGATGCTAAATTATAACTCTGAATGCGTTCAGTTGAATTATAAAAAACTTGGGATCTGGACATACCGGATAGATATTTTTTAGAGAAAAGATCTCATTTTTGTGTGAATGAAACTGTCTTCAATGAATTTATTATTGAATGGATCCTTTATTTCCAAGATAATTAGAAATAATGGAACTTTCATAATGGAACTTATAATTCTGAATAAGTTCAGCAAATTAACGACATTTCCTTAAATTATAAGAAACTTGGGATCAGGACATGCTACATGGAAAGGAAATATTATATTTTTCTGGAAGAAACTGTCTTCAATGAATTCATTCTTGAATGAATCCTTTATTTGTGGACTTTTGACGAAATTCGCAAGATAATTAGAAATAATAGAACTTTCGATATAAGTGTATAGCGAACTTATAACTCTGAATAAGTTCAGCAAATTAAAGACATTTCCTTAAATTATAAAAAACTTGGGATCAGGACATGTTACATGGATTTTTTTTGAAGGAAATATTACATTTTTCTGGAAAAAACTGTCTTTAATGAATTTATTCTTAAATGGATCCTTCATTCCCAGACTTTGAGAAAATTCGCGAGATAATTTGAAATAATGGAACCTTCAGTATAAGTTTGTTGCAATATAGCAACATATAATTCTAAAAAAGTTCAGTAAATTGAAGAAATTTCCTTGAATTATAAAAAAAACTTGGGATCAGAACATGCTAAATGCATTTTTTCAAAGGAAATATTATATTTTTCTGGAAAAAATGGTCTTCAATAAATTCATTTCAATCTCATACTATCTATAGAACTTTTCGTCTTGAATGGATCCTTCATTTCCAGATTTTGACAAAGTTTGCACGATAATGTGAAATAATAGAGCTTTCTGTATAAGTTTCTTGCAATAAAACAAATTTATAGCTCTGAATGAGTTCAGTAAATCAAAAACATTTTCGTGAATGAAGGAAAACATAGGAAGACACACAAATATATATTTTTCAAACATAAGATCGGATTCACTTCAATTAATTTATTTTTCCTAAATGAAATATGAAATGTTCTGCGGAAAAAATGTTTTCTGTTGCATTCAATGAATATTTTTTTTGGCAGCAATTTTTATATGTGTTTCAAAATTTATTCTATGTGCAATTTGAGAAGTGTTGGAATTTTCTTGACAAAATACAGTAACAAGTAATTGAAGTAACTGACGATTCCTAAAAAAGTAGAGTTGATGTGTATTTTATTGAATTCTGATTAAAATTTATCATTCTCTTGATGATAGATCAAAATGAAATATTAGATTCAATATTAGAAGATTTGAAAGTAATAATTGAGTAAAGATACATTTTTTAATATATTTGTAAATATGTAACATTGAAATTATTGTAATTTTCAAAACAAAAATATTTATTTGTACATAATACTGTCTTTTATACATCTTGTATATACAGCTATGAAATCTTTACTGTCTTTCACTTCATTATAATCCTTCAACGTCCACCTTGTACTGCCGAAATCTGGGTCGAACGGTTCTGGATCCGTATGTCGTCCTTTGCCATTTCCGGGACCGATTATGAGCACCAAATTTCCTTTATACGCTCGAATGTAGTCCTGGAAAGCTACTTTGTTGTTGAAGTAACAGAACAGCAAGACGTGGTTTGAGTTGAACATACCCTCTTGTATTTTCTCGCAGTACTGTAGCTTTATGAATTGGGGATTTGAGTATTTGCTAGTCCACCATTCACGGTTTATCTCGTAGCCGATAACGTGAAGTCCTGAAATATTTCATAAACGCTACAAAACTGACCTGAAAAATGCTCATGAATGATGATATTTATTTTCATATGACTGCAAATTGTTTCTCAACAGTATATTGAAGGAACCAAACATTCAAATAAACCGCCATTTCGCCAACCAATAAGATCGGTTTCGGAAGAGAGAAACCATTAGCAGTGTTGCCATTTTACGGGTACTGTGGTTTTGGTAAAAAATATTTGATTAGTAAAAGTTCTGAACACAGACTACAGAAACAAGTTTACAATCAGTATTCTGTGGTTCTGAAGAAGCACTGGAGCAAATGAAGATTATCTTTTTCATTCTCAATTTCATTCAATATTTTTTTGTGATATGTATGACGTAACAAGAGTTTATCAATGAAAGTAGAGAGGAGTGTTTTGAGATAGTTGAAACTTGGCTCTAGTGGCTGGAAAAGGGGAAACCTAACCTCACTTTCTAAAAGAAAATTTTGAAATTGCTGATAACATTAGTAGGAATAAAACAACTTATATTAGCGTTCCATTTGCATGAATTTCAAATTTTATCGTCAAGAATGTGTCCTGATTAAAAAGTTAATGAAATTGTATTCCTGTAAGTGTCTTATCAATTCTATTGAATGGGTATTTCGTACTGACAGTATTTTTTTTCAGTTGATTTTTGGACTGCATTATATTTTTAGACATCATGGTTAAAATATGTTTTGTTCCTACTTGTAAAAACCGTTCATCCATAGTAGATAAAAAGTTTTTCAGTGTTCCAAAAAACACAGCTAAAAGGAATATATGGTTTTCTGCTGTTGGATACGGATCCACTTCAAAAGGTCATGCTTATTATTGTTGTGAAGATCACTTTCATGTAAGTATTTCTTCTGTATGAGTATATATTAGCTAAATGGGCAATTGCTCATTCCAGAATACTGTAAAAGATACCGAAAATATCAGATTGTTAGTTGTTTGCTGTTGAAAATTTTAGATTGCCAGTGACACCTTTCATAATGTATTCATAAGTAACATATTTTGCATGCGAAATCAAATTTCCAAAATCTCTGCAAAGAAAGAAGGTAGGCACGCAAATAGAAATTCATTTTTCCCGTACATTACTGGAACTGAAAAGAGTTGAAGTTGGTTTGTAGACTACCATCTCTTACATATCTCTTGGACCGGAATTTGAATAGCCCCATATGAAACTTTTTTTTTTCAGTTACCAGAAGATACTCGGAACTGGATGTGTTTCAGATTTGTTGAAGGAACAGTACTCAAACTGAGAGAAAATGTGGTGCCTCATAAAAACATAGAACCTCAAGTGTCAAGTACACCGTTAAACTTTCTTCCTACTTCATCGTCCATGAAAATTCCTCCTTCAATAGAGGTATCCCTGAAAAGTTCTTCCACTTCAGCTACCCAAATGTCTCCTCCATCAAAAATTGAGGAACTGTCATATTTAAAGGATTACGATGCTAGCCCCTTGAAATCAGATATATCTCCCACACACAATTCTAGTTCGTCATATAAAGTAAGTAATCAAAAATTATTATGAATGTAAAAAAAATCACCTGTGGATTTGCTAATAATCCATTCCAAAAGTCCACAACCACATCCTATAGAAGTGATTCCTTTGCAACCAGAATCCTCGACTATTTTTTTAATAAACCTCAAGTTCTCTTCGCTTGGCCACACCCACAACAACTTAACAGCACACGACAGGTCGGAATTTTCGTTCAATTTCAGCAAATCCCTCCAATTTTCTGCCTGATATAAATTCAATACTTCGTTCATAAATACCTTATCCAGCATAATTATCAAACAACAAAAAGTTGAAGTCAATAGTTTGATCTTGAGAGCTGTCCGACTCGACTGTAAATGAGATGTAATCAGATGACGTCCGAACTCAAAAATTGGTTTTTAAATTAGTTTGCAGAACTATTTTTAAATTCTGCTGGCATTGAACTTGCATTAATCATTTGCCAAATAGATGAAAAAATTTCAGCAGGTATGTTTCTTGGCACGATTTTTTTTTGTGTGAGTAGGCACGTGAAGATCATCTGTTTTATATACAGGGTGAATAGAAAGTTTTCCATAGCCCTCACTTGAAACGAGTTTAATTTTTTTATTTTGTTTATTGTGTAATTCAACTAACTGGGAAACTTTTATCAAAGAATATAGAGGTTTTCTTGCGGCGAAGTTCTTGGATTTATTCTCACTTTTCAATTCAAGAAGATTCAAGTCAACACATGTATGAAGCTCTTTATTTTTGAACATGAATCGACGACTAGTAAAATATAAGTTTTAAAAGGGTTTGCATGATCTACATATTGTTGTGAAAAGTTTATTTTGAAATTGATTGCTTTTCTCCTTTCTTTGGAAATTCCCACATTTTTTTGTATGAAGATGGAGAAGTAGAAAGCCAAAACCTTTACCACAAGTTTGTAATAACGAGATTCACTGATAATGGCGAATTTGTGTCTGCTCATCTAAGAGGTAGGCCTGAAAATTCGCTTCTTCTGATCGAAGTGATAGTTTTAAAATTTATTCGTTGAAATTCAACAGGTAAAAGCATATTTCCCTCTTGGCCACATTCAATAAATCTGGAAATAACTCTATATTCACAAAATTATTTTATGTAATGATTTCCAGTTTTGTTCATACAGGAAGATTAAAAAATCGATATAAAAGAAAACTAACTGTAGCTTCTGGTATTTTCAGCCAAGTAATAAATTGGATATAGTCATATGACAGATAGAACGCTGTTAGTAACTTGTAATAATCCTGTCTCACATGAACAGGCTGTAAAACTAGGTATATCTCAGGGTTCACTTCTAGGCCCTGTAGTTTTCCTCTGTATGTAAACGACTTTAAACAATATTTAGACCATGTTTATGTAACTGTATGTTTGCTGACGACACAAAGATAACGATATCTGATCAGAATAAGGCAACAGCTTGTAGCTAGAAGAGACATTGTCATAAATCAATTTTCTTCTTGGTGTTAGAGAAATGAGTTGAATTTATATACCTCATAATCGGAATTTTTTTCCACCAAAAACCCCCGTCGGTTTTTTCAGTCAACCCGATAATACCCATATTCACGAAGATATCACAAAGAAGTTCTCTTCGAGATGTCAAAAACATCTTCAGGATGTCTTCTATTTCCGGAAAGATATATCTCAAAGGTGTCTTGAAGAAATCATTTGTTACAAATAATATCTTTATGTTATCTTTGAAAAACATCTCTAAGATATTTTTTAAACACACCTTCGATATCTTTGCAAATCATCTCAAATATGTCTCCAACCGATATATTTAAGACGTCTTCTTAAAGAATTTCACAAGATAAAAAGTAATTGTAATGTTTTAAACGCATTATGCCTGACGTTTCGTCTACGGCTGCGGTATACATCATTGAAGACGTATGTCTCTCTCCCACATAACCAGTCTTTCATGTTCAGCCAAGTAAGTTTTATCAGCAATGATTAATGCGTATTTATATAGTGTATAATGCGCATGGTAATCAAATATTCTATGAATTCCAATAAATCGATAAACTTGGCAACGTCGCCCAAAAATTACAGTACGTTCTATGCTTTGCTATTCCTTTTAACCTCAAAATTAATATCTCAATCCTTCATTTATTTGGCTTAAATGTATCTATTGTTTACAAACGTCAGTTCAAAGTTGTCTTGTGTTTTCTCATGGCAGTGGCTGTAAAGAAGTGTTTTGTTCCATCTTGCTCAAACAACAGTGAACAAAATATAAACAAACTGTTCATAATGGTCCCTTCAAAAGAAGACATCAGAGTGAAATGGTGTGTCGCCAGCAGCAGACCGTATACAAGAACAAAATATATGTATTGCTGTGAAGATCATTTTGATGTAAGTATAATTTCGCGAAAGAGCTAGATTCCTATCAACAATTGGAAGTAGGACAAATATTCCAAAAAGAGAACACAACTGTCAAAAATCTGGATTGAAATACGTATAAAATGAAGGTTAGGAAAGTTTGACTTCCACGGTTACAGCATTGCCAAATATTTGTTACAATATTTCTTTGCCATATGAGCAAACCAGAATAAGATTAGTGTCAACAAAACACACCTTATATGGTATGTTTATGTTTCTCAACGGTATACTATAGGAGCTAATAGCTATATACAATGATGTTACTCTTATTTAACCTTTTAGTGACATAATTATGAATTCTAAAGTTTACAAGTGGTGTGCAGTTCCTCAATATGATATCACTTTGATGTAATTTTTTATTTTTATTCGTATTACACTCAATTTTAACGAAGTTTAAAGCCATTTATGTAATATTTTTTCAATAGTGCGGGAAAACAGCTGGAAGGTCTCATGACGTCGACTCTGACGTAACGCTTAGGTAAACATGTCATTTTGTCTATACGTAACAAAGAGAGTAAACAAAACGTTAAATTAATTCCCGAGATAAAAATGAATTCCAAAGTTTATAAGTGGTGTGCAGTACCGCAGTGTAAAAACACATCAATAAAAACATCCAACAAAGTGTTTGTACATGTTCCAAACAAGAAAAGTATAAGACATAAATGGTTAAAGCTCGCGCGGCGAAACCCTAACGACGTTGTCACGAATTCGCCACTTTATTTCTGTGAAGACCACTTTGATGTGAGTATGTTATCATATATTGAAACATTTGTTAGACGTGAAATAGTTGAAATATTGAGGCTGTGGAATAACTAATTCATCGAGGTTATGTTTGTTTTGGTCTTGGCTATCATTCTTAATATCAGTTTTAATTGTTTACTTTTCTATTTGCAGTTGCCAAATGATATGGAGAATTATATGGAGTATCATGTGATGGGGTCAGTATCACAAGTACGTATGAAACCAGGATGTATGCCCCATAAATTTACATGCCAACCAGACAAGAAACCACGAATATCTGATACAACAGAGCGACCCTATATAGTTAAGAAACGAAAAGTGATGATTCTTGAAGAGTGTGAAAAGGAATATGAAGAAAAATGTATAGTTACAGAACAATCAGGTTTTGAAGAAATTGCATCGGGTAGTTCAGGTATATATTATTAACTTACTAGAATATAGCATTGAAAAAGTTGATTTTATTCTCAGTCTTATTACATAGCTACATTGTTGATACACTAAAAACTACATGGATTTTTCTGTGACCTAGTAATCTCCTATTTGTATTCATACTTATAACATTGCACATAACAAAATATTTTTACAGTTCAGTAGAAAGACAAGTTTATTGTAAAAATAACCTGGAGTAAAGATAAATACAAAATTCACTTACAAGGAAGTTTGCACGTTTCTAAACTCAGACGAGTAAAACATTAATATATCAATTCTGGGCAAATTTGAGTTATTTGCATTAACAAATTTTGGTTCCATTGTTATAGTAGAGTGGAGTCGATAAATCACACGTTACATAATAAAAAATAAATTCAAATGCGTAATCTGTAGTATTCACAACAAAACACAGTGAATGAGAGTATTAACAGCGGAGTTGACCTAATCGTGATGTCATGTGCTGTGATGTTTCAGTCAAAATAACCGATCGCAGTATTTTAATGTTTCATTTTGTTGAAAATCTTAGTAACCTGATTTTTTTAAATAAAATTAAAGCAGTGAATTTTTACCTAAATTTCATGGTGTATTTTATTTTTCAGGTGTAAAAGTAGAATCATTAGAAAATACTCAACAAGATCTTCCTGAAAAAATAAAACTAGAATGCCTTCCTAGTTCTCTACATAGTCACAAATGTGAAGAACTTGATATACATCATGAACATATTAAACTTGAAAGTGTTAAAGACGAACCGAATGATAGCGAACAATTATTTCCTTGTGAAAGTTGTGAAATGGTTTTCAGTAGGGAGAAAGAATTAACTGAACATAAAATTGCTGAGCGTGACTGTATAACTCTAGAAGAAGATGAAACCGCATGGAACATTGAAGACTCTTCAATACAAGGTGAGGGTACAGAGTTATCTCTTTTTTTTGAGAATAGAGTAAGTGAATTTATTATAATTTTCATAGGTATATCCATATCTCATAAAGGTACAGTTGAATGTTGGAAATGTTTCGAAATGTAGAGTACCAAGTTAAGTAAAAGTTAGATTATGTTCATCCTGTGCAATTTTAGGATAGTTGAAGTCATTTTGTTCATTTTTAAATTGTGATTTGAAGTAACAAATTTCATTGTTTGAAATTTGTTGTGGCAGAACTTTGACGCCTTTTTTGGTGGTTTTTGCCTTTGGGAAGTGCCTGGGGGGTCATCAGTGTCCAAACACTGTCCTGAACATCTCCTGTTGTCCTATACAGGATCAACTTTTCATAACACGTAACGATCCGATCAAAAAAAGGTGCGTTTTGGTTGGGCAAAAGCAAAGAAGTTCTCAAAACGTGACAATTTCTGTCTATCGTAGTGGGGCACCAACTTTTCGAGCTTTTTGACCTTTCCAATACGTTTTAAACCATCAAAACCCGCCCTGGAGCTGACGCCTAGTACTTCCTCCATCCCACGCATCGTTTGTGATGGGCCAGTCTCCTGTAGGGTTCACATATCCTCGTCCAGGATTACTGTAGGTAGCCAGTTCGGGACTCATCTTTACAGCAAATGCAAGTTTGAACAAAATAAAGTTGAGTTTATTTTATGAGTTTCTCAAATTCACTCATCGTTGCCAAACAAATATTAAACAACGCGTGTTGAAACTTGAAACATATGCTTGATAAATTGTGTACTTTCCAATACGGTCACATTTTTCCAACACCTACTGCCATCTCTAGGCCAGGCCGGGTACTTCTGTGGCCACCCTCTGTGTGAGAGTAGCACTTATGTCATCTAATACACCATTGTATAAATTATGGTTCAAATTCACTTCTAGAAAATTGTCAGAAGTTGGCAATGCGAAAATACTGCACATATTACTATTCCAGAGAAATCAGAACTCATTATTGAATGGAGCTGTTTAAAATATCATTGGATGAAATAACAAAATGAATGTATCAATGCGGAGACGAGAGTGAAGACTTTCCCATACCCTACAAATAAGAAAACTATCAAACAATGTGAAAACAATTCAGAGAGAAGAATAAAGGTGTATGTTTACAATGGGGAATGTTCCTCAATTTGGGTTATTACAGCAAATGCAAGTTTGAACAAAATAAAGTTGAGTTGAATTCATGAATTTTTCAAATTCACTTTGAAAAGTATTCAAATTGATGTTTCAAATGTTGGGTTTTAATTTTTAAAGGGATTTGTTTCTAATTCACATATTGGCAACAGCGCCTATATCAAGTTGAAATAATTTATATGTACCTAGATATTCTACTTTAAAAAAAGGAAAATTATCTTTATAAATCAACAATTGAGGCAAAATATGAATTATAGTTCAATACCATCTCCACAAGCCACATAAACAACAGTTGTTTGTTATTTATTTATATAGAGGAAGATAGGTTAGGTGCACAAAATGTCATATGTCACAGAATGTCTCAGAACTCGGAACAGAACAGCACGCCTCTGAAATATGTCATCTTTGTTTGTCTCATACAGGTAACAGATTCACTGTCCTTTATTAGCTATAACTGATGTTGCCAAATGGTGAAATGAAAACGAATCCCTTATTTCATTCCTCTTTTTTAAGTATTCAAATAATTTTTTAAAGAAAATGGTTGAAATGATAAGTTTAGAATGCGTTGTTTTAGAACTCTAAAACTACTTGATTTTTGTCAGGAGGGACATTCCCCATTCCTGGTTCATTTTTTGGTCTGTTTTGGCAGCCCATTGGTTCAATTGGAATTTGTAGAGAAAAATTGTCCGAAAATCCCTTTACATCATATGCTGAAGAGAGGCAAAAAATTAAAATTTGTATAAAGTACAAAACTCTGTATCCATCAGTATATACTAGTACACAGAAGACTAAATATTTATTGAGATATGAAGCTACAGAAACACCTTTTGAAATAACTTATCATTCACAAATAGCATAAACAATAAAGGCTCAGGATTGATCCCCTCTTCTACGACTATAAACACTAAAAATATCTATGTCGAGTTGTAAACAGCGTATATTTATTGTCAATAAAACTAGGTGTTGAATATCTCCATTTGCGTCAATCATGGCCAAAGTTTTTTGTCTTTCTTGGGTGTCAACAGCATCGACTGCTTGGTCATTAGCATCGTGTCTTGGGTAAGCAATGTTAATAACTCCCCGAGCCACACGAGGAGCATTATGGCTTTTCGCAGTCTGTCAGCCATATAATGTTGCAGAATCATCCTACCTTCAACTCCAAAATTTCATTGAATAAACATTCTTTTGTTATTTCAGATTTTGGAGTGCATCAGCCTGATATAAAAAGTGACGTTGCTCACGAGAAAGTACAGGTTAGTAAGATTTATCAGTGTAGAGCATGCCGAGAACGTTGCCGACAAAAAGAAGATCTAAGGCATCATGAAAAAATCCATGTCCACCTGTTGGATCACACCTACGCACTCTTTCCATCAGAAAACTCGTATGGATGAAGTATGTATGTGTGAGTCTTGTTGAGGTACAATTGAACTACTGCATCAGCAGGGAAGATTTTAAATATCGAAAAAACAAAGATGTAGTGAGCCGTCCTAGAAATGGAAAATAAACAAGAGCAGCTCTAAAGGTAAATAGAAACCCAATACAACTACAGTTGATTGATCAGTAGAAGATTCATGAACTTGAACAAACAAAGCAAAACTTCTTAAGATCTAGGACACAAGAGATCCACCCGCCAATGTTCCACTTTACAAGCGTCTCCATAATCATTTCAATGGTTGATTGTGCCGCTTTCATAACCTGGAAATTACAAGAAAAGAACCAGCCCTGGCAAGGGTAAATCTGCCCGTAATGAAAATGAATCAGTATCCATCTTGTTTTAATCTTAGGAATAAAAGAGGTAGGAAGCTGGGTCTGCTGACCAAACTTCACACTGGGTTAGGGTTACTTCTGCTATTCCAGACATGCTTGCTAATGAATATATGTGAAAGACAATTTTATTCATTCCTGTTAGTAAAATTACTCCGTGAATAAAGTCTTTTTGAAAAAGTTTCATTTATTTAATAGGTAACTGACATATTTTCCAATTATGGTCTCTAATCCTGAAGTATCTCAAAGAATTACCACAATACAATGCTGGGTGCTGATTTCAGACAAAGATGATTTATGTAATCCAAATAATTGTCATAAGAATGACACTTTGACTTTAGAAAATATCACTCATACCAGCAACAAGGGAGCCCGTACACTGTTAACAAAGAAGAATTTTTGAGTATGAAACACCCAGCTAGTTATTTTATTTTCATTTATATTTGATCTGTACATGTGTTTCGACCACAGACCTCTTTTTCACTCTACCATACCTTCTTTCAATATGTGTACAATAGAAGAGTATTTTTGTTTTGGAAAGGGTGTTGAAGAATGGGTTTGACAACACTATTATCAATTCTATTCTATTGTTGAATCTTATGGCGTTTTTTCGAGTTTGTTACTAAATCCTACACCTGACACCAAAATTGAATTACAAGGGATCAGACTTACTACATAAAAATGCAATAGGAAACTTTGTAGCGTTTTTGAAGATTAGGTCATACACTAATGATAGTTTAAAAAACAACCAACATGGTGTCTTCAGGAGATGAAAACACCAAACTGGTTGGTGAAACTAGCATCGAGAAGGGTATTGCAGTTTTTGTGATTGAAAAAGTTCTCATTTTTGGGTTCATTCAAGCACTCAACTATAGCAGCACACTCTTTATTATGCCAGAGATTAAAGCTATTAGAATTGTCCAAAAATTTTGATACCGACAATATCATTAATGAAAAGAAAGGATTTGAGAAACCGCCAAGATATGATCTGATCTTATCAAGAGCTATACACGAAAAATCCAGAGCTTTTCAGCAGAATTGAGAAGAAATAAATACCGCAACTTCGTCATTAAGTCTTAAATAGACCTCTTCAAGAAAAATGAAAAACTTACGTGGAGTTTCATTATTTAATTATAAAATTTAGTGGAATCTTTATTAACGCTACAAATCGCACGACTTTTGTTTAACCAAAATGTACTGAACTTACCCTCTATTTAAACACAAGGACAGCAATTTTGACTTGAGTAAATGAGCACAATTTTTTTACTTTACTAGTTTTATTAGTAGAATCAGTTATAAAAAACATCAGATGCTTCCCCCCGTTCATCAACTTATCAATGCAGTAAAGTAATTCATAAAATACGATTATGAAATGTACTAAACCTATAATACTCGAGCTTTGTTAGAAATCGATATTCTAAACTAGCCAATTGAAAATATAGTCACAGCCCCTCACGGGTTGGTTTTAGAAAAAAAGTAATTTAAATGTAAATCAGAACGAAACCAAATACCTTGAAATGTTTGCGATTACAACAACCACAGTTATCAAAAGAAACTGAAATAATCCGATTTGATTAGGGGGATTGAAACTCCTCACTGCCGAGAAAACAACCAAAAGTCGAGCGAAACCTGTTCAAGATGTTTCAGGTTCTTTGTTGTACGTCTCCATGACCTTTTCCATGATTTCCCAGTGCTTTTCCTTGGGGAGATCCTTGACGAAAATATTGTACCACGCCTCGTCGTCGCTATCTTCGATCAGCGGCAACTGAATTCCGTAGCACTGAAGGGAAAGAGAGATGCAAGCGATAGCTACGTGTCTTGGGTTGTAGTCCAGGATGCTGGGGTCGTGATGGAAGTCTTGAAGAAATGCCGCGGAAGCTCTAGCGACGGGAATGGTTTCCCACTGGTCTTTTCCTAACCAACCTTCCATAGATCTGGATGGAACAGATTAATCGTTGTATTTAATATAAACAAACTTCCTGGATTATGAAACTTTTCACATTCCGGCCAAACCAGAATTAGTCACTTATCTAATTAAGTTTTGACATGAAAAGCCAAAATATAACCAAGTTTTGACATAAACTGCCAATATTTTACTTGTTTTTCTGAAAAAAAGGCATATTTATTACTATTTTTCAAAATCTGTTGGTTTTCACAGAATTAATAATTTATCAAATCAAGTTTTGGCATGAACTGCCAATATTTCATCTTATATACAGCGTTTTCAATTATTTTTTTCAAAATTTACCTGTTTTAACAAGATTAATAATGTATTTGATCAAATTTTGGCATACACTGCCAATATTTTACCTATATTCTAGAACTGATATTGCATTTCAATTGTTTTTTCAAATCCTATGTGTTTTACCAGAATTAATCATCTAATTGAGATTTGACGTAAATGCAAATATTTTCCTAAAACTAATTAATACAGTTTATTGTATTATTTTCACTATAAAGGTTTTTACGCTCGAGGAAGCTATTGCATAGCAAAACGTGTGTTGCAGTTTTTGTAAAACCCTTTATAGTGAAAATCATACAATAAACTGTAATAATTAGTTTAAATATGGATTCTCATCAAGTATGGGCCAATAATATTCCACTTGTTTTTCTAAAAGTAATACTGTATTTTAATTGTTTTTCAATATCTACCTGTTCTACCAAAATTAATTATTTATATAATTCAGTTTTGACATAAAATGCCAATATTTTACTTGATCTGCCAATATTTTACTTGATCTGCCAATATTTTACTTGATCTCTTAGAAGTAATGCTGTATTTTAAATCGTTTTTTCAAAATATACCTCTTTTACAAGAATTAATCATTTCTGTAATTAAGTTTCTGCACAAAATGCCAATATTTTACCTGATTTTTTAGAAAAATTGCTTTATTTCAAATAGTATTTTCAAAATATACCTGTTTTACAGGAATTAATCTTTTATCGAATCAAGTTTCGAAACAAAATGCCAATATTTTACCTGATTTTTTAAAAGGAATGCTTTATTTTAAATAGTTATTTCAAAATATACCTGTTCTACTAGAATTAATCATTTATCTAATAAAATGCCAATATTCTATCTGGTTTCTTAGAATAGTTTTTTCAAAATATACCTGTTTTACCAGAAATTATCATTTATCTAATTAAGTTTTGACATAAAAATGTCAATATTTTACCTGATTTCTTAAAATTAATACTTTATTTTAAATAGTTTTTTCAAAATATACCTGTTTTACCGGAATTAATCATTTATCTAATCAAGTTTCTAACCAAAATGTCAATATTTTACCTGATTTCTTAGAAGTAATGCTTTTTTCTGAATAGTTTTTTCAAAATATACCTGTTTTACTAGAATTAATCATTTATCTAATATGCCAATATTTTATCGGGTTTCTTAGAATAGTTTTTTCAAAATATACCTGTTTTACCAGAAATTATCATTTATCTAATCAAGTTTTGACATAAAAATGTCAATATTTTACCTGATTTCTTAGAATTAATACTTTATTTCAAATAGTTTTTTCAAAATATACCTGTTTTACCGGAATTAATCATTTATCTAGTCAAGTTTCTAACCAAAATGTCAATATTTTACCTGATTTCTTAGAAGTAATGCTTTATTCTGAATAGTTTTTTCAAAATATATCTGTTTTACAGGAATTAATCATTTATCTAATAAAATGCCAATATTTTATGTTATCTAATAAAATGCCAATATTTTACCTAATTACTTGGAAGTAATCATTTATCCAATAAAATGCCGATATTTTACCTGATTTCTTAGAATGAATACTTTATTTTAAATAGTTTTTTCAAAATATACCTATTTTACCCGAATTAATCATTTATATAATTGAGTTTTGACATGAAATACCAATATTTTACCTGATTTCTTAGATGTAATGCTGTATTTCAAATAATTTTTTCAAAATATACCTATCTACCAGAATTCTACAATTATTATCATTATTATTCATCAAGTATCAGATCAGTTTCATAATCATAAACCACAACCTATCGATACCTAAAACTTTTATACGAAACATTTTTTTGTAACATCTTTTCTCCGCCCGAACTTCTAACAAGAGCTCAATGCGACACATAAACTGTACATATCAGATGTTACAATCTCACCTCAAATAGTGCAGCATGAACTTGTGTGGATGAGTCGTGCCTACTTCGAACTTGAGCATGCGCATAATAAGCAGCTCCGCTTGAACGATGGCATCTCTCATGCTCCAGTATTCGTCACCGATTTCCAAAGGGCTGCTTCCCCTGTGGAGCGTGTTGTGGGCGACGTTTATGATGTCCCGTATCTTCAAGGGATCGTCCTTCACTTTGCCGGCCAGGTAGAGAGACGACGCTCCGATCAGCTGCAAGGTTTGACAGTTGTTGGTAAAAATTATCAATAATGATTTTGAACAAAAAATGTGAAGCTCTTTTTATAAGCTTTATATTAACTTCACCTGTATGCATGTATGTTCGTTCGAAAAATAATGCATAATATAGGTATATGTCTATATGGGCGACATAATTCTTAAAATTGATTTATTTTTCATTGGTTTATTCAAAAATTTATTATCTATTAGTATGGATAATCGCAACAAATTCCTTATTGAAACTAATGGAGAAAATTCAAAGTAAAATTATGAACTGTACATTCAAATTGAACTTCAAGGAGTCTACAATCATCTAATATAAACAAAAAAACCATTATTTGTTATCCCTACATAAATACCATCTATGTACCTTCATTTATCTGGTCGAAAACAAGCTCAAACATTAAATGCAGTTGACTTGTTTACTGATAGTAATTGATTTAACAAAACTGAGAGGAGACAGGAACAACTACTGGAATGTTGTTTAGACTAGAATAATTAACAGAAGTGATAGGAGAACTTAAAAATAGAAGATAAATAAACTACAAAATAATTACTTTGTTGATAATTTCTGTGAGCAGATAATTACAGCTCAGTTCAGAGAAGTATTATGGAATATAGAAATGAGTTGATTTGCTCAGAATGAATTTATTTGCATATTTTCAATGAACAATTCATGTCACACATACTCAATTGAATTTAATTTTCTCTTCACAGATAATGTATAGGATGAGTTAAATATTCATATAAATAATGATAGAATTTTTTTTCAAAATGTTCAGCTTATTTTGTGTGAATATGAAGACGAAATATCCCTGAAAGGGTTTTTCAACCTTGAGAAAGAAATGAAGCAAACAAAAATGTACTCAGGAAATTTCCATACATATTTATTTGAAATTATATTCTATTTCGACAAGCACATCACTTTTTTCATGCGTTTTTCGCTAACCATATTGGTATCATCAGGAGCTGAGTGAGTCATTGAATGAAACAACAATTAATATTCTGGAAAATTGTTTCCTCTCCACTTCAGAGTTGTGTCATTTTCCACTTTAAATTAGTTTTATATTCAAAAATATTCAGACCTTTCAACTTGTTATGTGAAATTATATAATTAGAAATTGTGTAAAAATATTTGTTTTTAGGTGAATAGTATTAAAATGCTTTCAGTTCAGATGAATGAAATAGGAATTAATTAACAATCTAACTGAATAATTGATGAGGTAAGAAATGGATAAATTATGTGTCATAATCCGCCGTTACGTGATGAAAATCCATAATGTATTAAGAAACTCTTTATTGTGAGATATTCACTAAACAATTACAGAAAGACGCAGCTCGTGTTTTGCTATACGACAGCCTCTTCAGGCGTCTCTACTACAAGCCTGGTAATAGAGTTTCAAGTATAAAATTTTATGTTTGGTCATAGTGTTTACATGTGAAAAATACCCTGTTTCAAGACTCATCAACATCAACTCATCAATTTTAAAACAAATCTGTTTAGAATGTTTCTCTATTTTCTGCAAATATTTCTATAAAAAAAATATATTATTTCTTCCTATCAACCAGGAATTTACTTACAAAGCAATCATAATTTGATGGATCCACTTCTCTGAAGAACCTGTGCATGATAACTGCAGCTGTGGCTAGTGTTAGAGGCTGCGCACTAAGTTTCATTCCACATTCAAAGATGAATCTCGCCGGTGTAAAGCCATTGTTAAAATCCAACTGTTTGTAATCCACGGGGCTATTTTTCCTAGTTTTCTCTCGCTGCAATTCCATAACGTCAATCACGTCTTTCATCGTGCACTTCTATTAAGAAAACCTGAAAACGTGCTTTTATAAGTCCCAAGTTCATCGGATCTAATTTGTGATTTACCTCGTATAAATAAATTGATATTTGTTCTGTAAGAATCTGCTACAACCCGATTCGAAGTGTGTTAGAAAACCTTCCGTTCTGACTAGGCAATACACCAGATAAAAATCTATGAAAGTGGGGCAAGAAATGTGGGCGTTCACAATTTGTTTTCACCAGGGCACTGTATTTAATCTGTGACTAGAGATAGACTTCAAAACGAGAAATACTGGAAATTGACCTGAAAAATCTCAAGCCATGCCATAGACAAGCTTGTAAACATTGACATAACCTGAAATAATCTGGCCATGGTTAAACAACCGACACCGGACTTTTACATCCTTAGCTGTTGGTCTGACCTTTCCCCAACCCTATTGAAAGTATATCAAAGTTTAGCATTTTTGGAGGATTTCGTATCATTTTTAGAATACTCTTCAATGCAAATAAGTTAGAAACGATCTCAAATACCCATTCAATACGAAATTTGTGACATGTTATAATTTGCCAAGAATTCGAGTTTTATTATGTCGTAGACCGGAGGTATAAACACTTCGATTTTGAATATCTTTCGTGAGTAGACGCCACCTCGAGGCGTGGCGAATTCTGGAACTATTTAAAGGAGTAGTAAAGTTTCAAAACTCTCTAAGAAAGTATTTCTACCGATGATGGCGCTACTCAAATAGCTAACACCTGATATGCTTCTTTTTGGGGAGTTTTTTGGGTTTCGATGAGTTATTTAATTGTGAATTGTAAGAACAATGTTTGAATGCATTTATTATAGATAACAGAAACATGATGAGGTGAAATAAAATCACTTTCTCTCACGGAAAGCATAATGAACCAACAATAATATAATAAATGAAAACAACTGACTTGAATTCGTTTTTGTTTTACCATCTATCTCACTTTCAATATGTCCGGTAGATGTCATATCTGGACAATGAACTTTCCTCTTCATATACTTGAACAGCTTCCAGCTGCCTTTCTAAACACATTTCCATGCTCACGCGATGGTATGTTAATCTCAAATAGGATAGAAATATATCGATCATTTTTGCAAAGCAAACTACATAGTACAATTATTTGTGAAAAAGAGAGTTGTGGCTGGAAAAGGACTATAGAAAAAAAGATTGTCATCTGAAATGATGGACGAATTGTAATGATTTTCAAATATTATAATGCAACAACGAATTATTAAATGTTAAGTTTTTCAATAGTTCAATAGAGTTCAATAGAGGTCGCTCAAGATTCAAAAATGATCTATTTTCACTGGCAGTTTGGCACTATCTAGTAAGGTTTGTTTCTGTCAAATTTTGTACATTTGTAGGTTAGTGTTTATTTATTTTCAAAGAAAAAAAGAAGGTTATACAAAAGTAATATAGTGAGAATCCCTGGTGTAGGGGCTTTTTTCTTGCTGAAAAACAATTATGTCGGATAAGGAAATTCCAGGTAGCAGCTGTACCTTTATATTCAAAAAGAGAAATATAAAGAACAGAGGTTCTCGAAAGAGACAAATATCGGAATCTGATGAAGGTAAAAAGTTGAGGAAAAATGTATCCTCCAAATCAAATCGATACATTTTTCAGAACAGGCTGACCAGGAAGACAATCAAGTTGTTCAGAAACATACAAAGAGCAAAACAAAATTCAACCCAAATGTTCAAACTTCAAAACGATTGAACAAAAAACAAAATGAAGTAGATGACGAGAAATCGAATAGTGATGACGAAATTGGGGTTAGTTACAAGTCTAACAAATCAGCGATGTCAGCGGGGCCCACAGATCAAGGAGCAACTGCAACTATGGTTCGTATATTTTTGACATTCTTTAGATGCCAACTATAACTATTGAACAGAACTAAAGTTCAGTCAGCTTTGGAATGGTGAATAAATAAAAATTGAAAATGTTTAAGGAAATAGACACAGAAAAAGATCGAGATGCACAAGCTCTGTTTGAAAAGCGGTTAGAAGTGAACAAAGAGCTGGAAGGCAAGGAAGATGATAAAATATACAGAGGGTTAAATAACTATACACAATACTACAAGCCAAAAGATACAGCAGCCGGTAATGCCAGCTCAGGTAAAAAAGTCAATGGGATCTAAATCGGGAATGTTTAGAGACTCTTCCATTGTTTTTTCAGGGATGGTAAGGAAAGGTCCCATTCGAGCACCCACAAATCTGAGAGCCACAGTGCGGTGGGACTACCAACCAGACATATGTAAGGACTACAAAGAAACAGGTTTCTGTGGCTTCGGTGACAGTTGCAAGTTTCTTCACGACAGAAGTGACTACAAACATGGTTGGCAACTGGAACAAGAGTGGAACGAAGGCAGTTACGGCCAAGACGATGATGATATAAGATACGAGATACATTCCGATGGGGAGGAGCTCCCTTTCAAATGTATAATTTGTAGGGGTAGTTTTGTAGATCCTGTTGTGTCCAAGTAAGTAATTTTTGGAATATTGAAGGTATCGCCCTAAAACTTTTGCATATAATAACTTCATGATTTTAGGTGTAAACATTACTTTTGTGAAAAATGTGCTTTGGAACGTTTCAAGAAAAATAGGCGGTGTTTCGTTTGTAGTGGTCCAATAACAACTTTTACTCCTGCGAATAACTTAATTGCTCGGCTGAAGAATTTGGAACAAGAGAAAGAAGATTCGGATCAGTCGTCAGAGTGAATTTTGTAATATATAATTCATAATTGCTTGTGTTTTCTTCAAAAAACTAACCAAAGGGAAGGAAAAATATTTTTAATAATTTCTAGGAAATAAGTAGTTTTAATAAGTTCAATAATTCGAAACTTCATTTCAAAGTGATGTTTCAATGCAAAACTCAAGGAAAACCAGCAGATCAGTTATTTGCTGAACACATAGTGTGACTAATAAAATCCGCATTCTGTGGGATTTTTTATTAATGGCTTTATTCGAAATTTGACTTTAGCATTGATTTATGCTTAACGGACAAAACAAATACAGACTACAGATACAACCTACCTTTTCAAAAATAAATATTTTATGTTACGTTTAAGTTACGTTCTTTTTACAGGGTCATATATTTAAATTTCAGCTGCCCTATTTGGATTTTGTTGAAAATCACATTCGACGGTACTAAAGAAAATATGTGGAATATTTCATTGAGTTATATTTATTTTCCATTTTGTGGAAGTTGTACCTTCTTCAGCACAAATGTCTTTTAAATCAATAAGTCATTTTAAAGAGATAACTTGTACATTTTTGTAAACGAATATTACAGTGAATTGACGAAACAAGGAGTATTAGAATATTTCTTGTGGCATTCAATATTTTTCCCAGAGTTTGACGTTCAAACTAATAAACCTAGATGTCGCCCGTTCTGTAGTCCTACCGTTGTCTAAATATTAATTTAGACGAGTTTACAGTAAAATAATTGTTTGAATGATAATGGTCCTACCAATTTCTAAATCTCTAAATATATTTAGACAATGGTTATATCCTATGAGTAAGTTACGCCATCTATGAATAAAATGTTACATTACTACAAAAATTTGTTAATATCTGTTTTTCCGTTAAACAGCTGTCGTCCCCCTACGAACGACAACTCTCAGAAGTCGAAACTTGTGCGAGCTAAGGACTAACGAGATCTTACCTTTTAACGTGTGACTCATCCTAACACGGGTTGGACGATAGCAAGTGAAAATCGATCGTTCAACCTGGGGCTTGAACTACCGACCAACATGGCGGTCGATTTGAGTGGGTGAACAAAGCACCAACATCGAACCGACCTGCTACCGATCACAACAAAGTTCCATTATAATATTCATCAAGATTGTAGTACGTTTTTGTTGCAAGGGCGTCTTTAACAAGATTTCTGAACTCTTTATAGCTTGTCTAATGTGAGTATATAGCTTTTTACTTTCATAAATTAAAGAACACTTTGTCAGACTTGTTTTTGGAACAGGAGATGTATTTTATTTTCTGTTACTTGCCTGATTATGTAGTTTATATGTTCCAACCATATTATGTTTTTTGTAAATCAGGCAGTTTCCAGAATGAAAATACCAATGACAGCTCGTGCATTGGAGAACAGGGGAGGCTTAAGTCATATAGACATAGACTATATACACACAGAAAAGCCCGCCAGAGGCGCGAAAATTTTCATGTTGTTGCACGGTTTGCTTAATATACTAAAGTTAGGGCATGCGCATGACAATGCGTAAAAAGTGCATGAGGAGCTATGGACTTAATTTTTGTTTGTAAACCATTTAAATGGCCGGTCATTACCGCAGCCCCATCATAGGTTTGCGCAATTCACTTTTGCCTAAAATTATAGGTGTCACACGTCACACGTACGAATTAAAAAATTTAACAAATCGTCAGCTGTGCGCCCTGATGAAACATCATGAAAACCCATAAAACGTTCTACCACTTTACCATCTTTGACATATCTAAAAACGATTGAAAGTTGTGATGTACAGGCAATATCGGTAGTTTCATCAATTTCTCATGCAAAAAAAGAAACACTTTCAATCTCCTTGCTTATATTTTCCTTAATAATGTATGCCACACTGTTTATTTTGGATGGTTTTTGAGGTGCCCGAAAAAACGCTACCGTTTATAAAAGTACCAAATTGTGAATCATATTTGACCATAACACGAGGTAAATTTTTTAAATCGGAATATCCTATTTTAGACCACGTTTGGTATTCGGTTTGTACGGAAAATAAAACACAGGGCCAACAAAAAAGTTTTTCTCGTTTAAAGGAGCCGGTTAACCAATCACATTTATCGTACCAACTAATATTAAATCCACGATTTTGTCGATTATCTGACGATTTAATTAAAATCAAATTTGGTTGAGGCCTTCCCAGAGTTCTAATAATGTAAAATTTATTATCATAAGGCAAAGACTTAAAATTATTTGTCAGCAACCAATCGACTACATCGTCAGTTTTTTTAATTTCGTCCAACTTATCCATAATAAAAAAAACTTACCGAAAAGTGAAAACCTGAAAACACCTTGAAATTTAAAGACAATACTTTAAAAACACATTAAAAATATCTCCAAAAAACACTGCTATAATATAATACTGCCTATTTTATACACTAATAACAAATATTATCAAGAAACACTAAAACGATTTACCGGAATATTTTTTAGTCCCGGTCCGTCACGGTATCCCGTCCGAATAATTAAATAAAAAACAAACGCATTTGTACACTAACGGAGACCAACTGGAGGCAAGCCTCCTCTGACGCTATTATTTCTGCAACTGAAATTACAAATCGGGACGTATGTCGCTGTTTGGATCGGTCTCGTGGAGCCTGTGTTTTTTAAAGCGGTTGGAGGCTTGGCTCCCTTGCAACGTATGGCATTTATTATTTCGGGTTGATAGTTTATTCGTTATTCGTTCATGGGCGGTGCGTTTGAGTTTTGTTGATGCAGGATACAGTGTGGTACGTACTACGTAGTGAGTGATAGTGTTTTTTGGGCATATTATGTATTTATATTAAAAATTAATGGCAAAGTAATGATACCCAAGCATTTTTAGAAAAAATTATCATAATTATTTGTCGATATCTTTTAATTTATTGCGATGAATAGCCTCAAATTTTATGGGGAGGCTAAAAGCCTCCCTTGCCTCCTCTGACGAGCCGCCGCTGGAAAATAAAAGTAACAATGTGAAATTTTTCTCTCAAAATTAATGGTCTCACGCACTCCCACCCTGCATAAGTATCTAACCGCTCGCTTTTGCAAAAACAAATACTGAATGGAAAAGTTTTTGACTGCAAAATCCCCCGAAGGCAACAACATATCTCATGTGAGCCTCAATCAGGGAATGATATACCATTATTGTTGTGGACAAACTCAGTTCAGTAAAATCGGTAAATCTATTAATAATAAAATAACAAGGAATCCTGATTTAGAAATCTATTATGATAGCAGCAAGAGTTGTAATTGTTATGCAAATAAAGTTCAGTGATTTTTCATTATCCCCTAATTGGCCTTGGGCTCATCAATACGTTCATTACCTTTCGTGATAGAACTGTTAATTTTGGTCTACCGAATCAGGTATTTTCAAGGTACCAATTCAATGACATGGTTATCGTTTTGTCATCCATGCACTATCAGAACAAACAAACAAATGTTTCGACTGAATGATAAGATTTTTTTGTTATGATATCGCATATTTTCGTCCCTGCCAACTTATAACATCGCGATGACTACAATCGACCTGGTGCTAAAAGAAGAACCGTTTCTGAACGTATCGAAGTCAGTGCGCCGAAAGTGAAAGGCGAACGGCCACATATCAGGTCCGAGACCGCTTCAGTCGTTGGTCCTTCCACCTCGCCTACTTTACAATACTTCAGTGAATAGTGAATCATCACCTAGAGTGTTAATATCGGCACACTGAGCAATGTCGCCGAGTCATATTTTTGTGTTGGTTCTTGCAGTTGCCAATATTCTTCTTTGCAGAGCGGTTACAGGTAGGCCTAGTTATTATCAACTTTCTAAATGAGAATATAGAATTTGTTGTCGTCTTAAGGACTGGTTACAAGATCTGAAAATGATGTTTTTTCTGGGTTTTAAGGTGTTGTGGGACCAGAACCGTGACTACCGAAGTGTGTCGTTTATGTTTCTTGTTGTGACCTTGATCTTTAAGCATAAGATGTACGAAAAAGATCGCTATAATTTGGAATGAATATTTATATTGTTGAACTCGTTTTTAAAGTGTTTGTATTCATGAAATCATTTATATGCAGAAGGATGCGCAATACTCATCGGCATTACTTTAATATATAACGAGATTCCCGTTGATAGTACACCAATATATAAAGTTTCGAAAGCAACTTTTCAATATCGGCAACTTAATCAAACTCGTAAACGGAAAATAATATATTCTCTAACTCATGAGATCGTTTTCCACAATTTGCGGGACGGCTCAGAAAACGTTATAAACTTTGAAAGATTCAGAGAGTTAGAAGGTGACGTATAGCCGGTTAACTGATTTAGTGGTAGTGTGTCAAGTCCTCAGACAAACGGTAACGTGTTCGAATCCGCCTCAGACGAGATGTTTTTTGCAAAAATATATCTGTGTCGAAGGTGAATTGATTGTGCTACGTTATTTCTGCAATATTTCAGAGTTGATTCATGAGGACAGCATATTATCATTGTAATTCTCAGATAAAGTTGTTTTTATGACTACCAAAATTGATTAGAAAGAATATAAATTTCTATTCTATAAAGTAATGGAGGATGTTTGAACCAGTGAAGGAGATGTAGCATCAAAATTTATGGTGTAGCATAGAGATTTTGAATATTTTTCAAGTTCCATCATTACTGTGGTATAGTGTTTTAGAAGTTCTTGCTACATGGTTGCACGGTTAATTATAAATACCTAATAGAGATCCCAAAATAGTTATTTTCGGTACACCAGTTGTATTTTTTTCTTATTTATTTATTTCATACACTATTCTACAAGATGAACCCAATTACATAATAGGGAGTAATAGTGGCATTTACAAATATGTACTTATATAATATGATTTGTGAATCTATGTAAAAAAAATTAAAAACAGAACTGTCAGTTAGCTAAGAAATATCTTTTGATTTTTATAATCTGGCAGTTGAATATATATAGGAGATGACTAACAGAATTAGAGGTATCGCACATTGTATAAATTGGAGATTTTTTCATTATATTTGTATGCGGAGTGTTGAGATAAAATGTGAGACTATTCCTAGATGACCGTCTAGGAACCCAAAAATTCAACATATATAACAGTGGAGAGCAGTTAATGATATTGTTTATGACCTTAACTAAAAGGAAATTTACCTCAATCTCAGCTCCGATATCATTAATGAACATATTGAACAGTAGGGGTCCTAGATTTGATCCTTGTGGTACACTAGATATGGCTATATATTCGATATACTTGAGACCATTGAGTTGGACGTACTGCTTAAGGTTATAAAAATGCGATTTGAATAGGCTAATTAATTCATTGGATAACCCAAAAGTCGAAAGCTTGTTGAGCAGAATACTATGGTCAAGTCTGTCGAACGCTTTAGAAAAATCAGTGTAGATGACATCAGTCTGAGACTACCATCAATACCCTTTGCCCTCTGCAATACATTGAGTGATTGCTACAAGATTGGTGGTGATTGAACGTCCTTTCATGAAACCGTGTTATATATATTGGTCTGTAATTTTTTGTTGATAGAGAGTTTCCCACTTTTACAGTTTGAAATCGATTTTCTAAGTATGAGTTTTGATCAAAACTTATATAGTTAGAAAAATTATATAGTTTTAATTTATTCAAGAGAATTTCATATGATATACCTACAATCAAATGCTTTGCGTAGATCACAAAAAATTATTTATGAATACTATAGTTTTTCAAAAGTTTCTTTTTGTTGTTAAGATCTAAATAGGATCGCCATTTCATCGTTTCCTACCTTTTCGGAGTCCATATAGCTACTAACAGTCTGTGAAGATTCTCAAAATGGTTACAATTTTTAGAGCTAAACATTTTTCAAATATTTTTGATATTAATTATTGTATCATCAAATTTGCAAAATATTGTGTATTAGTAACCAAATAGCAACAAATTGTGCAATCATTAGTTTTGCTTGTTTCAAGTGTCTCGATAACTTGATTCCAACAGACTTGGAAGAAATGGTCAAATCAGAAGGTTCCCGAAAGTACCCAAATAGAAACCAATACTTGAATAGGTTTTAAATAGAACACAATCAAAATGTACTTAGCCTGAATATTTTCGAAAGAATGCGCTTCATATCCAAGGACGGCTTCACCTATAGTGCAGAGGGTGCGGTACACCTGGAAGCGCCAAGAATCGCTCGCTTCACAGAGAACCTCAGTGTTAGGACTCTTTCACACGGGGAGCTTCACGTCTGTGCTCTTATACGGAAGCATTCACACCGGGAGCCTGTTTATCTCATGGCTCCTTGAGGTTAGTCGTAGAATGGATCGCATGCGAGCTGTTGCCAAACCTAGACGACGTCAACAATCAAGAATGGGATGGATATAGTTGCGAAATCCACGTTGAACACCTCACAGACTTCCTTTCAATTCTTTACGACTTCATTTCGGTCCTTATAAATATTGAAACTTGTATCCCAAAGAGCGGGTCGATTGGAGACAGCACTAATTAACAGTTCCACATCGTAATCTGCCATGAAAGTTGTGAAGTGTCAACAAGGGAGAGCTCATTCATCGTGCGCTGTACCGCTTGCTGATGAATAATTTTAATTACTTGTATACTTTTTTTTGGCCCTCGTAGGCATAGTCCGTAATAGCCAGAAACTAAATGGTATACTTTCTCACTTTCTATCTTCTTTTCTAGACAAGGGATGGGGTTTTAGGGTATTATTTTTCACCCATGGGGTCGATCAGGGTTACTTTGCACAGAATAGGTAGACCGCGGAAAGAAATGATTTTAAGGATGGGTATATATGCACATAGGAATCAAATCTAGTCACGTCTACAGCTTCAGGATACAATCATTCAGAAATTTCATTATAGCGTCTAAAACTTGGGATTTGTTCAGTGATAGTAAGTGCATGCATCTCCGAATTTCAGTCTGAGTATTGTGACAATTGTATTCCGTCCGTACTTCATCTTTTTGTGTCTGCTGGGATTTTGGTAACAGTGGCTTCAGCGCCACTTTTATTTTCTATGTGTTGTCCTGTTCCGATGCCTAGCTTTGCCATTCCATCAACTTTCTCGTTGCCTATTAAGCCTGCGTGAGCCTGATATCAAAATTAGCTTCATGGGGCCTTCTGAGAAGGAGTTTCAATTCCATGATATGCGGGCTAAGTTGATGTGTCAGAATGTTGATAGGCTGTGATATTTTTGATAGTACAGACAGTGAGTCAGATATTATTACTGTTTTTTTAATAGATTCTATATATTCACAAACTTTGATAGCAATTGCTTTTGTATTTGTTAACTTATAAAACAATTTCTGTGTCCCCGAATCTGTCCACAACCTTTACAATCTACCTCACTTTTGCCAGTCACAGTAGCACACAGTGAAATATCATTTTCGAAATTGAAAATAATTGAAAACTACCTTAGATCAACACTGTCGCAGAGTCGATTAACAACTTTCTCAATGAGTATTGAACACGAAATCAAATATTTTGAAACAACTACAAAGTTATCCTTTTTTATTTGTAACCCCATCTTTCCTAAAATACGGCGATAGGCCAATCTATCAAAAATATCGATTTTCCTCAACCAATTTTCGAACTTTCCGGCAAGAAAAACAAATTCATTCTCAATAAAATTTTTTTGACATGTCGTCGTGAAAAAAACAACGATATTGAGCTTACTGCAACGCATTCCAGCAATTTTTTCATTTTGGCCGCGCATTTTGTTAGAATAGGGCACCAGATCATTGATTTCACACGGGCGCTACATGGGCTAAAGCCGCCCCTGTTTGTATCATCAGATATTTAAAGCAGTTGGCTAATTACAGTGTACGCACTGTGGTTTCACAAACAATAACAAGATTGTCATGGTACTAATTATTTAATAATGTCTGTCACACTTTCTTTGTCTTCAAATTTTACCATATGGCCAATAAAGCGTGAAAATGAAGCCCACAAGTGGTAAAAATATCTAATAAGCTCATTTTTAATTATTGCGTACCATTGTTGTTGATGCAACAATCTACTAAGCAGATTTCGTTGCATCAAAATTCGACTCTTGATACGTCCAGACACACTAAATAAAAAGTCATAATTGTAATTAACCGACTAAAGTAAAAGTATTGAAATTCTAGCTTTCTCAGATTCTCACGAGATATTTCGGCAAAAGTATGACGGATTTCGAATGAATTAAAAAAATATATACCTATATAATTTTTACACCCAATTGAAGCATGATCTGTAACGAACAAAATAATCTGTAGTTTCTTTGAACTTACGCTAATTTTTCTGTTATGAAGAAAATGTTTATTACTTTGATTTTGATTGAATTGAAACATATCCCGTTGATTCAAAAATTTCAATGGAGAGGCAAAAGTCTTTTCAATAGAATAACTAATTTGTCAAACACGACGTTTACACAATTTTATCATTTTTGCGAGTTCCTTCTCTTTTGTATACGTCGTTGAGGCTCCTGCATAAGCTTTTCAAAAAATGAGGAACCCCTCCTTCCTTCTAGTAGATTTTGTACTGAATTCTAAAATACAATCGAACAAATTTAAAAAATATCTGAGATATGTATACTTACCGATTGAATGACTAATTCTTCGCAGGTCCCACACATGGAAAGATAGTGGTTTGCTACTTAGGAAGTTGGGCAGTGTATAGGCCAAACAGAGGCTCTTTTGCCGTAGAACATTTAGACCCATCGCTATGTACCCACATCATATACTCCTTTGCTGGACTCAATGTCACGGAGGATTCAATGAGGGCTCTAGGTGAGTGTTTTATATTTGGATTTAGAAGTATTCTACGAATATCACCGTGCTCTTAGATTTTATTGAGTTTGGTCTCTACTGTACTGAGGTTAATGAAGTTAATGCGATGGAATTGGCCTATATTTTATGAAAATCCATAACATCGAACAGTTTACAAAACAGCAACACCTGTTTTGCTATACAATAACTTCCTCAAATGTTTGGAGTAGGGAAACGCTTGGGAAAGCTATAGTCCGGTGAAAATCTCACAGTAAAGTGGGAAATTAATACATGTATATTACATTTCCGTTTGTAAGTACCCTGAGAAGAAGAAAAGAAAGAAGAAGAAGAGAAAGAAGAAGAAGAGAAAGAAGAGGAAGAGAAAAGAGGGGAATTTGAAGAAAATTTAAAAGTAGATGAAGACGAGATGACGTTTGGAGTAACATCAGAAAAGTAACATCAACATAATAAGAGCTAAACAGGAAACAGTGCGATAATTTTAGAAGTAAGACAAGTCCCTTACTGTTTAATGGGCGTCAGGCATCAATATTTTCATACTTAATGAGAAATATGACACGCTACAAACAGAATCAAAGAATATAATAAAATAAAAATGAAATGAAATACGATAAAATAGTCAAGTGAAACAGAACATAACAATAGAAAGACGTACAAAGGAGAATAGGTTGAATTTGACAATGTGGATACAATAACCCACCCAGAATAGAAAGTAATAGAAGGAAATGTGGAAAATAAACGACAGAAAACTCAGCTCCCAAATTGTCTACGTCACTCTCACAAGAATAGAAATGACGTTAAAGATGAGAAAAGAATCGAATCTCATTTTCATCTTTAATTCAAAATATCGTTATTTTTCCTCGTTTCGACAATAATTGATGACACTGAACAATTAAACTCAACCTCACTTGGCTACCACACTGACAAAAATACAATGACTCTAACAGAACTTCAGACTAATTCTAAAATGTCTGTCGCCTTATTAGGGCACTTCGCAACGCACTTTCCGAACTAGACTGCCCCTCCCACGTGACGGTAATGCTTATATAACTCTATTGAACTCTTTCGAAGCCGGTGGAACAAATCCCGAATAGTGGCGGCATTCCAGAAAGATCGAGAGAGAGAAACAATTGGGGTTGAGCGTGACCTTGACCAAGTCGCAAGTGATCGGAGGACACCAGCGTCGGCCGTCGTTATTTTTTCAGAGGATAATTTACAGCATTATTACTTCTCAATATCCCTTTTTACAGTTCATTAGGAATAATTTTCAAATATTGTTGCACAGTTTTCCAACTTGGTTTTCTTTTACGAATTCTTGAATAATACTGTGTGTGAAATCATAACCTCGATTTCGTTAACACTTTTTGAAATATCGTCGATGAAAATTTTAACGTGGCACCATTATTAAGTTCCCTAAGAATTGAATTAAAAATTTCTTCCTCTCAGATCCCTGGCAAGATTTGACCGAAAACTACGGTAAAGGCGGATATCAAAGGATAACTGCTTTGAAAAGAGACTACCCCCACCTCAAAGTATCTCTGGCTATAGGAGGCTGGAATGAGGGATCTACAAATTATTCCAACCTAGCAGCGAATCCTCAACGGAGAAGCAGATTTGTAGCCAATTCTTTAGATTTCATAAGGTAGGAAGTCACAAAGTATAATTGAATGTTTATAGGTGTACTTATGTAAATATCAAGCAGGTATACCTGAATCATAGCGAATTTGAAGTAGGAACCACAAACAAGGTTTCAACTCATATATGACATTGCTAAACTAAGACACTGCTTAAATAATTGAAATCTTATGTAAACTCTAATTCCTAAACCGCTAGCCCCTTATTCTTAGTAAAAATACCTTCATCCCACGTACAGGTTTATTCTTTTGTGCGATTCTTTGTTTACTGTAAAATATTTCAACAGTTATTTTGCCGTTTCTTATATTGACCAGATTTGATCTCACTACCTTGATGACTCTCCCATTGGCTAATAATCCTGGAAACCTCGGACAGTTTTACTTTCCTTTATAATGGGAAGGGAAACCTAAGAAAAATTACAAGGTTTCCAGCAATATGAAGTAACCTTGAGAGAGTTCATTCATCACTATTTATTTACTCAAACAAGAGTTGTACTATATCTAATCTATGTTTACTTTTTGATCAGAAAATACAACTTTGATGGGTTAGATTTGGACTGGGAATTTCCCGGAAAGAGAGGAGGGGCCAAAGAAGACAAAGGAAACTTTTTATTGCTAGTAAAGGTAAATATTCCATCTCACCCATTTCATCATAAAATTCTTCAAGAATAAAGGTTCAGCAGCAAATTAGTGTTCAACATAACTATTCAAAAAGGCAATATCAAAATTTATATGGGTTTGAATATTGGATCAAACAATAGTAAACAATCGATTTTTTGGAGTTATTTCAAAGTATTTTATAATTTACCAAATATCACTATTATTTTAATATTTCATACATTTTATTCAAGCGAATTAGTTACAACTTTATTTTGTTCTTTTTTCCCTAATATAAACACCGTATGGTATTTTCTTGTTATTTTTACCAGATCTATTATGAAGAAAAAATAGGTATATCTATAAATTATTTGCATCTGCTTTATTAGATCTAATTTTCGCACACCTCATGAATTCAACTTTCTTTCAGGAGTTGAAAGCGGCCTTCAGAAAAGATAAGCTCCTCCTGACCGCAGCTTTTGGCGCTGGTAAGGACACAATTGATTTAGGTTACGATGTCGAAGGACTTTCTGTATATTTGGACTTCATTCATATGATGTGTTACGATTATCACGGAGCTTGGGATCGAAAAACTGGAGCTAATGCCCCTCTGAAGAGTACAGATGTTCTTAGTGTGGTAAGTAAAGATTGACATGTCCCATTCATTATTGTTACGTATTTACTATTATTTCCTTTTGCCGATTATTCGTACGCCGCTGAGTTATTGTTACGCCACTGAAGGATCACATTGCCTCGGGTGATGGCTTCCTAATAGTTGTCACAGTTTTTTGTCTTTTACCCATTGTTGCCAGGTTACATAATGTTAAAATCTCAAAAAATAAAAATGAAGAGTTACCAACTAACGAAAATGCAATAGTGGAAAACATATAAAAGTAAACGATGGGCTGTTTAGAATGGGACACAATAACAAATATTGTTTACAGTTCACATGCCATATTTTGCTATTTTCAGACTTACAAAACATACAAAAATCTATTGACATGTAGAGATCTCAGCAATTTTGAAAATATCTTTTTATTCTATAGCCGTTCCCTAAGGTGCCATTTCAACATTTTTTATTTATAGGAATACACCATAAACTATATGCTACAACTTGGTGCTGTTCCTAGCAAACTCGTATTGGGAATACCCTTGTATGGCCGAACTTTCATCATGGAAAATCCCCCGTTAGCTTCGTCCAAGAGGAAACCCAGATTGGGTGATCTGTCTGAAAATACTGGTTTTCAAGGTATCTACACCAGAGAAAATGGTTTTATGGGTTATAATGAAGTAAGTATAAAGATCCTTTTATTATATGATATAATTCTAAAAGATTTGTTTCTACTATGAATAATCTCGGCTAGGTCATACAGCTCACAAGGCATATTTATAGCACAAAAGAAAATTATGAGATGTACATTAAGATTGGATCATAATACTCCATATAGGACATGTTTTTCTGAACTAGACATCTCGACAGTGCCTTCATTGTATCACTTGTTTACTAAAAACGCTGATGAATATTCTGCAAATATAAACCTCCACACTAGACATCGAGGATAACTTCCCTCATATAAGAAAGTGAACGTTTCTGGAGAAATAAGTGGTTAATCGAAGTATAAAGTACATATTATCGACTCCATCCAAATAGAAATTATCAGCACATATTTGTTCTCATTATCGTACACAAGTATTCACAAATTTTATAGGTAATTATTCAAACCAGGTATCTTAACCATCTTTTCGCCTATAGGGCTTCTTCCTTCAAAGTTTATCCTATAGAAAAGGTCTAGACAATCTATATTTTGTTGCAGTTCCTGATTAAACAGCACACTGAAAATTTTCTTGTGTGTACTCTCTACACTTTTATAATTTCGAGTTTGAAAACGTAATTTCGAATTTGCGAGATTTAAGTCGTAATTTCGAGTTTCAGTGTCGTATTTTTCAAGCAACAAATAATAAAAATATTTGGCCCTTTTGTGTCTCCTCTATTAATTATGCTCTATGGTTGGAAGGTGGGCGGAAACCACAGAACTAGATAGTTCTCTTACCACAGAACTATATATATCTGGCGGAAACTGTCATTAGACAGTGAGCTATGTAGTCACAAAAAAGACCTCCGTAACAGTAGTCGTGGTCTGTGTCTCCTCTATTAATTGTGCTCTATGGTTGGAAGGCGGGCGGAAACCACAGAACTATAGTTCTGTTACCACAGAACTATATATGTCTGTGGCGAAAACTGTCATTAGACTGAGCTATGTAGTCGCAAAAAAGTCCTCCATGACAGTAGTCGTGGTATCTGAATCATTATTGTCATCTGTTGATATTGTTGAACAGTATTCTAGAGATTTTGGGTGCCCGTCATGATTACAGGTCTCTGGAGATTAGGCGTGCAATCCCTTACGTCAAAGAGTTAATTCTTAAAAAAAAACTAATCAATAGAGTTTATTCTATGATTTTCACTATAAGGGTTTTACAAAAACCGCGACACGTGTTTCGCTATACAATATCATAGAATAAACTCTATTGATTAGTTTTTTAAATATGGATTTTCATCAAGTATCGGCCAGTTCTATTCAATGAGTTAATTCTTGTTGTGTCCCTTGACACTAAATTTGAAAAGTAGTGAACGGAGAATTTCATAGCTGGCTATGGACTAACCCCATTGTAGAGGTTAGTTCATAGTCAGCTAAGAAGGGTTAGTTCATATCCATCTCCGAACATTTATGGGAATGCTTTCACCTTTCACATAGAAAAGAAACTAATTAAAAAAATTATAACATAAATCACAGGTGCAGCCTATCCGAAATTTTACCCTAAATTTTCATTTTCAGATTTGCATGGAACTGAAAAACACCACGTCAGACTGGAAAACGTACTGGGACAGCGAATCCCGCACCCCGTTCGCAGTCTCGGGCAAACGCGTCATCTCCTACGACAACGAACAGTCCATCGCCGAGAAGATCCAGTTCGCCATGGAAAAGGGCCTAGCCGGCGCGATGGTGTGGTCCATCGACACCGACGACTTCAACGGAGATTGCTCAGAGGGAGACGACGAGAACTTCGTTAACTTCCCTTTGATGAAGTGCATTAACAAATCCATCGCGCAGGCGCTCAAGGATATCGAGAACCGCGTGGTGCACGGAAAGGACGAACAAGGTGCCGGGGGTTCCGGCGTTGTTGGCGCTAGTCAGGCGCTGTTGGCGATTGTTTTGATTTATTTGCGTTGGCTAGCTTAGGGTGCGGTCGCACGAGTTGAAGTAGATTTAGCGGTGAATTTAGTGTACGACTTTGAAATTACTGGTACGAAATTTGTTTTTTGTTATTGGGTCTGTGATATTGTGATTTATATTCGAGAATTAGTAGAGTAGGTTTTTTAATAGAGATTGTGTAATTGGTAATAAAAATTAAAAACCTTTTTGGAAGTCTTGGTTCAGTCTTTTATCTGACTGCACGAGCACTGCTGATAATCCTTAAGACGCTCGGAGAGTGGTCCCTTGCGAAAGTAGCGATTTAAATCGAAGGTTAAATGCATGTAAATGAAGCGAGTGACTCTTCATTTAGTTTGAACAGTTTGAATTTGCCGCGTAATAACTGATGTATAAGTTATCTGTGAACTCTTTGGAATTTATGGATCTGTGGGTCACATGTCTCCAACTGTTGCCAGAGCTACCCCGTACGGGGTAGCTCTCTCTCGCTCCCCTTAAGTAAATCTACCCCGCTCAGGTATGAAAGAAAAGAATGAAAATAAAAATTGAAAAAATGAACTAATATTTGAGGTTCGATTTTGAATCTACCGCGTTACACTACCCTTGACAATGTTTGCGTAGACGAGTGTCTGGTGCTGCTGGCAGCGGTTCCTTGGATTGTGTCTTACTGTAAAACTCTTACACCGATAGTTCCGATAATTTGTGATTGAGTTTGATGTTTGTGATATGACATTTGACATATGACATTTTTAGTTAAAGATAATGTAAATATGGAAATGTTTATATACTCTTGCATATGAAACGTGAAGATCATATTGAAATCCTTGTCGAAATTTCAATATTTTCAAATAAAGGGTGAATTGACATTAACGCCAAACCATTTAGTCGTTACTGTCTTGTGGAGTTTCTTAAATAAGTTTTGAGTCGTTTCAGGGAAGACAAAGTCCTCTCAGGGGTACATGTGGAAACAGGCAGTGCCGCCAAGATCTTTAAAAGTTTGTGAATGTTTGGAAATAAGGACTGGTTGCATTCTCCGAGAGCTTCTATAGCACATGTTGGTCGATCTAGTTCAGATTCTTCCAGCCATTTTATCCGCCACATGTCTAATTCAGCATTCACGAAGTCCCATTCTAAATATTTTTTATACAACTCAAAGGAATATTCTTGATATTTATTATTGATTTGTTCTTTGCAACACACAGAAGGAATTAATAAGTTGAGAGATGATAATGTGGCTTTATGATTTTGGAATCTCGACTGAAGCTGATCAATGAAATCATCCAAAAGTGGATTCATTATAATAAGTCTAAAATAAGTTCTGGAAAAGTTCAGCAAATTTTGAATCAATATTTTGGCGAATATATTCAATAGTCTTCATGATTAAATCGACATGCTGTAAAGCTGCTGCCAAATCGCAAATGGGAGATTGAAGTATTTTGCAGTGTCAGTGTGTATGGGAACAACATTCCTAAGCAACATAAGCTTATAACAAAATCACTTGGAATGACTGATCTCAAAAAAGAATTGGCCTTTGACGATGTTTCACAATCCATGTCAGTGCTTCAGTCGTCTAGTGTATCAGCAATAGTTGTATAGATTTCCTTGAATCTTAACAACCCATCATGATTTTCAATCCAACGGGTCTCGCACATTGCCGTAAGGTTTTTCCACTGTGATTCGGGGAAGTTTTTTCAATATTCTCTTTCAAGCACTTGTTTCGTTTTGCCGAGGACTTGATAAAATTTCCAACGGATTTTATAATTCCAATAGTATTCCGAATAGGCTGAAGTTGGCAAGAATGAGCCAGAGCTAAATTCAATGAATGTGAACTGCAATGGACGTATAAGGCTTCTGGATGTGACTCACGAATTACTGCCTGCACACCTTTAAAACTTCCTTATCAAAATTACTTACATTCTCGCGCCCTTATTTAGTATTCCTCACAAAATCCTCACATTGTTCGGGGGGATCAATCCCCCTTAATCCCCCCTGGCTACGGCCTTGTCAAGCATGCAATTATCTTACAAAGGAAGGCATGCGAAATGAAAATAACAATAATTTTCAGTTAATATATTGTTGACTAAACTTGACCTTGATGTACACATGTACATAAAACATTCATATATTGCTAAAAACTCTTATATATTTACATAACATTAAACACCATATTTTATCACATTTTTTCGAAACAAATCCCACAACACTTAGCAAGGTTCGATTACAATGATACATTATTCAATTGAAAAACTAAAAACATTTGATTAATTTTATCTAAATCGTTACATTGCAAGCAATAATATGTTTATAGTTAAAGGCAGTTATTATGGTTTACTGGAAGGAGAAATATTTCACGAAGGATTCTTAGATCAAGGTTCGTAGAGCGAGGAAACATCTGAAATATATTTGTTTGTTGCTACAATGAAATACAGAAAAACTGAACGTTCCAGAGATTTTGTATAACGAATTTCATAAGCGAACCAATGCGATAAAATATGGATAAAGACGATTCAGTACAATTCAGGGTGTCCCGAATCACAAAGATGACACAAACGCTGGGGAAGTGCACCATCAAATGATACGCCGGGACTTGACAAGGACGAATTTGAAAAAATACTTATTCCTGATACCCCAGCACATCGCAAGATGCACTCTTTTTGCAGCACTGTATTACAGTGACATTTTTAATACTAGAGGAGCAAATTAGTTTAGTTAAAGAAGACACCTACATATTTTACGGTATTACTGAGTTTTCCTCAGTGGAAAAATCAATAATCGCGTCAAAATATCGACCACGATAATGTCATAAAACTCGAATTTTCAAAGATAAGGCTGTTGACATTGTACATACAGAATACATAGTTAATCTCATTATAGTATTTATGAATAGCTCTTGCACGAAAAGATTCAAAAGAATATAACCAATCAACAATGTAAAATAATGAACAGTGACGAGCACTTCTATAAAATAAAAATATGTCCATCCAAATCATCGATCCAACAGAAAATCAATCAACACTTTACAATAATTTATTATAATCACTATATAGGAATAAAATATACTTACTCTAAAATCTACTAAATTTAAAAATAAATAACATTTATATACATCTTTTATAAACATTTTGCCCGTAAATTATAGAATTTCCTATGAGCTACATTAATATATTCCAGAGTAATATAATTTTCAGCTACTCAATTAAAATTCACAAACATTTATACAAATCATATGAAGAAGCCAACGACAAAAAAAGTAAACAATTTCATTGGGTTGTACTGAATATACAAGTCTAATCTAAGAAAAACGGACTAACAAACAAAAAAATGTTCCATACTTTCGGAGGAATTTTTCAAAGTTTCGCCAATACTTTGGTCCTTCGAGACGGATAAAAAGAATATAGAAATCCACTTTTCTTAGACAACCCACTAATGGCAAAAATTTGTAGAGAAACTCGACTCAAAATAGAAGTGCAAAAATATAATCACCAACAATTCTTCCATTAATGAATTCATATAACATTTGGAGGTTATATACGAGCTTTCTACAATAAAAGTGGTGTAAGTCGAAAATTTGCAATACAAAAATGTTTTTTGTATTGAAAATTTTTGTTCGAAATATAATAAAACCGTTTTGAGATATATAACCTTGATTTTTTAACTGAATGTTTCACAAAAACGTCAGTTCAAAACTTTGTTAAAGTGATTTACACCATTTTCATTCTAGCCAGCTCCCCTGAATTCAGCAGGAATGACACGCAGTTACCACCCTTCACCCCCTGATTGTTGCCAACATTCCAGATTTATGCTAATTCCTACATTGGAAAATATACTTGGTAACTTCTAGCGATCTACTTGGAAAAATCAACCGTTACATCGAAATGTATATGTCTGAGACTAGAATACTCCTTAAACTAATTACTAGAAAACAACTGAATAATTCCGACACAGAAAATGTTGGTAACATGCATCTTGAGGGTTGTTATTCATTACTTTTCCTGGACAATTATTCACAAGCTAAAGCTACAAAATTAAACTTATCAAAAATGAGTGTATGTACGCTATAGGCACATGTATTTGAAATCTTTAAGGCTATCTTTCAATGTGTTTCCCCGGACCGGGAAATGTAAAATATTGAATTAAAGATAAAACACACTTTCAACGATCGTCTTCATTCAAATTATTGTCGCTCTCGTTATAAAGAATATGATCGCCGAGAGCATAGTCCAATATTGGAAATGTTTATAAATAAAAATGAAACCCGAAAATGTGACTGCTTCAATTTTGTAATACATTTTTAGAATGTTTTTCCAAATATTACCACAGAGTTCGATATCGACTCTTCTCTCACGTAAATCTCTCCCAGATTGATAAAAAAAATCGGGATGTCTCAGAACTCAAGCCGAGACACATATAAAATAGATTTCACATTATAACCACCCTGTATGCTTCCGTTCTGAAATAAACTGTTCAGTGTTCTCCCGGAACAATAAATGCTTTGGAATGTTCAAAAATACGAATTGTAGAAACGAAATAATATTACATTTTTGAGCACAATCGAACTGGACTCGAAACTCTCGACGATACCACATGAACTGAAACCAGTAACATTACATAACGGTGCGATTTGAAACATTATACGGTTTGAAAGATTATGATACATCCATAAGATACTGAATACGAAAGAACAAGTTTAGATATAGGAAAGGCCACAGTCGAGTCGTTATACGTTGAAACGCGTTTCGGAACCGTCGGCCAACATCAGCGACACCGTTCTATTGTTCATCCATATCAGTCTGGCCAGCCTCATTGGATTCAGGCGAGCGACATCGGCTATGGGAGCTGTGCTGTAGGATTTTATGTTTTTCGTTTGAGACTGACCGAGACCAAACATACCTGGAAAATGTGTTTGTTTTTTTACTGAGAAACAATGAAACTTTCATTAATTTGATATGGAAACTGAATTTACTTCTAGTCTGCTTGAAGCAGCGTTTTACAATCTTTGCTAGATCACAATCCAAATTACATCGGCCTAGTGTAACTTGTATTCATTGTAAATTTTTTTGGAAATAACCGGAATCAGAATGGGGAATGTTCCTCCTGACGAAAATCAAGTAGATTTCATGAAAGAGCTCTAAAACAACGCATTTTAAACTTATCATTTCAACCTTTTTCTTTAAAAAATTATTTAAATGCTTAAAAAAGAGGAATGAAATAATACATTCAACATTTAAAGGGATTCGTTTCCATTTCACCACTCGGCAACATTGGTTATAGCTAATAAAGGACAATGAATCTGTTACCTGTATGAGGCAAACAAAGATGATATATTTCAGGGGCGTGCTGTTCTGTTTACTTATGTTCCGAGTTCCGAGACATTCTGTGAGATATGACATTTTGTGCACCTAACCTATCTTCCTTTATATAAATAAATAACAAAACAACTGTTGTTTATGTGGCTTGTGGAGGTGGTATTGAACTATAATTTATATTTTGCCTTAATTATTGGTTTATAAAGATAATTTTCCTTTTTTAAAGTAAAATATCTAGATACGTATAAATTATTTCAACTTGATATAGGCGCTGTTGCCAATATGTGAATTAGAAACAAATCCCTTTAAAAATTAAAACCCAACATTTGAAACATCAATTTGAATACTTTTCGAAGTGAATTTGAAAAACTCATGAATTAAACTCAACTTTATTTTGTTCAAACTTGCATTTGCTGTAATAACCCAAATTGAGGAACATTCCCCATTGCTTTATTGTTATATAGAATCTTTCACGGGGTACTGAATACTTAATTTATTCAACTCAAACTGACCTGTAACTAATAATTGTGTTACATTTAAACTAGTTTTATAGTCAATGTCACAATAAAGCATTTCTATCTGTTCTTTATTCAATAAAGCTTGCTACTACATATTTATTCAATAGATATTTTTTTTTTAACAGACTGGTAGTATATAATGTAAGGTAATAGTGACGGCTTGGCGCCCAACGTGGGGCTCAAACTCTAGCACGTTTCGTACTTACCCGTACTCGTTTGCCAGAAGTTCAATTTGTTTTCGACACACGCGTAACTGACTAAAAACTTTCCATCTGGGCTGAACGCCAACGCAGTGACACCAGAGCCATGAGCTTTGATGTTAACACATTTTCCTTGTCGTAGCTCGTATATCGTGAGAGAACCTGTGTGAGATCCAACTGCGAAAAGACGATAACATCAAAATGTAATCCGTCAAAATAAAGAAGGAATAAATAATGATTTTTTTTCATTTGTTCAGCAAGTTACCACTTACCGGCTATTCTCCTCGTCGCGGAGCAATGTGACACCTGATTAAATCTACAAACTGCCGGGAATACATCCTGCAATCCTTTGTTCTTTAATTGACTAGGGTCCAGGCAATGCAGGATAATATCCATCAACTGGAAAAGAAAAGCGATTATAAATCCGGCTCGGAGGACCAAAACTCGAATCTCACCTCCACCAACAATTCCGACATCTCATTTTGCATTTTTTCTATCAGCAACTCTACTCCCCTCAATATTTCGGGTTTGGCTTTGTGTAATACATTGTTATTCATGTTTATATTTAAAGTTTGTGCATTTTGTTGCATGGCATTGTATCTCGCCACTTCTTTGGCCATTGTTGTTATGAAGGCGGCAGGTCTGAAAAATATGCAAGGTTTCAATAAGAAAATCACTCAAAGAATTATCGAAGGAATCACCTAGCTGTCGCAATCAAGGTCAATGCGTGCCGGGCGGTCCTGCAAGAGTCAGCTTGTGGAGTCAGAGGCAGCCCGTACGTCATATTCGGAACGAGCCTATCTGCTTCCGAACACAACTCTAACAGACCTGAATCAAACGAAAAATGTGTAGCTATGATATGCAAATTATCTCGTAGGACTCACCTAATAATACTTTACTAATATCTAAAAAGGGGGCCCACACGGTGAAGCCCCTGCCTATCAGATCGATAGCGGCTCTCCGTAATGGAATGTGTGCTGGTAGTTTTTGAGAAGGGGGCGCTAAAAGTAGATGGGACAATGCCATTGAAGTCAGTCTTGCTAAATTGTTGTTGCCCGGACCTGAAAACGAGAAACGTTTAATAATGGAACGGAAAATTACATAACCTGTACACTGTTTCAAAATGTGATATTGCATTAAAAGAAAATATACTTCATTAAAATAGTTACTCGTACTTACCGAAACCCTCGGCCACTGAACTCTTCCTTCTATCTTCGCTGGACCGTCTCTTATTGTTATCCCCACCACAGGTGATGTCTTGTCCGAATTCAGCTCCTATAACCCCTAAAATTATCACGGCGGTCGATTGTTTCTTCTTCAGTTCTGACAAACTGGAAGGCTTTCTAATTTGTTCTTCTTCCTCCTCTTCAAATTCTTCATCCTGCAAATAACAAAACAAGAGTTTTTTCGACAATAAAGTATATTTTGATTGATTGATTGAGTTTACTCTCTCTCTCTCTCATGCTTACCAAGGCATCAGGCGTATTGGCCGGTTGACCCCCGTTCCCGTTGTTCTGGCTCACAGGAGAGTTAGCCTGCGTGTTTATCGTTTCTATCTGGGTGAACTGTGGCAAGTATTGGGCCCAAGCCTCTACCAGTTGCTTCCTGCCTTTAGGGCCCATCCTAAAATAAACGATGGTTAGAGAAAAAATTCTCGTAAATAATTCACACACTCGCACATTGACACAAAAGCTCTAAGTGAAAACGAACATCTTGTAGTTAGTAGCAAAAGCATACACAGAAATAGAAACAGGAAAATTTCACCTTGACAGTTCGGCCAAGAGTAACGTCTGTGCAGCCTCCCTAACCTCAACGCAATGGTGCTGCCACCTCTTGACCATCATTTCGACCTGAGGCCTTTTGAAGTTTTTAGCACCATGCTCTACAACCTAAAGATACATTTGACATAGAATCCTGAAACCCGTAGCGACACTTACCTTGTCTGGTAACAGGACGCAATGCAAGGTTGCCAACAAGGACCAGCCTTGTTTGATTTGCGCCTGCTGCTGAGTGTACATTTCTTCGTGCTCTTCGTCTGTTTTGCTCCAGTTTACACGCGTTGATTGCCTAGAAATACATGGTAGTATTATTTAAATATTATTTTGTGTCGTTTGATATTCAGTTGTATCCATGAGACCATTGTCCAAGGCAACTGCACCACCGACAGCAAACACACCGCCCACAACCATAATCAATAGGCCTCCAGTTGAGTGTGACACATCATACCACCCAAATACCCCACCAAGGCTTCCCGCCAAACAGGCACACCGTCGACCAATCAGGTCTTTCCATGCCACAACTACAGACCATGGCAACGTATAAATAAACAAGCATCGGCATGAATGACTTCATCCCCAGTCAGTTGTGTCTCGTTTGTCCTCCTAACGAACCCACGTGTGACGCCATCTAGGGGACTAGACACTAACTATTTCCTGTCCGATAGTTGTCAAACTGTACAATAGATGGCGTTAAGCTTCAATGCGAAGCGAGAAGTTTCTAGTCTCCATTCTCGAAAGTACTAGGCCCGCCCGCTGCCTCATATAAACCAGTAATGTCATTCGACGATAATACGAAAACAAGTGAGTTTAGTTAGCGACTAGCTAGGTAAAATGCTGTACGTGCGGTGGTGAATACTGTGAGTGGTGTCATTAGCAAGTTTTTAATACTCGATTCTTTACTTCGACATTTTTGAAGACAAAATTATGTCGGAAGCAAAAGAAGAAGGAACGGCAGTATAGCGCGGAGTATATAAAATATGGATTTATTGAAAATCCCACAAATCCATCTGCATTCAGATAAAAAAGATAAAAGTGTGAGTTATTTTCAAGAACTGTAAAAGAAACACTGAGCTCAGCCAACTGTGTAAAAACTTTTTTCAGCGGCTTTTAAGCAAGACGACGACTGACTCCGAGCTCCTTGCTAATAGCTCAAACAGGTAAACCTCACACTATTGGAGAGAATTTATTTTACCGGCAATAAAAGAAGTAATAACTAATGTGCTTCATAAACTAGCGGCAGATATTACCCGAAAAATTCTTTTGAGCAATAGTTCTGTGCAAAGACGAATTGATTTATTAAAAATGAGAAAATATATCAAGAACTACTATTTGCCAGAAATTTAGAGACGGATACGAAAGGAGAAACCATATATAATATACTGGAAAAATTTTGTGATGAGAAAGAAATTCCACTCAAGAATATTATATCAGCTACTACGGATGGCGCTTCGGCTATAACAGGACGTCACAAAGGCTTCATAGCGTACTCAAAAAATAAAATTCCAGATGTGCTAGCTGTACATTGCGTCATTTATAGGCAACATTTGATTGCGAAAAATTTGAGTGAGTGCCTCTCTCAATCACTGCAAAAATCATCAAAGCAGCCAATAAAATCCGAAACAGCTCTTTAAATGACTGATTATTTAATCAGCTTTGTGTTGCTAATGTTGAAGATTTCAACCGATTGCTATTTCACACAGAAGTGCGTTGGTTATGAAGAGGTAACTGTCTGACTCGATTTTACAATCTATTTGACTCTGTAATAGAGTTCTTGGAAAACAAAGACAAAGAATTGCACGACAACCTCATCACTTCAAGGAATGATATTGCGTACTTGACAGACCTGTATAAATTAATTAATGATGTCAATCTCCAACTTCAAGGTGACGACTTGAATTTGATTTAAACAAAAAATGTCATTGCTGCATTTGTAGCCAAATTGCTCTTATACAAGAATAATATCGGCAGACGTGAGTTTCGCAATTTCCCTAATTTGTCAGCAGTATCCTTCAACAACGACGACTTGCTTGTTCACTGCCAACATTTGGAGAACCTCCGCAGTGATTTTACAGAACGATACCAGGACATTTTAAAATTGGAAATACCGGACTAGGTGTTGGATCCTTTTTCAAATGTCAACACAGCAGGATCACCCCAGCTGGAAGAAGAACTCATAGAACTGATAACGAACGAGGAAAAAAAATTCAAAAATGGATACCAATAATTTTGGCTACAAAAGCCAATCCCGCAATTGTACCCCGGATTGTGGTCCATCGTTCAAAGATTTTTGATAGCATTTCCATCATCGTATTTGTGTGAACGTGGATTTAGTGCTGTGGCAACGTTGCTAACTAAAGAGAGAAATCGGTTGCAGATTACCGAACGCGGTGACTTACGGCTGTTTTTGAATAAATTCGAACCTGATATTAACAAACTAGTTAAAAATCATCAAATTCATCCTTCACATTAGGCTAGTTTCAAAATTCAAATTAAAATGTTTGTTTTAATAACATGAATGAACGTTTTCCTAATATTACAAAATGGTGTTTTACATTACTCACATCAGAAAGTCTTATTTTCACATGACACACATAATTTAATTATTAAATCAATAACTGCGATTGTGATTCTCAAGATGTAGTAAAGTAAAAAAATTTGGGGGGCGCTAGACAATAATTAATTCTCGAAGTGGGCGGTAGACAAAATAAGTTTGAGAACCTCTGCTGTAAACCTTTCCAGCTCTAGTACAAAAAGATAATTGCTGCAGATTATTCAAAGGACCAATCCTAACTGATAATTTACCCCCCCCCCCACTCACCTGTACATCTTTCGATTTCGTTCCTGTTCAGGAACAAAGGTGGCGTTACTCATCGACATCAGCGTGTGGCTCAGAGCGATGATTGCCAGCAGATGATTGCTGGTAAGCGTCGTGCTCAATTCCCAGTGAGTGTGAGACGTGAATATCCTGGTAACTTGTTCTTGCCTGACGAGCTCCGGAGGGAGACTGTTGGTGAGCGATAGATCGATAGGCATAGGCTCGTCGTCCACGGGTATCGTATTGTGCCACGTGGGAAGAAATAGAGACATGTGGTTGGCTTTGGACAGGACGCCGAATGATATCGGAACCTAAAGGAATAAATACTGGTTTGTTGTTGGAATTTTTAATTAGATTACAAGCATAAACTTTTGTTATGCTTTTGACTTTTACGACAGTTAGCATAAACATCAAAAGGGGTTTGGCCAAGCACAGATTCTTGTGGTACATCAAAAATATTCTTGTGATTCTTTTTTTTTAATAATAATGGTGAATTTATTAGTCACAAGAAACATCACATGTTTATATTTATTTGAAATATATTATTTTAGTTTTTTCTTCTTTCTTCCTTGACACAATATTTATGAATAATAAGGTGTTACAAAGTTCGCCTGGCGAGTTTCAAAATATTATAACTCAACCAAAAAAACTCACCATCGGCCTTAGTAATCCCAACTTCACCTGACAGACCCTATCGAGATCATTATCCAGACCCCACGAGTGCAACAGAGACAGCAAAAGCTTGGCGATCTCCATGCCGTGACTAGTTTCGAGGGGGCCCAAAGAATTTGGTTTGTTATTCTTGGAATTTGATTCGCTGCCATCTGAAAAATTCGTGATAAAACTCAGTGAGTCTTGAAAGCGAGAGAATACCTTTAGCTTGGTCGCCCCCTTGTTTCAAGACGCTCTCAGCCTTCGCCAGGGCGGTTTCGGCACCTTCTTTCATTTTCGCGAGAATACCTACAGGGCGAGAAACAAACTCAATTCTCTGAGGCATCGAGAAAGCAAAAAAAAAATTAATTGATCTGAAACGATATTCACAGCCAGAAACAAAACCTCGAACCATCTTATTTCATAAACTGGAGAACCTACAGGCATTGCTTCTGGTGAATCAATCGAAAACAAATGAAAATACCTAGTTACAATGGGCTTGTTTCATGCTATTGAAAATGATACTGGTTTGCTTATAGACTGATCGGGTTAGGGATATATTATATTTATTAAACCTAATCGGTCCCAAGATGTCTTTATATTCGCAGAAAAAGGAACAACTCGAGAAGCAAGAGTTTAAATTTGCCGCGTATCTGTTGACCAATAAAATTGATCGTGTCTACAGCGGTGTTGCCAAGTGTATTGGTTTTCAATATCCACTCACAGAACTAAAATAAAGTGATCCAATTTGACAGACACCATTTTTGTTGTTATTGTTGTGAGCTCGGTGTGTTTAGGTAAATATTTTGCGATATTTATATTTTGAGTACTGATTTTAGATATAGAATAATTTGCAGCCATGGTTTTCGTGTAAATTTTATTTATTGTGGGGAATTTTTTCCATTAATTCAAACGTTAACGGGTTCATATAAGGTTCGTTCCAACCTTGAGTCACAAACAGATTTCCAACTGTTTGTAAATCGTTGTCAACGCGCATGTCTGCTAAATATTGGTTTCTGATTGATTTGAAATTTGTGATTGGAACAGCTGATAGTTCAACTGAAGTTTGGCATGGAATTTCAACATAACCTTGAAAAATAAATCTAATCAAATGTATTTCTGGAGAGTAAAAGAAGGTTGCAGTATTTTATATCTCTATTCTAATTACTAATCAACATGGAACGGTAGGTCACTGCAATAATTAATTTGCGTAATTAAAGATGTTCGTATTTTAGGTTCACTTAAAGAATTCATAATTTTTCCTGCGCCAGCAAATACATAATTTATTTTATTACAATGTTTGCAGGTTATGTTGTTTACAAGTTGCATGAACATAAAACAGAAACAGTAATACGGAATACGCATGCGTCAGATTAATGGTTAGAAGATAATCCTCAAACCATTCTGATAGATTTCGAACAGGTTTGAATCTTGGGTGGAACAGAAAACTGATAGTTTACTAATGGTTGGAAACTCACGTTGGAACGCAATCACATTACTGCGCAGAATCCTGACTGTCAGAAACCGTTTCTGACGCTGGTTGGAACGAACCTATTCACTTCCATTATTGAAATTTATGTGATATCAACATTAAAATGTCTACTACAGGAGATATTTTAAAAATAACGTTTTTAGTGAGTTTTGTGTTATTTGGATCCCATGTAAAATTAATTCTCCCTTCCAATGCGTTTCTTGCACTTGTTTCTTAGATTTAGTTGTTGATTGTGACTGCGATTTTACTTTGAATCACGCCCGTGACGTCACGAACCTAGAAAATCTTATTTTCAATTGTTAATTACGGGGAAACAACGGTATTTAGAGAGCTGAAACATAGTGCACTGCTTCTCAATTCAAAATGACTATCAAATGAACTGTAAACCAAAATCATGAAACGATCCCATTGCTACCTAAATTCTACCCTTATCTGCAAGCTTTTACCGTGTTTATCTTTTTCCTTAATAATCATTTCCATGTTCTCTGCCTTGTTTTTCATTTTCCCGAAGAAGTCTTGCAAGAAAGAAAGTTATCCCAAATTAGAACGGTTATTAGAAACGTACACAGTTTTCTAGTCGTGCGGAAACACTTACCCGCAATTTTTTTATGCGCGTCCGGGCTTGCGCTCTGGGTGAGAGCAGCCACTTTCAAATATTCGGCCTGCGATATCAATCCAGCCGACTCCAGGCTGCCGGGGGACATCATGTCGTATTCTTCGCTCAACAATTCGATTATCAAACATTCTATGTCGAAAAATAAGATGTGACTCTCGGGATCTAAAAAAACGATGATATAAACCACAAAGGTCTAACAATGAGCCACAATCTCCAAACCTAGAATATCTGAAATAACACAGTATCTCACCTTTGGGATTCGTTCTTAGGCCTTGTATCGATAAAGGGGAGTTGTGATTCCTCTGCATGTGAGGATCGTCATTGTTCGTATGGGCCCCCAGCATTTGGAGTTGATGGAGACCTCTTTGCGTTGCATGTCGTATTGCTGACAAGTTTCTGTGTCTCAAACCTCTGAAACGTTATTTTCATTCAGTATAGAATATTTTCCTGGATCGTAAACCCATTCTCGATAACAAAAAGTTTGGCGCCCAATACACGCAACCAAACTTATTATTTTTACCTGAAGAAATGGACCGCAGGATTTGCAAGACCGACTTCCGAAGACGCGTTATTTGCCTCGTTTTCCTCACAGGCGTACAATACCTCCTCCGCCGCGATTCCTGGCAGAAAAAAAAACAAAACTGGTAGCACATCTCATTTCCTAGCCTCGAAAACTATTTACCTTGTAGTACCCTATCTAAGTGACCGGTTTCCATTTGCCAAACGTACACCGTACCGTCAGAACATCCGATTATCATGAAATCGTCATTAGGCCTCCACTTTATCGTCGTGACGGGGAAGAGATGCCTGGAAGCTAGGCATACGCATTTTCTTTCTGCCAAGCTCAACAATGTGACGGAATGATCCGAAGCTACTGAACAAATACACTTTTGTATTCTCGCCTGCAAAAATTGTAGGGATTACTATTTGATTTCATTTTATAATGAGTGTGTGTCTCCTTGGTCGGTACTTACGCTGCAATTGTTAGGCGGAACCAGCAACTGGGTGATTTCTCCTGCATGCACACAAAATCTGTGGAGTAATGTACCAGCATACAAGTCCCAGAGACACACCGCAAAGTCAACTCCACCTGACACCAGATGGTTCTTGTCGTACCGTGAGTGTTCTCGGTGCGGATATAGCAGACAGTTGACTCGACCTCCGTGACCGGAGAGAATTTGATGTTGCGGCCAGCCTGAAAAAAAACCCAGCTTATATAGTCAACAAGAACTCCCAGTCAAGTTGAAGTTCAAAATCAACAAAACTTACTGTTATACTGCTGATGATTTCCGTGTAAAAGTTGCAGCATCACAGTCTGCGTTGCAGGTACTATAATTATGGAACCGTCTTCTCTGCCAACAACTAACCTGCTTTGAAGAGGAAGGTAGATACTAGCTGTCAATTTTATTGCTGAAACACATAAGCTTAATTTAAATCATTGAATAGGATAACGAATGCTATACATAATCACAAATTCCTGGAGTTCCTCAAGGATCGCAAATAGGCCCAATACTCCTCAATCTATTTTTTAACAAAGTAATTGACAGTGTTTGTGATGCAGAACATCAAGCTTTAAGCAAATTATCTTCTTGGTGTGATAAATACCAAATAACATTCTTAAGAACTGTGATCCATATTGTCTGGAATTGTGCTTTATTCTATTTTAGGCTTCCTTCAAATTGAACAAGGTTATTAAATAAAACTGATGATAATTTTAACTCGACATTTGGGGGAAGATAGCAGAGGTTATGAACATGTCAAAAGAGCGTGTTTGCAGTTTAGGCGCAATAAATCCGAGGTTTGGTACTGATTATTTACGGTACAGTAAATGAAACTTGGATACATAACTGTAAAGCAGGGGTCTCCAAACTTTGAAGCCTTCGGGCCATAATGATTTTTTCAGTTTGTTCCAAGGGCCAATTTCTGCTCTTAAGTATATTTCTAGACTAGGATAGTCGCAAAGTGCGTGACCCAAGCAAACTTACGCTTTTTTTGCATTTCAATTATTATTGTGTATTGTGACACTTAACGACATCTAGTGGCGAGTAGTGGTACTATGTACTATCTTTTTCAGCTACCCGCTAGGTGGCATTAGGCGTAATTATATATTTGGAATTACCGCGTTGGTTCGAGAAAGTTCTGGTTCTAGCTAGTGTATTCCGATCACCTCGAGATGGCAGTAATAATTGCATATAAAAAGGCTAGCGGCGCAATTGCGAGTTAGTCTGTGTAGGAAAGGCGAAGGAAGCGAAACTGTCTATTGTGAAATAAAGTAACACCCGGCAATAAAAGTATTTTGATTTGACTTATTGTTTTTATGTGTGATTTGTTAGTATGGAAAAGAAGCGAAAAATCGACAGTGAATGCAGAACGTTCCAAGGAAAATGGATCTTTCAGTATTTTGTGATTGAGTCCAAAGGCGCTATGTTTAATTTGTAATGAAACCATAGCTGTTCTCAAAGACTATAACATTAAACGACACTATGAATCGAAACATCTTCAAAGTTACTCCAAGTATACAGGAAGTTTGCGGAAGGAAAAATTTGAAGCTTTGAAACGCGGACTCAAATCGCAGCAATCTTTGTTTACCAAAGCGAATACTGAACAAGAGTCTGCAACTCGCGCCAGCTTTCGTGTGGCTCTTGAAATCGGCAAACGTGGCAAACCATTCACCGATGGAGAAATGATAAAAGAATGCTTGATTGTAGTAGCCGAAGAAATATGTTCCGAAAAGGTAAATTTATTTAGAAGTGTCAGTTTGTCAGCAAACACCGTGGCTCGGAGGGTGCCAGACATCGCAGAAAATATATCATCTCAACTGTCTGACAAAAATGGACATCATGAGTGGTTTTCTCTAGCATTGGATGAGTCAACGGATGTGTCAGATATTGCTCAGGTGTTGACTTTTATTCGCGGAGTAGATAAAAGCTATGAAGTGTATAAAGAACTTCTTGATATTGATAGTATTCACGGCACGACAACAGGGGCAGATATTTTTAAGGGAGTTGAAAATGACATTAATAAAAAGAACCATCGATGGAGAAATTTGAAATCTATAACAACTGATGGAGGCAAAAATAAAGAAGTGGTTGCACTTGTGTCAAAGGCTGTAGGAAATGATGGTGGTTCAAAACCATTAGTCTTACATTGTATCATTCATCAACAGTCCTTGTGCGGAAAATTACACTTTATTGTGAGATTTTCACTAAATAGTTTTACAAAACACAACTAAGGTTTGACTGATCCGGTGCTATGATATCAATTACATTGTTATTACCGGTAATTCTGGCGAGTTTACACAGTTGAAGCACAAGAAAGGTTACAATCTTGATCTAGCAACACTTACGCTGTCCTTCTTGTTTCTCCAACTGATCCAGGATCCCAACAGGGCTCGGATTCATGCTCGCCCATGCTTCCGTCAAACTAGTCGTCATGGTGGCTACCATCGTTACCGGTTGGGGTAGTTTCTGTCGTTGAATCTCTTCGAGTTGGGCGGCCGATATTTCAGGAATGTTCCACACCAATACGTACCCTTCGGAATCACCCCGAATTAAATAACGCGACTTGGTCTGTTTGTTGTGACGGTTGGTAGTGACGAAGCGCATTGCAGGCGGGCAAGACAATGGCTGAAACGTAAAGACACAATAACTAATGCCTCGTACGATAAAAATGATTCAATTTACCTTGCTGTCTGGTTGATTCAGCAGGCAGTACAAAAAAGGGCTGTCGCTCTCTATACTGGGCGTATGGAAATCTGTGTTATCCGGTATGCTGCTGTAAACAGTAAATTCCAATTTCTCAACGGCTGAATGTGCCGAACCTCTTCCGAGAGTATAAAAATATACAGTCAGAAAAAAACGAGACAGTTGTAGATCCTGTATGTTATCACTGAATATTTACAGCATCTACAACAATCTCACTCACACGTGAATCACCCCAAACCTATTATTTTACGATTTGTAGAGCGAACTCGAAAGCATGGATGGCAAAGCGGAACACTTTGAGGTTATGCAAGTTATTAGAACTTCAATTAGTCATATAGAAAAAGTGAGAGTCATGCATGAGAAACAAAAAAAAGAGGCTGAAAAAGAAAAGAGTGCTGTGAGTGTAGGCTTTGCATGTATTAAATTAAAGAAAGGTGTTCAATGGTTGAACACAAAAACATTTACCTGAGAAACTGTTCTTTAACAAATGCAAGGCACGGAAATAAGCTGGTTTATCAAAATTACCCACGATTTTTCGGCGGGGTAATTTTAACCATTCCAGTTCTTGATTTCGAGGCAAAATTCTGTTCAAGTCAACTGTCTGTGAGGAAAAGGTATTCTTGAGTAACAGAGGTGATATGCCTTTAGATCTTGAAAGTAATGATTGGTTTATAGATCAGTCTTTCACTTTAATATACGAGGGCTGCTTAAAAAGTATTACGAATTCAAACTGAACCTAATCCCTGCCAAAACAGCCCAAAGAAGGCTTTGGCAAGGATAGTGTTAGTGGTTGACCTACAGTAATCCAGGACGAGAATTTGAGGGTCCTGGTGGAGACTGGCCCATCACAAACGGTGTGTGTAGCCCATACGTTTATCCCACTCTACAGATAAGTACCATGAGTAGACTTTTGACAATTCGCCTAATGTATATTGAGTATTGATCTACCATTTTCAGTTTGTGTAAAAAGTTAAAGCAAAGTTAAAACGTAGAGTTTTCAATGAAACTCGAGATGAACCTTTTACTGTATATTCGACCTCATTCAGTGACATAATTCACAACATATACATATAAACAATCCAATGGGTGCTCCTTTACGCTTAACGCGCGTTTCCTCGTGTGACGCCATCTAGGGGACTAAACAGTAACTATTTCCTGTCCGATAGTTGTCAAACTGTACAATAGATGGCGGTAAGCTTCAATGCGAAGCAAGAAGTTCCTAGTCTCCATTCTCGAAAGTACTAGGCCCGCCCGCTGCCTCATATAAAAGCGCGCGCGCCATCCAGCCAGTAATGTCATTCGACGATATTACAAAAACAAGTGAATTTAGTTAGCGACTAGCTAAGTAAAGTGCTGTACGTGCGGTGGTGAATACTGTGAGTGTTTTTTACTGTGAGCAAGTTTTTAATACTCGATTCTTTACTTTGTCAATTTTGAAGACAAAATTATGTTGAAAGCAAAAAAGAAGAAACGGCAGTATAGCGCGGAATATATAAAATATAGATTTATTGAAAATCCCACAAATCCATGTTCGCCTATGTGCCTTCTTTGTCAAAAAAATTTTTGAATGAAGCGATGAAACTGTCAAGGCTACAAGATCATTTGAATAAAATGCATTCAGATAAAAAAGACAATAGTGTGACTTATTTTCAAGAACTGGAAAAGAAACACTCAGCTCAGCCAACTGTGTCAACAGCGGTTTCTAAGCAAAACGACGACGGACTCTGAGCTTCCTATAATATCTCCACATAATGACACACGTAATTTAATTATTAAAATAATGACTGCGATTGTGATTCTTGAGATGTAGTAAAGTAAAAAAATTGGGGGGCGTTAGAAAATAATAAATTCTCGAAGTGGGTGGTAGTAGACAAAATAAGTTTGAGAACCTCTGCTGTAGATTATATTTATTTTTTTAAATGACGTATCCATGACAACTATCTGTAGATCACCCACCATACAGTCCAGATTCAACCCCTGTGGAAGTGAAGTGCGAAAAGTGTGGAGATTACGTGAAAAATGCATGTATTTCGGGAGAACGAATAATTCTTTTTTCTGTAGAATGTTTTTATCCCTACTTTTCAAACAGCCCTTGTAAAAATGAAATGAAAAATTTAACCACTGGTACCCATTCCTTTTCAAGAACTGGATTTCTGCATGAAGCAAAATAAAAAAAATGTAAATGAGTGAGTTTCTAACCTATTAATAATACTCTTGCCACGTAGCTTGCTGTTTGTTGTCCAGGTGAAAATAAAAAAAGAAAGTATTAATATATTTTGCTAACAGTAGGTGCACATTAATTAAAATTAATTCTAACTCAAATTGCTAAATTAAAAAAATAAATAAAAACTCTGTAGTTAACAAGTCCTCAGTTTATATTTTAATTTAGGCTGAAAGAAATAAGATAATTAACAATTGTTAGCGAGGAGGGGATGAGAATAATTCAAGGCGACATCTTTTATTTTCCATCAAGAAGTATCATTTTTATATTCGGTTCAAACTGAAGATGAATATATAAAAAAAGTTGTTAACCGGATTCCGTAAAACAAAAAATAAACATAAAATAGATATATCTGACAAATAGGAAGAACATTTTAGAAATAAATCATGACAAAAAATGTATATACCTCCATAGTTATAGTTTTTATATTACGATTACTAGTACACTTTATTGTGAGATTTTCACTAAATAGTTTTACGACTTTTAGATATGACATTTGATTCTCCACTGTCAAAATATAAACCTTCATTTGAATTGAAAGGATTATATTTTTGGAAGTGATTAAATTTTGGGAAAGAAAGTTTTTGGCTTTCTACCACTCCGTCTTGCTACAAAAAAATGTGGGAATCTTCAAGATGGAGTAGTAGAAAGTCAAAAACTCTCTTTCAAAAAAAAATTAAACTTCATGTTTGCGACTCTTCAGTCTCTTTTGGAATTCTTGACAAAGTTCTTTGTAGCTTGTATCTTTTAGCATAGGAAAAAAACTTTTACGATTTGACATTACGGTTTTTCAGTGTTTTACTTCTTATTGGATCCGACAACCGCTAAACTTTGGAAGTTCCATCATATCCCACAAATACACTTGAATACATAATATAAATTTTTCAACGCTCCAAATATCAGTCCTACTAACACAACCACCCGCTCTGTATACAACAACCGTTAATGCATTCCCCAATCTAGTAACATCCTTCAATAAACCCACTGAACAAAGAATTTAAGACCAATCCACCGAGATGTTTGTTAAGTTAGGAAAAAATCATCCCCTCGTCCAACTCATACCTCAAACCACCTACAAAATCAGTTATCTGAGCCTTACTTGGATGGTAGCTTGTAAAGATAACCTTTCCCAGCATCCGACCACATGATGATCCTATCGATGGCCAGAAAGTCCCCCGACATCCACCTCTCTCCCCTGGGAGCCAGATAGGAACACAAGACGCTGAAATCACCTTGAAAAGCACGCGTTTTAAAATTGGTCCTTCGAGCCGGATAATCACTACGACTTACCAGCATCGTATATTTGCCAATACTTGGTGCACACGACAAGCACCGTTCGTTGATTGTAGCAGCAGCACTGCAAACACACCGCGTTCAATGTCCGGATTTGCTTGCTCTCGTTCTCGTATATGGGCTCCTGGTGTCTGTGCTCTGCTCCGGTCAGCGTCCACACTTTGACCATGCCGGTTGTGGTTAAGGCCAGGACTACGTCGTCTTTACGCTTGGCCGGTCTCAGCACCTACATTAATTGCAAAAGGATTTGAATTACTGAGCCCCATTCAGCAGAGTTTCGAAACACATACATGCAAAGCACTGATCCAATCGGGGTTTTGTTTGGAGGAGAGCATGAAGAGCACCTCCAAGCTGAATGGGTCCATCACTATGATTTCGGGGTAGTAGCCATTGCAGAACAACCGAAGGTCCTCGCAATTGCACATGTGGTAGGCCTGGGAAAAGAGCGAATTTATAACTTATGTTGATATGCTTATGTTGATATTGTTGATGAGTAATAGCTTTTAACCAGTTGATAAGATCATATATTTTGTTTTGGAGGTGTTGAGTTTTAATTTATTGCTATTCATGTACTTGAAAACATTTCTTAGTTCATTATTCATTTGATCAGCTACTGTTTCTATATTATCTCCTGAAATTGATAACAAAGTTTCGTCTGCAAAAAGGTTCATGAAATCACAACCATGGATGGTATCTATATCATTCAGGTAGATTAAATATAATATAGGTCCCAAAACACTCTCCTGAGGTACCCCGAAAACGACATCGCGAGATGATGACACTGAATCCTTTATTTTGGTTACCTGTTTGCGTTGTGATAAATAATCAGTCAGCCATAACAAAACAGTTTCCCTGATACCAATACTTTGCAGTTTATTTAGTAATATGTGGCGATCAATTGTCTCAAAAGCTCTTTTAAGATCTAAAAATATGACTATAATATAATGTCCATTATCAATTGATTCTTTCCATTTTGATATTGTGACTTGTAATGCAGACTCACATGAATGGTGTTTTCTGAAACCTGACTAATATTTTAGTAATATATCATTATTTTTTAGATATTCAATGAGTTGATTATAAACTGCGAGTTCTAATATTTTTTCAATCCAAGGCAAAGTGTTGATTGGTCTAAATTCCCAGGATTTATTTGTGTTAGGGACTTTCTGAATTTCCCTGTATTAATTTCATCATCCACATCAATGTGTTTGCATCACATATATTCTCTGACTGTCAGCTACAATATGTACTTGATGTTTATGTTATTCATTTTTGCTAGACTCATTTCCCATTCAGTATTCTTAATACCTAGTTGAGGTAACTGTATGAACAATTAACACGACAACTGACACAAATGACAATCTCAACTCAGACAAACTAAACATGTGCTCTAAACGTATTCAGCCACCGTATTGACCAGATTTGGCTCCTATGAAAGGACTGCGTTATGCAATGATTGAGTATATAAAAACCGAATCGATGAGAGAGCTCGATGACATACCGAAAATTGTGTATCAGAACTGCTTTGAGGATTGAAATAACCGCTGATGCAAGTGTATTATATGCACATCGTCAAGATTTTTACTACAAATGTTTGCAGTTTGCATTGAACACACGTAACTTTATTGGTGACACTTTATTTGCACTTTTTGCAGGAAGATACTTGGATTTTGTTCGCAAGAAATGAACTTGTGTCTGAACACGACACCATATTAGGTATACTACTAAGGGGGCAACTTCAAAGGAGACAAAATAGAAATGGGTGAATGTTTTTTGAAAAAAATGAAAATTCACCTTATTTTGCCCAGATATTCTACTTTAAAAAAGGAAAATTATCTTTATAAATCAACAATTAAGGCAAAATATAAATTATAGTTCAATACCAACTCCACAAGCCACATAAACGACAGTTGTTTTGTTATTTATTTATATAGAGGAAGATAGGTTAGGTGCACAAAATATCATATATCACAGAATGTCTCGGAACTCGGAACATAAGTAAACAGAACAGCACGCCTCTGAAATATGTCATCTTTGTTTGTCTCATACAGGTAACAGATTCATTGTCCTTTATTAGCTATAACCGATGTTGCCAAATGGTGAAATAGAAACGAATCCCTTTATCAAAAGTATTGCAATTGGTGTATAATGAAATCAACAGTGGGGAGGCCACTGCAGCAGTGCTTTGTGACTTATCCAAAGCTTTTGACTGTGTCAATCACAGCATATTGCTTCGGAAACTCATAAGATATGGTTTTAGGGACAACAGTCATATTTGGTTTAGTTCATACGTTTCTGACAGAAAACAATTTGTAAGAACGTCATCTAACTCGGACGTGGGAGAGATACATTGTGGAGTGCCTCAGGGCTCTGTGTTGGGTCCTGTGCTGTTTCTGTGACTGTGATTAATGATTTGACCAACATATCGATTACAGGAAGCTTTACCTTATTTGCTGACGACACCATATTAATGTGGCATGACAAGGACAAAAACAGATTGCATAACAAAATGTGCCAAGACATGAAAAAAGTGAAGAATTTGTTTGACTCGAATCTTCTATCATTGAATACTAGCAAAACAAATATATTAGCAGTCTTGCAGAAAAGAGCTATCAGGTACTTAAATAAAGCGAAATGGTGGAATTCATGTAAACCCCTTTTTCGAGAACATAGATTACGGTTATTTCAATATTTATATTGGAAACCGTGTCAATTATACAGAAAAATAGGGAGAACTATGAATCTACAGCTACAGCCACATACCACACAAGGCGGTCAAATGAACTGAGTCTACCAATTCCAAAAACATGTTTGGTTCAAAACTCGTTGATATATAATGGAACAGGATATACAATAAACTTCCCAATGAAATTAAAGAGACTCCTTTCATCATATTTAGAAAGAAATGTACAAAATTATCAAGTGATAAAGCCTATTATGACTTAAAAGAATATTTTGACGATGCCCTGTAATTTAGAATGTGATGAAACTGTGATTGTACTGTGTGTGAAACATATATTTTTATTCGTTGTCCAAGTTCTTGTCAAGTAAGTATTTCAATAATTTTTTAAAGAAAAAGGTTGAAATGATAAGTTTAAAATGCATTGTTTTAGAGCTCTTTTATGAAAACTATTTGATTTTCATCAGGAGGAACATTCCCCATTACCAAGGTGGCAAAAGAAAGCAAAAAAAGGTCACTACCCTGTATCAATCATTTTTTAATCAACTATTTCTTGTAATTACACCAAAGATATAGATGTAGATCTTATCTCATAAAGAAAAAAATGCTGATGTACAATCTTACATCAGCCATGTTTTTTCTGAATCTTGTATTCAAGTCATCCTGTGAAAGATCTAAAGTCAAAATAAAAAAACAGTTTTACATGTGTTACATCTATACTATTTGCCAATAATGAAATGAAAGATAAATTTGACAAATATCATAAATAACTATTTATTTTAGGATCATAAAATATCATTTATCAAATTGATAATCTTTAAAGAAACACCAACAATTCTTATGATTCAAAAACATAACAGGAGATTACTCCTGACGTGAATTAAATTTAAAAAATGTGTTAATGTTTTATGTAAAGACGCACGCACCTGTATGTTAGTATGCACCTGTGGCATCTTAATGGCTTCTCTGCACTTCCCATCTGTCAAATCCCACGTGCACATTTCACCTGCCTCGGAACTTGAAACGATGTAGTTGTTATCCTGAATCATCGAAGCCCGGGATATACACAATATTGGAGCCGTGTGTCCAACTAAGAGACATCTTGGAATCATATGGAGCGTATCGGGGTCAACTTGCCTGAAAAATGTATCAACAATAAATGATGTAGTAGAAAATGAAGTCAGTCCTGAAACTCATCTCCTGATGATGCCATACTGGTTGGCGAAACTCACGTCGAGAGACAGTATTTTTGTTCTGGCAAGAAAGAAAGAAAGAAAGAAAGAAATTTATTCATTCATGGACCAACTACATGGTATCGAACATGTCAACTTATACTTATAAATATGTAAACAAACAAACATGTAAATATACATTCAATACATATAAACATAGGACCATAAAATACAGATATATATACATATATGTATAAATAAAAATGTAAAAACGTATAGATGTACAAGTGTAAAAATGTAAGATTAAAACATAAAAGAATAAGATTATTTACACACAGATATCCACAAAAACTCAATCAGCGAAATACTCTTGTAATGTATAATAAGATTTAGCCAATAAGAAATCTTTCAGTGATTTTTTTAATTCTATAGTATTACAGGCCTTCATTAGATTAGGGAGTTTATTATATATTTTTACCCCAGCATAAGTTGGCGATTTTTCAAATGCGGATGTTCTGTGAGTCATTGTTAATAAATTTGAAGCATTTCTAGTGCAATATTGATGGTGGTAATTGTTTTTTATTAGCTCATTTTCATGCTTTTTAATGTGTAAGCAACTTTTATAAATATAAATGCAGCAAACTGTCATAATCTTTTTACTCTTAAAAATTTCCCTGCAAGAATCACGTGGCTTCATGTTGAACATCATTCTAACAATTCTTTTTTGTGTAACAAATATCCTATTTATTTCTGTAGCATTTCCCCATAACGTGATGTGAAAAGATAGTGCAGAATATACTAATGCATAATAAACTTGGATAAGTATATTCTCATGAAGTTCATACCTCAATTGCAGAATTGCGAAGTATGAAAAGGAAAAGTTTTTTTGATAGGTTAGGATCATATCAGACACTTGAAATTTTTAATGAGATCAACGTCACTGATCATTTTAGCACTAAGCAGGTCAACCAATTGATTGTGTATCGAAAACATACCGGATTTTGAAAATCATTTTTATGAGGGTTTCAATCTCCATGACGAATTAACTCTCTCACAACTATTAGATGTACTAAAAAGTTCAATTATTATTATTAATGAAAGTGAATGTTTTACCTTTGTAATGCCCTACAATTTCCTTCAAATGGAGTATGCTAGATGTTGCTAGGAGATGTTTTTGTTTAGAAAATAGAGAAAAGAATTTAATAAAAACTTCAATCAATAACGCTTTTCCAAAAGTAGTTTAAAACCTACAATTGGTGACCCCAAGAAGTGAATAGTTATTACGCACTTGATAAAACCATGGTCAAGTTACTTCAAAACCTTTCGCGAGAGCAATTAGTCATCCTACTTGAATATTTCAATGTCAATCCTGGTGGAACTGTTCCCGACATAAAAATAATGCTGGAGGTTGAAATTCTTAAGCAGTATCCTGGAATGATAAATTCCCAAGACTTTGATTTCACAGAACTTTTTTGCAAAATCATTGATCAGGAGAAATCTAAGGAATCTCAAGCAGAAGGTAGTGTTATTGAAAAGGTGAACAAGCTAGAGATTCTTTGTAATAAGCTGATTGAAAATCTCGAAATAATAATAGGAGAAGAAAGCATAGAAGAAAGCGTTTTTGATTGAAGTTTTTATTAAATTCTTTTCCCTATTTTCTAAACAAAATCATCTCCTAGCAACACCTAGCATACTCCATTTGAAGGAAATTGTAGGGCACTACACCTTCTTTAAGGACGTTGTGAAACTTAGAATTGTTTTTATTAAATACTAGTACTATGTTGCTGTATCGCTGCTGTTCCAATGTTTTGACATAATCAGAATTAACGAACTTAGGCGTGAGCAGCGTTATAGAACAGTGTCTTAAAAACATTGTTCTACAGCGCCATCTAGAGGCGAGTTACAGAAAATTACTTATAAATGTCAAGTTTCATCACGATCGGTTGATCGGGCACCAAATTGTGGAATTGTATTCGATTATACAACACAACAAAGTTTTTGTTTCGGGGTTGAAATTAGATGATTTTAATGTATTTCCACGTGTTAAAACCGAAAGTGACCATAAAAATTATATATTAGCTCTTGTTTTCAAGATATAGTATCATTATATTATATATATGTATATTGAGTTTTCAACAAATGAAATATTTCATCACCAACNATAACAATATTGTTTTATGTACTTTCACTTTTCACGTATAGTATAACTACTCTTTAAGATTAAGTACTGTGTATCTCAAAAACCAGAGCTAATAAAAATTTTTCATTGTTATTTTCGTTTTTATCACCCCAAAATTAGTAGAAATTGACTAATTTAGTGTAGGAAACATTCAAAAAATATTTTTTTGTTGTGTTGTGGATCTAACAATTGAACAATATATGATTTTTATTGAAGTGAGAGATAGTTCATTTGCAGATCTAGATTGAAACTTAACATTTTTAGTGCTGATTGTGTATGTTGTTTTCAGTTCTGGTTGATTGATTTCACATGGCCGGTTAATGGGATTTTTGTTTTGGAAAAAAGTAAATTTTTCACATTTATCTATATTTAATTGCAGTACATTTTTATCACACCAGCGAACAAAGGTAGATAAATCGTAGTGTAATAATTCTGTATCAGTTGAGTCATGAGTAACTTCAAACATCTTCAGGTCATCAGCAAACAAAATAAATTCACTGTAAAGAATAACATCTTTCAAGGCATTTACAAATAGGTTGAAAAACAACGGCCTTAAATGAGAACCCTGTGATACACCCGATGAAACTGTGATTGAGGAAGATACTGAGTTACCATATTTTACAAATTGTACGCTGCAGGCTAGATAATTTTCAATCCATTTCAGAATGTTTTCCTGAATACCCAAAGTGTTTAGTTTATGCAACAACAAATTGTGGTTTACTCGGTCAAATGCCTTTGAGAAATCTGTGTAAATAGAATCCACCTGGATTCTATTTATTTTAATAATTTATTTATTATTTTTAATTTAAAAGTACCTGATACCCCATAAAATGAAAACAAATAAAATCAATCAACTGCAATAGTGTTCTTAAAATAGATCATTATATTTTCAGATCAAAAACATCATCCTGATTTCTTCACATACAAGCAAGAAAAACAATGACTTCTTGAAAATAAATTGTTTACAGTATTATGGGTCTTATATATATAATGATTCACTGCCAAGAATTTTGCAACGTTTCTTGGGCCACACTACTTTCACTGTTGTTTGTTTTCATGAAAAATCTTTATTACTTCTAATCTTTACGATATGATAAATCCAACACGACACGACTTTGATAAACATCAGTTACAAATTTGAAAAGGTGGTTCCGTTATTTAAAAAGGAAGATACAACATTCATTTAAAACTATAGACTCCTCTAGTATGGGTTAAAATCCTAAATACTGTTTTCTGATTTGTCTTGAATCATCTCTTCAGAAGCATGATAATTTTTCCTAATTAGCATGGATTTCAAAGTGGTTTTCCTAGGGTTTATGGTCTTGATCTTGTTTGTTCGTCCACCACAATATATTGACGAAAACGTAGAGGCAGGCATATGGAATCAAAGAAGCAGAATTGGAATAGCTTCAATAATTTTTGACTGATTGACAGCCTAAATTTTTTAAGAATGAGAACGGAAAAGACAAGTCAAGTTCCAATGGATTTGGGAGTTTAATAGGGCTCCATTTTGGACCTTGTGTTACTGTCTCTGTATGTGACCGAAATTAGTTCAGTAACATCAGACGCTCTCTATACAATATGCCGATGACACACTACTGGCTACTGCTAATCTCGATTGAATAATAATAATAATGATAATATTTATTCACTTTTGGCAATACAAAGTATTTTTATTTAGTATGTCATAAAAGAATAGTAATACATGTTACTTGAGAAACTATGAAAATCTTTTTAATGTTTTTTTTAAGATTATTGTCTAAACATTCTTGGAAACCATAACAATATTTCTCTAATAATAGGGCTTCAACTTCATTTCAAAATGTGTCATAAATTCCTGTCCTTTTGAATTACTCGGGTAGTTCGTTATAAAATAAGGGCTTTGGCTTTATTGAGATCTAAACAATCACTGTCAATGTACATATTTCAATTCAGATCCTCTTATGAAGGATTATCTGAAAATCTTATTCTTTAGAGGATTGGTTATTGTCAATTATAAAAGGAGATCAGAATTGGAATATTTGTTCAATAAACAGTAAATATTCCTTCACTGAAGAGCGAATACAATGATAGTTAAAGCTAGTCTTGGTTTTTATTTGTATTTACAGCCATTTATGACATCAATTGACTATTAATTTGTTTTTGTTTTGACTCACCGAAGTACTCATTGTGCCAAAACGGTCAAATAAAATAAATTACAATTATTATCTGAATTACGAGATTTTTGTGACTCACCACAAACAAATCTGCCCATCGTAGCACCCTGTGGCTAGCGTCTTCAGATCTTTGGAGAGATAAATGCAGGATATACAGTGTGTTGGAGCATATTTTCCCCAAAGCACTACAGGAACTACTAAGCTAGTCCCGGGCATTTTGATTTGCAACCTGAAAGATACACATAGTTTGTGTAATACCTAAAAACACATAAATGTGGTTTGTAGTGGAAAACATTCAAGTGGGGCAAAGTCAATTAAACAAATTAAACTCAATTAAAGGTTTGCTAAACACGAAACAATCACATGACTTTGTATGCTTCGGTCCAGAAATCATCTGCGTCTTATTCGACGCCAATAAATATTAGTTTAATGAGAGTAGATTGAACTGGTACAATAACATTGAAAATACTATTCCGCGTGAGGCGACGATCTATTTGCTTTTTCCACCACAACCTTTTCTTGTTAAAATTAGAAGATATGGCATTATTTCACCTTGTTATATAGATCTCTCGAAGGACGGATTACTCTCAAAATAATAATTTTTGCAATTTAGAGTGTGAAATATTATTCGCCATCTTAACGAGCAATCAGCTGTTTGACGTTGATGTTGATGACAATGACGTTTCCCGAAGCGCCATCTCTCGCGGTTTGAAAATAAAAGTTTTTTTGCAACCGATATTAGGAAATGACGTAATAGTTTAATAATAATCAAACAGTGGTTCTGAAAGTTTTTCGGTATTCTTAGAAACTTAAAAGAGTACAAACGCGTAGAAAGGACACGAAAATCTATAATAATATTCTCTCACAATTCACACTCACAAATGTGATTTGACAAATTCACATTTACAACTGTGAATTCACACTTATACCTATAACCATTGTCTAATAAATCTATAGACAATGCTGTAACATTGTCTAGACAATGTAGACAGCAAATTCCCCGCATGTACACTTAGTACTCGGTACGATATATGTCAGCACGTTACATTTATTGCACATTCATTTAGTATATAATTGTTAATGAAACAATTATATACTAATATAGATGAATTCATATAACTTAAGTTAGATTCAACTAGTGCAACTAGAACTTGGCAAACATGTAGATTTGGTTAGTTAAGGTTAGGATAAAAGTTGGATCTGGTTATCATTACTTGGCATCTACAGGCGCTTGTCTGCCAAATTGCAGTTTTGCTACAATTCGGCAGAAACTTTTGCAGAAAAAATGTAAAAGGCTGGATCATCGCATCTACTCAGAGCACATGATTATCGAACCCAAAGATCGCTTACATTAAGGTTGTGGTAATTGCTTAGTGACATCAGTATTTTCCGACCTGCGAAATCTTTTCAGTATCAAAAGAATAGGTACTAATAATATATTTAATGCTTTTATGGAATCATTATCATTAAGAGATTACAACCTATCCTTACAAATGAGAGGGTCGACTTTTGACCATGAATAATATTACAGGCAGGAATTGCTTTTCCACTCGATCGAAATGAATAACTATATCATTGGCTCCACTCTATAGAGTCATCCTCAAAGATGCTTTTAGATCTTAACTAAATGGAGATTATCATCAAATTTGTGATACACTGTTTGGAACCTTTGGTGTAGTAATGAATATTACTTGAGTTTTTTCCCAACACCAAACCGTTATTTCAACACCTCGACACGTGTTTCGATCACCAAGTGATCATCTTCAAGAGGAAGATCAAACTCCAGTAATATTCATTATCGTCAAAGTCAAAGTTACAAATATCTAATGATGATGCACACTTGGTTTGTTGAGATTTGTTTTCTCAGTATTTTCTCTAGTTTGATGTCTAACAATATACAAATAAACGTGTATGATACATTCAAATTCAGCTACAACTAACAACCTTATTTTCTGATGTTTACCCAGTAAATACAAGAAAATGGAATAACCGAACGTTGTTCTGCTGAATTTCCTACATCAAAAATCGAACTTTTCTATTAGAGTTTTGACATTTTATAATATGGCGTCGACTGAAGCGAAAGATGTAGTAAATGATGAAAGTACTGAAAAAAATGGTGATTTGGAGGTGAGTCGTGATTGTTAACTACGTCCCTGCCTACCTCCTGTACAAATTGGGACAAATGGATTGTTTGTTCAGCAAAAATTGTTTTTGTTCCATCTCTCTTAAGGTGGATTTCAACGTCAAGCCAATATGGAGTAGAGTATTCGCTGATTGGTAGAAATATTTAAATTTTGACATCTGCGTATATTTTTACCAATCGGAAAACTGTAGCATGGTCGTGCGTCAACTGTAAGTTGAGTTGGTGCGACTATTGAAAAAATATAAAAATTAACTCCCCTAAAAAAAGATGTCAGTTTCCTTCTGAACTGAAAGCCAAACAAGCGTTGTTGTTCGGCGCCAGAAATTGAAGCATTATTTGGTTTTTGTCTGGGAAAAGGTAAAGTTAATTTTGATTGTTTATTCAGTTTTTAATATGCACTAGATCTAGAGGTATTATTTTTGCCACATGTAGGAATGTTAAAGTTGAATTCAATAATTTTGCACGTGTTTATCGGCGCCGGTTAAAATTTGCGAATTTCGTTGTTTGTAGATGATACCAATTACATTTTAGCACCATTCAGGTAATTTTTTTTCAATACTTTGTAATCATCAAATTAGATTATGAAGAACTGGTGTGATAATATTAGAGTGTATTGAATACTCCCAAAATTTTCTGATGCCAAATAAATGTATATGACTTTGTTATATTAAAAATTATCTCTCCCCCAAATGTTTTAATATCTTGAGTTGGTAGGAAGTTGAAATACATTTAACCTAGAAGTAATTATTATGAAAAACGATGCTTTCGGACTGTTGTGCTACTAGGTTATAGTAAAAACAAATCTTCAAAGTTCAGAAGAAAATATTGATTCTTAGGCATTAGCAACTATTCTCCGCTTGAGAGAAACGTAAGATGTGCTTAAAAATTTGAAACAATTATTCCAATTTCATTTGAGTCGTCTCTCAGTTTTAACTATGTATAGTTTTTTCCATGCGTTTTAACTTCACAAGTGTTTCGATACCCTTCAGATTTTAAAATATATTTAGGAAAACATTAATTTTCATGCTGGCCAATAATGTCTCAGAAGCTAGAGGAAAAACAGGGTCCTCATTCTTCTTGTCTCCGACTGTAATACCTGCTTAAATCTTATGCTGTTTCTTAACTTAGTCAGTTGAGCTAACCTCTTATTTGACTAATAGTAGAAATATGAACTTCTTTTTTAATTTGGTCCGGTAGTAAAAAGTTTGTCGAATGGCTATATGAGAACAAAGGTGAGAAATACTTTCGAAGCACTTTGTAGAAATTTTGATATTTGTGATGTCTCGAAAGACATTGAGTAATTTAGGTGTTCAGTTAGGAATATATTGAATTGAGTAATATCGAATAAATTCATTATGCTCATTATTGTCGTTTAAATGGAAAGATTTATTGGATTGGAAAAAACTTCTCTATCTATAAATGGGATTTGATTATTTGAATTTGCCATATTTGTCAGTTTATTTCAATTATGTTCTTGACTTGTGTAAAACTCGATGTTTAACAGCACCAATAAACTATTCTTATTCAAATAGCTTGGTCAATGTGAATCTGACAATGAATGTTTTGATTTATTTCAGAAAAATAACAAACCACATACAATGGAGACAATGGAAGTGGCCGTCAACAACCACGTCACCAAGGAAGAAAAAATGGAAGACATCCCTGCAGACGAAATGACTTCAAGGGACTACTATTTCGACTCATACGCTCATTTCGGTATACACGAGGAAATGTTAAAAGATGAAGTAAGGACTCTTACATACAGAAACTCCATGTACCACAATAAACATTTGTTTGCGGGTAAAGTGGTCATGGACATTGGCTGCGGTACAGGCATTTTGAGTATGTTTGCAGCCAAAGCTGGTGCTAAAAAAGTGCTAGCAGTGGAATGCTCGAACATAGTGGACTATGCCAGGCAAATCGTCGAGACTAACAAGTTGGACCACATAATAACCATCATCAAAGGCAAAGTGGAGGAAATCAGTCTGCCTGAAGGCATTGACGGTGTGGATATAATAATTTCAGAGTGGATGGGCTACTGCCTGTTCTATGAAAGCATGTTAGATACTGTACTCTTCGCCAGGGACAAGTGGTTGAAACCTGACGGCCTCTTGTTTCCCGACCGGTGTTCTCTGTTCGTAACTGCTATCGAAGACCGCCAGTACAAGGACGAAAAGATTAATTGGTGGGACGACGTGTACGGCTTCGATATGAGCTCGATTCGTAAAGTGGCCATCAGTGAGCCTCTCGTGGACGTAGTCGACCCTAAGCAGGTCGTAACGGGTCCAGCTCTGATCAAGGAAGTGGATCTGTACACAGTGAAGAAGGAAGATTTGGAGTTCACCTCTCCTTTCACTCTCACCGTGAGGCGTAACGACTATATCCAAGCTCTGGTGACGTATTTCACTGTAGAGTTTACCAAGTGTCACAAGCGGATTGGATTCAGCACGGCTCCGGACGCAAATTACACCCACTGGAAGCAGACTGTGTTTTATTTCGAAGACTACATGACTGTGAAGAAAAACGAAGAAATCAATGGTGTGTTCACCATGAAGCCGAACCCTCGTAACAATAGAGATTTAGATTTTGTGATCGAACTGAACTTCAAAGGTGAATTAGCTGAAGTACACGAAACCAATAGATACCGTATGCGTTAGGAACTGAACATTGTGCTTCGTGCTTAGGATTTTCTTGGCGTCGGTTTTTTTACTTGTTTCCTCAACCGTAAAGCTAGTCGGAATTTTCGTTGACATCGGAATAGGAAACTGAGATGGCTCATATTGTTCAATTTAATATTTTGATGAGTGTAAAATTATAATATCGCTCTAGGATTTCTGTTAGGACTTTGAACATGTTGATTTATCTCCAAGTAGAGAATAGGATAAAAATGTAAAGTTTTCAGTTGGAATTTTGATGATCTGTGAAATATTTTTTTATTTTTACCTGTAAGATCAAAATATTTAATCCAATAATATTCAATAAATTTTTAAATAATGTCATGTTTCATTTACTTTCGAGATAATTTCACTTGACTCACTGGATGTTGGTACTTATTCTTCTGTTAGTTCTTCATTATAGATCAATATTTTCAAGTAGATACATAGTCATTTATTTCGAACGGACATAAAAACCCAATTACAGAAAATGCTGAATTCTAGTATAGAAATAGATTTATTAGAAATAGATGTCCTAATATACATAAAGATTATACAAATATATCAGTTACTAAACATAACAGTATAAGCACGCTATTTGGAATATTGATTCTGAATATTGAAAAAAGGCCTTAATTATGTGACAGGTTTTTTGTTGGGGAAGTGGCTAAAATTGATCCATGACCGACACCTTCGAACTAATCTTGGCTAATAATGATGATTTATTATTATACAAAAATTATAAACGTTTTTAAAAAACTATACAAACAATAACAAATGCTCAGTCAATGGAAATTAAATATATTATCATACATATTGTATTAAAGGTAGTATAAAACTATTTTGAATATTATAGAAACTACATGGAAATGTGTAAGACATGTATAGACACATATATACAAACATATGAATATTAACACTCTCATGGTGTAATTCCTACCTATCAGGTCGAAGCCATATAGTAAAAAAAACAATACTCCATGAAAATGCGTAGATGAAGGCTGACGTACCTCAAGGCTCAATACTGGGTCCGCTCTTCTTTTTGGTGTCAAAAGTATGTGGACATTTTACAATGTGTGCTGATGGCACCACTATAATGTGGCATAGTTCGGATTTAAAGTTTGAAAATAAATTATTTCATAATGATTTTAACGTAATTAGAAAATGGTTTAACTCAAATAAGCTTTTTTTCAATGTCTCAGGGACCAATGTTGTTGCCTCCAGAGGGCAGATTGAGAATATTTCACCAGTAGTAGAGTCAATTAAAAAAAAAAACATACAAAATTCCTTAGGGTTACACATTGATATTAATATTTAAAAAAATAAACATGATAACTTTACGTTAGGATAATTTTTTCTCTTGATAAAGTAAATAAAAGTGAAATTATAAATAGTAAATTCTTAAAAGAAGCTTTCGATGTGTCTGGGCATATATTGAACTTTATAAATACTTCCTTATACACGGGACTGTTTCCAAACCACTACAAAGTTAGTACAGTGACTCCAATTCCGAAAATAAATAATACAAGTGATGCAAGTAATTTTCGTCCAATAAACAGTCTACCAACGCTTGAAAAAGTACTGGAACTGGCAGTATATGAACAACTAGTTGCATACTTTAATGAAAATAATTTATTCATCAAGAATCAGTCTGGTTTTCGTAAGAATCACTCATGCGAAACAGCATTACAACTAACAGTCACAGAGTGGAAAAAAGTATTGATAAGAAAGAATATATTGTTGCTATATTTCTAGATTTCAAGCGTGTCGTCAAAGCAATTAATAGGAAAACTTTAATCAATAAACTGAAGTATTAAGGTGTAACTGAAAAGCTTTAAACTGGTTAGATAGTTATCTTGAGCAAAGGACTAAAATTTATGATGTAATGTCAGATCAAATTATAAATGACATAGGTGTACCACAAGGTAGTGTTTTGGGACCACTGCTATTCATTATTTATATAATTGATATCAACTATGTACCCGGTTCACATCATATTAATTTATTTGCTGATGATACCCTTGTATATACGGAAAACTGTGATTTAAAAGAAGCTGTACAAAATATCAATATATCTTTAAAGAACATTAAATTATATCTATAAGTGAATGAACTCAAATTGAATATCAATAAATCTAAGGCAATGATTGTTACAACAAATTCGAATCAAAGAAAGATTGATACTAACGACGTTAATATCAGCATATTCAATAATCAACTCACAATTGTAAATGAAATTAAGTGCCTAGGATTCATTATAGACCATCAATTAAATTTGAATAGGCATGCCGAATATACCATTAGAAAGATATGTAAGAAAATGTATTTTTTCTCTAGAATTTCAAAATCTTTATCAACCTTTGCTAGACTAACATGTTACAACTGCATAATAAGACCACACTTTGACTACTGTGCCACACTGATGTATCTATTCAACCAAAATCAAATGGGACAGTTGCAGAAACTACAGAATCTAGTTATAAGAATTATTTTGAGATGCAACCAGTATACCCCTATTGAATCTATGTTGAATACTCTACAGTGGCAGCCGGTACATAAAAGATTGTATTATTTGAGCATGATTTTTATTTTCAAAATTACGAGTGGGATACAACCAGCCTATCTTAGCAGATATTTAGTTCGAAATAGTGACCTTCATTCATATAACACAAGAAAATGTATTACTTTTTATAGATCCCGAACAAACTATAAGAGTGGAATGAATTCATTGTTCTTTAAAGGTCTAGATAGTTTCGATAAGTTACCTGATGAAATAAAACATGTAAATTCCTTAAAAGTATTCAAAAAGTTATTATTAGAATATATCAAATTGTAATACATGACGCACTGTAAAATTATATACGTGTATAAATTATTCATATATGCATATATGGGGATATTCCCGTCTTTCCTAAAAACATCAGTTGTCATTCCTTTGCATAAAGGGGGTGACAGGGACGATCCGTCCAATTTGAGGCCTATATCGCTCATTCCGGCCCTAGGGAAATTGATTGAGAAATTAGTCAAATCAAGACTGATGAATAAAAACCTGATCTTGAACGAAATCATAAATTCCAATCAGTTCGGATTTCAAGAAGGAAAAAGCACCACCGATGCGGTATTTTCATTTTTGCAGCAGACATACAGCAATTTAAATTCAGGGGAAGCTACGGCAGCGGTGTTCTGTGATTTGTCGAAAGCCTTTGACTGTGTAAATCATGGAATACTGCTAAAAAAGCTTCACCACTATGGGATAAGAGACAAGGGTTTGTCGTGGTTCCAGTCGTACCTTATCGATCGACAACAATATGTGAAAACCAGCTCTGTTTCTAGTATACAGGAAGTGAAAACAGGAGTACCCCAAGGCTCAGTCTTGGGACCATTACTATTCCTGATATACATAAATGACTTGACCAGCCTTAACATAGCTGGCTCTTTCACGCTTTTCGCAGATGACACCACAGTTTTATGGCACAACAAAAACGAGAGAGATCTTCATAACTCTATTTCTAGTGATCTCGAGCAAATAAAAAATTGGTTTGGAGCAAATCTTCTGTCTTTGAATTTGAAAAAAACAAACATCTTGACTTTTAAGTGCTCTCTACCGAAATTGAGGCTGGGAAACGATGCTATTGTCAACAAAAACTACACAAAATTCTTAGGCATAAACATCGATCAGGAGCTAAGATTTGAGGAAGATGTAAGAGCACTAAACAACAAACTCTCCTCTGGTTGCTATGCGTTAAGAATAATCTCAAATGAGCTAGGTTACCACGCAGCTAAAAATGCTTATTATTCCATGATTGACTCTCATTTGAGGTATGGAATATCATTCTGGGGTGTATGCTGCAAACAGCTTATGAACTCGGTGTTTGTATTGCAAAAACGAGCAATCAGAAATATGTGCGGTAAGAAATGGAATGAACCGTGCAGACCTCTTTTCATAAAAAACGAAATTTTAACTGTATTTTCCTTATTAATTCTAGAAACGTCTTATCTGGTACATAAAAATAAAAGTTCCTTCCAAAATGAAAAAAGTCACTGTACTAGACAAGCACATCATCTCAAGTTGCCCATTCCAACATCCACCCTAGTTAAAGATTCTATTGTGTTCACGGGAATAAAAATATATAATAAGCTGCCAGCTACCCTGACTAATAGTGTGAATCAAGCGAAATTCAGGAGGGACTTGAAGGTTATCCTAGCAAGGAAAGGGTATTACTCGCTTGAAGAGTTTTTTGAGGATTGTCTAGAGTTTTGAGGAGTGTGTTTTTTATTGCCTCATTCATCGTTTTTTTTATATTATTATATACATTCCCAACTAACTGCTATATTTTAACTTTTATTTATCATATGATAATTTCACAAAAAAACTGTTTTCAATTAACAATCTCACTCTATGTGAAGTTATTTTAGTTGTATAAATCTTAGATTTTAAGCCCTAATTTGTTTATCTACAAGATTGTTCAATCTTTCAGATAATTTTTGTAAAATGAATCAAAATAGTTGGTTTATAAAAGTATATATTTTCAATATAAAATGTAAATAATAATTCAAAAAACAACAATTCAAATAATTACAGTAAAATAAATTAAAGCTTCAGATTTATATCTAACTAAGAATGAACACTTTGGGAATGCCCTATCTAAAAATTCAAAATCATTTGTTTTTGTACTTTAAAATCGCTTCTGAGCTGTATAAAGTTGTGGAGAATCGGCCTTTCCAATTTAGCCTGAAAAGAAATCAAATTGAAAACCCAAACAACGTCACAACAAATTTTTCTGCAGATTATTTCAAAGGAGACTTTACCAAGGTGTCTTCCGAGCAGACTTGCTGTAGATTCTCCGGTTTCACCAGTAGCAGGTTGCAAAGAGAATGTAACGTGTCGAATAGTTCCGTAACCAGAGGTCCCAGAGTCTTAGTTGATGAACGGTACTCATTAAGATCGCAAATGGCCACCATAGCACCTACGACGAGAACTATTAATCACAAAATGAATTTAAAAAATACAAAAACATATCACACACTTGACAGTTCAATCAAAATAATTCAGAGGAGGATTTATTCACTAAATTGTGTAGTACTTGAAGCTGTCAGTTCTTGAATCCCAATCAGTTCTTGAATCCCAAGAAACATTACATATTTACATATAGTATACATATAAAAAAGCATACTGAGAATAATACAAAAAATAAAAATATGTAAAAATACAAAATTATCAATCTATTTCAAAATATATAATAACATAAAAAATAACTCCACTTTGAAATTTTTGGGAATTTATTCAGATGAAAATTTAAAATTCTTTCAGCATATTGCACACAACAACAAAAAATTGGCATCAGGATGTTTCGCACTGAGAAACATTTCAAAGGAACTGGGGTTTGCTGCAGCAAAAGTAGTGTACTAGGCCTTAATAGACTCTCATCAAAAGGTATGGTATACCCTTTTGGGGTGTTTGCAGTAAACAACGTATGCAGTCAGTTTTTGTCTTGCAGAAAAGGGCCATCTGGTACTTATGTAAAGGGAAATGGAGTCGTCTATTCATGTATAAATTATGTAAAAAAAAATCCTCACTTATACCTGAATCAAAACGATTTTCATTCACATAACACCAGACAAGCACAACAGATTAAAATTGAATTTACAAGACTAAATCACTGCCGTTTTTCGAAAAATTATTATGGTCCTATTTTATTTAACAAACTACCAGAAGATATAAAAAACTTAAATACAGCCTCGTTTACAAATTATATGAAGAATATCTGCCTGGAAAACGCTTTTTATAGTATCGACGAATTTTTATCATTTGACTTCAACACCAACTGATATTTTGAATTTACAATATACGTAGACAGTGATATTTATATTGAAATTGTTCACATCTCATTTCCTTATTTGTTTATTTTTTATTTATTCATTTAGTGTTTTTATGATATTCTTAGGTATATGATATTTGACAAAACCTTATAATACTATTGTATTTTTTTATGGCGAATAAAGGATATTCTATTCTATTCTATTCTATTCTAAGATGATTAATCAAAATTCAAGGTTAATTTATGTGACTGAAGTCACATTGATATTACTGTTAGGTTTTTGTCTTTACTAAATAATAATTAGGCAGTATCACCAGCATGAGTTTATATGAATTAAAAAAATATGTAGGGCCTCGTATAGACCCTTGGGGTACACTACAAGAAATACATCGTATAAAGATTTTACCACCCTCAATTTGTACAAATTATTGCCTGTTTTCTGAATAATTTTCATTTGTTTCACTCTCCAATACAATAAATGAATAAACGAATAAACGTACCTGCGGTATTATACTGAAACTGTAGCATATGTTCATACACCACCCTGTGTAACCGTATTCCCAACTCCTGAAGAACTGCCGTTACATTATTTCCATCTAAACTGGCCTTTATCTCTTTGATTATTCTTTTAACGTAGTTCAGAACGGTTTTGCAGGCCTAGAGAAAATTGGCATTCAAACTGATCGGGAGATAACGTATTTACTTACTGAAGACGCTACTGTGTCAAAATCGTCAGTCTCAGGTTTGAAGTCACTCTTCTTCTGTTCCGTTTGCAGGTACAGTTTTGCCCAAGTAGCAACGGCATTGAGACATCTGAATTTGTCCACGTTCGAATAGAACAGAAAAATAAAACAGCATATTTATATATACATTAAAATTCAGGAAAATATCTGTCACATATAATTAATTGGGAGTAGCAAAAAGAAAATGAAATCTTATTTGAAAATGAATGTACAAAATGTAAATTTCAAAAACTTTTTTGGTAAACTTTGTTTGACTTCAGTTCGAAATTATAATATTTCACGTTAGTTTCAACAGCAACAAGATGAAAGTTTTCGTTGGGTTTGTGGAGATGAATAATTGACTCTTCTTGATAAATATACAGGTATAGTTCATCTCCTGATGATGCAAACTTGCTGTTGAAACGTGCCTCCAAAAGAGTATTGTTGAATGTTCAACTGACCCCTATTTTTGGTGAATGAAACACTTGAAACCTTTACCAAACTATGTGTTAAGAATCACACGTTAAAAGGGAAGACCTCGTTAATCCTTAGCTCGCACAATTTTCGACTTCTGAGGGTTCTCGTTCGTAGGGGTGCGACAACTGGTTAACGGAAAAACAGATTTAAACAGAAACAGATGAATAGTGATGAAAAGAACATGTTTCATGTAAGAGGGTTGAAGACCCTCCCAGTTTTCTAGTTTGTTTACAGTATAAAACGCTGGTTATGGTGATAATCTTTAGTGCACCGATCTCCTACTGAGTTCAGAGATATTACCATAAAAGGTAATCTTTAAAAAAATCATCTTAGCTTGCATACTTGAAACTTGAAGTGAGAAAGTTCTGTTGTGAAAGAGCAGTGTTTGTATCACATTCATCCCAACTCCAATTCAGCAGTGAACTATTAAATAATCAATACGAATTCGGATTTAAGATTCATTTGTTCTGATGTATATGAACTTCAAAATACGATTATATGGAACTTGAGCCAAACTTGAAATAATGTTTCGAATAATCTGGACTCGCAAGAAAATATCCAAGACGATGAATGGATAAAAACACTAGATATATATGCATGCATTTATTGAGAGAAACTTAAAAACAAATAAGAACATAAAAATTACATTTCCTTCAAGAAAAAACAATCAACAACTAAAACAGATCCCAAACTGGACCTTGCAGTACTCAGCAAATAATGATCAATGACTTTAAAAAAGGAGAAGTTCTTGTTTCCATGAAAGTAGTTGTTTTGGGATGGTTTTTCCTTCCAGTTTGTATCTGAAAGTAACTCCTTTGAAGAGTTTATTTTGAAATCAACTGCTTTCTTCCTTTCTTACTAGTTATTGTCATACTTGCAAAATGTTGCAAACTCCATTTGAATAATTGGATTTTGATAACATAAAAAATGCACTAACCTGTCCAAGCCTGTATTTATTTTCCTTTCAATGTCTTCCAAAACAAACTTTTTCTTCTGTATGCAGTCATTATATTTTGGTGTATTCCTAAAAAACATACATAAATATTCATCACTCGATACATAATTATAGCAGTGAAATTTGGAGGGGATTCACATTTGCCTTAGTAATTATTTAGCATTACAACCTTCTTTATTTCATAATTTCTCTCAGGAATGTTCTGATTTAATGTTCAATCATCAACAAGATACGAAAATACCCTTCAATAATTACAACTTATATTTTAAATTGTACAACCCAACATTTTTACCACTGAATTCCTTTCTACTGTAATCTATGAGCAATCAAAGTTGTTCCAGGTCAGAACCTTGAGGAATACCCACCTTTACTCCTTCACATATATTATTACTTCATCTAATTTTACAGGTGGAAATATATTAATTTACAAGTTACTCCTCAGACAAGTTCATTGATTTGACTTACTTCTCAAAATATATGTTTGCATTATCAAAATGCTACTAATATGAGAAATCGAAAGTAAAACTCACTCGACTAGAGGCACGACCAGATCTGTGAACTGCTTCTCCATCAAGTGCGTAATATTGTTACTCTGATGAACTACGTTAAAAAAATAGAGAACTGGAGGACTTTTAGCGCCTTCGACAACTGGGACAGCTTGGAGTCCTAATTCTACGGCGTAATCTACGTGTTCGATCAAAAGGCTGTTGATAAGTCTGTCCAAAATCTGTGTAGCATTTGATTCTTTCTCTTTAGGTTTTGATAACTGGAAAAAATGATTAGCAAACCAGAAAACTATAGTAAGAACGAGCATTACTCCGCAAAAATCAATTGCTCAAAACTGTTTCGAAGGTGAAAAGGTATATTCAATTATGTCAACTTTAACGATAGTAGCAGACAATTAATTTTGTAGTAATGATGCTTTTGGTGTAATTCCTGAATCAACTAAGCTGTTTTCAGCTAATAATTTATTAAATTGTTTACCGAGGAGTATTCATGTACATTAATGAAAAAACTCGCCCAGTACCAAATCAGGACAGTACACTGAACGATATTTTGAACAGGCACCCGTTCCTTCAAAAACTTCTCTCCTAACAACTGATTTATTACTCTCGACGGCTGATTTTGAACCATTCAGGAAATATATTTTTCAGTAACTCACCAACTGACAACGTTGGAAGGCTTGCTTGGTATCTTGGAGTATCATGATGGCAACTTCTTCTGACAAAAAAGTCTCGCCTCCATAGTTTTCTATTTGCGCAATGTTTATATTGGCTCTGGTACCTATGACTGCTTGTAAGTCCCTTCGCAGGTCTTGGAATCTGATCAAAATAAAGTGAAATTACATACTTATTTACGATATTCAGTTCAAATAGTTGAAAGATTTTTTGATTCGCACAAATCCAGTGCATTCTATTTTGTTCACTTTGATCAAATACCTAGTTCATCGGTAAATATTGCAAATATTTAGCTATTACTCAAATGCGGATGAAGCAAATTTGCTTTGAAAACCTTCAACAAATAAACCCATAAAGACTCTCACCCTCCAGACTGGATCTGTTTTTTCTGGTGGTGTTTGGATTCATAATACTTTTGTAAATTGGCGGAACATCTTTCTTTGAGGCATTTCAATTCTATCCTGAAAAAAAATGTCGCAAAATAAACTAGGTAATCAGAGCCTCCAAGATTTCACTTACGTAATATATTCGTTTACGTATTTATTGAAAATATTCGTAGTAAGCTTGGTCAAATAGTTTTTGTCGTTTCCTAAATTGAAGGTGCTCAAGTTACTCGATAGCTGGTTAGTTCTGCAATACAGATTACAAGTAAAAGTATTTTGGCAATACAGCAGAAATAACTGAGGATCATGAACAACGATTGTCAACTGATTAGTTTCTAGAAAGTCAAACCTACTCACTTTGAATAGAGTTCAAACAGAGTTTGTAGGTAATTGTAACTGCCAAGATTGGGGCCCAATCTTTGGTCGATATACTCCACGATTTTCAACTGGTAGATGTTAAGGACAAACTTGGCCATAACCTGTTCAGGATTGTTGAAAACCCTTCTGATTATATCATTGTTGTATTTGCACAAAGTCAACAGATGGCCAAACACGTCTTTGGTCGAAAGGCATCCCTAAAAATAGGAATTCTTCAATCTGGCAATAGTGTTTTAAATTTTTCTTTGTCATACCACTTGACTTTGATCGATGTAAGCGTCAATGCACTGAGAATAACCCTTGAATTGTGATAAGACACTGGCTATTTCCTTCATTCGATCTAGATCTTCGTTAGCCATTGCGTTCACAAATTCCTCGATTAAGCTTTTTTCGATATCACAATATTTTCGTTCTATTTTACGTTTAACACTGTCAAATCTGGAACAAACAGAAATTTTAAACTGCATTTTGATGAACTGTTTGTTTGCTTACTTGGAAGGCAAATCTTGGGATATCATGTACAATTTTTGAATCATATCTGCAGCCTCATCTATCTAGAAAAAAACATTATTATAACTCAAAAATTTGACACCAGTAACTGATAAAGCCATCTTGAAAATCATATAGTTATTATAATGGATGATAGTTATTGTAATACTATAGTATAGCAACTCACTAAATAGGGATCAGTGAATATTGCTGAGGATGGCGGTCCAGTGGTTAGAAACTCATTCAGATGAGTCATCAAACGTTGGGCATCGACAACTCTAAGCCTGGGACCATTAACGCTGTCAAGTTGATCTCCCAAATGCAAAACTTTAGTGGCAACATGGTTTATTTTACCATCCAGTTCTTGGAAGGTGTCTATAGCTTGCTGAAATTAACCCGAAATTAGCAGAGTAGCGAAAATATTAATTTCAGGTATCTCACTTTGTTTTGCTCCAACAAATTATAAATTTCCTGGAAAAACATTGCTTCGTCTTCTCTGACGGCCATCTCCAACTTTTCACATTTCTTCTGCTGACGATCTTGGAGAAGAGTGAGGTCTCTGCAATTTAAAGTGAAATATATATTGATCGTTGAAACTATTTTTTGAGGGAGGTTCGCTTACTTTATGGCCTGTACGAATGACTCATGTAACAAATTTGGGTTAAACTCCTCTTCCTCGCCATCATTTTTTGTCTCAGCAATTGTTCGCCAAGCTAAACGTTCCACGAATTCTTCGGCATTGAAAGGCTCCTAAAATTGTTTATTTACTACTGTAGGATGAAAATATTTACATTACAGGTTTGGAAAAAAAATCACCAAGAGGCCAGGAGGTTCATTTAGGAAATATACCTGTTCTAATTCTTTCATGTACTGTTGCATCATTTTGATAGTTTTCAGTACGTAAGAATAAAAATTAAAATTAAAATAAGGGGCGTAAAATTTAGAAAATTGAGGTTACGTTCATTACAGATGTCAATGTTTTAAATCAAAACACAGTCGATCTGTTCGTTAGTTGTGTTCGGATCTACTTTTTTTAATTAAGTTTCCAACTTGCTCAAAACATTTTTAATTTTTTTTTCCAGATTCAAACAAGTTTCGAAATTTAGAAATAACTGTATAATTTCTGTCAGTCTTAAGTAACACGTGAAGATAGGGGCATGGAAAATTTCAATTGCGTAAAAATTAAAAAAATATGTAATTATGTAATTTTTAATATATTTCAGGCGTATTCATACTGATGAAGGTATTGTATAGCGAAATAAGTGTTGCGGTTTTGTAAACTGTTCACTGAAAATCTCACTATAAATTGTAACTTTAGTCTATTTTCAAATTCAAATAATTTGAATTATTCTGAAGATGAAAACGACAAGAGGAATTTCTTTGTTTGAAATTTCTCAAGTCTTTACCAATCATTTAAAATAATTTAAAAAATTAATACAGGCGTGTTCTTTTATCAAAATACACATCATTTAGTTTAATTGGGATGAGCTTATTTTGTCGAGCGTATAAAATCCACCGCGATAAATATAGTCACTGGCAAAAACTTACTTCTGCAAAATATTCAAATAAGTATGAATCTTTAAGCATTCTCAGTTTATTTTGCCTTTCGCCCGCAGGATGAGTAGGTACGCCACTGAATTAAATTATTATAGGTTAAAAAGGATATGAAAAAATAACGAATATAATAATAACGAAATGAGCTTTATCTTATTCTTCTTATGTTTGATGGATGTATTAGATTTTCATCTTGACCCACTTCATCAGCAAAGTACATTGGAACTATTGGAATCAATGGGTAGGAAGATATATTTGTACATAGGTACATAACTACTCCAAACTCGTTTTAAAGCAGATCGTGCAATTTTAATCGTGGTTACTTGAACATATTTCAAAATTGTATGCATGTCTAATTCAGATAGTAAATTCGCATTTGGTAGTTCTAAGGAAGACATGAAAAAGACAGTGAACAGTGTTTTTCGTTAAGCGATAATCGTTAAATTCATTTCATTTTTGGGTCGTGATGTGTTTACAACACCGTCCACAGATAATGTAATGAATACTCGCCTTATTTATATCTTAAAATAAATCGAAAAAAATCTTGATGTTTATAACACCTGTATGTTTATATTATGAGTCGTTTGCCATAAATACTTGTTTGTTATGTAATAGATTAGGTAAATTGGTGTGTTTACTTGTACAAAAAAAACAAATGAATACAAATTGGGTATCCTATCAATCGAATTGATAAGAAAAAAAAATATATGCATACATTACATGCCAACGTATATGTTCTCTTGACAACTTGATTTGAGAAATTTCAAGAGGTAGGTATAGTTAAAATGCTAGGCCTAGAAAGACATTTTGTCGATATAGATGTTTTCAAGAGATATTGTTTACTTTTGTTTTCAATGTTAATCCGAGAAAAACTACCAATGCTTGGTATATATCTTTTGTATACATCAATAATCATAGCGTTTGTTTATTTACGTTCTCTTCATCACGTAGCTGAAGAATGATATTGTCAACACCTTACGTAAGAATCATTTTCAAAGAGGTTGATTCAACCTAATTAAAATTCATTTCGCGTACATGAATTTCGTAATAAACTGAACCCGACAAACATGGGCTTTGGATCTTTTCAAATATCGAAAAACCAGTAATAAGTAACACGAATATTGAATGCTCAATTTCAATTAAACATACATGTAATGAATGAGCATTTAATTACTTGGGAAACAAAGGAAAACTGGTGTACACTATCTTCCTCTTTGAATGAGAGAGAATGACAATGCCAAAGTCGTGATGGAATGTCTTTTCCATCTAATAATCACATCTGGTCTAGATAAATTCAAATCCCAGACAATAATATCCATATGATAAAAGCCCCATTTGTTATGCGAATTATTTCCCTTTGTCGAAAAAATGGGCTGGGCTTCAACACAGTTACCCTCTCTTTCGGCTTCGAGGGGGTGCGATCGCAGCGCTCCAGTGGAAAACAATAAAATCGTGTTGAATTAAAATGGCGATTTCGTTCGAGTCGGGCTCATTTCATCTCCAGCTGTTGAACAGAGTGTGTCCTGACAGAGTGCATATACGTAGTGAAAGTGAATAATATTCCAAGACATTCGTGAAAATGAGCAATTTGTACCCAAAACTCGTGGAAAATGACGAGGAGCTGAATTTGGGCGAAAAGCTTCCCCAAGATGACGTCCTTCGACAAGACGCTGCGCGCGCACCTGACAGATTCGGCGCCGGCGCGAAGTTTGCCGAAGGCGAGCTTCCTGTGAAGAAACGGAAAACGAGACGCGGGAAATCCAAACGGAGGCACCCGTATTTGAAAAACGCTAGAAAGTCGAACAAACTGATTAAACCAGAGGCGCCCCATAACAGCAACCAGTTTTTGCTAGAGGATCACGGGCAAATCGAGGATCTCGATAAAAATTTGATGTCTCCTTCGGCCGGGAGGACGAGGGACTCCAGTTTTAGCATCGATTCTGACGGGGACTTTTACTCTTCCCCTGATGACGAAGAACAGTTTCTTATAAAAGATTTCGACGACCAGTACGAAAGTCTCCAGGCCGTGAGGTTCCAGACATTGTCAAAGGGACAGTTGATCGAAGAGTATCTCATTCTCGAAAACAAACTAGAAGAGATGACAAAGAGACTGCAGAAATTCGAAGAAGATGACACTGAAGACAGCGGGCCGGAGCTCAAGCAAGAAATCGAAAGGCTCACCATAGAAAACGAGCGTCTGAGGAGAGAAAATGACGTGCTACGCAGCAAAGTGAACCCTTCGGATTCCGAAGACTCCGAGACTGACTCTAGTGATTCTTGCAGCACGTCTTCGAGTAGCCACACCAGCGGCAGATCCAGTAGGTCGCGCAGCCCCATCTCCACCGTGGATTACAGCAAGACAAACGGACACCTTGGCCCCGGCAAGCCTGTGTCATAACTGAACGGTTCCACTTTTTCTTCAAATCAGTGTTATTTTTTCCATTCCCTATTATAGAGAGTACCTAATGCTTGTAAAGATTGTTTTCTGGAGTTATATTTTAATATATTCGCAACAAATTTCCTAAGAAAATGTAGTCAGCACCAGAGATGTATAATAATTATGTAATTCAACTAAGTTGTTTTTAGTTAGGCACTCGTTTATTTCGTTATTGATTTGGTCTCATAATTTTAAAACCTCCAGTACAATTACCTTTAATTAGTGTTGAGGATTTAAGTTTATAAAACTTTGGTGTGTCTCTTACTGTTTTATTTTCTTGTCAAACTGAATGTTTTTTATATGGATATTTTTAAGATATTTATTGTAAAATAAGAATTGAATAAAATATTGAAGTTGCTTACTGGGAGAAATTTTGATGTTCTATAAGTGGCAAAATGCCACACTTGTGGAAGTTCTATAAATAGAATTACGATAATATATCATCAGGTTGGTCGAGAGGAAATTATTTTTCCTTTGGAGGGGGTATGGAACTATAAGAGGTTCAATGTTTGATCGAATGTATTTGACAATAACTATTTCTTGAAGACTTTGAAGGCTCAAACTTCCATTTTCTGAAAAATATGACATATTTCAAGTCTGTGAGAAAGAAAAAATTACTAAGCTAGTAAAAAAGGAAAGTGGTAAGTTTCGGAGAAAAATAAACAGTCAAGTTCAAAGATACTAACAATAGAGACCTAAAGCAAAAGGAAATCAATCAGTGGGATAAACAAAAAGTGCAAAAAAATATTGAGATAAATCAAAATATCAAACCAAGTTATCTCAGGATGTTTCCACAAGTGTCTTCTGGTGATAACATTCATATTTATTGGTTGCATACCTATTACTGACACTTCACTCGATTAACCCATTTATTTTTTCATTTCAGATCACAATAGTTTCTGAGGGTTGTTGTTCGTAGGGGTGCGATAGCTGGTTAACGGAAAAAACATAGTTTAAAGATATATTTCACATACGTTCTATTCATTTCTTCTCATTTTAGTATATCTCCCTATCTTTTGAAAGGTTGCTCGAGTGGTTGGTTGTTGGACCATTAATTTATATATATCTTTAGATATGATATTCAGATCGAGTATTTTCCAAAATTTGTGTTTTTTTTTTTTAAAAGCCACTTCACAAATCTGGTAGTACAATCGATATTGAAAGTTACAGAGCAATTTAGATCACTTGTGCATCAGCCAAGTCATTGGAGCAATTTATTCATAAAAAATTATACAATTTTTCTAGCAAATATAGTAAACACAACATGATGATTTTATGGTGCAAAAATAATCGGGTATTTCAAGCCCTAGAAGTCAAATCTCAGCTAGATACGGATTACACTGATTTCCAGAAAGGTTTTGACAATGTAAACCATATATTATTCTGCAGAAACTGAATAAATTTGGAATTCCACGTAAATTTTTGAAACTAACAATTAGCTATCTACGAGATAAATCTTTAATAGTAAGATTTAATGACTACACACCTGGGAAGTTTTATGCTAACTCTGGGGTACCTCAGGGTTCTAATCTGGGACCACTCTTTTTTGTACTATTTATAAATGATCTTTCCTTTGTTTTAGAATATGCTGAATGCTCGCTTTTTACGGATGATATCAAATGTATCAATACAGTACTGTACTGATGGTTATGTTACAGAAATATATTCATAAAATTGTTGAATGGAGCTATGAAAATAAGTTGTATTCCAATATAAAAAACCTATTTCAACAATAACTTGATTGAATTATTCTATCATGTTTGAATATTAGATGAATCAAGATGTTTTAAGGAGGCCAGAGAGCATAAAAGTCACATACTTTTCTCAAGAAAATATTTATTTTTCCATCAATTTATATTTCGTCCCCTTCAAATGAGTCCCCCTTAGGTATAATACCCTTGTGCGAGCGTTTTGTCAAATTCTAGAAGCAATTCTGATATGCCCTGATATATTTCAAAACTCTTTTGACATCTGTCGAAGAAGTAAAGAAATAAATAATAGAAAAGGAATAACTGCTAATATCTTAGAATTTTTGTCCATTTCTGAAGACGGAGGCAGATTTTTACCTCCGAAACGTTAAGATAAGTATTGTATTATTTCTTAGCATTTTTTTTAATAGGCAAAATTGTTAAATACGACAGGTTATGATAAATAGAAGATTTTTCTTTGTGAAAAATACTTTGATTTTACACTCCATTATAATTTTTATATTTTTCAGATTGTGGAAGGCAACAAATACCCAAAAAATTACTTTCGTTGAAAATTTTCTTCACTTTTTCAATATTTCCATCCAGGCGCGTGCCTAGGGTAAATTCATGGGGGGTAATCACCCATTTCGGGCCCAATATTTACTATGAAGGGTTCATATATGTTTTAAAAAGTAAAACTTGAGTAACACTACATCTATTTCTTCAGTTTCAAAACTTTTTATTTCAATAGCTCCACTGACTCTATGTGCTCTTAATGGAATATTCTGCCGAGCCAAAAAGATAATGCTCTCAATAATAGAAGTGAGACGTTTCCTATTTTCGATAATTTGCTCCTGGAAGCTAGAAGACAGGTGTAAAAACCCTTAGTTGTGTCTTCATCATCATTTTTTAAGTTCGAAAATAAGAAGTGTTCGAAATTTTTTCTCTATGTAATCATGGGAGGGGTAATTACCCCATTACCCCCCTCAGGCACGCGCCTGTTTTTATCGGTTGTTGATGTGTTGGGGCGTTCAGGGCGGGCGACGTCATTCACATTCACTTGTAAAGATTTTTCTGACCTAGAGTAAACATTTCTAACTTTTATGCCTCTCACCAACAAACTTTACATGCTGAACAGTTGAAAAGGTAAACATTTGTTCGAAAAAAGTGTACCAACATAAAAAAGTGAAATTTCGCTAATCGAACGTAAGTAGCCCGCGAAATTTAAACAATCACTTTAAAAAAGAAACATTTTTTTCAAGTGATAAAGTGGTTACAGTTTCAACGTTATTTCAATACACTTATTTTTCAGAAACTGTTTGTTAGAGGTATGAAAGCATATCAGTTCCTTCCGAAAATAAAAAAAAATTGAAATGCCAAAAAAATTGAAAATCCACCAAACCTTCGCCGACGGCGGTCTATATACACAAAAATGTTTCGTAAAATCTTTAACAATTTTGTTCTTGTCAGTTCCTATATCTTACGTTTACCGTACTTCCCAGATACTGTGCGAGTTAGCAATGATATTCATTTTGAAACTAACACATAACTTGCTTCCAACTTATTTTGAAGAATTCTGTATATATAAATATCAAATCCATAACCACTTGAGAAGAGGGAGTAGCTCCCAGAAATTCCACGTTCCTCGAATTAATTTGACCAGTACGATGAAGTCTTTATCTTATAAAGGTTTGAATGAGTAGGTACAATAAACTCCCACTTTCGTTGAAAGATTCAATAAATGTTTTCCAATTTAAAAAAAAGCCATGAACTATATAAAATCTCATCCCTGATTTTCTTTTTCATGTTTCGTAATATGTTTGTTATGTATATCCTCATGTTGAAACCATTCTGGAATCATATTTATGTATACCTATATTTTCAAAGTAATGTATGTATATTAGGATGTCCTAAAGAAATCAATAAATACTATTCTTATTACTTTAAATGTAGCAACAACCTTCATGGTAGGTAATTATATATCCCTTCCTATTTGGTGGTGATATTAATATCTACCCACTCTCAATTCTTTGAGGATGGAATTTATCAGCTAGGTAATGTGTAGCACTTATATTGTATAACTATATTTGATTCCTACTTTGTTGTGAAAGAAGAATTTTCTAAAAATACCAACCACCACACTGCAGTTCTAAAAATAGAGTCAAACTTGTTTTCATCAGTTACGTTGGTGAAATATTTATGTTTCATTTGAGAATGATATACCTACAAGTGTTTACTATTTTCAACACTTATTGTGACACAAGAAAGGTCAATTCAGTTTGAACTGAGATAACTTCCAGGTTCATATTATCATAGAATGTTATTAGTAGTTTATTTTGCGTACTTTTGTAGAAATATATTCATTACAATAAACATTCAAACCTTTTACCAAAACTCTTTTTCTTCAGCATCTTTTGAGTTTGTTCCTGTTTCTTGTATTTAATAATAATAATCTTTATTGGTTCCATATTTCGTTTGCAATATTTTTATTTCTCTGGCAATTCTGGATTTTCTAGTTTTCTGTTATTCAAATGTCGAATCACATATTATTGTATATAGTATGTGGATGTTACAAATTACTTTTTCCATATTTTTGGGATAAACATTTTTTGTGTTTTTTCTGCTCTTTTATACTAGAAGGAAGGAAGGAATAATGAATTAAATGCTTTTAGAAGAGATATAAGTATTGCAGTAATTATTGGGTTATTTGTATTAATTATACAAGGTGTCCCGGTTCTTGACGATAAACCTTGAGGTGGTGATAGCTAAGGTCATGACTAGCTCATAACAGGGAAAAAGTTTAGGTAAAAGTGTTTTTGTTTTCGAGATATCGGAAATTTTCTTTTATTCGAAAACCGGCGACTCGGTTTAGTATTTTCAATGTTACGTCATAAAAACATTACTTATCCACAGCAAAAAAAACTATTTTGTATAGCTAAATAATATCCGCACACGACAGTAATACCAAAAGCTTGCGATCATTGGAAATAACTGGAAAAAAATACAGGGACACCCTGTATGTATGAATATTACAAAATTGTGGAAAAAACTTGCGAAATTTCTCAATTTCTGGGTCATTTATATGAATTATGTGAGAAAGTCATTTGAAAATAACCATTTATTGTTAGGCATTTTCTTGGATTTATCTAAAGCCTATGATTGTCTCAATCATAAATATCTACTTGAAAAACTCGAAAGGTATGGAATTCGTGGAAGTGCATCAGATTGGTTCACATCATACCTAACAAATATGCAACAAATAGTAAAAATATCAATTGTTGGAAAGATCGTTAATTCTAACGTAAAAACAAATAACACTGGGGTTCCTCAAGGCAGTGTAACAGGTCCAATTTTATTTGTACTCTTTATGAATGACATCTCGAAAATATTGCAGCATCCTGTAAATATATCTTGCAGCATTACTAAATATGCGGATGACACAAACTTATTAGTTACTACTCCCAACTTATTTGATTTAACTCAACAGGCAAATTATTTCTTAAGTGAAGTAAGTAATTGGTTCGCAAAAAATAAACTTATATTGAATGTCCAGAAAACTAACATTATTTTGCTTCGAACTCAACAACAAAAAATAGATACACCAAGTAGCGAAATGAAATTAGAAAATAATTCAAAATTTTTGGGAGTATTTTTAGATGAGCATTTGCAGTGGAATATCCATATAGAAAACTTAGCAAAAAAATTAAATAACTTATCTTACAGTTTAAGAGTAGTAAGTAAATATCTAAATGATTACTCATTAAAAATTATCTATATTGCAAATTTTGAAGCATCACCAAGATTTGGGATTATGTTTTGGGGATCGAACAGTCACATGACTCATTTATTTACCATTCAGAAAAGAACAATAAGATGTTTATTTAAAATGAAATATCAAGAAACCTGTAGAGGAATTTTCAAAAAAAATCACATACTTACTGTATGCAATTTATATATATGAATGTGTACTATATCTGTATAAACATAAAAATAATTTTACAAAGTGTGTGGACCTTCATAATTATAAAACACGTAATTGTAGTAACATATCTTATCCAATACATAGATTAGTAGCAACTGAAAAACATCCCTCTTATGCCTCTATATGACCTTTTAATACACTACCAGAGAACATTAAAACATTAAACAACATCAACAAATTTAAAACAAATGTTAAATCCTTCCTCATTGAAGTAGAACCATATAATGTAGAAGACTTTCTAAATTATTCTCATTAGATATTAGATTTAAGAATTATGAAAATTGACACTGTTTCATTTTTTTGTTTTTCGCCGATTTGTGTAAAATACTCTTTGAAATAAAGATTGTTATTATTATTATTATTATTAAATACAATTTCTATGTTCTAATTTCGTTACTTTGGTGAAAATTGCACAATTCTGCTCTAGTATAACATTTCCACAGCATTTGGAATTTTTCATTACTGAAAAAGTTTTGGAAACTGACTAATTTTGGGATATTCGTGTAAATACTAAAATATTTCTTTTCACTGAAAATCTTGTCCAACTCTGATTTTTGCCCCGTTCGAAAGTTAAGAGTGGTGATTTCTAGGGGAAAAGCAACGCAAACTCTATTGTTCTGATGCCATTTACTGAAGATAAAATGTTACTACATATTGTAACAAAACTGAAAAATTAAATGTCTACAGGTCCTGATGAAATTCCCTTTGTTTTAATGAATTAATTTGGTAAAGATATACTCGGTATTCTAACCCATTTAGTAAACTATTCATTTGCATCAGGCATATTTCCAAACTGTCTCAAATCAGCAAAGTTAACTCCAGTGCATAAAAAAAAAGTAAAAAACCAACATTATCAACTTCGGAACAGTAACTCCCCTGTTGGAATTTTTTGCGACTTACGTAGGGCTTTTGACTGTATTCCTTATAAGGCAGTGCTACAAAAACTGTGGCTTTGTGGCATACGAGGAATTGCAGCCAAATGGTTCGAATCATATATTTCCGATAGAAGTCAGTTTGTCCAAATTTGTTTCAAAGAAGTTGACGAATATATTATTAAGCACTACTGAGATGCCTCGCAACTTGAGTTGCGAGGCATCTCCGTAGTGCCACAGGGTAGTGTTTTGGCCCCAATACTATTTTCTTTATTTATTTCTGACATAGTGGAATTTTACCAGAGAATAACATCACGCTGTATGCTGATGACTCATCTTCTCTTGTCTCCAAGGAATGCAGTAAAATCAATGGACAAGCTTGTAACCATCTTCTTGTAAAACTAGGTGTAAAACTACATTTCAATATAGAAAAAACTGAGTATCTAATCTTTCACGTGTTAGGAATCACACGTTAAAAGGTAAGACCTCGTTAGTCCTTAGCTAGCACAAGTTCCTCAAGTTTTGAGAGTTGTCGTTCGGAAAAACAGATTTTTTAAACAGACAAAGAATAATAAACAAACCACTCCCAATCAAACAGAATGATTTAATTATTGTCAGAAAATCAACAACAAAGTTTTTGGGAATAACCATGGAGGACGATCTCAGCTGGAATGAGCATATTACAGCAACTATAAATGAATTAAATACAAAAATATATCAAATTCGATGTATGCGGAATGTGGTTTATATCGGCTGTTTGAGAAATTTATACTTTGCTGAAATCCAGTGGGGAGAGTCTCCAGCATTCAGAAGAAAGCAGTAAGAACTATAAAAAATGTATCACCCAGGAATTCCTGCAAACCATTGTTTGCCTGTTTTTATATTGTGGAAGTTGTCTGCTACATTCATAAATTAAAAAACACTCTTTTGAGGCATTCGGACATGCATGTCTGCCAATCAGCTAATTCCACAAATCATAGGAATCTCCAAATAACATCAAATGGTGTAAGAGTTTACAATCAACTATCCACTGGCATTAAAATTCAGCCTACACACTTCAAATTTCGACACTCCTTAAAACGACAACATTGATGAATTTTTTAATGTAACTTTTCAAAGAAATAATTCATATTGCTGCTGTTTTTTGTTGTTTTGTAGTTACGTACGTAGTCTTTACTATATATACATGTACTCAAGACATTATAAGCTGACATATTCTATATCCTAATGGGTCCTTTGAATGAATAAACTGATTTGATTTGAATATTTACGTTCGCACATTGGATTTTTTTAAAAGTAGAAAGCCAAAACTCTTTTTTCCCCCATTAAAAAGTTAAATGGTGTGAACTATGTACATCCGCACTGTATAGACATATTAAATATGTCTGTGTAAAATAGTATCGTCAGGTAAATGTTGTTTTTCTATGTGTAATGGAGGTGAGTCACGAAATTAGGTTATTGAAAAACTAAAAAACCATTCAGTATAATTGGAACAAGAATAAAATCTGACAGAACATTGTAAAAATACACAACATAAATAAAAACCAAACATAAGAAAACAACTGAAGAGAACCTTTCTAAAAGTCACAGCTAAGCCTGTGACACAATATACAGGGTGTTATGAGTAGTTTGGGTTAATGACAGAGGGAAATCAGATGGATCTAAACTGAAACCAAATTATTCGTCATAAAACTAAAATAAAACATGGATTCATTCATATTCAACCAAGAGAGATCACTTTTCCTTTTTCAATTTCACCTTAGCGGGCGGAGCATTCGGATTCACACCCTTATAGAATTCCTTGAGTAGGTTCATAGCCTCCTCTGCTCTATACCCACCTTTTAATTCAGACTCGGGCCTCAGTACAGCCGCCACATCAAACACTGTTTGCCCCCCAAATCTGTCGTTTTTGCATCCGTAAACAATTTTCTTGACTTTCAGATCATAGAGAGCTGCCGCGCACATTATACAAGGCTCGACTGTTACGTAGACACTCAGTTCAGTAAAAACAACACTCGAGTCCAAGTCGTGGGATTGGCAGTATTTGATAACTTGATCGATACAGTTGATTTCAGCATGGCGTGTCGCGTTCCTAGTTTCATTGACAGTATTGCGGCCCAGAGCTATAATTTTGTCTTTGTGCACGAATATGCAGCCTACAGGGACTTCCTGAGCTGCTAAGGCCTCGTTCGCAAAGACAAATGCCTTTTCCATGAAGTCACGTTCACTTTCGGACAAGGTTGCTGAATTTTGGTCGTCTGTTTCTTCACTCGCCATGGTTAAGAAAATAAGGCATGAGATTGTTGTTTACAAGGAATGCTTCTGCTTTTTCGTGCCAATTTTGATTATTGACTGCCCTGGGGCTCGGATGGGGCATGTAGGCTACCGTTATGCCGTCTACGCTGTGGGTTTTGAAAAGGTCCTTGGTCTTTTTTTCTATGTAAGTTCCGATGGCTACAATAATCTCAGGCTGTAGAACTCGTATCAGTTTCAGGTACCAATCGTCGCAGGCTGCTTCAAGGATCTTGCGAATCTTAAAAAGAAGGTTGAATTAAATATTGTGACATTGCCAATTCTGACCCCACTACCCACCGAAAAACAGTACGCCTACAAGAATAATAATTTTACTTCAGTAAATGTAAAGGAATTTTGCATGTACACCAACATTTTAAATATGTTGGGAAAAGCGGGACATACTGTATAAATAAATTTACCTTCATGTCTTTGATTTCAGCTGGAGTAACATTACACCCGTTGACTTTCATAAGAGCCAGAGGACAAAAGTTGCACACAAACGAGTATTTGAAAAAAACCTCAGGCCTTCCGCACAAACTGGCAAAATAGCTCCAAAACCGTTCCCCACTCTGCTCTCTTCTTGTAGAGGAGAACCCTAGGATTTTCCTTTCAGGGCATTCTACTTCTGGTTTGGAGACTATGCCATCGATTTGGAGCCAGTCACGGACCCATCTGGGATCTCCAAAAGGTACTCCTGTTTGGCACATGCCAAAGGGGCCTGGATTCATGCCAATGAAGAGTATTTTCTTAGTAGTGGTGCAATATTTTGTTATGAAGTTTGTGTTTGGATGGAAGGCGTATTCCAAAGGATTGTAGATGTATTCTACTGGAGGCGTCTTCAGGCTCAATGTTCTCAGATTACGGTTCAATTCGAGCTGTAGGTCTAGAACTTTGTCTTGAACAGTTCTAACAGGTTCTTTAGGTAGGTTTGGAAAATATTTAGAAACATCGCCAGGACTACAGTTTCCCAGTGATAAGTCGAGGAGATCCTGAATTTGCTCTAGTTTGGGTTTTTTGTTGTTATTGTCCTCTACTTCACTGAAAATTGGGTTTCCAAAAAGTTTTCTCTTCAACATTTTTATTGGAAAATACAATTTACATTATGGAAACTCTCAAGTCGTGATTTTTATTAATTTCAGATTAAAGATAGATTTTTCTTTAAAGGGGCCGCCACACAGAATTTTCAAGTTTGTTCGGGATCGTGAGTAGTAGAGTAGTACTATTTCAATTTGTCATATTGGTAATATAACATTTTTAAATCGTTTTTAATGTAGTTTTCTTCAAAAAAAAATAATAAAAAAAATTCAAAATAATTCTTATTTTACATACCTATACATAATAAGTATACAAAATCCTTATAGAATGCCAACAAAAAAAATAAATAGAAAATACTAATAAATAATTTACAATTTTATGTTGGTGCTTCTGTCAATTCAATCACAGAACAATATGTCTATCATAAAACTGAAAGTCAGAACCAAGGAGCATAGAATATCCTTAATGTGATCATTTGAACCCCTTAATCATGTAAACCAATTTTTCAAAAACTCTCGACCTACGGCATTCTTGATGAAAAAAAAAAAGAGATCCAATAAATTTCAGCATTTCATTCATAGATGTGCTGAGTACAACTCAAGTGACGCAGCTTGACAGTGTCAAGTTGGAACTTCAATTTCCAATGTAGTTTACATTTGTGAATGAATTAATTCCAAGCAGGAGCTATTTTTTATGGTTTAAAATCCAAACATGTGTACAGAGTTGTGTCAATCTCATCTCTCGCGTCGAGAGTTTTTGACAAAACAAAAACGAAAAGATTAAAATCATCAGGGGTTCTATGCATTTTTGTCAGAAACATAGATATTAAGAAGAGTTCTTGAATTCATTGAAACAATTCATCTATCGAAATTAAGAACTAACATTTAAAATATAATGATAGCGTTTTCCATTGATAAAACCAGTGTGTATTTTTCAGCGCAAGCTCTTGGAGGTCGGACCTCTTCAGTGCTTGGCAGGACGACGACTCGTAAAGAGAAAATGCAAATGTTATGAATGAATAATTTTTATCGTCTTTGTCGAGTAGTGATGAAAACATTAAAACAGTTGTTGAAATTCCCGTGTAAAAATAAAAATGTATAAACATGAAGTAAATTGAACATAAGTCATAGGTAAAAAAAATTCTCTTTCAGTATTAACAAGGTTTCAGGAAGATGAGATGAACAGCTTTAGAGATTATTGATAAAATCAGGTATAACATTCTCAATTCTAACTCATAGACGTAGACCTTCAACTTTAAAGGCCTCACACATAAATTATTTCCGTTAATTTGAATTCCCACATTATTCTTAATTTGTGCTATGACAATAAAAGCTGTTATTATTATTATTATCATTATTTACACTGGTAGATGCTGGGATGTGCTACTGTTTCAGAAATTGTTGCGCAAATGGGGTGGTTCTGGCGTTGTCGCAAGATGGTACTGATAGTCAATAATTCATTGACTTCAGTCATCAACTGATCCTTGATGAATGACGTTGGCTATGGAGGGTACATGTGAAGAGAATCATCTCTGTGTATCAGAACATGTCCGTCCAAAGCCATCAAAAATTAGGGAGACGCCACTGTAGCAAGAGTGTAAATTTCAAATGAAACGATAAAAGTTAAATAAAAAGAGCTACATAAAACGGAAGAAATCCCCGCTTGAAAAAGCTTTTTAAATTTCACAATAATTTATTGACTTTCAACGTTCTCACAGTAACTTTGTTGGGCTATATTTACCAAATAGTATTCGACTACGCGAATAGTTACATTTCTATAAGCTCTACATCATTAACAACTCGAGTCAATGAAAATATTAAATATTCATATCACTTTCAATATCAGCGCCATTCTGGCCGAATCTTGAACTATAATTCATCATTTACTTACGAACACTTTCACCACAGTATTTCTGTATAAAATACTGTGCTTTCACTTTAAGCTGAATCCCCCTTCAGATGATTCTCTTCACTACTTACCTCTTCCTTCCGTAGATGTTGCCAATACTATTTTCATAAAAACGAATAAGTGAGGTTATCGGAAAACACATCGTAAGTTGACATATCATCATTGTATCAAATTCGAAAAATTATCTTTGGTATCTGCGTTTATTCTAGATTGGTCCGCATTGGCTTTGAATATTGTTTTTATATAGTGCTTCTTCAGAATTTTGATTACCTATTTTGTTGTGTGATCATTCTGTCTTTGGTCCGTTTGGGATATAGAGTTGGAGAACCTTTGGATTTGGCGGTCAATATAGTCAATTTGGTGACTATACTTCTTTTACTAAAACTGTCACATATTTATTGCATAACTTTAATAGAACACCTCGACATAAAAACACATTTTGAATTGCTATTCGTTATCTTGTTCAAGTCAGATTTATGGGCCTAGGGCCCCTCATCCTTTCGGCTGTTTGAGTTTTTCTTGGGTTCCTGTGGCGGGGCGGCAGGGGATTGCACGGTCCTCTGCCGTCTTCTTTTGGCTCTTTGCCCTGTGTGTAGAAGTCGCAGCGTACTTCTTTGGCTTTGCGGCCATTTAGGCACTGTTTCTTGTTTTATTTTCCGGCAAGCATGGATTGCAGTACCGGAAACTTCACTAGAAGCACCTGCAGCTGCCCTAAGGCCGTTGGGAGAGCTGCAGGCGTTCTTCTGACGATGAGACGGCCCTCGTATACGAGACGTCGCTCCTGATTGAGGCTCTTTTATTTTCAGGGCGATCTGGGCACCCACGGAAGCTCGCTGGGTGTTCTCCCTTGCAGTTAAAGCATCGCAAGGGCGAGGTTTTAGGTCTTTTGCATTCCTTGGTCATGTGCCGTCCGGCACATCTAACGCAGGCTGGAACTGCTTTACAGTTGCGTTGCATGTGACCGAACTTTTGGCATCTGTAACATTGCCCTGCTCGGTTTCTCGGCTTCTGTGTTTCGGCGCTTACACGCACGTTTTGAATTTCGGTGATCACATATATTTTGTTTTGGCACCTTGGAACTGAAACAAGCACGAACGGTATCGGTACCTTGTTAGCTTTACTCAGGCGGACTACGGAAAGGATCTCAAATCCTTTGCCCTAGAGTTCAGTCTTGATGTCGTCACACTTTATGGATTCCGGGACCCCGCGAAAAACTACTCTGAGTGGTTTTTCCCTTGTCATTGTATAGGTGTGGTAGGGTATTTTTTCTTGATCGAGGATCCGAGTAATTCTCCTATAATCATCTGTATTATTAAGGTGTACTTTAATTCCATCTGTTGTGTTCACCGCCCGCAATATGGAGATGTTTTGCGCAGCATCAATCGTGTTAAAAGCTTTCAACTTTTCTATTGCGCGGATTATTATAGGTGGAGGCTTATCAGCTTTTTTGTGTGTTTCTGCCCGGTCATTTTTCGGGGTGTCTGTTACTAGTTCTTCGTCGCCTACTTCCATTAAGCCAAGTGGCGGGACTCCTGTTTCCTCTTTATTTGCCGACTCAGTTTTCTGAGTGGGCTTTTGAATTTGATCTTCTAGTGCCACGTCCGGCTTTTGTGATAAGGCGGGTGTAGTATTATTTGATTTTGGCTTGATTGATTTGTCGAGCCGTTTCTGGCTCTTTTTTCCTCTTTTTTTGGGGCCTTTGCCGCTTGGCTTTCTTCGCCCGACATAATATCGTCGCTGTCCAGATCGGGGTCGATAAGACGATGAATTAGAGGTTTTTCGTTTCTCAAATTCAAGTCCATTCTCTTTGCAAAGAATTTATATGCTTCCACTAGTTCGGTACTACTTATTTCATAGTATTCTATAATAGCTGATATTATAGCCAGACCTGCTTCTTTTGAACTTTCTTAATATTGAAAATGTTTTCTATAACTTGTTCCATCTCGAAAGATAGATGCTACACTTTGAAATTAGCACACATTTTGAATTGTAAGAGACAGATATATTGCGTTTTTGCAACATATATTCGGAATGAACAAGTTCATAAAGCAATATTTAGAAAAATTTCAACAAAACTAGGAATACTCCATTATATAAAAATAAAAACTGTAGTAACTGTCCAAATCACAAACATACTCGTTCTACATTAGAGAACCCGCCCTGGTTCCTGGTTACCTTCCAGAAACTGTCTAAACTCTGCACGCCCGTCAGACTCTTCAAGAAATCCTCATCGTGTGTGATGATGAGCAGCTGGAAGTTGCTTTCCCGTTCTCTGTCCGTGATGATCCTAGAGAGAGCGTCACTCAAGCTTAGAATGTTCTCCCTGTCCAAATTAGTGGTAGGTTCGTCGAGAGCTAGAATTCCGCAATGTGCGCTGAAAGTTTCGGCCAGGGCCATCCGGATCACGAGGCAAGCGAGGACTTTCTGACCGGCGCTGCATCGGCCGCGCATCTCCAACTCCACGTTGTTTTTCACCTGAAATTTGTACATGATTCATTTCATTGCGTCAGACCTGTTTCCGATCCGCAAGCGAATTTTCAAAGTTTGAGCGGCCTCATATCCATCAAGTTTCGACTTCAGACTCGAGATCAGCTGATAAACGTATCAAAAATTTTACAAAAACTCGCGCGAGCCCGAAATTTTATAGAATTGAGCTTGTAGTAAGTGATAGAATTACCTGAACAACTTTGTAGTTGTACGTTCTCCTCTTACCGGCTCCCCCGGTCATGTTCTCGTCAGTCTTGATCTCGATGTAGTCGATGTCGTTGCCCCTGTAAATGCTCCTCCAGAGCTCGCGAATCGTTCGGTTGATGTGCACCATGCGCTCCTCGTGAAACTTCAAAACCGACTTTTCCAACACCACGGCGAACTTGTGCAGATCCTCAATTCCCAACTTGTTAACTACCACTTCGTAGTATTTCTTCTTGTAGTTGTTGTACGCGTTTTTGATTTCCGGCTTGGCGAGCTCCTTCTCCAGTTCTCTGACCTGCTGTTCGATCTCCTCTTGCTGCCCCTTCATGGAGCTGATCTCCCTCCGCTTCTTCTCGATGTCTTCTGTTTTCCTCTTCTTCTCCTCATAGACTTGCCGGTAGTTGTAACCGCCTATGTTCACTTTCAGGTCTTCAATCACCGAGACAAGTGCAGATTCCAGCTTCTGCTTCTCGCGCAACGTGACATTATCTTTCAGAGCCCTGAACTGGCTCTCCTTCTTGGCCAGGGCTTCTTTCCTGCTTGACACATCTTCCATAACTTTATTCTTCTCCTGCTCTAACTTTTCTTCGTCAATCTTGAGCTTGGCGAGCTCTTCCACAGCAACATCCAACTTATTATCGTTATCATTAGCTTCGTAACGGTTTAAACTATCCAGGAGTTTCTGGATGTATCCGTAAGTTTTTTCGTTCTCAACGATCTTACCCCGCTCTTCCTCTTTTACCTTCCGGTTCTTCTCTACGAGTTCCTGCCGATCTTCAATAGCGCTCTTCAATTGCCGTTCCTGAATCTGCGACTGACCCTTCAGCTCTTCCACTTCCGACCTCAGAAGGGAGAGTTTCTCGTTATTCTCGGTGTTCTGTAGTTCCAGAAGTGGTTTTTCCTGTACTAATTTTTGTATGTTGATCTGTTTCTGCGTCTCCGCTTGCATGTCCCTGTTCAAGTTTTGACACCTGTCACGGTGTTGTTCGAGCATTTTTTTGGCAGATTCGTGGCGGTTTTTGATGTTGCTTAGTTGTGCTTTCATGATATCGATTTCAGCTTCGGTTTCTTGGCGGGAACGATTGGATGGTACCTGTCATAGAAAAGAATAATAGAGGTTGTCGACGTGGGTAATATTACAGGCTAGTCAATCATAAGTAGATGGTGTTTTACCTATTGATTTAAAAATTTATCAAAAATTGTAAAGAATAACGGGAAGGATCAAAGTAAGTGGATCTATTCGACTCTCCACTATAACTCGCGACGGTAGTTTGGTAAGTGATCTTTCAGGTTAGCTGGTAAGAGTGAGACTCTGGTAGTGATCTGATCAACGGTTAGAGTGTGACTATTTTTATCAGGTAGCTGAGCAATACGCATGTGTAGCTTGGAAAGAACGTCTCCTGTGATGCATACCTTCCATGACGGATACTTCACTAGAAACAGCGGAAGCAGCTTTCATGTTCTTCTGGATGTCATCCTATGACGACGTCCTCCAGGTAACTTTTATCCAGGCTAGAATGTGCAGCTCTGCAATCATTCCTGTGGACCAGTTTCTGGAATAGCCCCTACGACAGCCATAATGCTATAATGAAGAGATAGCCTTGAGTTCATTGGTCGGTACTGAGGTTGTTGGGTTCATCGCTTGGGCATAAGTGTCTGCTGAACTGCTCAGGGGGTGTTCGTTTACTCTCCTGCTGCAGAGTCTGCTTCTGCTGCTAAAGAATCCTATTGAAAGAATTTTAAATCCACAAGAGACACTGGAACCACTGTTTCAAAAATTTTAAAGTGGCCCGAGTCGAATGGCACACTGCCTAGAAGATTTAAGAACATATCCAGACATTCTTTTGCAAGTTCCTATTTTGATGTAAAAACAGATTTCCAATATCTCTACGAATGAAATTGGCTTCTTGAATTTTTGTTTTTCCTTATACCCTCGAAACCAAAAGAAACTGAGTTGATTTTTCGGTATAATTATATAGTATGGTAGTTTGAAAAGAACATTTTTGCTCCAATTTAAAATTATCCCTTATCGTTTACGAGATACCAATGCAGAGACTCGAGTTTTGAGAACTGTATATCCCGGCGCCCAACGTGAGGCACAAGATTGATTAAATGTTGATATAATTTCTATGTTAGCCTCAATGAGACAACTTACTCATCAATAAAAGTTGCAGTAAAATGTATTTGGTCAATTTTCAACAAAAACTGAAAACTTACCTTGACTATTGTCTGCTCCAGCTCCTCTATGAGAGCATTAGCTTGAACGATATCCGACATATACTGATCTAAAAGAGCGGCGTCCGTGATAATCTCTTTACTAGCTTCTAGAAGCTCCTGCGGATTGACTAGGCTGACTTTTTCAGCAGCCAACTCCATCGACTTTTCCTCAAAAATTTCGTTCAATCTGTCGATTTCCTTTTGCATTACCGGAATATTGACGTTCTTCAGGGATTCTATGTCTTTGTTGATCGGCTGGAGCTGCTGCAATTTGTTGTAAAACTCTTCCGTTTTCTTCAGCTCGTTCTCCGTTTCTTTTAGCCGATTCGGAAAGCTTTCGACCTTGCTTCTCAGTTGACTTATTACATTGCTGACGGCGGACTGTTTGTTAGCGAAGTCAGTCTGACATATCGGACAGCAAGGCGACTCTTTCTGGAACTTCGCTATGAACGCTTCGTACATTATCTTACCTGAACTGTACTCTCCTTTGTTCCTCTGCAGCTTCTCTCGCTTGGAGTGCGTTTCTTTCAATACCTCGCCGAATGGCTTCCCTTTGCACACATCTGAGACCTTTTTCATTTTTAGAGCGAGATCGTTTTGGTCGTTCCCCAGTTTCTTCTTTTGATGGTTTATCGTCGTTTCTATTTGGGCGAGGTCTTTCTCTAGCTGATTAATTTTAAAAGTCATTGCCTTGAATTTGTTCTCTTCTCGTGTCTGGATCTCCTGGACCAACCGTTTGAAGTTTCTCTCCGGGATATCTTCTCCGAAAAGCTTTTGCAGATTGTGAGAATGTTTGCTTTTGATGCTGGTCATCTCGCCTTGTTTCTTTATTACCAAAGACTTTTCGCTGTCTAGCTTCTGCTCTGTCGCGAAATTCTGCTGCAGGATTCTGTACTCCCTGTCCAGCTTATCCAGCAACTGCTCCTTACTTTCCACTTCCTCTTTCAACTGATCGATTTCTTGTAATTTCTCAGATTCGTTGAAGGAGTTCTTCAATTTCGCAAGAGTGGCTTGTAGCTTCTCGATCTTGTCCTCAACTATGCGCAACTGGGAATCAGAAGTATCGAGTTCTTCCAGTTTGTTCCTGATCTGCTTGAGCTTGGCCTGACACTCTTGGATCAAGTTGTTCTTGGACGATATTATCTGTTTGGTTCCTGCAGCTTTTTCACGGATTTCATCGATTCGGTTTTGGAACTCCTTCTCTTGGATGTCCTTTTCTTTGGCGAGTTTCTGGTAGGTTTGATTGCAATTCTCTAGAGCGTTCTGTAGACTTCTGGAGACGCCGAGCCTGTCGTTAATATCGTCGAATTCCTCTAGCTCCAAACTCAACCTCAGTCTTTCGGTCAACTCTTTGTTCTCCTCCAACTTGTTTCTGTACTGTTTTTGCTCTTCCTTCAGTTGACCAATGCGAATTTGCTTCCTTTGAATACAAACGCTTATTTCTGCGGCTTTTTTTGTTATATCAATCTTTTTCCGTTCTAGCTCTCTTATGATGTTCTCTTCACTAGTTTGCTCAGCCTGAAAAGAAGTCATTCTGTTTTGCAGTTCCACATCGGATCCCTCGAAAATGTAAGTGATGTGTTTCTTTATGGTAGATTGTTGTTCGATAAGACCTTGAAATCGAAAAATAGGCATTATTACCGAAAAATCCGATTTTCATTATTGAATTTCAGCAATTTTTCATCATGCTGAATACTTGCAAAGTAGTTCAACACTTCCTACCTTTCCTCTCGGCCTCCTTCTTGGTCAGTTCCGACTGCAACTCCCCCAGAGACTCCTCCAGTTCCAAAATCTCCCTCATCCTCTTCTCCAGCGGTTGCAACTCGTCCTTCTTCTGCCGGATCTTCTCTTTGACCTCTTCCAGCTTGTCCTTCTTCTCGTTGAACTTGGCCAATTTCGAGGCCGCTTCGTCCTTGACGCGCTGCGAGTTCACCAGGTGACTCTCGAGGACCCTCAGGTCGGTCTGCTTCTCCTTGATGACCTTCCGCATGTTGTCGACCGTCTTGTTGTACTTGACCGCGTCGAAGATCTCGTCGAATTTTTCCTTCAACTTCTGCGGGATGTCAAGGGGCCACGCCGAGTTCTCCTGGTGGCAGAAGAGAACGTTGTTCAGGATGGACTTGGAGACGTTGAGGGCGGTGGCGCAGTAGGAGTCGATATCCATGCAGCGTCCAGAGATGTCCTGCACGTTGTCGGGGTCGTTTTTGTCGCGTCTGCGCACGGAGAAGTTTAGTTTTTTGAAGGTCAATCCGCCGCCCGTTTTCGCGGTCACCATTATCACCCGACTCACCGTGATCATGTTGCCTTCGGCGTCTAGGAACTTGATTTTTATGGATCCTGCAGGAATAATAATGAAATATAGGGTCTTTCATTGAATAAAACAAAGTATGTGTGAAATATGATCGATTTTTTTTATTCGTTTGAAAGACATATTGCTGCCATTGTGATGCTCCTTGGTTGTTAGAGCTCAAGGATGTTCGTCATATTCTTCTGGACGTAATTTCGTACGTCCATATATTGCCTGCCTCCTGTGATTCAGTACCTCACATTCGCATAAGATGTGTAGGTTTCTATCCCTTCGTTGCATAATCTGCAGCTGAGGTCTCCGTTGTACAGCCGCATTAAGGTGTCCTCTAAGCGAACAATGACCGGTTAGTAACCCTGTAATTATTCTGAGCCGATCCCTACTATATTGAAGTAGTTCTTCGGTTTTTTTCTCGGACGGCTCCCTACTGTGTTTGTTGCCAGGTACTTTTGTCCAGTACTCTGTGTGCTTCTTATTGGTCCATGTCCTAATCTGGTTTCGTATCAATGATTTTGGCACCCCCAGAGCTGGTTCAGGACCTATATATGAAGTTGATGATCCGCGTCTAGCGCATTCATCAGCTTTATCATTACCTGCGATTCTTGAATGCCCTGGCACCCAGTACAAAGTTAATTTGTTCCTGTTTGCAAGTTTCTTTGAGGTCTCAATTTAATATACCTTGAACACTGCAAGATAGCATACAATTCCGCCTGAAAGACGGATGTGTATAGTCCTAGCCTCGGTATATTCCAGCTCCCGTTCCATGTTTGGTCATCGATCCATCTGTATACCAGGTGTTTTTTCCAAACATGTTTTCGGGATGACTAATGGTCTTCTACTCTTTAAGGCTTGTCACCACAACCCTTACAACCTTATGGTTGTGGTTTAGCAGGTCTTCCGTGAATTTGAGCGATGGTTTCTTCATGAACTCCTTCGCCTGCCGCTTATTCCGCCAATCTATCGATTCGTCTTGCATCCATGAGTTTATGGATGTCTTTATACATGCTTTCGCTACCCCGTAGAAGAGTTCTGGACCAATCATAGCCTCGGATGCGCCTTCACGGGCTAGAACATCGGCCTCCTTATTTCCCTTATGACCCTCATGTCCGGGTACCCAAGCTAGAGTGACCCTATTTTGGGTACTTAGCTCCTTAGCTCCTCTCACCGGTCGTGAGAATATTTGAAATGAGCTGAGTGCTATAATTGCCGCCTGTCTGTCGGAGAAAATGGTAATGGTTTTATTTATGACCTTCTGCCTGTTTATTTCCCCTATACAGGGTTCGATGGCCGCTACTTCTACCGGGAACACGGTTGCATCATGTCCGAGGCTGAGTTCGATTCTTGTCTTTGCTCTGCCTCCGTATAAATCGGCTCCCACTCCTTCTTGGGTCTTTGAGCCATCTGTATACCACGTTTCTTGCGATCTTACCGGTGGGCCGTTTGGCCAGTCCTCTCTACTTGGTATGATGATTTTGAAACCTTTTTGAAAGTTGTACTGCGGAACTGTTTATCCACGGGCATTCCTAGTATTTGATCTGCCTTCAGTTTATTGTACAGTTTCAAATATTCTGCACCTTGTGATTGGCAGATTGGGGTTTGTCCCTGCATTAGCCTGTGTGTACCCAGAGTCGAGCTTCTCTTTGTATGTAGATGTGCAATGGTGGAAGACCGAGGACCTCAAGTGCTGTAGTTGGGGTCGTCCTCATGGCACCCGTGACACATATGTTGGCTTTGAGAACCGCTATGGTTTGTGACTTAATCGCATACACACATGAAGATGTCTAACAGGTTCAAATAGCACGATCTCGGTGGCGAGTTCACGTCACCGTCCTGTGCCGTCCTGTTGAAACCACATGTCGTTGGTGTTCAGATCATTCATTTCAGTTCGAAAGAATTTGGTAATCATCGACCTATAGTGCTCGCCGTTGACAGTGATGGCCTGGTCAACGCCGTTCTCAAAGAAATATGGATCGAGATGGAAGAGATGAAACAGTTTGTTGCAACAAATTTTTCTAGCACACATTGTAAAAACCTAAAAAAGTGACCCTTAATAGTTGTATCCACACCTTTCGTAGTTGTCTTGCTGGACATTTGGGGATCATTCAAGAAGCCTTGGCCATTGCTGGAACCGCTCGGCAGTTCACTGGTCAGAGCGAATCTGATGCATTCTATGATGGTGGTTTTTCCACAGCCGTTTTGACCAAGGAACAGCGTGACTGGTTTGTCGAATTTGATTGTTTGCTTGTCGTCAGGGCTGAAGCTCCTCACTCCACATATTTCCAAACTGTGAAGTAGCGCCATGTCATTCTGCGAAAAAATAAGAAAGGCTTCATACAGGTAACAGATTCATTGTCCTTTATTAGCTATAACCGATGTTGCTAAATGGTGAAATAGAAACGAATCCCTTTAAATGTTGAATGCATTATTTCATTCCTCGTTTTTAAGTATTTAAATAGCTACTTGATTTTCGTCAGGAGGAACATTCCCCATTCTGAGGAATTGTCTCGCATGATCATTAGGAATCGCACGTTAAAAGGTCAGACCTCGTGAATCCGCCTTAGAAGTTTCGATTTTTGAAGGTTGACGTTCGTCAAGATTTAAACAGGTGTTGAAGTTAATGTTTTGTAATTTGATCCAATTCACTTATTTACCGGGTGTCCGAAACATCTCAGAACGAGGCTTATAATTCGGAAGTTGGTGAAGATTAAAAAACGAAATTTTGGAATTTCATAATATGTATAAAATCTATCTCGTCACGCATTTACAACTTCTTCATCCTGCAGAAACGGTGGCAGGAGGCTGCACCCCAAAATCTTAAATGAAACCCTATATCGAAATGCCTTGAAGAAAACATTTTCTGCACAAACTAGAGGTGTCTACGGTACGGAATATCCATTGCCATTTGGTGCATGGCAAGAAGCACGCTTGCGTAGGCGGCACGCGAACGATAAGGTACTCCAATTCGGAACTTTTCGTTGATAAACGTGTTGACTTATTGCATTGATTATAGTGTATCTATCTTTCATCACCTTGCAGCAGTGTGTACAGCGAAAGACTTTCTTCTGAAGCTAGCCTGATTTACGAAGACAGGCGAAACCGCTTGCTATCTCTTAACGCAGAGAAATCAGTATTCATAATTTGCCCTGAGTGCAGTGTGAGTACTAATTCATTTTCTATATTGTAGAATTATTGTGTGATTACTAATTGTATTACTCAATTGATTGGAGCTACTCACGGATCAAAGACGCCCCAAGCACCTTAATTAATATGCCAAAACCTCGGGAAACGAACTCAAAATTCCGAAAACAAGCCAAGATCAAACATCCATTTCTCAAACACTTAAGCTGTTTAAAGGTTAAACTGATGTCCTGACATCTCGCCCTCCAGCGCCCTCTTACGGCCTCGCCGATGGTGGCGAGTTCGACTCAAATTAACCTAGTACACATGTTGATAGATGGTGCAAGAATCGAAATGTGTCGCGCTTATTTTCTTGAGATCATTAGTTTGTGGACCATTATGTAAAAAGTCTTTCACCTTATATCAATTCACTGCAAAATGTAAACAACATTGGGAATTGAAATGTCAACTTGACACTGTCAAGCTGCGTCACCTGAGTTGTACACAGATCCTCTGTGAATGAAACGCTGAAATTTTGACTATACAAACACGCAAAGTATACAAACATCGTCATGGCAACTGACAATACAAACAAAAACAATAATACATTTGTTGGAACAGTAGGTGTATGAATAAAATGAATAGTTCAAAGGTAAAGGAATCAAAAACCAATAAAAAAACTGTTGTTGATGATCTGTTTGAGTACTGCAGTTTTTCTCATTGATTTCTGGGCTGAAACTAAGTCAATATTGGTTGTTGTGCTAAAGTTCCGTTTCTTTCAGGAAGAACTCATCGAGCTCGTAGAATTCAAGTCTCCCATCCGAGAAAAATCCAAAAAAAGTAATAAAGTGGCTCTATCGAACTCTATCACTTCTTTAAGTACGGCTGTCAGCGAAGAAGAGAGCATAATCAACATATTTTCAGTGACCCCTAGAAACAGATCCAAGAGTAAAGATGCAGAGTCTGACATACACACGGTTTCCGAAATATCAGACGAAGTTCTCGTTGTGAAATCAGAACCAGTACGGTAAATGATCTTTTTAATGCGTTAAATGTATATTTCATCAACATTTATTTGATAAACCCATACAAGGGCCACAAAAATATATTATGTTTCCACAATTCACACATGTAACTGTCAATTCACAGTTAAAATTGTGTGAATTCGAGGATACAACTGTAGATTGAAAAATATTCACGTGTATCTGTAAATTCACACTTATATGTGTGAATTTACTCTTATATGTGTATATTTAAAATACTTTTATTAAAACAACAATACAAATTAATTGGCGCTCCGGGGCGACTTCATTGATTCCAGTGGCACATTCGCTTTTTCAGCTGCAGGAAAACCCGGAAAAACCTGCAGCACCACATCATCTGAAGATCTTGATCTCGTCACAATAGATGCCAGTTGATGAAAATATAATCTAACCTGTAACCTAACCTAACCAAAGCTATATTCAACTAACGAATTTAAATGTTCTGAAAGTTTTAGTTGCACTGGTTGAATCTAACTTCGGCTAGGTTAGGTTAGTTTTTGTTTCATCAACAATCATATACTAAATAAATTGCATTAAAATTATGGTGCTCACATCTGGTTAACGGAAAATCAATCAATCAATCTATCAGACTGTTAGAGGCCTTTATTTTTCATTTGTTTCGGTTTCACAAAGGTGGTAAATCACGTATGAATAACATCCTTATGTGGAAATGTATACAGGGTAATGATGAAACAACTATATTCGTTTCAGAGCGGGTACTAGAGAAAATGATTCTAGAAGAACTTACAGAGAGAAAATTTCGGAGCACCTCAAAAAAATCAAAGAAAAGGCCAGCACTCCTTCTTCCAGTGCAGGTCAGAGAACTAGCAGGAGTAAAGCTCCCGTTGATAGAGTGAGAAGAGAAAGCGAGAATTTAGACGCTGAAGTTGAAAACGTCAGAACTAAATTCAGATTGAACGGAAACAATGAAGGCAGAAGGAATTTTTTTAGCTTCGTAGAGGAGCATCGCCAGGTATGTTTTTTCCATCTATCTGCCTACCTTTTATCGAAAAAAAAGTAAGAGATATACAATCTGAAGAAAACACTTTTTCCACGCCAGAACAGAAACACTGTCTTTCGACGCGAGTTAAACTAACCAAGTTAGCATCCTGAGGAAATGATCATCTTTGTTATCTCCTGATGATGCTCATTGCTCACAATGATATTATATTATATAGTTATCTTTTCAGTTTGACAATAACATAAATGGACAAGACCGGGACACGAAAGAGAAAACTTTTGTTTATGCACTGCCTGAAAAAATGGATTTCAATGTGACTTCATCACAAAATGAATGTCTTTTTGTGCCAGACAGGTAAGTTACAGGGTTTAGTTTTGCCGAAAGTTAACTTCCATCTATTTCTAATACAGATCAGCGTTGGAAACGGACAAAAAAATTGGAGAAACACAAACGACTCCGACAGAAGAATTTATGCAGGGGGAGCTCAAGAAAATCAAGTTGGGTGACAGGAATTTGTTAGAGAAGAGATTATATTCAGGAGAAGACAAGTAAGAAGTGCACATTTAGTTCACGTTTGTATTTAATGGATATCTTCTTCTTGATAGTCGAGAAACCCTGTTTTTGTTCTGGTGTAAGAAACGGGTTTCCTACAGAACTTTGAAATATAATTCCCAGCCATAATGAATCTACTATGTTACAACCAACAGTTGAGTTCTTTGAAAGGTTTCCCAATAGCACCACCTTGCCTAAATTTTGGTTTTATCCTCATTTCTTTGAAGTTCATTGGCCATTTTCACTTTTTTGAATCCAGAGGTATACCCCTCCCCTTCTTCTTGTATTTTTCAGACACCTCCTTCACGAGGTTGTCTTGGTAAAGCTTTGATGTTGCACGCTCCAAAAACTAAGTGGAACAAGATGTCACGAAGAGATTGGGAAGCCCACTGTTCTGGGTCAATCACGTTCTTCAGAGAATAATCTGGTGGCTTGCAAAATTGTCCTTCATTGATCTTCATATTGGGAATCGCTATTTCTCGTTCAAATTCGGCATAGCAAATCCAAAAAGGGGAGTTAACAATGACCCGATCATTCAAAACGATTTTGCGGATTTTTTTATGTTTTGTTGATGCTGCTTGTCATGTCATGTCCTCCATCCTAACAATTTTGTTTTCTGTACTAGTTTGTACAGATACCCTGTTGTTCATGTGCCCTCTAAATGGCCAGTGCCTAGTAAGAAACTCTGTAATTTTTCTGAGTCAATCACTGCTCTGTTGAACCGTTCTACAGTTCTTTTCTTAGACAGTCCCCTTATTAGGGTTTGCCTTTTATGTTCCTGGGCGTATTGTTGGTACAATTGATTCAGGGCATATTATATACAACAGAATACATAATACCACATACGATAAACCTAACCCATCTTAACATTACACTAGATAACGAAAGTGTTTTTCAGGTTATGTTGTCTATTATTATGATTACAGACTTTCTTGTTAATGTAATATTGGATGAAATAAATGAGTTAATCACTGCATATAATTAGTTAGTCGAAGTGTCATATGGAAAGAGATACAGATAGTTTCAATGATACATTTGTTAACACTATCAAAAATATAACGGGTTAAAAATGTGTTGGATTTGAATACCAAACATCCGTTATTAAACATTCCCATGATTTCAGGAGATGGTTCGACAGTTCCGGCAACTTGGCATTCTTGAAAAACCCAGTCACAACCACATCTTTCAAGCCGAACATAACCACACCAGAACGCCATCTGACGAGCTACAAACCCGCTACCACAGAAGAAGAATGCACAGAAATTGTGATCGTAGAACACAAAATTCTAAACATTCATTTGTCGCAACTGAAATTCACGCACCACCCGTTGTTCAGCATAGAACACGTATTCGCAGAGAAACTGAAAACGCTCTTGGAAACCCACTATAACCAAGAAAAAGCAACGTGCAGACTAGCGACTCACCTGGCCGAGCTCAGAACCCGAAGGAAACAAATGAATCACGGCGACTCAGACCAAAAACTCGATAAAGACATTAAAAAGACGCGAGAGAAATACTTCGAAGAGAGCCTAAAGCAGCGGGACGATTTGAAACGGATTTTGGAAACTTGGCGGGCGATTAAAACGCTCAGGGATAAACAGGGATTCTCTAGCACGAATGTCAAGTTGGTGATAAAGAAGGAAAAGGTGGATTCTGACGCTGAAAACGAAGCGACCAGTACGATGCTCGAAGATACGTTTCAAGAGTTGTTGTTCAACTAAGGAAACACCTCCATAATATGGGGCTAGTGAACACACCTCTATGCAGGATGTGTGAGCAGGAAGATTAGAGTGTCAGGCATTCGTCCTAATGCGTACTGTTTCAGGGAACGCGAAGGTCATGATGATTTGTAATGTTTCTCCGATTATATTATCCCTTTTTGGTGAGAAATCCAACAAAGTACCTACTGCGTCCATAGTACGTAGTTTCTGAATTGTTTTTGCGGTGATGTACCCCCCTCCTCCCATATGAGTCATTTTCTAAATAACAGCTCTCTTTCTGTCGGTAGATGAAGACAGGATTAAACAGGAACTGATTGAAAAAATGAAAAAAACGTTCAAACCACCGAGAGAACCAATCCTGAAATTCCTACTTTCCCAAGACCACCCCATCACCGAAACAGTTGATCAGACCAAAGAGAATACCAGACGAAACGTCGTGTCTTCCACCAAGTTCTACCTGAGGATACTGTGCAAAGACATCGAGGCTTGCAAAACAAAGTTCATCGGTCCGAACGAAAATTTCTCGTTAGACATCGACGAGACATTTTCGTTGCTACTCACCGATATTCCGAAATATCTGACGGTGGAAGTTTTCGAGCAGCCCAAGTCATTACTGAAGAAGAAAGTTTGTAAGTTGGTCGTGGACGTTCCGGGAAGCAAATCTAGTAGGAAGTTGCATAGGAGGGAGTTCGAGATGGACGATATCGTGCATTATAAACATGGGGGTGTAGGTGAGTGGATATTATTTCCTAAAAGAGACATACATGTTTGTAGTAGAAAGAAATAATTCAAAACTGTGTCGTAACTAACTACTGTAACAATTTAAAGAATTTACTGTCTTAAACAAATTTATTTTTAACAATATTTCACTATCAGAAACTAATGTATATTCAGTACTTAGCAAATAACGCTCAATTTATCTTTACTATTTGAATTCTTTGTTTAACCGCTCGATTCGATTTCTGAATTTAACTGCAATCTCTGGACGAGAAGCCGGCTTTATATATCCGTAACGATCGCTCTAGAATTTTATAGTCGTCAATATTCAAATTCATCCGAAACTTATTCACTGGTATCGCTTTTTCGCATTGTTCACCATCGCTATTGGAATCACTACACTGGAAAAAGTCTGCGTTGTTATCACACTCGATATTACTATTAGTACTTGTTCAAGGACGCCACATTTTGAACAGATTACAAAAACTTCAAGATATTTTAATAATATATATTATAACTGTACTATGTATTAGTTTTTTGGCCTTTGAGAGTGCCGCTAACTTTAAGAGTGCACAATATCGTTTACTTCGACTATAACAATGTGCTTTCAGGCAGTGGTGTGGATCTGAAAACTCTATCGGAAAAAGCCAGTATAAGTTTATCAAATATCCCCGACACTGAACTGAAAACCTCTGGCTATTTGGAGTATTCCGCAGAATGGGAAAAATCTCCCAGTAAAGAAGACGTCGTACTACCTAGTCAATTCGATCTTCTGAAAGAAATTATCGATAAAAACTGCTGTATAAACAAAAATAAATTGAACGAGTTCATAAAAAGTTCGAACTTGGAAGAGTCCTTTTTTGCTGGAGAAGAGTTTGTTCCAAATGGAGATAATAAATGCTTCAGGTAATTCTGTAAACAGTCTTATTCATTTCACATTTTAGATACCTCCTTCATTGTTTTTGCTGAAACAAAGAGATCTGAGGAGAGACAAGAATTCTGTAGGCAACCTTGTCAAGTTATAGAATTATCTTCGCAGTGGCCTCAAAACGGGACCTTGTGGTACTTCATAATAAACTTGCAATTACCAAGTGTACAATAACAATGTAACCTTTTCAATACTGTTTCTTAGGTTGAATCCCCACCAGAAATCCTTGAATTTCTGCAACATTACCGAGGTGGAGCAGAACATCAGATTGAAAATCTTGTGGCTGCGCGACCAGAAAGAGATAGAATTCGACGGCATGCTGATACCGAACAGGATAAAGGAAATACCGTTCAGCGTACTCTCCGAATACAGAAGAAGAAAAACTATCGAGGAGAAGGCCGAATCCTTCGAGGACGAACTCGAGGACAACGTCGAAGCTCAAAGGAGTTCTGGAAGGAAATACCTAAGACGAGTCTATCTGAGGACTTTTCAGCTTTGCAAAAATACCGATAACAATCTGGATTACGAAAGTGTCGTCAATGAAAAGTACCTCGTTTATTTCCAGTAAGTACGAGAGAAAGAGAGAGGGAGGAGGATATTTGAGTGTCGCTTTTGCGTCACCTTAGTTCCAAACATTCATTAGATCAGTGTTGATTTTTTATTCGAGTCTTTCGGAATCTTCGTCGTGCCAAAACTGAGTTGTATCTCCCGCGAACATAGTCAGGTGATATCGTTTATATACAGTAAAAACAAGACGGGGCCTCAAACCGACCCTTGGGGAATGCCTGAATTCATCTTATTTATTTGGAGGATGATTTTCGGTATTCAGAAACTGAGTTACCAGAGCCATATTCATGAAGCTTCTACAGTAGGACATTGTGGTTTACGTAGTGAAAGGCTTTCGACAGATCACAAAACACTGCTGCAGAGGCTGCTCTTTCATGTACGAGGTTTGTTCAAAAAATATGGCGAATGTTCAAATTCTGCGGGCTACGCACCAGAATAATTCAAGACATTAACGGCCGGAGATAACAGTGAGCTTTTTGACCGTGGTCTGCAGGTTTTATGCCCGACGTTCCGTCTACCACTGCGGTAGACGAACCTGGTATTTGACTCTGGTTTTATATTTTTATTGGTGGGCGTTGCTTGGTTTCTATCGATTAGATTATCTGACCTTCTTTGTGTACCATTAAGGACAGGTAGCCAGATTTTATTAATGTTCATTGCAGCTTTTCTGTTGAAATTATCTCTGTGTTTTCGAATTTCTTTTGTCTCTCTTTGTTGAGAGAATGTTCAGCCACAGCTGATTTGTCAGTCTGTCCGAGTCGGCAATGTCTCTTGTGTTCAGAGACTCGGATATCTATAATCCTTTTCGTCCCGTGGGTTGGGCTACCTATAGGGCGCGTACCCAGGTGGCGGATAGGGAAACGGCCAGGGGACTAGGGACCCTGTCCAGGAAACCAATGTGGCCTTACGGACGAGATCGTCGGACTCCTGATCAGAAATATGTAGGGTGGGGGAAACAAGAACTCCCCAAAAGCCTTTGCGAAACATGCCACCGTGGACCAGCCTACCCAAGCTGAGGTGTAAGGAATCGTGCCGACAGCTGAATGGCCGCAGGGTGATATACGGTTACGAACGATCCCCTTGGGGATCCCCTCTGGTAATGCTGGGATCTGCCAGAGGTGACCAACTCTTTCCCTGCTACTCGTGGAAACACATATGAATGAAACAAACACAAAAACAGACAAAACAAAAAACAAACCCGAGGCTGGACAGAAATGCTCACCTCAATATATGGCGGTTGCTGGGGATGAACAAATGTCCACCCCAATCTAGCGCCTGGAGTGAGACTGGACATAGCAGATCACCTCATGATGTAATACAAAGGCCATGGCCTAAGCGTATTTGCGGCGCAGAGGCCAAAAGGAGAAAGAGATCGAAAGTGGCAGGAGTGGCAGCAACTATAAGTACACTCTCTTCCTCCTCCACTCCACCTCAAACAGCAAGGTGCGCTAAGAGCTCTGCCTTGAATGAAGGTAAGGAAGCCTATAGGAAAGCGCCCTCACCTGAGCACCTCCACGGAGGGAACCCCAGCGACAGTAATGTCGCTGCACCTTCCAAAACCCTCACGGGAGGCAGCTGTGAGACATCTCAAGGTTGCCGAAGAGAGTGTGTGTCTTGGCCTGCAACTGCCGATATAAAGGAGGTGTCTCCTAGTGACCTTTTCACCTTCCTGGAAAGGACAGGATGGACGATGACCTAGAAGGACAACTCCTCGGGAGGAGGAGGTGGCTTAAGTGCTGTGTGCCTACACTCACCCTCCGTACCCTACAGATATAGAGATATTCCTTTTCGTGGTTCCAATGTAGACCGACTCTCAGCTACAAGAAATGCGGTATACCTCGGGTGCTCCTAGAGGTTCTCTGGGATCCTTAGCTGACCTTAGACTTTGTCTGATGGTTTTTGTTGGCCTAAGTATTGGTTTCATGTCGTGTTTCTATAAAATTTTCCCAATCAGGTCTGTAACATTTTTAATATATGGAAGAAAAGCTAAATACTTTGACGTTCTCTCTCCTGGGTCGTATGGCCCGTTTTGGCTAAATCTTGGTGGCACTCTAGTACTAGCCCTGAGGTAACACGTTGTCTGTTCAAGGCTAATAGGGCTTGTCTGCTGTCAGTGCAGATTGTTATGTTTTGCCAGAAATTCCTTTCCTGGTTATTTCTTTTGTGGCGATTGAGATACCAGCCGGTTCTGTTTGGACCACGCTGGTATTTTTTCCCATTCCCCACCTAATCCTTAGGCTTACTGATCTGGAGTACACTCCACATCCTGAGCCTTCTTTGTTTTTCAAGCCGTCTGTATATATGCGTATTGCATTTGTAGCATTTGACTATGTGTTCTGTTTTATTTGTATTTTGTAGGGTTTATTGAACACAAACCTGGGTTCAATTGCATCACTGGTTGCCTGCAGCAGAGATTGCGCATTAAACGCTTCCGTCACAGGCCCAGCCTCAATTGACCCATTCCTACTTCGAGGTTTACACCAGCCGTGCGCAATCATAACATGGCCATTAACGCAACCTCCTTAATATGCAGATCCAGAGGGGTCAGACCCGTAATTAATTCCATTGTCGCGGTTGGTATTGTTCTCATGGCTCCTGTGATGTCCAAACAAGCCAGTCGCTGTATTTGATATAATTTTTCGATGGCCGTTGCTTGTAGAACTCTCTTCAAGTTTATAGGAATGTAGGCATTTACGGCTCGCGTCAATATTTTCGGTTGTTTTCTAGGTTTTACCGTGGTCTTCTTCGGTTATAATCTCCAAACGTTTCTACTGCATCTGCGGCAGTCATCTTCAGTGGTGTGTTGGAAGTACTCTTCAAGTTTAGTTCCTGAAACATCATTCAAACAATGTTCACTACAATATCGTGTTTTAAACATGACTCCTTTCAAAGAAATATATTTTTTACACATCCACTGATATACATTCATCGATTAATTTCAGCCTGTTGGTACGAACTATACTCCGCAACTTCCTGAACTGGTTTCGATGGAGACCAAAAATCAACAAGCCTCTACCAGTCAGAGAAAAAAAATCCGAAGATGAAACAGCTGAAGACACTTCAAGAGCGAAAAGCAATGCTTACATATCGGTCAAAATACTCGGCGGAAAAAATATACCGAGTCGGTTGAAAAATACGTTCAACGAAGAGGAATCTGAAGAAAACGAGGTACGCCCGTACGTGAGGATAACTTACAAAAACTTGACAGCTAGGACCAGTTCGAGTAAAGGGGTGAATCCGCTGTGGGGCGAAATTCTGACTGTTCCTCTAGAGTAAGTAGAAGAAAAGTGAATATTATTGGCAGCTTGGCCAATTTTGGCCAAATTCAGCCATACAAAATCATAGAGAGTTTATTAAAATTATCTTGTACATAAAATATATCAATAATGATTTGGAAAATTCAGTGGTTGGGAGTTTCACGAACGAGATTAATATTTTGTTTTCAGAGCACCAAATACCGACTACCTGAATCCAAATTCGCTAGATGGCAGCATCGCCGTTGACGTGTTTGACGAGAGCGAAATAGAAATCAAGAAACTCAACAGAAAATGTACGAATTGGTTAGGCGGGCTCGAAATTTCAGTATCAGCAATTTGTTGTTCTGAAAGTGTAAGTAGAAGTTGCAAAGTCTTCGTTTACCATATTGTTATGGCTGTCCAATCCAAAACACCATCACACCACCATGTATTTTTCAATTTTTTTCAAACAGCGTAACAGTGAATTCAGAATTCTCTATCATATCGTGAAAAAAGCTTCAAAAAATAGCTCACAGTTCAAGTGAAAGTTTCCACACACTTTTGTTCGACCATTACTTGATGAAAATATATTATAACGTATTCAAAAAACAAACTTTAATGTGATATTTCCACTCGAAAGTTCACACAACTGGGACACGTGTTTCGCCATACCAGGGTGGTCACAGAAGTACCTGGCCTGACCTAGAGATGGCGGTAGTTGTTTGAAAAATATCACTGTATCAAAAAGAGCACAATCAATGAAGAATTTGTTGCAAGTTTGAAGACGCTACGTTGTTTGGCAGCCATCAATAAAGAACGTTTTCGATGAATTCGTGAAAATGTGATACAATACTTTAATTTGAAATGCCTCAGCCCGAAAAATATAAAAGCTGAACTAGATTCTACTCTGGGTGAGTCTGTTCTTTCGTTTGCAACAGTGAAATATTGGGCAGCAGGGTTGAAACGAGGCCGTACGAGCTGCCAAGACGAGTATCGCAGTGGTCGACCAAATGAGGTGACGACCAGAAACGGTGAAGAAAATCCACAAAGCGGTACTTAATGACCGTCAATTGAAAGTGCGCGAGCTGGCAGACTTAGTAGGCATTTCAAAAAGTGCGGTACATCGTATATCATCTGCAAATTTGGACATGAGACAGATGTATGCAAGATGGGTGCCGCATTTGCTCACACTCGAGCAAAAGTGTTGTGAAGATGTCCCAATTGAGTGTTTAGAGAAGTTTCACAGCAACAAAGCAGAAATATTGCGTCGTTTTATAACCATGTTTGCATCAGTTAATACCATAACAATAACACATAAACAATCAAAAAACGTTCGTCGCATCCGGAAAGGAAAAAAATGTACTTTCCTCAAGACAATGCACCAGCTGACAAATCCATTATGCAATAACCAAAATTAACGAATTAAAGTTTGAATTGCTACATCGTGCACCCTATTCGCCAGATTTAGCCCCTTCGAATGTCACTATTGTCGCACGTGTCGCCGAAGATGCTATTGATGCGAAACACGTGTCGTTATTGTCGCCGAAGATGTTATTATTGCGAAACACGTGTCGTTATTGTCGTTGGAGATGCTATTGTAGTGAAACACGTGTCGCTATTGTCGCACGATTCGAAGAAGATGTTATTGTAGCGAAACACGTGTCGTTATTGTCGACAAAGATGCTATTGTAGCGAATTATGTTTCGCTATTGTCGCCGAAGATGCTATTGTAGCGAAACACGTGTCGTTATTGTCGACAAAGATGCTATTGTAGCGAAACACGTGTCGTTATTGTCGACAAAGATGCTATTGTAGCGAAACACGTGCCGTTATTGTCGCACGAGTCGTCGAAAATGCTATTGTGGCGAGACCCGTGTCGTTATTGTCGACAAAGATGCTATTGTAGCGAAATATGTGTCGCTATTGTCGCCGAAAATGCTATTGTAGCGAAACACGTATCGCTATTGTCAAACGTATCGCCAAAGATGCTATTATAGCGAAACATTTGTCGTTATTGTCGCCAAAGATGCTATTGTAGCGAATCACGTATCGCCAAAGATGCTATTGTAGCGAGACACGTGCCGTTATTGTCGCATGAGTCGTCGCAGATGCTATTGTGGCGAGACACGTGTCGTTATTGTCGACAAAGATGCTATTGTAGCGAAATATGTGTCGCTATTGTCGCCGAAGATGCTATTGTAGCGAAACACGTATCGCTATTGTCTCGCCAAATTGTCGCATGAGTCGTCGCAGATGCTATTGTGGCAAGACACGTGTCGTTATTGTCGACAAAGATGCTATTGTAGCGAAATATGTGTCGCTATTGTCGCCGAAGATGCTATTGTAGCGAAACACGTATCGCTATTGTCTCGCCAATTATACTATTGTAGCGAAACACGTGTCGTTATTGTCAACAAAGATGCTATTGTAGCGAAATATGTGTCGCTATTGTCGCCGAAAATGCTACTGTAGCGAAACACGTATCGCTACTGTCAAACGTATCGCCAAAGATGCTATTATAGCGAAACATTTGTCGTTATTGTCGCCAAAGATGCTATTGTAGCGAAACACGTATCGCCAAAAATGCTATTGTAGCGAGACACGTGCCGTTATTGTCGCACGAGTCGTCGCAGATGCTATTGTGGCGAGACACGTGTCGTTATTGTCGCCAAAGATGCTATTGTAGCGAAATATATGTCGCTATTGTCGCCAAAGATGCTATTGTAGCGAAACACGTATCGCCAAAGATGCTATTGTAGCGAAACACGTGCCGTTATTGTCGCACGAGTCGTCGATAATGCTATTGTGGCGAGACACGTGTTATTGTCGACAAAAATGCTATTGTAGCGAAATATGTGTCGCTATTGCCGCCGAAGATGCTATTGTAGCGAAACACGTATCGTTATTGTCAAACGTACCGCCAAAGATGCTATTGTAGCGAAACATGTGTCGGTATTGTCGCCGAAGATGCTATTGTAGCGAAACATGTGTCGGTATTGTCGCCGAAGATGCTATTGTAGCGAAACACGTATCGCCAAAGATGCTATTGTAGGAAACACGTGCCGTTATTGTCGCACAAGTCGTCGAATATGCTATTGTGGCGAGACACGTGTCGTTATTGTCGACAAAGATGCTATTGTAGCGAAATATGTGTCGTTATTGTCGCCGAAGATGTTATTGTAGCAAAACACGTATCGCCATTGTCGTACGAGTCGCCGAAGATACTATTGTAGCGAAACACTTGTCGTTATTGTCGCAGAAGATGCTATTGTAGTGACACACGTATCGCTATTGTCGCATGTGTCGCCAAGATGCTATTGTAGCGAAACACGTTTCTTCTATCTTTATTTATAAAATTGTCTGAGAACAATTTCCTCTCAAAATAATAATATTTGTGTTGAATGAGCTTCTGAGTATGAATCGCCTGTTGTTGCCCAATAATTTGGGCAACAACAGCTGAATAGTCCGATATAATACTTCTGTCAAGAGATTCATTTTATCAATGTGACCCAGTCTGAGCCCAGAAAATCACGGGTACCGAAATTTCCTGCTATTAGTTGGTTTATTTGAGTGAAATAAATTCATACGTACTCAGCGGCTAGCTGATATTCGAGGTATAAATTAGTTTTACGATGTAATGCTTCAGAGATTGTTGAAGACTCGACTCCTCAAGATATGATTATAACCAACAAAAGAAGAATGAGTTGTTTCTACTGCTGTAAATGCCCAATTCTGGTTACAGATGAATGGATTTTTTAGAGTGAAACTCCCCTACATGTTGTTTGGGTATGAAACAGAAGAGGATAAGCAGAAAACAAAATCACCAAAGGTCAGCACTCTCCAGTCCTGCCATCACACTTATTTACAAATGGAAATTTCAGTACAGCCGAATGTCCCGAAGCTAAATCCCAACATGGTGAGTATTACTTGGGAAAATAAATCGTTACTTTATCTATAGTTCTCAGGACTTTCAAAAGTTTGTTTCTGAAATATTTAAACGTCGAATCTATTAAAGAACTGACTATGTCAATCGCTGAACTCTCACTTTTAAATAGCAGAAGGCGACTTCTAAAATTGAACAGAAAAAATTTACAGTCGTAATCTACATATGTAATTGGACTATGCCTGTATATACTCAGACTAAATAAATAATATGACTTGGATACTACTTTCAAGGAGGAGCTTCCTTGCGGAGACGTCCCCTACATCCAGGAACACATCTTCAAATGGGCCGCCGCTTTCAAAGCTAGTCACCCCGACAGGAGGTTTAGCCCCTTGGCCTTGGACACGAACGGCAAAACCACCTGCGTGACAAGGTTCATCAAAGCGTCGGAGCCTCCGCAAATCAACACTGAAGAGTTCGACGTTTCGGCCGAGCAGTGTCTCAGATACGTTTCGATGATCCCCTTTACGGACTGCAACCAGTTTTACAACTGCTTCTGGTTGTCTACCGACGTAAGTAAACATTTGATGAAGGGACTTTATAAAAGTGGAAATGCCCAACAGTTTTTACACTGTTCGCTGCGATCTGAGTTCTAGTAAATCTACAGAGCGAGTTGTTTTTTTGAAATTATGTATTTGTTGTTACTGTGTTATATAGTGTTACTGACTTCTGCAAACTAAAAATCATTAACTGGACGAAGGATCGTCCGAAAATTAAACGAATTGATCGTCAAAGTTCTGCCTCATCCACCGTACTCTCCAGACCTCTAGCCAACCGACTGCCATCTTTTCAAGCACTTCGATAACTTTCTCACCGGTAGAAACGGTAGAAATTAACTTATTTGATACCTATATTTTTTACTAAAAAGTCAACCTGATGCTGGGATCTGTAACGGATCACTGGAACATTTGATTCCCACAAATTCAAAATTAACATCTTTGATAACTATATTTTTTTAGCAACTGATCAACCTGATACTGGGATCCGTAACGGATCAGTGGAACATTGTTTTCCATAAATTCAAAATGTATATATTTGATACTCATATTTTTCAACAACTTATTAACCGGGTGCTGGGAACTGTAACGGACCACAGGAACATTGTTTGCCATGCATTCAAAATTACCATCTTTGATAACTGTATTTTTTAGAAACTGATTAACCTGATGCTGGGATCTGTAACGGATCATGCTATAGCTTTAACGTGCTATCTGCTGGCGTTGAAAATGGAAGTGTGGCTCTTGCTGGGATATGGAATACCGCATGGTAATACGGCTTATGTTTTGGTGCAAGAACACAACACTAATACTGAAGTGCCCAGTTATTACATCCTCGACGTGGTTTACAATGAAAAATACAACGTAACGGATGAATACTGTCCACTGCAGAAAATATTCTGTGTTATCAATGGAGCTAACGTGAGTATTTAAAATAATAATTTTCTGATAGTGATAAGATTACTCAAACAAGTATATTTTACAATGATAGTAGTACATATAAATTATTCGGTAATCAACATTAAAAAAAAGTAAAAGTGGAACCTCTGGTGGAGTGGATCCAAAAAAAAACTTTTCCTAATCGCCAGAGCTAACAGGGACAATTGTATTCACTTCAAAATCATCGAGATCTTGATAATTTTCCAATGATGAATTTATCAAATCCCACAAAAGCTCTGGTATATCACAGAATGATTCATAAATGTATTTTAAAAACTGTGAGTGTTAAAAATTTGTTTTTCTGTTAATCAACAATGGGATAGTTAAAAACAAAGTGTTCGTGACGTAAGTCGTTCTCTTGTTGATGTTGCTTTGCAACGGACCGCATTTTATAGCTTTGTTTATCATTGATATTCATAAATAGTCTTCTGACGAACCCACAACTGGAATCTCCATAATGCCTTCACTTTGCAACGAAAAAGTCTTTGGAAGTTCATAAATATTGCTTACCAGAATTTTTAGCGCCTATTATTCAACATATGAATGGCACAGATCGACTACTTCTCTGTTGTTCAACTCGATTATGTTTCAGGTCTGGGGTAACACTCAAAAATCTGATGTCGTAAGTCTAACCAGGTTTGATCTGAGTAGACGTTCGGACTGGTTACCCTTATTTAATGATGATTTACCAGCCCCGACAAATTTCATATCGAACAAGGTGAGGTACAGAGAGACCAGTGACATCGAGATGATGGGGATGCATATGGAAAGGCAACTGAAAAGACAGATTTCCAAACTCCGACAACTAGACAGGACCGTTTGGAATACTGGGCTGTCGAGTGTTCTCGCAAATGCTTTACAGTCGTTCGAAATAAGTTCTATGTATAGTAAGAATCGTTTTGAAGCCACCATGGATCTGATCAATGAAATTTCTCCGTATACAGTAAGAAGATGCTTCACGGAAGAAAGTAATCATTTGAGACTGTTTTTGTTTTAGGTTCGCGGTTATGCTTTGAATGTACCTTTCGTGAACATTTCGAGTGTTGTGAAGAGGTTTAAAAGTTTGGGAATTCATGTTCAACAAGAAGAAGATATTGAATTTGCAGCAGCTGTTCACCTTCATTCTTACCCAGGACTGTTGTTGTCTGTATGGGTTTTTTTACTTAATATTAAGAATTAGAAATAAAAAAGTGTCTCAAGAGGCAATTTTTTTTCATCTTCGAAAAACACCTAACCAGTGATTGAAAACGTCTAATATGGAGATGGAATGGCTTCAAAGTGAGACTCGGATCAACTAAAACTTTCTGGTTTACATAACCAAAATATTTAATTTGACATATCAACATTATTGATTATACTGAATGATCTGATATTATTCCAATATGGAGATGGAATGGCTTCAAAGTGAGACTCGATTCATAAATCAAGGAATAACATGCATTTCAATTGATTGAGCTTTGTGTACAAAGGATATATGTTGAGATTATTCACAGAATACAGAAACGATAATATAAACTAAAAAAACCCAATTTCGAAATAGATTACTCTAAAATAATGTGAAATTGGAAAATCGGTTCATGTTTATTTGAATCGGTAAATCCCCGGAAAACGCTTTTAAATTGTTTCATGGGGAAATAGTCTTCAAAACACCTTACGAAATTTTAAAGTAAACGGTAGACTTACCAAGTATTGTCAGCAAGATGTTGAAAAAATATTTATATCAAACGTTTTGTCCGCTTAAATTGAGATCATAATCAGTTTCACACTTTGAATGCACCTATATCAAATACCATTTTTAAAAGATAACAAAAAGATACAAGGTACTCAGTGACATAACCTTACAAATTTACCTCCCTTTTTTGAAGTTTCTATTTTTATCGTACGCGATAGCGGTGTTGTTCCTGTTCCAATTCGAAAAAAAAAAATGTAATAGATGATGACGTAAAAAGTAATATTTGACATGAAATGTAACTTTTGAATGAGTCGCACAGAAAGCGCAGAATTTCGCGCCAAGAGGCTCGCAACACTAGCTGAAACACGGTGTTCTTCGTTTTTTTATACTTTTCACAGGAGACGTGTGAAGATGCTCATGAATCGTCGGTTTTCATTCGATATGTCAACTGCCAATTTTCATACGTCAATTGACAGTTCTGGCTTCTGGCAAGTAAGCTATCAGTTGAAAGTTCCTTAACATGTTACAAAATGGGTAGAAACGTAACATGGTAATTTTAAATATCAAAAAGTAACATTTTGTTACTAAAGTAACGCCAGAAACATACACTGCAAACGATTTGTATTTAATTTTTTGCCTAGTTCAAACTCGTAATTCAACAAACTTCTTAGTTTGATTTAATGGAATTATAAAAAAAGTCGAAATTAGAAATTCAAAGTTCAAATACGTATTAACAATATCAAAAGATTGAAGCCGAAATTTAATGGCATTATTTTGTTCAATTCCAAATCCACAATTCATTTGGGGTCCTTATTGGCATTCGTAGTTCACATTTCTCAAACTATTTTTTCCAATAGTTTTGAATAGTTGATTGAAGTAACTAGTTGCCCAAATTGACATTATCACTTTATACTCACTGCTTCTATTAATAACCTGGAATTTTGGGATCTCTTCATTATTTATTTATCAAGAGTGCCGTAGGTCGAGAGTTTTTGTTAAAATATATTACATGGGGAGGGGTCCAAGTGGTCCCACCAAGGTAATTCTATGTTCTATGTAACTTGTTGATCTGTGACTTTGGTCAAAACAAAAATGAGCATGCGCCAAATTCAAATATTTAGAGATGTCATTGAACCGATAATTTTCAAAACAATAATTTCAAATTTTTATTCATTATATCAATGGAGACAATGAATGAATGAAAAAGTGGCTATCAAATGAAGAATAATTGTGATTATATTTACATGCATAAACTTCATACTTTTCTTAGGTATGCTTAGTTTTTATTCCTAGGTATGTTTCCATAAAACTTTTATAAGTGAACTTTTTCATATTAATGATAAGAAGCTTGAAGGATAGATTCGAAATCATAAGCAAATTCAAGAGAAATTTTTAAGATTCTGATGCTGATTCCTAGGTGGTTCTCAATATCTTGCTTAAAGGCAGATTCATTATAGATATAATCATGTTCTGTATTTGTGACTTGCTATAAATGCACTTTTGTATGTAAAATGGTCGAATAACGTACTCTACTCCTGTAGACTATTATGATTGAAAACAACAGCTCACGAAAGTATGTTTTTATTGTTTACTGTATAAGTAAAGTAATTGCATGTAACGTTTTGGGCATTTAGTGAACTCCAATTGAAGACTTCCTAAGAATAACCAAATCCAATGCTGAATGTGGTAGTAATATTTTACAAAAGCATCCAAATCAAAAACCTCACTGAGAAGAACCTCCAAGTAAAAAATGAGATTAAAATATTTTTGACTGGAAATGTTTGCCACTCTTTAAAAACCTCACAACCTCGAAGGCATTCCTCCTGCAATTACCAGATTCTCTCCAGTTACATATGATCCATCTTCAGAGGCAAGGAAAGCTACGGCACCTCCCATCTCAACTGCTTCACCAACCCTGAAAAAAGAAACAGTATTTTACTCCATGAAGGTTGGAGAGAAATTGATTTTCTCTATTGAAAGTTTACAAAACCGTGTTCCACTATACAATAGTTTCTTTCATACTGAAACAATAAAAGCTAAATCACTAGTGAATCTGCTGCAGATTCGTCTTTGGTATTTTTAATATGAATGCTCATACTCATACCTTCATTTTACAAAATTAGGAATCTTCAAAATAAAACTAATCTGCAAGCAAAATAAAACTACTCAGTTACCTGTTCAAAGGAATATTTGCCAGTGCAGCCTCCTCAAACACCTCATTGGAAGTTATGGCATCTGAGAACTTTGTTCTAATGAGGCCCGGACAAATAGAATTCACAGTGATATTATCACGAGCCAGCTGCAGGGATACTGCTTTCGTTAATCCCAACAAGGCCGTTTTGCTTACAGCGTATGCTCCCAAATATTCCGAAGGGTTCATGCCGGCAATTGAAGACACAAATATTATTCTTCCAGCTCGGCTCTCTTTCAGTAAGGGATAAGCTTCTTTGGCTAGTAGAAAAGATGATTTTACGTTGACGTCAAAGATTTTATCCCATGACGATTCAGAGCAATCCAGAATACCTCCAACTGTGGGATTGGCTGCAGCGTTCGATACCAGTATATCAAGACCTCCAAGCTTTTGTGCTGCTTCAAAAAGTTTCTTTCTGTCCTCAGGTTTTGAAACATGGCAAGTAAGACCTTTCACCTCCAAACCTTGTGACAACAGTTTCTTCGTGGCCGCTTCAACATTTTCTGGTTTTCTACTGCTTATAATGACTTTTGCTCCTTCTTCTGCTAATCTTTGGGCTATGGCGAATCCTATTCCCTCTGTTGATGCTGTGACTACTGCCACTTTACCAACCAAACGTTTTAAAGCAACTCTGCTCATTTTTGTAAAATGATCCCAACTAGTCAACTATTTTCACTGGAGAAAAATGTATATTCTTGGATAAAGGTCAACAACATATGATAAATATTGGACTTTGATTCGTAATTTCTATTTAGGTTATACATAATGTAACATAAATCAAAATTAAAAAACATGTTTGGTCCCTTTTTAAGTTTTGAAAAAATCAAAACTCGAGAGGGCAGATATAACCAAAAACAATTTACTGTTGTTATCAGACTCCTCAGAGCCAAAAACTTGCGAATAAAGAAAAATGTGTAGAGTAGTCTAGAGACAGCTTGCACTTTATATACTTTAGGCGAAACTCAGAAATAAAAGTTATTTAGTCACATGGATACATTTCTTATAAGAATAATATGTCAATGATGGGTCACACCAAACTTCCCCTATCAAATTCTAAGTTTCAACAACTGTATCTGCTTGCTCGGCTCTAGATTTTTAAAACCGAACATACCTTGAACAAGAAGAAAACAAAAAAATAGAAGAAGAACTTATACCTAACCTGAAATGCATCTATTAGGGTTAGGACCTATGCCTATGACTGAAACTGACGTTTGGTATTTATGTAGGATGCGAAAGACTTCAGACATATAAATAATGACATGAAATATTCAACACAGTATCAGTAATACCTTTCATTCAACATCGAAATGGAAGTGGATTTATTTAGACCTGGCACTGTTCCTATATCATCAGAAACTATATTATGGTTCGAGTTTTTGTTGGATCAAGATTTGTTATTGAGACATTTAGAAAAACCCACTGCAGGTAATTAAATACCATTCCAATTTAGATGTTTTCTAAAAACGGTAATGTTTCAGATCCACCACCTTCCGAATTGATAACTAAATTTTATGATGTTATATCTGAAACTCTGAGAATCAACCCTGATAATGAAAATGGAGAAATAATTAATGTTGATACCAATGTAGGGAAGTCTAAGTCTCCAGCGAGGACCGTAGCTTTGAAAATTTTATCCTTGAAAGTGGGAGCTTATCTGAAATGGAATCTAGGTAATTGAAAATAATCATAATGATTTTTTTTGACCATTTTGGTTCAGTAAAAATCTTACAAGTGCTTTATGAATATGTAATGGATTCTTATCAAGTATCGGCTAATTCCATCACATATATGCCTATTTACTTGTACCTCATTCTACAAATAGATAATTTTTTATGGTAAACACCTTATTTTCAATGAAGAATTTAGTTTAGACCAGTCAATCTTTTTGATTCAATTTAATTGAAGTCTACCGGCCAATCTTTTTTCTTACAGTCCAAATAAGAAAGTTGCCGTTCAAAACTCAGATCAATCTGCTTCAAGATCTAATGTACTTCACCAATGACAAGAAGACTGTAGAGATACCCAATGTTGAGGATGAAGATGTTAAAACAGCTTCACCACCTTACTTATTTGCTTTATTGTTGTTTCACCGTTGGCTGCTAAACACTTCAATGCACAGGATAACATCCAATTGGCAAATTAGATATGGGTAAGTGGCAAGGTAAATATTCATTTTCACATCTTGCGCTAGCTCTTGATGGAGAAGTAGAAATCCAAAAGCCTTTCTTTCCCAAATACCACCTTCGTTTTATCATTTAGAATATGTCTTCCACAACTGATTCCATGTTTGTAGTTTGTGTAGTGTTTTATTTGAAAAAATGCTGAATGGAGAAGAAAGCAAGAAACTATGACTTTCCTTTTCGTGATATTGACCACATACGAGTTTCAATTACCAGACGTTACTTCCTGAAATAGGTAATTTTTTGACAGTTACAACTTTTGTATGAATGTATTTTCAGAAGTATATTCATATTCATGATTAGTGGACAAAAAACGCCAGTCTAATTAAAAATAAAACTAGCGGTAGCCATTGAAATGAATATTTAACGATTTGAATCATGTGAAAGACGGCATCTCAAATATTGTGTTTACAGAATCAACGACATATCGCCTGCTGATGAATCCATCATTTGTTGTCCGGAAAACATCAACAAAACGGTCAACTTTCTCACGGATTCCCTAGACTGGGACATCGTTCCGAGTTTATTGACATTTGACTGTTTCAAACTCCCCACAGAGAACAATGATTGCATAGAATTCGACTGGTCCAAAAGTCAGGAACTGTCTAAAAACGAGTTCAATGCCCAGATCAACTACGATCTTGGCGTGTTCTTTTTCTATCGAGAACAGTACGATCTGGCAAAAAAGCATTTCTCCAAGTGTCTGGAACTGTTCAGTGATATACCAGAAATCAATGGATTCTATGACCTTGATAAGAATATGCTTGATGTGTACATCAAAGCTTGCCACGGGTCTGCCGATATACAGCAAGGGAGTCTTCTGGAACAGCTGAATTCCTCCATTGTGAACCAGTATATGGTAAGAGCAAAAACTTGTTGAAACATATTGAGAGTATTTTTGACTAAATATATGATTCCTCATAGAAACTTTACCCAGGTTAAATTTATGAAAAATATATATTTCAGTATAATATTGTTCACTTCCAATTTCATTGTCATTTTTATTTGAGAAGCAGCTGTAAAACCGTTTGGTCTAAATATGCTAAACTGCTGAAACTGTGAATATATGTTTGAGACGAGGGTACTAACGTGAAAAAAATCGCTATTATTATTATTATTATTATTTGCGCGCCTGCTGCGTTCCTTGGGCTTGGTAGCTGATTTTCAGGCTCCTTCTCCGCGAGGGAGAGGGAATTCATATATAGAGCATTAAACGAAAGAAAAAATGTCATTGGCCTATTCTATTAATACTATAGACTATAGACCATCACTTATTGAGACTCAAACTAGAAGCTATAGGAGTGTGGTGTGGTGGTGTCGCTCTAGACTGGGCAACTTCTTACTTAGACAATCTAAAACAAGCTGTTGTATAAGATTCCATAAAATCCAAGACAAGAGAAAGTTATTATAAAGGTGTACCTCAAGGCGCCATTTTGGGGCCTCTTTTCTTTATAATCACGAGCGACATAAAGAACACCTGTGTTGCTGCAGATCAAATCATTCTCTATGCAGATGATACCGAATATTTTAATGTCCAGAACAAATTATGAACAACTAGTAAAGAATGGTAATGAGGCATCAATTTCACTCAGTGACTGTTGTGGTAAAAACGGACTAGCACTAAACACCGCTAAGACCTATTATATTCGAGTCTTACCAAAAAATATGAATCCTGAAATGATCTCTACCTAACAGTCAATGGAAAATCGATAGAAAGCAAAGAGAGTATGAAGTTCTTAGGTGTTGTGCTTGATAGGAATCTTTCATGGGAAAATCATATCACCACTTTATGTTCAAAACTCAGCAAACCTCTGTAATTTCCTCGTTGATGTTATTAATTTTTATACTAGTGAAGGTTGGTCTATTAACTTCTGTTGTAGAGAATCATTATTATTATCAAAGAATTGAATAAAATATACGTTTCACCTCATATTTTTCACTTTTCTCATGTCAACACTCAAATAGTCTATAGTATGACCAAAAAACTTGTTAATATTTTACAGCTGGTATGTAAGTGAGCTGTTTGTAATCATAGACTTTAAGTGTCTTTAGCCTTTAGTTACGAAAACGTATACCGCCAGATGGCAGTGCGATTTCGCCCGATGAAATAAATACAAACTCCTCCCTAATTCTAACTTGACTAGAATTAAATTTTTACGGCTACCTTAAGGTTTTTTTTACATGTGAATCTACTTTCACTGGACATAAATTAAATTAATTTTTGGAATGACTTATTGTGTTATATTTCAATTGTTCCTAAGTTTATAATTAAGACTGTCAAGTGAAAATTAACACTCATACCTAAATTCCAACCATCATTCTGAATTTCCTGCTTTTTTCTGAAATCCTAGTTTTATTTTGAATTTTTATCATGAAATCATTTAAATTATTTCAGAATTATGACTTTCATTCTAGAATTTAACCTTTTCTAAATTCTAAATTTATTCTGAAATTGCTGCTATTGCAAAATTCCGAATTTTGTTTTCGAATTTTCATTTTTTTCACTCAAAATCATTATTTTCCAAAATTACATCACTTTGAAATATTTCTTTTGAAGTTTTTTTTTTAGTGAAAGATTATTTTCAAATTTTATTTCAGAATTTCTCTTCTTTCTAATTAAAATCAATACTTCCTTTCCCTAATTCACTTTGAAATATTTCTTTTGAAGTTTTTTTTTTAGTGAAAGATTATTTTGAGTTGGACTTGTACTTTGTAAGAATAAACTACAACTTTTAACTTGAACTGCAATGCTATTAAGTTTTTTTATTATTATCTCAGATGGGTTGTATTGCTTTCATTACTTTAATCATACTGCTTCAATATTTACAATTAATTTTTGAGTATATTGAGTTCTTGAGAAAAATACTGTTGAAAACGATTTAATAATTTTTTTTAGGGTTCCTCCAAGATTTTGGGTACGTCATCTTGGCCAAATCGAAGGAGCAACTTTTGAATAAAAATTTCAACTTGTCTCTGGAGTTTTTGATCATTTTGGAAAAGGAGTTACAGACTGTCAACATGAATGTCACGAAACTATTCAAACTGGTCAGTTGGGAAATTCTGCTCGTTCAAATCACCCAACTTTTGGACCAGTGGCCGAAACACACTGTTGGTATGGTGGGCAATGAATTCCTATCGAAGTGTGACTTGGTCATAATTGATATTTTTCAGATAGAAACGCCCTGGCTGACGCCTGCGAGGTTTGTCTGCAGACTACCGACTCTGTGATTCCCAGAACCGAAGTTGTCGAACAGTGCGCCATTTGCCTACTAAATTTGGCTCGTTGGGACTTCCTGATCAACCTCGAGAAGAGATGGACCACTTTTGAGATAACTTCCGCCATCGCGCTTGCTTGCCAAGAAATTTTGAAGCAAAAAGGAAGTAAGAAGTTGTCGAAGAATCTCTGGGAAATAGGTGAGAAGTTCTAGCTCCGGTTACGAATCGCTTCTAATCGTGTGTGGTTTCTTTCAGTGTTGCCTGTTTTTCTTTCGAATCCCCAGTCGAAACGAAACACTTCAAGTTACGACATGTCCAATTTGAAGAGCAATTTGCTGTCGGTGTTCTTCAAATTGAAGGATTCGTGGTGTTTGTCAGTGGTGATTTCTCTCCTTACCAAAATGTTCAACGTCCTCAAGGACGAATGTAGTCTAGAGCTGCAGGTCGATTACACCAACCTTTGGCCTGCAGTTGTGAGCAAGTGAGTCTAAAATAATTCTGGTCGAGTTTTATAATGAAATGTTTTGTTTTTTAGCGCCAATTCATACAGCTCAGAGTCTGTGTGTGAGTTGTTGTCAGAAATAGTGACGCGGGCTCTCAAAGATTATCCCACGAATGTACCTTGGCTTCGACTCATGGGGGACATCAATTTTGGTAAGGAAAAAGTTTTCTAGGTATCAGAATTGAAATGGGTGAGAGACATAGATATGAAAGATTAGTTATTCTATAGAAAGAATTCTTCTGCTCTGAATAAAAAATAAATAAATTTCAGCGAATGGACACTACAGGGTGTCCCTCAGCTTCTACCTCAAGTCTCTGCTGATATCACACGACTACTTCAACATCCCCATCCACAACGACGACCACGTCTTCAGGAGGATGATAAAATGCTGCACGACGCTCGGGTGTCACACACAAGCTGCTGTCCTTTGCCAGTTTCTCGAAGAAACAGACTATCTGTTGGCGTTTCGTATACTGGCCGATCAGAAAACCAGCAGTGACGCTGTCGACGCCTACTACCACTGCTTCTGGGACCCGAGTATCTTGGAGTATCTCATCCACACGCACCACAAGAAGGGGGAGTATCAGAGACGGAAGAGCGCCATTCAGGTGGGTTTCACGGTATTGTATTTGAAAAAAAAAAGATTTTTTTTATTAATAACTAATGTTTTTTATTTCAATTATGTCTGAGCGAACGTGTTTTAAAGTTACCATCATCGACAACCTGGGAAATGTGTAGTCTAAATTTCAACTTTTTGCGTCCTTCAAAAAAGTGCTGTGAGATATTTTTGCAAAGCCAGAGTTCAAGATTTCTGTTGACCTCTTTTTCCAGTACATCATCTACTTCCACCAACTTGTATTTTTACTTCAGAGGCAGTTTGCCTCATAAAAAGAAAATACAAGGAAAATATTATTCCATACTTCTGTTACTATTGTTTTATAATACTTTGAAGTTAGTTAAGTCCTTAATTATAAACATTTATTGATTCTTGGAACAATGAACTGAATTGAATTTTTGTTTGTGTTTGTGCAATTTCTCTGTGGTTTGTATATTTTTTGTTTTGACTTGTCGATGAACCTTTTTGAGGTAGTGTGCAATTCTCTATTGAAAATCACAATCATTCTATTATTATAAAGTAGCTGAATCTGATAAGCTTCAATTCTCAAAGATTTATAAATGACATGCCCTACGCTAATTGCACACACACCGATTTTGGACGGCCGATCGAGAAGTTGACTCTAGTAATATGGCTGTATACAAATCTAGGCTGAAACAATACAAGAATAACGTTTAGCAAAAAAAGATAGTTACTTTTCCGCTAAAATTGACAATGCCAGTAACAAAACTAAAGAAACGTGGAATATAGTAAACAACGAGTTGGGAAGAAAAAGAAAGTGTTATGCTGATAATGTTTTCACTCTCCATCATGAATCAGCTGTGGTTAAACACCCTTCTGCTGTAGCAGACCTATTTGCCGATCATTTTACAAATTCTGCTAAAACGGTTATTTCCACACACTTAGGTCAAAATCTAACATCACCTTGTACAACCAGTCCAAATGTTAATATTGTACACTCATTTGAGAATGGACCGATTACTGAAGCTGAAATTCATGCTGCATTGAGATTAATGAAAAATAAAAATTCGAGTGGATCAGATGACATGTCGATACCAGTTGTTAAAGAAATATTTGACCTTATTGTATCTCCGCTCATTCATCTAATGAGTGAATCCTACATGCTAGGCTACTTTCCAGAAGAGTCCAAGAACGCCTTAGTCATTCCTCTTTTTAAAAAAGGAAATAGAAATGACCTGAATAACTACCGACAAATTTCATTACTTTGTTCTCTTTCGAAATTGTATGAAAAAGTTGTGGCTACTAGAATAGTGAATTATTCAGAGTCAAATAATATACTATGTAATAATCAACATGGATTTAGGAAAGATCGTTCCATAGAAACCGCTGCCTATGAATATCTCAACAACATATACTCCAATAGTTTTGTAATTAGTATTTTTTTTTTATGTGTCAATGGCATTTGACACTGTTTCATCAGATTTTCTTTATATAAAGTTAGAAAGGCTTGGGTTTTCACATAACATACTGACTTGGATAAAATCCTATATGAGTGGTCGGCATTTGACAGTCAAATATAACAATATTGTGTCCAAGGAACATGATGTGACATTAGGAGTTCCTCAGGGATCAGTACTGGGACCTTCACTTTTTGTGGTATTTGTTAATGATTTCTCAGAACATGTTAACAATTGCCACATAACTATGTTTGCAGATGATACCACAATGACAATCACTGTGTCTACACTGGAAGATGTATTAACAAGAGTCAAAGAGGTTATTGATAGATTTACGTCATGGTGTGGATACAATCATTTGATATTAAATACCTCCAAATCTGTTTCGATGAAATTTTATAATAGAAAAAATAACATTCCAGATGGAGTTGATATAACTGATGAAATAGCCATGGCACATGATGTTAAATTTCTAGGAACCATGTTATATGAATCTTCAAATTGGGATCTACATATTGATGAGGTTTGCAAGAAACTTAATGCAGCATTCTTCGCGATTAGGCAGTTGAAATTGCTTGTAGATAAAAAAAATATCTTAAGTATATATTTTGCAATGGCATATCCGCATATTTCCTTAAATATAATGTCTTGGGGATGTGGTAGAGATTTCAATAGAATATTTGTTGCCCAAAAGCGCACTATAAGACTGATTTTTGATATGGATTATCGTGATATATATATGAAATCGAGAAAGGTTAATGCAGTCAAGCTGCTGGAAAATAATTCCATGAAAATCAAAAGATAAATAGATTAGTACTTTTTGATTATTCCCATATTGATTTCAATTTAAGAGCCACCGGTATATTATTATACCGGTCGTCCAAATTCCACATGTGGGAACCAGTGATAGGCGTCGATCACCGGTAGGCATGTGTGCCAGGTCCTGTTCCCACATGTAGTTCACTATTGGAATTTGAACGACCAGTATAAAATCGGCCGTCCAAAATCGGTGTGTGTGCAATAAGCGTTATTTATATCTTTCGCTGAGTTGATTGCATTAAAAAATTTCACTTTCATTCAGGTAATTGGATTATTGGAGCTGAATTCAAGTAACAATGAGGAGATTCAGAGAGAGGCCAGCAATTTGAGAAAGAGCACCTTTTTGCGAGCGCTGTGTAAACAGTATGTGTTTTAAGTTGTGGACTGAATAAAATGTATTTTTTATGAATATAGTGATGTAAATTATTTTTGTTATTAAAACTAGTACATTTCTTGCACTAGCTAAATATCAGATCCACCTCAACCGAACACTAGACGGATCTATGACATGCTCCTAAACAGAAGAGCAACTACGACAGGTAAAGATGAGGCCATAAGGTTCAGGCATAGTAAAAATCGACCAGTAAGTCCACTCCATTACATTCATAAAATCACAAAGTTCTCGGTGACCCCTCGAAACGAAGAGTGAAAATTTCGTTCTTTTACCATAGGCTTGCACTCATATAAAAACGAAATTTAATGTTATTATAGAATATTTTGAGGTGAATCACTTATAACCAACTACAAAAACTGAAAACAATATAACGTTTATTATAACTAATCCGATGCCTGTGGTACAGTCGAATCCTTCGATACTACAGCACTGAACGTGTTGGATTAGAATCTCATCCTAAGTGCAGTTGAAGGTCCCCAGCAACTCAGGCGGATCACGTGGTAGGATAGCCTACTGGTTGTTTTATTCTACTGTGGTTCAGGGTCGCCAGGGATTGCCTTTAGGATGTGACTCTACTTGATGTCCTTGATAAAAGATAATTAAAATGATAAACTTATGCAGATGACCTGGCAAGGATAACGTGAGGAAGGAAAACCTATAGTATTCTCCAAAGAACGCTAGACGTTGTTCATAGTTGGTGCCAGAGAAAGCAGATGTCTGTAAACCCCAGCAAAGATGTCATAGTCCCCTTCCTCTGGATGAGGGATCTGGTATAATCAGCATACTGAATGGTGTTGAAAGAAATAGTGTATTGTGGAAGTCCATTAACATTTAGTATAAATAGAAGAGGCCCTAAAATAGACCCCTGGGGTACTCCTGATACTGCCTTCACTGCGGGAGATCTTGAAATACTCAGTTCGTACCAATTGACTATTCCGGCTTTATACGTACTCCAATGTCTTGCCTACAGAGCGAAAACCTCGTTATGCCACAGCATCATTTAGGAATTATATAGTAGAGCTGCTGGTTGATCTGTGTCCCTACAACGGTGATGAGTTTCTCAGTCTCCAATTTCAATATTAAATAATAATTATTTATAACTAATCTGATGCCTGTGGTACCGTCGAATCCTTCGATACTACAGCACTGAACGCGTTGGATGAGAATCTCATCCTAAGAGCGGTTGAAGCTCCCCGGCAACTCGGGCGGATCACGTGGTAGGATAGCCTACTGGTTATTTTATTCTACTGTGGTTCAGGGTCGCCAGGGATTGCCTTGACAAAAGATAATTAAAATGATAAACTTATGCAGATGACCTGGCAAGGGTAACATGAGGAAGGAAAACCTATAATATTCTCCAAAGAACGCTAGACGTTGTTCATAGTTGGTGCCAGAGGAAGCAGATGTCTGTAAAACCCAGCAAAGCTGTCATAGTCCCCTTCCTCTGGATGAGGGATCTGGTATAATCAGCATACTGAATGGTGTTGAAAGAAATAACGTATTGTGGAAGTCCATTAACATTCAGTATAAAGAGGCCCTAAAATAGACCCCTGGGGTACTCCTGATACTGCATTAACTGCAGGAGATCTTGAAATACTCAGTTTATACCAATTGACTATTCCGGCTTTATACATACTCCAATGTCTTGCCTACAGGCAAGAGTGATATAATAGAGCTGCTGGTTGATCTGTGTCCCTACAACGGTAATGAGTTTCTCAGTCTCCAATTTCAATATTAAATCATATACTATATTGTATTTTTAAGTGTACTTTGTCACGTATATGTATTGTTGTATTTACTGATGATGCAAAATCCATTATTATGAGAAATTATGCAAAGAATACATTGATTGATTGTAAAACTTGAGTATGTCTGAAAAATTTAATAGACCAATTCATACTTTTTTTTTCAAAAATTTTTCGAAGGTAATCCACGTTATTATTGTGAAGGTTACTTGTGGAAATCTGGCTAATTGGATAGAAATATCTGTTATTTAACACTAATTTTTGTCTGAAACATGAAAACAACCGTCAAACATAATTTATATTTCTTCGAGAGTATAATCAACCATTTTAAAATAAAAGCTAAGTTGACCTGACCACACTCATATCAAGAAGTACAAAATGCCCCATTTATATCCTTCAGCGCAACCTAACTTGTCTTCTGCTGCAAATGTGCAGTAGTGACATGGTCATCCAACTCTACCTTAGTTGGAAAACTTTTTGAACAGACATGACAGCCAAACGGTCTCTCTTTGGCGTGGATTTTCTTGTGTTCTCTCCAACGACGTTTGTTGGTGAAGCTACTTTCACACAAATTGCAAACGAATGGATTTTCTCCCTTGTGTTTCCTCTCGTGCGCCCTCCAGTCTTCTTTCATAAGGAACGTCTGCGAACACTGCGAGCACGAAAACGGTTTTTCACCTGTGTGTGACATCATGTGTCTTTTGAGAGTGCCTGAAAATGTAAAATTACCTTGTGTTAAAAACTAAGCTGGGAAACTCCTGCAGTAATGATCAGATTTTCTTTGTTTGGGTTCCCCAATATATATTTAGCCTTTTCTCTCTTTTACAACACTTCACAGTTTTTGCACTTGTTTTGCTTCTAATGCATTTAAGAAAACCTCAAGATTTCACTGATATTTTGTTTTCATTTTAATCGGAGACACTAAGAAAATAGTAATCTCTTTGACGTGTATGAATCAAGACAGATCTATACACACTATATGCCAAAAGGGTTTAAAAAGGAATAACTTTCTTGTTTTCGAGAAAGAAGGTTTTTGGTTTTCTACTTCACCATCTTTTAAAAAAAATTGAATCTTCCAAAGGAAGAAAGCCATTAATTTCAAAATAAACTCTTTACAAAGACGAATGGATCTTACAAAGAAGTAACTTTGAAACACAAACTAGAATAAAGAGCCCTCTTAAAACAACTACTTCGTAACTATTTCGAACTAAATATCTGCTCGATAGGCTGGTTGTATCCCACTTGTAATTTTGAAAATAAAAATAATGCACAAATAATACAGTCTTTTATGTAACGACTGCCACTGTAGAGTATTCAACGTAGATTCAATAAGGGTACACTGGTTGCATCTCAAAATAATTCTCATACCTCGATTTTGTAGTTTCTGCAACTGTCCCATTTGATTTTGGTTGAATAGATACATCAGTGTGGCACAGTAGTCAAAGTGTGGCCTTATTATGCAGTTGTAACATGTTAGTCTAGCAAAGCTTGATAAAGATTTTGAAATTCTAGAGAGAAAATACATTTTCTTACATATGGTATATTCAGCATGCTTATTCAAATTCAACTGATGGTCTATAATAAATCCTAGGTACTTGATTTCATTTACAATTATGAGTTGATTATTGAATATGTTGATATCAACGTCATTAGTATCAGTCTTTCTTTGATTAGAATTTGATGTAACAATCATTGCCTTAGATTTATTGATATTCAATTTGAGTTTATTCACTTGTAGATATAATTCTATGTTCTTTGAAGATTATTTTAAATCAGAGTTTTTGTATATACATTATCAAATAAATTAATATGGCGTGAACCAGGTACATAGTTGATATCATTTATATAAATAATGGATAGCAGTGGGCCCAAAACACTGCCTTGTGGTACACCTATGTCATTCATAATTTGATCTGACATTACATCTCAAATTTTAGTCCTTTGACTTATTTCCTCAAGATAACTATCTACCCAGTTTAAAGCTTTTCCACCATAATACTTCAGTTTATTGATTAAAGTTTTTCTATTGATTGTTTTTGCAAGAAACTTGATGCAGAATTTTTTACGAATAAGCAAATGAAATTGTTTGTAGATAAGAAAATCTCATGAGTATATATTTTGCAATGGCATATCCGCTTATTTCTTTGAATATAATGTCATGGGGATGGGGTAGAGATTTTGATAGAATATCTGTTACGTAAAAACGCATTGTTGTGATAGCTACAAACTTATTCTTATAAAATACGACCTTTTTAAGTCAATGAAATAATTATTATGTAAGGGGGTTCAAAAGAATACAATGAACTACCTAATCACATAAAAGATGCGAAAACAATTAATGAATTGAAAACTAGTCTTGTTATGCATGTTATGTGACCGTGTATATCGGACACAACAGAGTAACTATTAATGTTTTGTTTGACATATAGTAACTTTACAAAAATTATCAGAGAGTAAAGTGTCATTATTCTCAATGTTTTAAAGGTAGGTTTGCAGGAGACTTCAAAATTAGCTCCTATAATAGATCTTACAGCCCTCTTCTGAATGACGAATATAATGTTTAAATGAAACTGAGCTGCAGAGCTCCAGACAGACAAGCCATATCTAATAATTGATTCGAACAGTGCAAAGTAAGTAGTTATTGCAGCGGATTGGTTAATAAGTCGTTTAACTTTTCTTATAGCAAATACTGCACTATTTAGTCTATTGCAAATTGTATATATATGTATGTTCCATAGTAGCTTGACATCTACATCTACACTAGGTCGTTTTATACATTGTAGGATATTCTGGATTCGAAAATGAGTTTTTTTTTTCATTGAGTATGAGCTTGTTTGTTAAGAACCAGGTTTTTGCTTATTCCATAACTTCCCCAAGGATTGTAGCCGGACACTCCCCTTTATTGATACTAATGCCAAATGTGGTGTCATCAGCATACATAATTGTCTCGATATTTGAGGTGAACATATTTGGCAAATCATTAATATAAACAATTAAAGAGAAGGGGGCTCAATATTGATCCCTGAGGAACTCCTCTACTTGGAGTCTGAGGAGTGCTTCTCTGATTTTCAATACAAACTACTTGAAATCGATTGGACAAGTAGGATTTGATTAGTTTGAGTGCCACTCCTCTTATTCCGTAGTACTCCATTTTCCTCAGTAGTATGTCATGATCAAAACAATTAAAAGCTGCACTTAGGTCTGTGAAGATTCCCAAAAATTGATCGTTTCTTTCAAAACTGGGACTGCTAATAATATGTCCTTTTCGAATTGAAGGGGTTATATTTTTAGAAGTGATTAATTTTTGGGAAAGAAAGTTTTTAGCTTTCTACTACTCCATCTTGATACAAAAAAAGGATGAGGGAATCTTCCAAAGAAAGGAAGGAAGTAATCAATTTAAAAATAAGTAACTCTATACATGGATGTGTAGATCATGCAAAGAATCAGACACAAACTGAAAGAAAGTCCTCCTTTCTCGTGTAATTTAACAAGACAGTTCAAATAATTAATTCAATATAATGAATATATTACCAGTTCATGAGAAAATATTGGGATCTCAGTAAAAACAACAGTTATTTATAATATAACAATAATATGTATAGAGAATCAAATTCATGCGAAACAACCTTATAGTTTGAAGTGGAATGAGTTTGAGAAAATTATGTAGCAGAAGCATTACCTCCAGTCCAGAAGAATATGACACATCCAGCAAAGGACCTCTACAAACTAGTACATGACACAAGATGTAAGAAAAAGGCAACAAAACTTTTCAGAAATGGCGTACCTCTATGCGGAAAACTCTTGGGGCAAATCTCGCACGCGAACAGCTCTGGAGGATTGTGGAACTTCAAGTGATCTCTCAAGAGACACCCTCGGAAAAACGTCCTGGGGCAGAACTCGCACTTGAAGGGCTTTACTCCCGAGTGGAGCCGCTTATGCGCCTCCAAATCCTTCAGCCGCATGTATTTCCTAGTGCATATCTCACACTCGAGCATTTTCCCGCACACCTGCTTTCCCTCGTGTCTGGAGAGGCTGAAGCTGCTGTAAAAGTTCTTCAAACAGACCTTGCACTGGTATGGATTCTCACCCATATGTATCCTGATGTGAACCTTGAAGTGCTGCTTGCGGGAGAATTCTGTAAAAGAACACTTTGTAGAATCATAAACATATTTTGGTAATAATAGCATTATTTGTACTATCTCTGTACAGTATCTTATTACCACTAAACAGTAAAAAGAAAGATAAAGAGCTTGATGGGTACTTCCAGAAAGATTCCGATTTCAGTGAATCTATTCACTTTAAGAACAATGTGCATACCGCGATTTTAAAGGTTTTGTAATTGAGATGTTTGATTCAGATTGAACAGGAACGTTCAATAAATAATCAACATGGATTCTCACAATATAAATCTACTATTACCAACTTGATGATTTTTGAACACAAAATATTGGATGTTTTGAAAAGTAAAAGGCAAATGGATACAGAGTATACAGATTTTTCAAAAGCTTTTGATCGAGTAGACCACAATATCTTATTGAAAAAATTAAAGATATTTGGATTTTCTGACTCGGCTGTAACATGGCTCAGAAGTTTCTTATGTAATCGAACCCAACAAGTTAAAGTTGGAGGCGTTGCATCGGTTATAATTCAGGTGAGATCAGGGGTACCTCAGGGTTCTCACTGCGCTCCTATGTTATTCAATATCTTTATTAACGACATTGTTGAATGTTTCCATCATACTGATTTTTTTATGTTCGCAGATGATCTCAAAGTTTACATGCCAATAAGATCACTATATGATTCAACACTAATGCAAGATGACCTATAACATCCTTTAATGCGGCATTCATTTTATCCATAGCTTTATCTAAGCTTATATCACCTGCAAATAAATTCAAAAAGCAACACACACCATCACAAACAAGTTCATATCATTCAAAAGCAGAGGTCCTAAAACGCTACCCTGCGGCACACCTCAAATTCCTGTGAGATATTATCTTGAACTCTGACTCTTCACTTTCTATGGGACAAAAAAATAGTCAGTTAACCATTGATAAACATCACCATCAATGCCATAACCTCTTAATTTCATCGAAATAATATTACGGTTAATTGTTTCAAAAGCCCTCTTCAGTTCAAGGAAAACAGCTACTAAAAATGTATTGTTATCAATCTCTTTTTATTACATGCTTCATTATTTTATATGCTTTATATTAGCTTCACTTCTATGTATGTATGTTTGTAACTCTCATTTCATATTGGGATTTGTATTTGACAGAATTATCGACATTATTGCTTGATCTATTCGCGGGCAGATGGCGCTGTATGTAACCTCCTTGATATATCGACATTATTGCTTGATCTATTCGCAGGTAGATGGGGCTGTACGTAACCTCTTTGATATATCGACATTATTTCCTGATCTATTCGCGGGCAGATGGCGCTGTATGTAACCTCCTATATATCAACATTATTGCTTGATCTATTCGCGGGCAGATGGCGATGTACGTAACCTCCTTGATATATCAACATTGTTGCTTGATCTATTCGCGGGCAGATGGCGCTGTACTTAACCTCCTTGATATAATTCGAACTCACTACATGTATTTCTTCATTTGAAAAAAGTATTTATTTTTGATTAACACGCGCCTGCACGCCTGATGTCTTATTTCTAACCCTCCTTTGCACGCCTGCTGCAAAGTAGCTGGGGTTGGTAGCTGATTTCCAGGCTCCCTCTCCGGAATCTTAAAATATCAATGGCCATTTTGCTAAACAATATACGGCTGATTGATCCCAAATTATTTTCAACACGATCAAGTATAGTCTTACGAGTTGTTCTTAGAAAGCTATAATTTAGTCAATTGGAAATCTCATATTTAACAGTGTTTTTTGAAAATCTTATTTGATGTATGACTACGGCAAGCAAAATTGACACATTTTCAATTATCATTTTGAATTGCATATGTGTAAGTTGGCGAATAAAAGCTGTGTATCGAAAATGGAGAATAAATATTATTATTATTGAAACATATCTACCTTTGGGACACTCTGGACACTTGAACGCTCTCTGTCCAGTATGCAGCTCCATGTGCGTATTCAAATTCTGTTTGTTGGCAAAATGTTTGAGGCAAGTGGTACATTGAAACTTTTTTTCGCCGTGAAGTCTGAGGTGGCCGTCCAGCTCAGATTTTCGGTTGAAGCTCATCTCGCACGTGTTACAAGAATAAGCCTTGCCGTCGTCACCGTGTGATTTCATGTGGACACTCAGATTGCTGCTACGGGCGAAAGTCCGCCGGCAGACCAAGCATCGAAAGGGTCTTTCTCCCGTGTGAGTTCTATAGTGGATGGTCAGCTGGGCTTCGTAGGCGTAAGACTTTGGGCACGAAGTACAGTGAAACGGTTTGGGATCTGGAAAAGATGTTACTGGTCAAGCGTGCTTCTCTCTTTCATTTACTATTTCTCAATCCTAATTACGGTTTTATTGGAATGAAAAATATGGATAATGCGGTTTTGCATGACATCGTTTCTGAAGACATCAAAAAAATAAAATGATGGTGATTTGAATACTTTAAGTTGCCTCTACACTAATATTTATATACCATAATTGAGACTACCTCCAACAAATTACCTAAACCTCTACCTGAGGTACCTCTTCAATTATGAAAACCTGAATTATATTACCTCACTTCTACATCAATAATAATTCTTTCTCAGTCTAAGAAAACAAGTTCAATAATGGTGATCTATTCAAATCCAGTTGGTCATTCAATAGAATGTTTGAAGTTTTAAGTTTATTAATTTCCATTGGTTCCAAATTATTTAGTTTCAAACCTTTATTTTCTATGTGCAAAATTCAAACTCTTCATTAAAGATATGATTTTTTTCTAAAAGATATTTGAATATGTTGTACTTGTTTTCTTATTTACATAGCTCATATATGATGTTCCTGGATTCGATTCCTAAATGTTCTGCCAGTTTGACCAATATATACCTTAGGACACGTTCCACACTTTAATTTATATACTCCTGATTTCTTGATTTTGGATGTTTTATCTTTATTATTTTTAACTAACCTTCCCAAGTATTACTTGTTCTATATGCAATTTTAATATATCGTTTTCTCAAAAAGTGAAGCCACATTTTCCGTTGTTTACCCGAAATAAGTTAAAACTCTATTATTTTTATTATCTAACGTATCAACGTATCAAATCAGAATGGTTTCTGTAAGCACAAATCAACCAGCTCGGCAATTTCTGATTGCCCAGAGTTTATCTACAGTGCACTGAATGATAGAAATAACGTTCTAGGACTGTTCTATGACTTCAGTCGGGCTTTCGATACCATTGATCATCATTTGTTAATCATGGAATTGGAAGGGTTAGGAGTTAGGGGTGTTCCGCTTCAATGGGTAACATCATACTTAACAAACAGAACCCAGACGACAGTTGTGAATGGTGTGAAGTCAGATTCAAGTTCTTAGGTGTTACTTTGGATAGTAAGCTAACATGGAAAGCACACATAAATACTGTATGTTCGAAACTAAGCACTACATGCTATATAATAAAAAATCTGCGAGATACTGTATTAGCAGACATCTTGAGACTATGTTATTTTGGGATGGTACAGTCTACTCTACAATATGGCGTGATCTTCTGGGGGTCGTCTTGTCACTTTGAAAGGGCATTTGTATCTCAAAAAAGGATAATAAGAACGATTTGTCATGCTCATCCAACCACAACATGTAAACCTTTATTCAAGAATCTCCAAATACTAACCCTTCCATGTTTATATATTCTTGAACTGATTATGTATATAAAACGTAACCAAAAAGAACTAATGAGGAATGAAGACACTCATATGTATAATACTAGGAATAAAGAAAAACTTCGACAACCCTATTCAAGGTTATCAGTCTGTGAAAATTCACCAAAGCATATTGGTATCAAGTGTTTCAATAAAATAAGAGATTTGATAGATGTGAATCTGAATGACATTCTATTCAAAAATAAATTGAAAAACTTTCTTCTTGAAAACGTATTTTATAATGTTGAAGAATTTTATAATTCGTGATATCTCATAATTGTAAGACTGACTATTGTATGTAAAATTTTTCTGGTTTGTTTGCGATTAACAACTTATTTGTAGATTATAATGTGTATGTATAATGCCTTGTATAACCTTTGATTGATTGATGAATAAATTCTATCATCAATAGGAAAAACGCTTTTGCGTAAACTTTTTTGGAAAGCAAACTTCGGTGTCGGATAGATCAGGAGTATACAATCTGACTTGTGGCTCTTGTCCAAAACTGTATATTGGCCAAACAGGGAGAACATTTTCCCAAAGAATTGAAGAGCATAGAAGTAGTTTTGTAAATAGAAAGACCCATTCCACATTTGCAAACCAGCTTTCAGCAGAAGGACATGAGTTCAATCATAAATACGATGTGTTACATATAGAAGAGAAGAGTTTGAAACTCAATGAGAAATGAGGTATTGATTTGAAACTTGTGAATATTGTACTCGATAAGTCGAATCGAAAATCTGGGAAGATGTTTTTCTAGCGCTTTTCCTCAAAAATTTTGGTGCAAAAATTGTTTGTGAGACATTTTTCGTTAAAACTGCTGCACATATCATGATATATCTTTTTTACATATATCATACTTCTTTATTATCTCCTCAACAACTGTTTCTTACCAGGATTGACAGGAGCCTTCATTGCTGTTTCGTACTTTTGGAATTGCGCAACTGGCTCTTGCCGATTGCAATTTTCTGAAGGTATCATTTCCTCTTCTTGACAAATGCTTTCATATTCCTGCTTGATAATGACTGTCTCCTCAGTTTCACACTCGCTCTGAATTTCTTCTTTCAGGTGGTCCACTGATAAGTTCTCTTGTTCTCCGCAACCAGTAACTAGACTGACATCTTCATTGTTAATTTGCATTGAGCTTTTGTCGACATCTTCATTAGAATTGGGTTCATTGGCATCTTGTACTAACTCAGTTTTAATGTATACAATATTTTCATTCTCCAATTTGATTTTATCTGTGGTCTGCAAAGGGTTCATTCCATCAGATTCATCAAAATCAGGTTCGACTTTTATTTTCAGTATTGCTTGTTTGAGATCTCCGTCATTATTCTTAGAAGAAATAATAAAATTTGAAAAGCCTTCAAGCATTTTAATGCATGTTATGCATATATTCTGGGGAAGGTTGTCATCAGGATCAACCTACGAAAAACATTGCATAAATATCCTAAGATGATTATACTTTATGTATTGAACAATTATTGTCAAAGCTATGGTCAGTAAATATTACAAACTGTTGAGAGCACACAGTACCTCTATTGCCAGTTTATTCTTGATAACATCTAAAAGATATTTGTGTTGCTGAAGTGGGTTTAAATTGTTGTCATGTAAACAAAATCTGCAAATGTGAGCAAAGTTCTGGAAGGATATGACATCTGTTCCAGGTCCCCTGATGACCATCTTGTCATATTCTATCTCTGCATCGTTCCGATTCACTAAGGTTTGTCTAAGATTCGAGTCATTATTTTCTGCAAGGTATACAAAATCCATGATATTTTCTAGTGTTTGAACACACTGGCTACAAGTGTTTCCCGGGAGTCCATCTTTGTGAGAAACCTGAACAAAATCAAAATTAAATTATTTCTTTTCTAGATTAGTATTTTAAAGCAGTTTCCTACTTCTCTATTTCAATTTCTGAGAGACAAGCAAGTTTTATTAAATGAAAGAAACTCAAGGAATATCAATAAAAACTACTCATAAATACTAACTTAAGAAAAATAGGTTCTGAATACCAAAAAAAACTTGCTATGAGAAAATTAATGCAGAGAGATTGAGACATTATTCTCTCTGACGTCTCAACTTGGATAATTTTAAAGATTGAGAAACAGCAATATTGCAGCAAACAGCAATTATTGAAAAACCCACTTCAATATTTGTGATAGCCTTGAATAAGTCCAATAAATACTGATACAATTCCAAAGGTTTCAAATTATTTCCCTTTGCGCAGAAACGGCAGATATGTGAAAAATCCGACAAAGATACAGGTTTATATTCATCATCTATTTCCATTTTAAATTTCCTCAATTCATTTCAGATTGAATCTCCAGTGGTATATTTGTTTTCTTTCTTCTAACAGTTCTTTTCACCTTAGGTTTGTTCGGATTCTACAAAATGCAGGTTCTAGAACATCAATATCATACGTAGTGTATACGGTGCGTTCTGGTTTTTTGAGGATACGTTCTCAGATTGATGAATCCTCTGTTCTGCAAAATGATTCGAAATTGTCCTTAATCATCATGATTTGTTCTTACTCTCGAAACTGAATTGGTGAGAGCTATTCTCGTGCCCATGCGTTTTCATGTTTTATTTGAATGTGAACGTCCAATAAACTTTTTAATGACAGCCAACTCAAACTATGATTTTTCCAATGTTGCCTGCCTGCTTGCCAAATTGAAACTCTTTATATATACGACTGATGGCGAAGTGGTCTCCTGAAACTGCGTTCCAATTAACCAAGTAATTCGAGACTAAACTTGGAATGGGATTTTTTTGCTTTCATGCATCATGTTCTATGCAGTTCCTGAACATTTCAGGATGTTGGAACCGGAACAAACTCCTTGATTGGGAAATTTGAAGTTAATCAACCTGAAGTGACTCCTTTTAAAGACTCAAAGAAGTAAACATTTGAAAACACATTGGACGCCATCAGCTTATTGATCATTGTTTTTTCCGTTAATGAGGGAAAGTTTCAATTAGTCAAAAGAAGGGCTGAATATTATTTGTTCGAATAATTCATTGTAATATTTTTTTACACAAATATGTAAGTCAGCTCTTCTTAATTAATAGTAGACGCAGAAAATATTGTTCACTGAACCAGAGTTCTGATCCATATCCCAGAAAAGCTTTAAAGAAGATTCGACAATAGCAAATAAATGGAAAAAAGAACTCAAAATCAGTGAATACTATAAAAAAGTCACATATTTTTTAATGACCTCTACAACCGAAATAATTTTACTCGTAATAACTCAAAGTTGTGTTTCAAATATCACTAGCTTATTTTTCAACCCTTGATTTTGCATCAACATTTTCGATAATTTTCTCCTTGAACAGAAGGCCATATTGTAGGATACCCTCGAATGGAAGTCAAAAGGGTGTTATTCACATCGGTATCAATGGTAAACATGTATTGAAATATGTTTTTTCTACACCCGTACTCTAACAATACACTTAATGAATCGATGAATGAAATTATAGGTAAAGTTAGGAAGAATCATAGACACATCATTTATAATATAATTAGGTTAGGTTAAGATTTTTTTATTTACTAACGCCCTCACCGGTCGATTTTTTTTCAACTTGACACTCCTGACTAAGCAAATATATGAATCTTGTATTTATCCAATCAGTTAATATAATATACCAACAACACTATTCCAAAATTCAGAATGAAAACGTTAATATAAATCTACAAAATAGAGAACAAATACATTGAAATATCACACAGTTGCCAGACTGCTTATTGATGAGCATAGACTCGCGAAAAACTATTCAAGCCTCAAATGTGCAAATACATTGAACTATCCTAGGACCGTTTTCATGTCTAACCAGAATACTTCCTAGATGGAAGTTTCAAAGGTTGAAAATTTATTTTTGGCAAGATGGTAAGAGTTGTATGAAATCTGTGTATGAGGTTCAAACACAGAAATGTTTAAGTTCTGTGGGTTCAAATGTCAAAGTTCACTGAACTTCAATTAATGTTCCATGTCATAACATTTGAACTATGCAATGGTAAACAGATAAAAATAGCATCATTCAATGAAAAAATAATATCAACACTATGGCTTTTAGTATGAAAGTATCGACATAGATGAGATCATGGCTCTGAAACGTCTCTGTGGTAGAATAGCAATTGTCACAGCTTCAACAGATGGAATTGGTTATGCTATAGCTCGAAGGCTAGCTCAAGAAGGAGCCAAGGTTGTTATTAGCAGCCGAAAAAATAAAAACGTAGAGGAAGCAGTTCAGAAACTGTGTGACGAAAACCTCGATGTGATAGGAACAACTTGCCATGTTTCCAAACCAGAAGACCGGAAAAAACTTTTTGAAGCGGCTAACAAACTGGGAGGTTTAGACATTCTTGTTTCGAATGCTGGAGTTAACACTGAAATGTGTCTAGTTCTCGACACTTCTGAAAGTAGTTGGGATAAAGTATTCGATGTGAATGTCAAGGCCTCATTTTTACTTGCTAAGGAATCTCTTCCCCTTCTTCGGAAAAGTAAAAGTGGTAGGATCATTTTCGTATCGTCCATAGGAGGGCTGCACTTCGATCAACCTTTCCATGAAGTTGGAGCTTATTGTGTTAGCAAAACAACTCTAATTGGACTGACTAAAGCGGCAGCATTACAACTAGCCCCAGAAAACATAACTGTCAATTCAATATGCCCTGGAATCATTCAGACCAAGTTTTCCGCAGCTATTACCTCACAAGAGACTTTAAAATATATTCCACTTGGAAGGTAATTCTTGGTAGATGGTTTTCTTTCCACTAGGTTTAATTTTTGGATATACATTTCATTTTCAGACTAGGGCAACCACAAGATGTAAGTGCAACAGCTGCTTTCTTGGCTTCTGAAGATGCTGCATACATTACTGGAGAAAATATCGTAGTGGGAGGTGGAATGTCCTCAAGATTGTAGTTTGTGTCTAATTTAACCGATTTATGCTACTACTACTAACTAGAACACTAAGTTTCTTTTATGTACATTTTAACATAACCACAATTATTATTCATATTTTGATTTATCACTATACTATTGAAAATTATTCCATGTAAACATAAAAAAATGTTCCAATATTTCATTCACTTTTTCCTTATAATGGATACACATTCGAAACAACTTTTTGAATTTTCTCGGGTCAATGACAGTTGTAAACGGGGTTGTTTCTAGTTTCTATCATAGAATAACTATTCTGTTTGTACCAGCACAGTTAAAAAAATCTTTTACTTTACTACTAGTAAAAGTTTCGTAATACATTTCTGTGGTTCTGTGGGAAAGACTAACATTTGAAAGAGAAAGGTAATAAATATCACATTGCGGAAAATAAAGATAGATATAGGAGTCGCTTTTTTTGGGGGGGAGGGATTACTAGAACAACAGATTCTGTTCAATATCCGTAATCTACATAAAAATAAATGAGCAACTCAAAACAGCCATATAAACTTTTCTGTTCTTTGACCACAAAACTACAGGATATCTTGCAAAACGGCACAGAATAGGGCACTTTGGACTTTTTTGACAGACGACAACTAAAAAATATGTTGAGCTCAGAGTAATAATAAGACATAGAGTAGCCATGCCAATACCAATACAATACATATAATTTGAAGCGGGTATGGGACTATCCTTTTCTGTACAACTTATTGGCGCGGTGTGGGTGGCGGGTAATGAGAGGTTATGGAGTTTGTTTACATTTGAAGTAAGTTGGACCATTTAACAGTGGCGGTTGGTTTAGTTGATAATCGGAGGGATATTATACATTTATAAAATAAATCATTTTACGTGAAAATGTATTCTGTTCGAATAGTTCCTACATAAAATCTGATTTGTTGTTGATGATTATGGAAATGAGGCCAGGTTTTCTATCACCTACTAGATTTTTATTTATGTATGGCTTTATATAATGAAGCGCATGGTTTACTGGGTTAAAATTAAATTATTTCAAATGAACTAATTCATAACAATGATAAATGTTAGTTTCAAAAGTAATGAACTTTACTTCATATAATCAGATGAAGAAATTTATTCTCAGATTTGATGAACAAGGTTTGTGAGGTCCGTTATAAATAATTTTCAATTAGAAATCATGAATATTTATAATTACGATTGAAGTTTCCTATTATTATGTGATTTCATTCAAAATTGGTATCCAGGGGTCTTTGTGGACCGACATTGTTTTTTTTCAATAATTCATGCTAACGAATTCTATAATTACGAAAAATCATTAGTGTAAATGAAAAAACTATTCAAAAATGGAAAATATGTTTTTCATATGTGTGTTATAGGTCATATTCATTCTGTGATCAACAGATTAAAAACTTTCTGCTCAATGTTCAGTTTGTATACTAGTTATTCTTGTGCAACCGGTGTTAAATCTGTTATTGCTCACTTAACAATAAGTAACTTACGTCACACAAAGAATGTGATTTCCCTTTTGGTTTTTCTTTCTTTGCATGAGGCTTTCGAGTTGCATACAGATAAATATTCAATAAGAAACGACGATTGTGATTTTTTAAATATTTTTTTCATTGGGAAATGTCAAATGATGAAATAATATATACCTAGTTTCAAACATTTTATTTATGAGAAAGAAAACAAAGTTATGCTGCCTTCAATGTAAGAATGGAAAAAGGCCTCTCTATTGTCTTTTGTTACTCTGAGGTGTCGAGTTATTGAACGTGAACATGATGAAGCTAATCGGAGAATGTAAACTTTCACGGCAGAAGATAACGTATGAAGGCTATTTTTCGGGTTTTCTAGCCTTGGTTTGCAGGCGTTCATATCTGACGTTCGTCACTGCTGCGGTAGTCTTTTTCAAAGGCAATGTGGTAACGGTCGCAATACCCGAGCTGGTGCTCTAGTTCCTGTTTCTGTTGTATCCAACGCATTAACTACTATTTCCATACTGGGCGATCTATATATATCGTTCCTAATTGTATTCCCTGTTCGAATAATTTGAATTTACCGCGTGACATTAAACAATACCAAAACAATATGAATACCAGTTCACAGTTTCCGTTTCCTCGTCTAGGTGTGAAATGTTTTATTGGATATGACTGTTCCACAGACTGTTCTCAAAGGCGGAGGAGCGGAAGATTACGCTGTCACAGCAAGTGCAAGCAATTTACGTTTATCTGTGTAGTGAAGTTTTATCTGTGGTGTATGTCTGACAAGTGAAGCTACTGTGTTAGCGAAACGCATGTAAAATAAAACATTATTTGTGGAAATTGCATGATTATTATTACCATGGATATTAGAAAAACAGAAAATATGCCACAAAAACTTGACCCTCAAAATCAAGGGCCGAAAAGGTAATAACATAAGAAAAAAGATAATTTATTAACATAGTTGGTCGAAAGGTAACATTTTGTTACTAAAACTACATTAGGGGCAACACTAGAATTTTCAATTCGGCGAATGTACATTTTTGTTTTGTCCTAAGCTCGTAGTTATCAAATAAATGCTGGCCAACTTTCTAGGCATAGTTCTCAGTATCAAACAAGTTTCCATAAACGCTCTCGCATATTTGATATGGTTGAACTCCCAGTTTTAGGTGTTGCATAAACCCACTATCACTTTGTATATAAGTAAAATAATTAGGTTTGCTGTAATATGCTCATGTCGCTATAAATTATCTCCTCATCCAGGAAACCATATTTCACTAAGCATCTTCTTTTAATATATTTTCGAAATGAATATAATGAATGAAGGAAGGTCTCTGCATTAATATTATTCCTTGTCCCGGCGTTGAAAATAAAATCTTGAGAATGACCCTAAGTAATAGTGCCATAAACTCAATTGACAAATTATTCTATCAAGTGAGCATAACAAAATTACAAAAATCAATGAAAATAGAGCTTAAAACCAAAGAATTCGTAATATAATATCAGACGGTGCTATTTTGTCCCGCCGAGTCGAATTTATAACCTTCGATAGTCAGCGTCGACTGAATTTAAGAATGATACATATAGCTAAGCAGAAATATTCATAGTGCCGGTCGAACCGATGAGTTTACTCTAGACGTTTATAAACTTCAATAAACTCAGCAGAAGTTGGTTTTGATGCCAGTTTTTTTTTGAAGACTATGTTTGCTTTGTTCAAAATGTCGTTCAAAATGTATTATGTCTTCCATACGTATTCAAAATATATCTGTTCAAGATTTTTTAAGCACTTATCAAATTGATGACGTATTCTTTTTTTATAATGTCATTAATTTGATGTGTTTCAATTCTTCCGGGTACTCTCAACTTAAACAAATTAAATAACTCCTTATCTGATGGATGAATGTAGAAACAAACACTGTTATGTACATTTGATGACTGTCATTGCGATACAATGCCTCAGAGTAATATAAAATACGCCAGTCTAAATCTGGCGGTAAAATCTGTTTTTCCGCCAACCAGCTATGTTATAAACATTGAAAAACAACGCCGATATGACGGCTCGTACCAGCGTCTACTATGAACGAGGCCTTAGAGATAAAGAAGGTTCTTCAAGGCGGACAAAGACAAGTTTGATAAAATAAAGGCGAATACACCTTCTTTTACGGAGACGCCATCTGTGGGATAGACAAAAGACTCAATCTAATGTCTTTGCAAAACCAAGCTTTGACGTCGTTTTCGGAATGAGATTTTTTCTGTAACCAAAGCACAAAAACAAAACAATGATTTGGCACAGCAGACCATTGAAAAGGTCGATTTTCGTTCGGCGGTCAATGTCTGATATATGAGGATTGAGTTTTCTGTTTATCTCACAGATGGCGGCTTTGTGAGGGGTGATGGCTCATCGCCTTTAAGTTATCATACATAAAAATATTTTATGAATCATTCACAAATAATTCATTTTCATTGATAAAAAACACTAATATTATGACAAGATTGCAACACGCTTAGTGATTATGTTACAGTAATCAAACTTTTCAAAACAACGATGTGCAACGAACTGAACAATATTCTCGGCTCATCACGCATAATGAAATATAGCATTTATGATTGATATGACACAAAGTTCAAATGATTTTCATTACATTCAGACCCTGAACTGATTCTACAGAACTGAAAAACACTGATTTAGACTAAAAACGTAATTTCTTTGATATGATGTTCAGATCTGGATCATCCATTTGGTACGTTCGGTTTCGAAAGTAAAACAAAAATTTTTGCTGTATATCTACGGTTGAATTGTCAAGAAAAGAAACTTTCACTAGCACTAGCATGAAATTACATTTCAAAGAAAATTCATACAAATAATTTTGAGTGGATTGAACATATGTACAATGGGTTCAGGTCTGAAATAAGTATGTTTGTAGATATATTATATGCCTTTTTATATCAAAAAATATTTTAATGATCCGAGTTGAGTGTTCTGTGCTGATTTTCTTTTTAGCATTATAAAAGACCCACTTTTATCATTTTGAGCCATAAAATCCACAAAACTATGACGTCACTGCTGAACAAACTATTCCGGTTAGGTCTCTGTTAATGAACACAACCCCTGTGAATTGCTATATTAATTGACCTACCTAATTTTTTAAAGTTCGCTTAAAAACTATATTATAATTTTTCATTGAACTTCACGCCAATTGAAAACTGTTGTATTAGGAATTCAAATAATATAATTTCCAATACTTGTGTCCTCCTACAATACATATGTTTGTGTTAGTCATCGCTATCACTATCGCATTGGCGGAAAATTCGATTCACCGTTTTTATTGGTCAAAAACGTTTCGTACATTTCCGTATCTCACTTCGGATCCTCCAATCGAAACGAGAGCGTCTGGATTTATTCCAGAAATTTCATAGGAACAAACAAGGCCAAACAATTGAATGATATATTTTCTGGAATACGAATAATGTCCTGCCAGTTAGGACTTAAAAAAAAATGACACATCGACTAACGTTATTGAACTTTCAAATCTTGTTTTCATTTAAAATAGCTGTCATCGAAATGAAAATTTCAAATTTCGCGCTTTTACCAGCTTAAAATCGTCGGAACTCCAAGCGGGTTACCGTCGAACTACAGTAGTGTCAAGTTTTTTCGGTCGTGTGATATGCTCAAGGTGTGACTTTAGCGTGTATTTCAATCATATTGGTATAATAAATCAAAATAAACCGATGGTGACGAAACTATAAAGACTTCTGGGACTGCTATTGATGGATCCTTCGCTATCCTGGTTTCAACCGGAACAAGAGGGACCCGCCAAGCTTCTGTGGCTTCGCATTTGGCAGACTCAACAAGAATTCGATAATATGAATTTAAAAGAGGGTGACAGTGAAGTGGAAACATTCACGAACGGATTTACGACGCATAACGCCAACATAATGAACGGCAAGTCAGATAAAGGCCCCATTATGGCAAGCAGAAGGCGGAAAGATGCCAGGTCCACAACTCGGGTGGCGTCCCGAAAATTGGAGCATAATCATGGTGGATGTCCTTGGAGACCTGTAGATTTTCCATATCAGAGGGGCATTATGGGGTGAGTCGTGAGAAAGTGCCAAAAACGTGGTCTTATAACCAAAAAATGATATCGTCCGACTTTCTGTATTTAACTCCCACAGCTGTCATCAGATGGCCTTGACTGTCAGTTATTTGACAATTTGGGCGATATAGGGTGTCGGCAAAAAATGCCGCGGGAGATGCTTGTGAAATGTTTTGCTACTACATAAAAACTCACTAATATTGGGATATTTTATCGGGCCCATTTTTTTGACCTTGGAATTCCTAAAATCTGTAAAAAGATGGTAGGCAGAGTACAAGCTTGACTACTGCTGTTAGTACATTCTTGTGGAGATAAAGGGTTGTGTGCACTTCAAGTTTTGTATAGTTCTAGTGAAGTTGATAAATATTCAGGATGAAGATGTTTTTGAGACCAGATCCTGTGGGCCCCTACGTGGACCCCTTCACCGATTTTTGTCTCTTATTGTAATATATTTTTTTGGTTACAATTTTTCTATGACATCACTTCATTGATGTAATCTTCATAATTTATCAGTTATAGTCATATTTATGATGGGGAATCCCATGAAATAAGCGTACATTTATTTATTTACAGAAATTGGTTTCTTTTGTAAGAATCTGAAAAATATGACCCAACTTCTTAATTTTTTTCATTCTCCAATAAGTTGTGTGCCCTTTTTTGGGTTCACCTGTCAGCAATGTTTGGATTCAGCTAGATTTTTTTTTAGTTTGCACCAAGAAATTGAGCATTTCTACCATTATATGAGTCCAACGGAAGCAGAACATCAGATCAGAGCAGAAGTTGTCCAACGTATAGAAAAAATCATCACTTCAAAATGGAACGAAGCGAAGGTCGAAATTTTTGGATCATATCGCACCGGCCTCTACTTACCTACTAGCGATATAGATCTGGTTGTAATAGGTTAGTACTCGTTACTTTATTTTTCGTACTTGAAATTTTATACAAAAGTACAGGACTCGTATGACTAATAAAGATTCACATTCTCCATAAATGTGCAGCCCGCTGCAAAAATACCAATCACTGAAAGAAATTGAAATGATAATTTAAAAAAAAAACAGGTTTTAACTGAAGATAATATTCCACATAATTTTTTTGTTGTTCCCTTTTGCAGCAAAGATAAAGCATATAATTCAAGGAAATGAAATAAAAAGATTTGACTGCAAGAAACTAGGATTTTTTTTTGCAGATTATGGTAAAAAAACAAAGAACGAGATTAAATATTTAAGTTCTTTCAGGGAAATTGAATGTTTTTATGACTTTATGTTGTGACCATATTTTATGGAATTACTGTCGAGTAGAAATCTGAAAATAGATTGCAATTTTGGTAATTTTATATCTTGTTGCTGGTGCGGGTCACCTTTTATGTATTCACAAAATGGAAAAAAAATTAATGAACTCTTATTGTTTTTCAAAATATTCACATTTTAGATTAATATGCTTTTGAATGCTTTGAAACCAATTGTTATATTTAGTCAAAGACTAATAAACAGTATAGTGGGTGATTATTTCAAGATGTTGATAAAATACACAAAAATACAACACGTACATACAGTTTTACACAGTTGAAAGAACTAAAATAGATAGATAGATAGATTCGTTTATTCAACTACGTTACATAATGTATTAAAATTAAAACAGTATGTTTACCTTCTTCAAATCCTTTTATAATCGCGGCGACAATTTGACACTGTTGATCTACCTGCACGAAAACCAAATTGGTGTTTGTGGAGAAGATTGAATTTTTCGAAGTAGGCACTTAAACGGTTTTTTAAAATTATTTCAATAACTTTGCCAAGAGTACAGATTATAGAGATGGGTCTGTAATTTTGAGGGTCTATATTATCACCTTTTTTAAAAATAGGCACCACTTTAGATAATTTGAAAGCAGTGGGAAATACACCTTGACAGGAACATTCGTTTATGAGAATTGTAAAATGGTTCAGAATAATTCCAAGAGAATCTTTTAATATTTTGCTGTTGATATCATAAGCATCATAGCTATTTGAACGACCCAAAGAAAGTATTGCACTCTCAACTTCAGCATCCGCTGCAGGTTCCAGAAAAAATGAGTTGCCTTGAACTGGCACGAATTTAAGGTAACTAGATGCATCAATGCCCTTGGATGGCAAGGAATGTATAAGATCGTTAGCAACAGTTACGAAATAATTATTTAAGTCATCTGGGAGAATAATGTCTTTGTTATCCGTAGCATATGAACGGTTTCTCTCGTAGTTGATTATTTTCCAACTATCTCGAGCTATATTTGCCGAATTTCTGATGACATCATTATAGGCTTGTTTTTTTATCTCTATTATCATAGCTCTGTATTGATTCCGGTAATTATTGTATGCTTCTTTATCTGCAGGGTTTCTGGAAGTGGCAGCAACCGTAGAAATAGCGTCCAGTCGCGCTTGCATGTGTCTGAGATTATCATTGAACCATTTAAATGGCGTTTTATTTGAAATATTGACTTTAACTAATGGTAATAGCGGTTGACAAGATTCTCTAATGAAGTAATCAGAAGATTAGCTAAATTATCAACATTAGGCTCGTGTGTATAAAAAGAATTCAAATTTATCTGACAGAGAAACAATAAACGCCTCGGTATTTCTTTCATTCATTCATTCATTCATCAAGTAAATTGTGAATGCATAAATTTCATACACTCCAGAGATATTCTTTCAGAAAAAAATGTATTTTTATATAAAGTATTTGGCAGAATCCATAATGAGTTATAATATAATGGCATGGAGTTGTACTTTCAACAACCACACACTTTTTTCAACAGATCATCTATATCTAGAGACTATTTACTTTACATAAGATCATTATATAGTTACCATGGTTTAGTATGGATGTTCTCTAACTTGAAAAGGTGTACTTTTGACAATGAACATATTTCTTATCGCTAACTATTACATTATTTTATAAAAATAATAGTGTGAATTTCAATCTGCTTGTAATTTGCATGAAAACTTTTTCCATTTCCAGGTAAATGGTCGAACTTGCCCCTGCGCACTCTTGAACAGGAATTTTTAGAAAAAGACATAGCTGTCCATGACAGCATAAAAGTTTTAGACAAAGCGTCTGTTCCCATCGTGAAGTTGACTGACAAAAAGACGGACATCAAAGTGGACATTTCCTTCAACATGTCGAACGGAGTCAAATCTGCTGAACTGATAAAGACGTACGTTGAAAGGTTCCCTGTCTTACCGAAACTCGTCTACGTCCTAAAACAATTCCTGCTCGAACGTGACTTGAACGAAGTCTTCACGGGAGGCATCTCGAGCTACAGCTTGATTCTCATGTGCATCAGCTTTTTGCAACTGCATCCGAGACAAGAGAGCATCCGTACTAACAATGCCAACTTGGGGGTCTTGCTGATAGAGTTTTTCGAGTTGTACGGTAAGAAGTTCAACTACATGAAGACTGGTATTAGGATACGAGACGGTGGACGGTATCTGGATAAGGACGAAATGCAGAGGGAGATGGTTGATGGGCACAGGCCTAGCATGCTATGCATCGAGGATCCACTACAGCCTTCAAACGATATCGGCAGGAGTAGTTACGGAGTGCTTCAGGTGAGTTTTCAATTCGTTATTTTATTTGTTTATTTTCGACCCGAGATCGATGAACTTGGATTCGTTTTCCACAATTTCTACAAGTGTGTCAATTGCTAAAGGAGGAGAAATGAAATTCTTCATCTTTGTTTATTGAATAATGGGATGTCCTTGAGTAAATTGAAAATTTATTTCTCATGAAACTCGCATGTTCATGTTGTGAAAAAACACTTAAGAACTTTCAAGCGACTGATGAATTCAAACTAAAATAGATAACAACTCAGAATCGAAGGTAAAACAGAATAATGATTGAAAGGGGAAAGAATTATTTTGGCTTTCCACTTCATCTTCATACAAAGAAAATCTTCAAAACATTCCCACATTTTTTAATGTATAAAGATTTTTTTTAAAATTGATTTATTGAATTAGGATTCCCTAATATACATGTATTGATTATATTGAGGATTGCATGACCAGCTGTTTCAAATACATGCTTTAATATTTTAGAATTCAAGATTTCATGGATACTACATTTATTGTCTAATGACCCAATTATATCATTCAAATCTCTTAAGGTAATCAATCTGAAGGTGCTGAAGGGCAAATATAAATTATTACCAAAATTGAACCATGGTTCGGAATTCTTAATACCTTGGACTACATGTTGGATGCTGTTTACAAAGTATAGGTTGAAAGTTTCAGCCATGTCAGGTTCACCTTTTTTAGTACTTAACCCATTCATCTTCAAATTGGATTAGGTTAGGAAATGTATGTTGAAAACAAGGGTTTTTAACGTTTTCCACATCAGAAGATAATTATTCTTGTATCTGTCTATTTTATTATGATAATACTGAACTTTCTTTATTTTCAATGAGTTTTAATGAAGGAAGCATATTATTTGTAGACTATTTCTATATGTATTTGACATTTTTGGTAAAAAAATCAATTTATTATCATTTATTCATAACCGTTATCATTCCAGGTCAAAAGGGCATTCGAGTATGCCTATATTGTCTTGACAAGCGTAATGCATCCCACATTAATGTACAGCAACTGTGCATACTCAACCATCCTCGGCAGGATAATTCGGGTGAGAGAGAATGTAATCCAGCAAAGGCTAAAGGTGGAGGAAACGATAAGGCAAAGGCCGTCGAGGTCCTCCAGCATCGGATCTACCGGGTCCAGCGCAGAGGACAGTGGAGGTAGCTCAGAGGTGAGAACTTGCTAATATTTATTTATTCGGTATAAACGGAAAAACCCTAAACTATGTCATAAAATATACATGTATAAAAACATACTTGAATCCAGAAACAGTTACAAAATTCATACGAATATTGAAGTATACAAAATGAAAAGCAGCTTAAAAACTAAATGCTAAATGAAACAATTAAAACCAACACCAGCACTAAAAACTATCAAACATACAAAGCATAAATTTATAGACTAAATATATAAGTGACTGCAGACTTTTCCAAGACTTCCAAGGAGGTTACAAAGTTTGAGAATTTCTCATTCCAGCACTCACAAATCTTGGAAAGAAAAAATTGTACCCAAAGGGTACATTTGAACTACTCGTGAGATGCTTTTAGTTTATCTCCAAATCATCCATCTCAGCATCCTTTCCTTGTTTTGATGGAGTGAGTTTTGATGATTTCATTTCAAACAAGTTGATTTGGCATACTTTGATATCCTTGAGCATAAATTTCTCTTTGCAGCACTCATAAAACTTGTAAAAAAATACCCTGAGGGTACATTTGAACTACTCGTGGGATGCTTTTAGTTTATCTCCAAATCATCCATCTCAGCATCGTTTCCTTGTTTTGATGGAGTGAGTTTTGATGATTTTATTTCAAACAAGTTGATTTGGCATACTTTGATATTCTTGAGCATAAATTTCTCTATGCAGCACTTATAAAACTTTTAAAAAAAGTCACTGAGGGTACATTTGAACTACTCGTGGGATGCTTTTAGTTTATTTCAAAATGTTGTTTGTTTTGATGTTCCTATTTCAACCAAGTTGATTTGTCGTAATTGTGTATTCATAAACTTCTACCCATCCGGGATAAACCTGAAATCTCCTTTCGCTTCCAGGGCTCTGACCTACCCTCAAGAGACAACTCCCCCAACGTCAACTACATCCCTACGCGGCAGGCCCCCCAAAAAATCAGGAATATGACTTGGCGCAGCAGCAGTAAAGGCGGGTTCCGGAACAACAACAACAACAATCACCACCACGCCAACAGTAACCACAACAATCACAATAGCAATAGCCACGGAAATCACAACTCCTACAACAGCATGAAACGCAGGAAACCAACGAAGCAATAACGTTTCGAGTCAGCTGACAAGGAAGGATATTAGGCAGTTGGTTTTCGGCAGGTTCGTTTTCCACGGCTATTTTTTTGCGAATGTCTAGAGTGTTTAGCGTTTTGTTTGTCGATATCGAGGAGTATTCATGACGAAAAAAAAAAAAGAGTCCTCAGAGCGATTCACACGAGTGATTTGAGGGATTTTTGAAATTTTTTCAGTATCCGTCTGCGAGTCAACGATACGAAGAACTACCATTGGCAAATTTTTGTTTTGTAACAGGGTGGCGTGTCGGACCAAAAAAATATGCATATATTTTAATATTAGTTTGAAAGAAATTATCGGTAATTCATGAGTAGTGAATTAAAAAACAAAAAAAATAAAAAAGTTTGAAAATTCGACACGCCACGCATCTTTTAGAATGTTATTGATTCTATTTTATACCGGTTTGATATTTATAGGTTATACTTTGACCGTAAGGACACAAAATGAAGAAACATAAAAAAAAAATTGAAATTTGACAATATATACCATACAAAAATTACCTATTTGAATATTTTTTTTGCCATTGTATTCATTTGATATTTTTTTCACGGAGGAAGGAAATCGTTTTTTTCAAGAAATTTCGAAGGGCGACCGACATATATAAATCTACGAAGTAATGGCGGTGAATTTTGTTAAGATATGAGATAGAGGTGGGGCTCCACTGTAAAGTATTCGATCCTAAGCCATTGTAAATTAATATAAGGGAAAAACTGAAATGTAAAAAAAAATCCAAAAATGTAATGAAAATCAATGCTATGAAATTTATAAAACGCAAAAAAAATAACTAAAATTCGAAAATAGAAACTGGTTATCAATAAGCAGAAAAAAAAAATGAAATTGTGTGTTTCAGAATTACTATATATTCCATCTAACGTGGAATTGAAAGCTTGGTTGCGGCTGAATCAAAACGTCTTTCCAAAAAATGATTTATTCAGTTATAGCGACGTTGAAAAATTGTTTCTCATTTGTCAGGTACAGTTCACTAGAAAAAATAGGTTTTTTTAAACGAAAACAATTGGTTTTTCAAAGCTAGGTACATGTCAAATAAACTAATCTTCAAAATGTTATTCGGCATTAGTATCATTAAAAAAATTCAGTTATAATACTGAATAGTGTAGGCAATTTACAGCTATTTTTTTTTTTTTTTCAAAATAAATCAAGTTTACTGATGTTTCTCTTTTTCTGTTCTTGGATAAGTAGTCATTTAAGATGACGATACATTTTTAATATTTTTGTTCAATTATAGTGATGAAATAACTTTTTCCAGTTATAGTGATGTTGGAAAAGGGGTCACATTAATTTGTTTTTGTATAACAAGCCTTTATCAATGCTTCAGTCTGGAATTTTACACTAGAAATAATTTATCGAAACTTGAGGTTTTGCCAGTTACAGTGACATTAATTACTCTCTCATCTGAGTTATAGTGGCTCCAATAAACTCTTTCCAGTTATAATATCTCTCAAAATAGGTTTTAGCTACAAGATCCCATTGAATTAAGTTTCTTTTTATAGGAAGTTCCTGCTTCAGTGGCAGAAAAACGTTAAAAATCATTCATTCACACTGAAAATTTTGTTATAGCGACATTAATAACTTTCTTTTCTTCGTTATAGTAGCTTCAATAATTTTTTCCGGTTACATCACTTGAAACAGGTTATAGTTACAGGGCCCCAAAAAATAAAGTTTCTTTCCATAGCGAGTTCTTGCCTTAGTGGCAAATTATATGTTTAAATTCATTGATTCGAACAGAACATTTTATTATTGTGGCAATGATAACGTCTTGTCTCGTGATACACTTTCACAAAATTTATGAATTTTTTATTCAAATCGCAACTTTTGATACCTTCAAATTGAAATTGTAAGGGACATATCACTATAAATTAATCGTGGATTTCAAAAGCGGTTTGAAATTTTAAAATGTATTCGAGTGGACTGTAACTGATACAATAGAAATTATTTTAAAAAGAAATTGCTTTCAATTTCACCCCCAATTCTAGGATAAACCTTTGAACGAAACTATGAAAAATAACCATTCTTTACCCATAAACCTAGTGATATACCGTAGATTTTTATATGATCGGTTCTGCCCTTATTGATCCACACTAAAAAACCTCGACAACAATGGCTTTTTTTTAACAAGTGCCTCGATTAGTTGTGCAAAATTTCCTTCTTTCTGTCGCGTACCCCGCAAACTTACTGTTGTAATTTATCGTGGTACTCGACGGTGCAAGACGATTCCTCATTGTTCGATAATCGAGGCACGACGGAAAAGACGACCACGACAGAACGCTCGCTTTTTGCTTGTATTTTCGTCATGAAACGAGTAAATAAAGACACTCGGTATATCTCGAAAATGTTGCCGTTGTTTCGTCATTGATCCCTTACTGGGGTGCAGATTCTATGCCAGATTCTATATTCGACGGTTTTTATTCGGCACTGAGCATATAGTGGCGTTGCGGTTATTTCAGTTTTTTGCTGCAGAATTTTTGAAATGAATTGATATGCCAAACACTTGGCCGCAAAAGTTTCGTAGTTCATAAGTTCTCAAATTCAAGCTCATTTAATTCCAAGTAAATTTTTAAATTACTAAAATCTATAAAAAACATTAGAAATGATAAAGTCGGGATTTCATTCAGTTATAGTGACTTTGAAAATCGTTTCAATTATACTGTGGTTCAGTTGTGCTAAAAATTATGAATTGGTTGATTTGGCATTAAGTTGATCAAAATTAGAGATGTTTGAAATGTTTAGACATCTGTATAAAAATAGTGATTGTGAAGGTTTTTCAAAATTTTGAATTTTCAACATTATTAAAAAGAGTTTTCCAAATTTACAACTGATTTAGATGAAAATGTTTATTCACAGTTGAAAATATTAAAAGCTTTGTAATTCACTACAAACTGTAGTTATTTTAATACATAAATTTCTTAAAACTGTTTGTAAATTAGTATTTCATTCAGGCATAGTAAATTTAACAACGATTTTGAAGAATTTGGATATCCATACAACAAATCAGTCAATTGTCAGAAGAAAACTACATCTTATAGACAAAGTCTCATAATTATTGTTAATTGCGAAAGTTTTTCTGTAGAACTTCTTTAAAAACATGCAAATAAATAGAACAAACAATATAAATAAATTCAAATATACAAATATATAGTTTTAAATCCCGATTTCACAACTCAGTTTCTGTGACATTAACAAATTCTTCTAACATTGAATGTTTATTTCTTAAATGTTTACAACCAGTTTCAGTGATAATTACTTGAGTTTGAACGGACAAATTTGTAATCAATTGTAAAATTGAACAAAGGAATTTGGTATTTTTCAAATTGCAATAGAAACTTTCTGCTTTTGGTTTCATCTGCACCGTTTGCCGAATAAAAATCCATCGAGTATATCACGAAATATTTACTGCTGCATTTGTGTTCGTTTCGATGATATTTTTGGGGGGGAATTTATGTGTGTAAAGTGTAAATATATGTAATTAATTGTAAAAAAATGTGATATAACTGATAGTTTAGTGAAATATGATTTTTTGAAGATATTCGTCAGAGGGAGTGTGTCGATAAGTCGTAAATATCTCGAACCAAGTTTTCCATACCGTTTATCGAAAACCCTTTTTGTCTTGAAATTTGGCACTTGATTTTTGCGACATTTCATTTATGTGTGTTGGAACAGAGATTATTCCGAAGACAATTGGCTTTTATTTTGGTTTACTGTTCGAGTTGGACTTTTTTTTAATTCTCAGGACAACTTTTCGACAGTCTTTTTGTTAGAACTTTGTACATTTGTTAATAGATCTAAGTATTTATGTTAGTTTATTATAGTTTTTAAGAATGTTGTCTATATCGTGTATCTTATTCGAAATTTTACATGATTTGTAATAATATAGACGTAAGTCATTTTAAGTACAAATTACTGAAAAAAAAATGTAAAAATATTGGTTTACAATAAAAATCAAAAAACTTTTATTACCTAAAAGCGCCAGGATTTTACCTGTAAATTGAATTAACTGTTGATAAATATATATTTTGTATCTTGGGCGCAAGATTCGGTGTTTCATTTCAACTTTTGCCTTCCCAAAAATCCGAATATTTCTTAAATTATCCAACAAAGGAATTAAATATTTCTACAGAACTGGTAATTTTCTTCAAGAATTATATTTGTATGTGATGCGTAACGAGACAGAATTTCAAACTCTGACATGAAAAAATGTATTTGTGACAATTTTTCTCTTTCATATAATATATTGTGTAGCAATCCTGTAAATGATATCTGATTCAATTCCATAATGAAAGTTTGGAGAACAAACTGAAGAGAAAAAGTGTTTTTATACAACGTTTATATAAAAGCATTTATTTTGAAAGTACTTTTTCTTTCGTGTTATTCGAAGTTTGTGTGAAAGTAGTTTAGAGAGGGTTTTTTTCTTCCAGTTTGTGAGTCCATCAAGTAGAAATGGGATCATCTACAAAAATGATTATTTTTCCTCTGTTGATACAGTACAAACAGCAAAAAAAAAGACGGTCCCGGAATTGATCCTTGAATAACTTGCTGTGATAATTTACTTTTTTAACTAATATTCTATTTTATAAAAAAGATTTAATTCCAAATGTATTCCTATAATGGAACCACAACTATGATTTTTCTCAAATGGATTTCATGTTGTCATACCTTTGACTGATCAAAAGTCAGAGATCTCATCAACGTTCCTTGGCAATCTATTGATTAGGTGGAAATTGAGAAGTAACCTCGACATTCCAATCATAATTCAAAAGGTCAATCCTGTTGACACGTGAGTCATGTTTAAGATTACCTTCTTTTTTCATTTATGAAGAATAATTTCAAATGTAGATGAATATTAATTTTTTTAATTTTCACGGCTTCAAACAATTTATGTTTTAACTGGATATCAGAAACCCTAAATTTAAGTTAACAAGAAAATATATAGTAGGTAGATGATGTTGAGATAAAAATATTTCCAATAGAGATTGGAAACCTTCCATCTCTTTCAACGGTTCTACCCAGCAGGATCTGGCAAATGCCTGGCGGAAAACAATTACTCTGGCTAATGCCACAACGGATAGTGAAGTACATCAAAGAGATATTTGTGCAAGATTACTCAACATGTATCAGCAGGACATCGCAGAATCTTACTGCTTGGGGATGTTAGACGACAGGTGAAGAGTATGTTTGAACAGTAGTAGGTAGGAAATTAATATTACTGGAGTTTTATCCTGCTAACTTTAGGCCTATTTCTATGCTACCTACCCTTGCTAAAATCATAGAATAACTTGTTGAACAAAGCATCATGTTGTTAGTGAATAAGCATAATATTAGTAGCAGTCAGTTGGGGTTCCAGAGTATGAAAAACACGGAAATGCTATGTTTCATCTACTGGGAAACGTTTATATCAATTTGAATAATCGTGAAATAGCAGCGGCAGTTTTTTGCCGCAAAAGCTTTCAATTGCGAGGGTCATGAAATTCTGCTGCAAAAACTTTAGAGATATATCTTTGAAACGGTTCAGATCATACCTGTCATAATGTACTCAAAAAGTTGAACACCCGGACAACATATTCCATCCCCAGACAGTTACTTGTGCTGTTCCACAAGGATCGGTTCTAAGCCCAATTAACTTAGCTTTATTAACGACCTAGCCCGCATTAATATAGCTTCAGAAATAACCCAATTCGCAGATGACACTACATTATTTTGGCATTGCAAGAATGAAAGGGAACTGCAACATGGATATTATAAAAATAAGAGACTGGTGTGATGTTAATCTCTTGTCATTTAATATCTCAAAAGTTGATGATGATGCTAATTAGCATCATCACCCTCAAGCGCTCATCCACACTACATATCTACCTGTGTACTCAATTAATAAAATGTCAGCAAAATTTCTAGGATTACAAATTGATAAGAATTTGGATTTTGAAGGTCACATAAATAACNATCGCGATGGCCATCAGAAGAACCGAAGGGAACGTCATGTATCGCCAGCCCTTCTCCACTGTCAGAGGCGAGATGATCTTCCCGTAACCCAGAAACAAGTCTATGGAGTCTTGCCGGTAGCCGTCTGTCAGGTTATTCTTATAGTACCTCACGAGAGAGTTGATCCCGTCCCGAATCAATCCCAGCTGTGTGCGCTTTCCTGTCCTAGTGAAGTCCGTTTTCAGAGCTCCAGTTCCAGAGTACTGAATGCTGATGAAATCCGCGTTGTCGGCCCACACGTTCTTGTATAGCATCTCGAACGATGACTGCTCGTCTAACCTCTGATTCGGATGCAGAATATTCAGTTTCTTCAACACCACATCCAAATTTCTGTGGGCGAGCATACTTTGTACCACGTTCGTCCTATCCAAGCAGTCGATGCAGTTCGTTCTGAACACTCCGTCCTGAAGAGAGCTCAAAGAGCCGTCCCGAAGAATCAGGAAGAAGCCCATTTCATCCTGGTCCAGAGCAATTCTGTCGATGAGGATTGAGAGCCTATCCCAGCGCATCTTTCTACACTCGTGGTGGAAATCGAAAGGCTCGTATCTTGCAGAAGCAAACCCTGAATCAGAAACAGATTTATTGTAGATAGGTATAGAGAAAGTATGAAATAGTCATTATAGTGTTCCATTAAAAAAACACAACTTTGTTAAGTCACACATTCATTGAACATTCTGTATATTTATGATAATTTTTGAAAGATAGCTTTCTACAACTTTTCTCTGACACATTTTTGTCTATCTTCACTAGGGAAGCAACTGTTGTCAAGTTTGCCAATAAATATTTATGATTTAGGCAGTCATAGGCTTTTCGCAGAAATATTTTCAAATGATTGAATAATTTTCTCACTGAAATGAATTATTGCCGTTTCTACTGATCTTCCATTCATAGATAGCATATTGTTTTTTTTGTTTTCTCTCTCTTTTTTTTTTTGTTTCTACGGTTGGATGGAAGAGCAATCTCTGCGGTGATTTATCATAAGCAGATATTGAATCCTGCCATTTGATTGGTTGTAATTGTATGGAACCATCATTATTATTATTATTATTATATCCATGTTGAGAAGAACTCAACAGGTTGTACTTTTTCATAAATTTCATAACTATCACACATGACCGTCTCAAAAAATTCAGAGAAAGATGATAAAATGCTTATCGGTCGAAAATTCTCAAATAACTCACAATCTTCTTTCTTATAGATGGGTGTTATCAAAGCTACTTTGAATTGTTCAGGAAAGATCTCATCTCAAAAGAGTTATTAATTATATAGCAAATAATGCTAGCAACAAAATCAGTACATAATTTTATCAAACTAACTGGTATTTCGTCATCCTCACAGGTATGTTTGTTTTTTAATTTTCTGTGCCAAATTCTTTTTCATCTTCGGTTACAGTTTCAAGAAACATTGATTGTGAATTATTTGTGAAGTTACAAGTGAATATGGTTTTATTAAGTTTCTCAAGTAGTTCAGGTATAATGTTGAATAAAAAATAATTGTTTTTAATATATCAGTTTCACGCTTTAAAAACCATATTCTTCATCTAGCCATCTAATACTTGTTGTATTGTGTCTAGTGTTACTTGTCCGTAAGAATTATATTAGTTCATATTGTTACAAATTTTAATTTTTCTCAAATAATCTACTTGTTATCTTACTTCGAAATTGTATTATTCTTATAATTCACTTTTAATCCACTGTATTGCATCAAGTACTACATAGCACTGTACTACTTATATCTGAAATGGACTTGCCCGTGTATATAAATAAATAAATATTTCATTGTGTGAGATTTTACTGTAACAGGGCTCATCCTGTATGATAAATAAATTCGTATCTACCTAAAATACTGATGGTATCCCTGAAGGCCTTCTCAATTCCACCTTCTCTACCAGTCTGATCGATGAGATTCACCAGAACTTGCTTGCCGTAGATAGCAGTCATTTCCTCCAAGTGACGTAGACACGCAGCCTGCTGCTCCTGGGGGTCCACATCCAGAAGGGTAGGCGGTGGTTTGTACCGTAAATCCGGGTTCTGATGCCAGAACAGGGGTATGGATCCTCTTATCTGTACGAAGCTAGCGCGGTCGCCTAGGAACTCCACTATCTGCTCTGTTTCTACAAAATTAGCAACGTTCCCATCCCTGTCGATGCCCCTTCGGAACAGCCTTGTCCCTGCACGTAACACGCTTCGGCGTGAGATGATAGTCCAGCTGAGATTGTGGCCATTGATGACACATTGGTTAATCGAAACGAATCCGTGGAGTAGCGGCAAGCAGAAACGCTTGACGCCCGCGCTCTTGAAGGGTTGCAGCAAATGATTGTTCCAAACGAATCGTTGATCAGCTCGCTCGTACAGAGATTGCTGCCAGAAGTCGGGGCTGATGTCGTGCAGGCGCTGGATGGAATGCGTGATGTCATAGTCGTAGCTGAAGTAATGGAAGGGTGTGGAAAGCATCTGTTCCACCATGGAAAGGTAGACGTTGTTGTCGTTCTGCTGCTCAGCATCTGATATAATAATAACCTTATTAATTATAGTTATGAAGTTTATTGATTTTAAAAGGTCATGAGGTATGAAGTGTCAAATTCAAAATCAAAATATGTTTGACATGCATTTACATGAAAAAAACATTGAAAACTACCGTCCAGTAAGTGAAATTCTCAAATTTCTGGACTGTTTGATAACTAAAAAACTCACGTTCGATTCGAAAAACATACTAAATGAACACCAACACGGCTTCATATCTGTCCGATTCACCAGGTTCGCTTGCATTTAGAAATGACTACAAGTTTTGAGGAATTTTACCTAAATGCAACAATGTTCTATTGTAAGGCACTAGCTCGGCTTTGGCTAGTCTCCAGACAGCGTGGCCGGCGATGTACCCCACCAGGTCTCTCTGGAGGGCCACGACTAGGTAGGGTCCTGCCAGTAGATGGATCGTACCCAGCAGTCCACAGAAGTCCCTTCTGCTGCTCGAGGCAGGAATCTGGCCGACATTTCTCTGTATCGTGATTTGCTCCGAAGGTCGGTCGATAATCAAGAGTTCGTCGCTGTTTCTGGGTTCAAGGTAGAATTTCTCGGGTGTAACATATCTGTAATTGAAGGGAGGTTAAAGGTAAGTTTGTGAAGGGAGACGAGTTTTACTTACAGACTCAAGTCATTATAAACGTCCGAAGTGGTCATATTCGTTATTTAATGGAAATTGGAGTGCTAGGTTGTATAATTTCAGCTTTACCATTTAATTCTCGAAAAAAGTCAATCAATCTAACCCACATCAAAACGTCACGTTGACACAAATGTCAAATGTGACAACTAATACCGCTTTACAGTGTTGCCACCAGGTCAAAATAATTAACGGTACTTAGGCTGGATTCCCATAGCTTAATCCTTAATCCATAATTTTTGCGCTTGTTTCGTCATTATTCGATCTCAAGATTTCAAAAACTTTTTGCTCAATGTCCCTTGGTCTTTTTGTGTAAAGTATTAGGAGTTATCTTCCATACTTTTCCTAAATTTCAAATTTGTTGTCACATATTTTCAATAACAGAGAATGGTCTCTGAAAAAAAACAAAATTTAAGGGTTATTTGCTGACACTATACTTCTAGTTTATCCCCCCCCCTAAACCCAATATGCCTTGGAATGCTATGTATTTTCCGGAGTTTCCATTCCCTCCATTTGCCATTACAGCGTTTTTTGTTTCTGGAAACAGTTTTGGAGTACACTGGAAACATATTCTGCCCAGAATTATCACATTTAAACGCTATATTTTCAGATAAAGGAATATATTATACATTTTTAATGATTATCTGTAGTATTTTAGGTCTATTTACGAAAAATACTCCGGTATAACAAAACTGAAGTTTTCCGGTTTTACCGAAACACTTTTCAGTTACCAGACTATTTGCTTATATCTCAACATCTATAGACAATGACTGTGGTTTATTCGCTGTTGAATTGCTATTTCTAAAGGATATCGATTTGCGTTAACTACAAAATTTAGCGATAGATGGCGTGATTTGTTAAATGCAACGCGTTGCTTATTCTTACACAATCTCATTTGATAAAAACTAGTGAAACAACTGTTTTCTTTATCGCTTCTCGGCCCTTGGCTAAGATCAAAGTGTAGTATCTGTTCTTATCAGCTTAATATCTGATACGCCCCGCATGCGGGGCCAGTATATTAAACTTATTTTTGGAAATTGATGGAGGGTTAAGGGGCTTGCTCCACCTCCGTCGCGGGTTGGCCCGGTATTGCAGTACCGCCGGGATCGGCCCATTTAATATAAATTAAACATATTATAGGGTATATATAGAACTAGATATTATATCGAGGTTAATGTTAATATACGTTCCCTAAGAGGGGTGAATGAAGCACAGTTAGTTAGTTATTTATGAATACAATTTGAAGTAATATAAAGTACATAACGTCATTGTCTAAGGTAAATCTTCAGACAATGATAACGGAATTCCATTTTTTTTATCTCAGACCACTTTTATATATAATCACTTTGCATTAAACTTATACAAACCATAATAATATAAGTGTTATCACCGTACATTAGTGTTTACTTCAAACGGTAGTGTTGTGAACATGATTTTACATTTGACTACAAAAGTATTGTCTAAAGATTTAGTAGACATGACAAAAGTATTGACATTGGAAAAATGCCATCTATTGCACAGTAGCCGTACCACAGAATATTCTAAACTGTGACCATGTGTGACCCTACTGAATCTTTGAATATAGACTGTTTTATATACAAACATTGAATCATTGTCTAAATATCGAATCACAAATCTTTGCCCATTATACGGGGTGTTTCCTAATTTGGTTGAAAAATGTGAGAGCGTTTTCGGTAGCTAATTTTACGAAGAAAAGTTCATAACCTGAAATGCATTGTATCCAAGTGGACTTCTTAAATATGCTTCAAAGTTTTAAACCAAATTATAGATTCAAAAGAGATTTTTCTCCTGAAGTGTTGAAATATATTCACTGTTACAATCACGGTACAAATGAAAGTAATATGTTCAAAAGTGGTTTCACGGGGTTCAAGATTGGACCTATTATTTGGGCGATGTTATCGGTGTCTGAAACAAATCGATTTACTTACTTGAAACAAAAAAGCCTTGTTAAATATTTAAAATTTCCGAATTCCATGAACTGAACACATTTTAATTCATTGTTTAAATAACATGTAAAACGCGCCAAAATACTTACAGCTGCATTTGTCTATTGTATTCCCATTAACCAATGGTTAACACGTGTTTGCAAAAAAGTGTTTATGTCAACAACAAACTGAGAATAACATGAAAATATGTATTTATAATAATTAACTTCTAGTAAATAATTGATCGATAGTGTCTTCTAAAAGAGTATGTGACATCAGATTGTTTGTCGCTAAAATAGCTGTACCTAATTGATTTTTTTTCACACAAATTCAGTTATATATTAAGTTATTTTGTAGGCTTAACAATCAGTTTATTTTTGTGCGTGGTATTCTTTACAAAACATTTCCGAAATCAATATTTTTATTTATTCATTCAAGAAAATGGAATTTATGTACTACGTAAGTTGATGATGTTTATGCGTTCAAAATTTTTCTTCAATACAATTCCATGCAATGGCTTTTTCGCACTCCCGAAGAAGCCATTAGATGGCGAAACATGTGTTGCGTTTTTGTGAAATAGTTCAGTGAAAATCTCACAATGAAGTGTTTTTTGAATCTGTTAACTCATCTTTTATATTTTTCTTTTATTTTTTTTCAACCTATTGAAAATGACCATAACAATTTGAAAATATTTATCTGAAGAATAAAAACATTTTCTAACGGGTTGGAACTTGAGATGTTTTTCAAATGAAATTTCATGTTTAATTTCTTGCAATTACATTGTACCAAGTTTACATGCCTATTTCACAGCTTTTCACGAAACCTCAGTTTTGGAAATCAATATATGCAGATCCTTTTCACGACGACTTCATAAACATGAATTTCATTTTAGTGCAGCTAATTATTATTTTTTCTCTCGTGATAAAGATTCAGAAGTGATGTTGTCATTTTAATTTCGGAGAAAGCGGTGGATAATTCGTTAATGTACAACAAGAGCTATGTACATATTTTTACTTTACTTTACAATGGTGTCGTTCAAATCATGTATTACTTTCCAAGAATTTTTCCAGGATTGTCAGAAGTAGAAATATAGCTTCACTATGAAGTTCTTTCTTAATAGTCAATACCAAATTATACCTTTGTTTTGCATTTTACATAATTTGGGAAAATTACTTTTCAATCTAGAGAGATCTTTCGATAAAGAACATGGTGCTTTGACTTCTCTATCGACCATTTTTTATGTGTGAAAGCTATTTTCCGGGGTTGTTGGCCGTGACGATCTGCAGGTTTTTATGTCTAACGTTTCATCTACTACTGCGGTAGAAATCATTAAAGGCTATGTGTTAACGGTAACAGTGTCTGAGTTGATGCTCGAGTTGTTAACCCATTAATCTTCACGTCTGTTCTCAAGAACATCCAAGAGTCCCTAAACTTTCTCGTTTCTCGATTTTTTGGGATTTATAATAACAATTTCTGCCTACTGAATGCCCAGACAAAGCATAGAAAAATTACTCTGTTTGTTTTTTCCAGTCCATCTTCTGCATTACTGCTGCCCTTTCAACCCACAGTCAACCAATTCCCGATGGCTCAAAAACAAACTTAGGTCTTTGGAACACTAGAGGCGTACTTCTTATACCCCTGGAAGCAATTGTATACGAAAAATTGCCAGTCCACAGAGTAACCAAGCGACAAGTTGTGCCTGACATAGGAACTATAGACGATTCTGAAGAGGAAGTTGTTTTTGACGCCGAAAACTTTGTCGAGGACCAACCCGTCAGTGATTCTTCTGATGATTCTGGGAGATATTTCTATAGACATTTTCGGCCGGTGCATCCCCTATCTAACTACGCTGATGGTTATGACGAATTTCCCACCACATTTTAATTGCGACCAGAGGGATTCTGGAAAAAACAGCCATACAATCCAAACATCTGATTTTTTCAACTATGAAAGTGTGTGATTTAATTTTAATGTTATATTTATTAATATTAGTAGTCTTTTATATATTTATGTTATTCTAGTCATCTTTCCAAATGTATCAATATATAAAATGGTGAAAGTAAAATACTTCATTTAGTATGAATTTGATTGTTAATTTGTTTGTCGAGACTGGGAAGTATCACACCGTTAGATGTACATCTATTTATAAGTCAAAACTGTTTATTTGTTAAATATATTATGTAAAGCAAAATTTCACGTATTTTTCAACCTTCCTGTGAAATTATATCCAATTAGAACTATTACACACTTATTGTGAACTGAGATATATTTTCTGAACAGAAATGTTTAGGGCAAATAAAAAAATTAGAACGTTTTGAAGAATATCTTTTTTTATAGTGCTACCCTCAATGAGAAATGTGAAAGTATGTCATCCTCGAAATGTACGAAAACATAGAACAATATCCGACGTGGTATTTGACCGGGAGTAGTTATTTTCTGGCATATGCCAAATCCTACCACGAAGACAAGTTCAAAGCCCTTGAAATTTTCTCTGCAGAAGTCTAAAAAATTTTAAAATTCCACCTAATAGGTGGGAAGTAGCGTTTTTCGTAGGCATTTGTCGAAACCTACTGCTCAGGTACGCTGGGGGAGATGGAGGTTTCGAAATATTCATATTCGTATAATAGGAAACGTTGGTCTGATTTAATAGTATTATAGTAATGTGATTTGATGTTCTCACAGGACGGTGAGATCCACCAAAGAGAATAGGCGGCATATAACGACCTCCATGTTCACCATATTTGTGTCCCCTTGATTTCTCTATAGAACAGACAATCTGTATCTTTGGAAGTTGAACGATATAGAGCGAAATTGAAAGCTTCGAAATGATATCTTATTCCACTCGTTTGAGTGGGAAAGTGCTTGCACGAATATATGTTGAATACAGCTGGAGTATCAAATATCTTACCAATTTAAACAATTAGTGATGAAAGTGCAGCAGGGCCTCGACTTCAAACCCGAAATTTCGACTTTATTCTATAAATTTCGATTTTAATCTCAAAATTTTGATTTCATAAGTCGGAATTTCCAAAAACAAAAAGATTATGTACTTATCAGCTTATTGTTCCTTAAAAACTGGTTCAACGTATATATAGAAATCCTAACCTCTAAGTCCTAAAAACTTCCAGAATTCTTTCATTGCACCAAATACAGTTCACAGATCATAGTTCTAGACTGTCGTACGGGAGAGACACCCACCATTAGGTTTTGTAGAGGACACCCTGTACGTCAAGTGTAGCTAAAAATACAAATGGACAGGTACATGACAATGAACACGACAACAGCAACTAATAATTGAATGTGTCAACTGACGTGACAAAATTTCAGGAAATTGTTTACACTCTTCTTTCTGATACGAAGAATGCTGTTTTGTTTGTCGCAACAAATCAAAATATCTAATTGATGAGTAAACTTCGCGGAGGTGGAAAAAGGCCAGAATATGGTATTTCTGGATTTTACTCCGTACATTCATCTGCGCGTGTGATATCTTGTTAATTCAAAAAGTATATAAACATTCTGCATAATCTGGAAAAATCGATATAAATGCCACATTGGGGTTAATTGATTTCAGGTCGTTCTGCAGTCTATAAAAGGAAGAGTCTACTCACACAGGGTTTACGTTTTTCAACTGCAACTATTTTGAGAGGAAAGAATATGAAATCAACAGTACTGGTGAGTGAGCCGTTTTTCTTTGATGAAAGTAAAAAAAAAGATTGACTCGAATTGAAAATCATTGCTGATATTTTTCATTTTAATGTGTTGTTTTTTGCAAATTGAATTTTCAATGAATGGTTAATAATGGTAACGGTTGTTGGGATAATTAGCCACCGCTTCAATCATTTGACATTGATTTTGTGAAGGTCAAATTCAAAAGTTTGATATTAAATATCAAGTATATGTGCAAGTCATCATATATACAACCATTTCTTATCTACAACTAGGTTAGTCTTCTTCTTCTCTTATCTTAATAATAATGACAAATAAGCTTTTGGCTATAGGTTAATAGTATCAATGGACAATATTCTCAACAAGTACAACTTGCATCTGACAGACACATTTTTGCAACTGGCATAATCATCCAATTAGGAATTTTCATTATTTTAATTATCGAATACAAAATGGAAAATTTACTAAATATAAGTTGCTATGAATGTGAGGATAGTTCTAGGAATCACACATTAAAAGGTAAGACCCCGTTAATCCTTGGCTCCCACAAGTTACAACTTCTGAGGGTTGTCGTTCGTAGGGGTTAACGCTGGTTAACGGGAAACAGTTTTAACAGACTGAATGTTTAAATTTGACAGATCGTCAATACAAATGTTCCTTTGTATTGACAGATCGTCAATACAAATGTTCCTTTGTTAAGAATTGTCCAAATAAATTAAGGTCAATGAAAAATTATCATTCAGAATTGTTTTGTTATAAATATAATTATTGAACTGAGAGTTGATAGTTCCGTTATTTGAAAAAACTTGTATGTCAGATCATTAACATAGAGTAGCAACAGCTTAGGGCCTAGCATAGACCCCTGTGGCATACCCATTGTTTTTTTCGCCAATTGAATTCACATTAGATAGTCTGGCTCTTGGATTCCTGTTACATAATGTTTTAAACTCACCCACAACACATTTGTTTTACAGTAACTCACTATACCTATTATATATTCATTTCTTTTTCAGTTAATCGTTTTGGTATTCATCGTAGTCTACCCCCAAGACATAAGCGGAAGAAATTTGCAACTGAACCACAGAGAACTTCCAAGTTTCAAGAAATCGCCGGTGAACTATGATGTGAGAACCTGGAAAGTTGATCCGGAAGATATTCCTCATATCCGTGTAGCCAGAGCGACAAGACGGAGATTTAACAATGGTTTCGGTTCAAGGTTCCGTATAAATAACAATGATTTACCTTCTAGTGTGAATTATCAAAATAGTTACGACAGATTTCCCACCGTGTTTTGAAGGATTTGTGAATTAAAAACTTTATACTTTGTACTCGATACAGGGACTTTGGAATACTGCCATCGATGTTATTCCGCTTTAAAACACAACATAATTTAATTTCTAATTGTAAATAAATAAAGCATTCATATCTTCAATCGTGTGGCTTTCCAAAAATGGTTTAAGTAATTCTTCAACTGGCGATCTTTGACCAAAACTGAAAAAAATGTTCATGACAGTTTATTTATTTCTGTTCGAGATGGCCTGTATGAAATCCCGCTGACTGATGATATTTTACATAAATTTGCTCATTTTTTATTAAGTTTTAATGTGATATATTTTAAGTTTTACTTTAGTTTTGTAAGCTTGTTATTTGCATTAATATTGTAATATATTTTCTTATTTGCTACTGTTATTTTGACAAATAAAGAGGTAAAGAGTATAAGAAAGAAATGATCAAGTGTTTCTTCTAGAGCCATTCTTTAATTTTTTGACTACCCAACTAAAGAAGAAACTCGCGTATATGCGACCGCGAGTTGCTGGTAATAGCGGTCGTCCAAACATGGATACAAACGATGAGGAGATTGTAGAATTTGCCGAATTAAACTCAAAAAAACGACTCGTCACCGAAAGACCTTCAAAGTCAATGTTAAATAGGGCCAACATTTCTTCCAACTTACTTACAGTTCTCACAAAATGTTTTACCAGAATACTTGAATGAGGTAAGGCAAAATATGTGGGGTATTTACAACATGGAGCTTCAGCATATATCGATAACAAAGTTATGGATTATCTTTTCAGTCTGTATCTTTGACGTTGGATTGGAAGGGGCTCTGATGCACCTATTTCTTGACCAGCCAGAAGTCCAGATCTCAACCCTGCTGACTTTTGTTTCTGGGGTTTCATGAAAGAGGACGTGTATTCTGTTGAAATAATCGGCCAACAACAACCGAGGCACCGAATCATTGAAAGTGCAAATCGATTTCGTCAGAAGACTGTGACTCGGTTTTTCTTTTGAAAGCAGTGCTGAATGAGCATTCAGAAAAAATTGAGGCCATTTTGAACATTTATTTTAGGAAATACCACACATTTGTAGATACTTTTTACACCTGCAAATAACATTAATATTCATTTATTATAACTTTATTTTTGTTACTCAAAATTTTTGCTGCATCTCGATAAACATGGCTTATCTGTAGAAACTACGAGTGTTGAACAGCCAACTGAAGAATTTTTGAAAGATAATGAAAAAGAGCCTACATCTCGATAAGAACTTCACCAATCCTCACAAAAATGAGGGTATTATATCAGGTATTGCAGTCGGTCATTCCAAGTGACCACGTTTACCTATCCACTGGTTTGGGTAATTGTCATTCCGCCTCTTTGAAATCAGCTCGTCATAACAAGGATGTCCCTCATCTTGCTGAAACCTAATATTATTTGAAAACTCATTCAGATTTGATTTTTCAAACCGGCATTCAGGCGAATGTGATCCCTTGGAAGAGCCCACTAGATCTCCTGATATGACGCCTCTAGATGTTTTTGAGGGAGCATGCGACAACTGATGTGTACGATACACAACCGTTATTCATTTCAGACTTTGTGAAGTGAGTTTTGGATATCTTCTTTCTTGAAATTATATTTATAGTTGGTGTGCAGATTTTAAAAATGAATATGAAACTACTAATTACTTGGGAACGGCTAATTCGATTTCCAACAATAAAAGACTATTGGATAGAGTATTGAAATACCTATCAAAGAAAGAGTCATCAAAAGGCCCTCCCTTATATTAAAAGTAAAAGTACTAAAAGTGATACTTTGTTCCGTTCAGAAGTTAAGAAGGGGGACGTCATTAAGAAATGCCTTGGAATAGTTAAAAACATTTAATTATAATTACGTTAATACAAATGCTCAAAAATGTCAGTCAAATTAAAACAGATAAGTAGAGATTCAGAGGCGAGAAATACATCCTGTCAATGGTGATGATGTCCGTGCCCTGAACAACAATGGCTGTTTGTCTGAGCTTTGGGAACCACTGTGGGAGGAGCAAGTCTTTTGTTTATTTTGCTCAATATCTCATAATGATAGCTCTCGTCTTCATCATCCACTGGTGATGTCTCGTCCAACTCGTAACTGGAAGAAAATCAATCGTAAATGAAACGTGCTTTCTGATTGTTTGATTCAGAACTCACTTTATGGCCCTGAAAAACCGGGAGTATTGGTTGTTTTTCAGTACCGTCACCATAACTTTCCTCATATTGTTTTTGAAAGCTATCAACTCCAGAACTTGCATCAAGAACTTTCCCAGTCCTTTCCTTTGAACCGGCGATTCTAACTGCAACTCATAGCTGAAATACATTCAATTTGAAACTGTGGTCGACAAAATTTGAAACTGTTTACATACCAATAAAGTACTTCGATACCATCATCGATATCAAATCGGAAATGGGAGAACCCCAGTAAGTTACCGTCTACTGACTTAGCTATCAGGTACCAAGCTGCCTCATCCGTCAACTCTGATAATTTCTTCTCGTCACTCCACCCCCATGAGCATTGTTCATACCTGTCGAACATAGACGTTGGTGAACAGATGTATTTATTTAAACAGAAAAGAGCTATATGATTCATGCGCAATTCCAAAAGACGAGACTCTGGCAAACCCTTGTTTGAACTACATAACATTTCGAGTCTTTGGAATTTTTATTTCAGAAACATTCTGTTTAATTAACAAACATAAACTGATATTTATCGCTACTCCAATAATTATATCCTTCAACACATCTTTTTTCATTTACTTTCTAGGAAATTTCTATTTGTTTTATGTCTAACAATATATACAAAGAAAGCCAGAAATTCACTCCCTTAACATGGTATGCATTATATGACACTCACTTGAGTTGCATATTTCTCTTAGTAAGATTGAAGGCCCACTGTCTGATATTTTCATCAAGATTCGAGCATCGTTTAACACTAAGTTCTGCTTCGAGACCATTCTTATTGAATTTTGAGAAAACTGGGAACGGTTCCAGTGGATCGACCAATTTATTGGCTTCTGCCACTACACTCATCGCCTGGCTTATCCTGTTTTGTTCTTCCTTCCTCTGAAGACGCTTTTCTTTACTTTTTGCAGTACTTGCAGCGGTTTTTCTCTGAACAAAAAAGGATAATCAACACCGGATAATTATAAAGATTGCTGAACTCACCCCCATTGTGGAACTTCGTTTTTTATTTCCTGAACTACAGCCGGTAGTTTGATGAAAAAGTAATGTGTTTGGTTTAAAAACAAAACGAGTTGTACGCGGTTAATTTTTTTTTGTTGGTTATTCGCAGTGTTGCGTTTTCCAAAGCACACTCAGGGGTTTTTTAACGATAGGATTTGGATCGTAGACACTAATTTGGTATATTATTACATTATTTGGGAATGGAATAAAATTTTGAAAATAATGAAAGATACTTTTGGTCTATTCTGCTTTCTCAATAAACTGTCATAAAGCTCGTTCAAATTGAAGATATTTTTGGAAGAGATTAGTTTTTGGGAAAGAATGTTCTTATGAAATAGGTTAAGAGTTTATTTTGAATTGAATTCCTCGTAACTTTTCCAAAAACAACAAGCTTATTTCCCATTGGATCGTTAATAAAAAAAATATTTCAATTTCAAATTCGAAACATTCACCTTTCCCAATGTCCCAAGAATGAGGCAAATCGTAGGCGGAAAACAACTATTGTCCTGGCTAATACAGATATGTGCATGATTACCCACAGATAGGTTTCGGAGTATCAACTTCTCGTCAATGCAGAAAAGATGCAACCAAGGCAGCAGTTGGCCCTGGACTCGACATATTTCATCTTTCAGCTTACAACACCATATAGGAAACTTTCGTCTGAAGCCGGTTTCAACTACTGTCGGGTAGTAATAGTTCAATTCCATGAACAAAGCGGAGAATAACAAAGAACTGATGAGCCATGTATTCATTTACAATCATACAAGAGAACGTATTTTACAATTGATAACCTACTCAAATCTAAGAATAAACTAAAAAATATTACAGAAATAATTTAAAAAAATTGGATAGGAAGTTATAAACTTTCTACAAACATATAACTTGTTTAAGATTTGATTTCACTTAACCGAATTGATATCGCAGAATGATAATTCTAATGAACGTTTTATAGAAACAATTTGTTACTCTGAGGTGCAATATATATTTGTAAGTAATAATCTCCATGGAAGCAGTGAATTAGCGCAATGATAGTGCGCTCGACTCACTATCGGAAGGTCGTGAATTCGATCCAAACCTCGACAGAATTCATCCAGTAGAAATTTGGATCATTCTGGAACTTTACGTGCCCAACGGGGCTGTGGATTAAATTGAAGCTCCCTAGGTGGCTAGTGGAGTTATTTACATCGTATATCTGAAAAAATTAAACAATATCCATGGTTTTAGCACAGAATATCGGAACTACAGATATTCTGTGGTTTCAGCATTAAATGTTCTGACTCTTGATGTTCCGTGACAGAAGAACATCACGTAACTCTCATCTTTGCCAGTTTCAGAAAATAGGTTATGTTATGACATTACTTTCTAGGTTATACAACTTTTGCTTACTAGAGGCTAGCTGAAACAAATATGGGTCAGACATCAGAAATCACTGCTTTTCTGAATATCCACAAAGACCAGCTCATTTCCTCCGGAGTTCCTCAACAGTATTGGCAAACTTTATATCACAAATTGGTGAACCAAACCTTTGACGCAGGGGAAACCTTTCAAATACTCAAACTAGACTATGAAAAACGCGAAGAACACGAGCCCCTGTTTGCCTTGCAAGCCACTAAGTCTATAGAAAAGGCCGATCCCCTCCACATATATCTCATAGACCATGCTTGGACGTATCGTGTGGACCAAGCCAAGCAGCAGCTCTTACAGCATGACAGTCTTCGCCAACGCTTGTGTAACATGTTCGATAAGGATAGCAGCTTGGCCAAGGAGGAATTGGTGGAGGAACTGTTCGATAGTTTGTGGAAGATCAATAATTACTATACCATCAGCAGTGCTGATAACGTAGAAGACAGATTGCCGGTTTGGTACGTTATGGATGAAATAGGTACTGCTGTATTGCACAGTGATCAACCTAACTGTAGAATAGTTCCCTTCATTTACATAAACGACCAGATAACTTACTCGGTTCTATTCCCTGTAGAAGATATTGCAGAGGAAGATATAGTTTACAGAGACTTTGCCGAGGGTGTAGTTGACCAAGATCGTCGCTCTGCCTTGTTGCTTCCTTGGGTTCCAAAATCGTTTGAGGACAAAGATGTAATCCCAACAATTCCGACTGAAGAATATTTCCTAGGTGTGTTAGAATAAAAGAAGCTTTTAGTATTTTTGAATATGGAGTTCCATAAGATACAGTATCAAGGCCTTGCTTCTGATGATTTTTAAATTCAGTTATAGTTTCAACATGGCAAAACTCCTTTTTGCTGAGTAATTATGATCTTACAGCATCAAAAATTACAACAGTTATAAGGTCCGTGACAGGTATGTCTTAAAAAATTCATTCTTACAGAGCCCTGAAGAAGAATTCAATTGAATCAAAACGTTGGGAAGAAAGTTTCCCAAAACCTTTCTAGAAATGATAATAATAATAGCATTTGTTATGGAAGGGTTAAAAATAATTCACAGGGTTAACTAAGTATGTTTAAAAAAAGTAGTAATAGAGGTGTTTGTTACTGAGAAGTTCAGTTTGAGAAATGAGGAATTAAAAAAACTAACAGAAAGAAGAGTAAAGAAAAAAGATATACATATGCTATAATTCACTATGAACATTCAACACATGTATTACATAAAATATCGTGAGAAACTTAGATGCAGTTTCAACAATAAACTCTAGGGAATACAAATTCATATCACATACATTTTAAATTATTACAAATGCTGAAGATAGGTGACTTGAGGTATAACTTGGTTCTGACCAGGCAGTAAAAAACTTTTGCATGCTTGGAAAAACACAAGATTAATGATTATAAGCCTTGAATGAAATATATAACGTTCACTTCCTTTCTGTATATGTTATATGAAGGATAGTTTTTTATAGATTGATATTTTAGATATGCTTTCAGGTGGCCATCTAAAAGAAAGTCTACCAGTCTTATCGAAACTGCCGAGCATGGAAGTTCCCCATAATGTCTTGAAAGTTTTCTCCCAGTATAGTTTGGTCAACAAGCATCTCACAAACAACAGGTTCATCTTGGTTAATGACGAGCAGGAGGCTGATATTTTGTGGTACACGGAACACTTCAAAGACTTCGAGCGCCTCAGTGAGACACCGGAGAAGTTTGTGAATCAGTTTCCGTTTGAATATGTGATAACCGTCAAAGATCTCTTGTGCATAACGTGTAGAAGAAAGGAGAGTTCAAGCCAGTGGCTACCTGTAACTTACAATCTTCTTACTGAGGTCCCTAACTTCATCAGCTGCTTTCAGCAACGTGAGAAGCTTGGTTTGGACAACGTCTGGATAGTGAAGCCCTACAACCTAGCCAGGGGTTTAGACATACACATAACGAGCAATTTGAATTATATCTGTAGGCTTTTGGGGACAGGACCCAAGATAGTGCAGAAGTACATTACGAAACCCGTGTTGTTTTACAGGCCGGAGTGCGGCGGCAGAGTCAAATTTGACATCAGGTATTTGCTGCTAGTGAAGAGCGTAAAACCTCTGGAAGCTTATGTGTACAGGCATTTTTTCTTGAGATTTGCAAACCGGCCTTTCGAGCTCAACGAGTTTGACGTTTACGAAAAGCATTTCACGGTGATGAACTACACTGACAATGCAGTTTTGAAACATATGAAATGCGAAGACTTCAAAATGGAGTGGACGGGTCAGTACCCCAATCACGACTGGGAGGATGTGGAAAAATCAATTATTCAGATGCTGAAGGAGATTCTGGAATGCGCTACGATGGAGAAGCCCCCATGTGGCATTGCAGAAAGCCCCCAGTCCAGGGCTGTTTACGCTGCGGATATAATGTTAGAGTGGGATGCGGATGGTAATATCCGTCCTAAGATTTTAGAAATAAATTTCACTCCTGACTGCAAGAGGGCTTGCGACTATTATCCCGATTTTTATAATGACATATTTAGGTTGGTAATATCCTTCCTAAGATTTTAGAAATAAATTTCACTCCTGACTGCAAGAGGGCTTGCGATTATTATCCCGATTTTTATAATGACATATTTAGGTTGCTGTTTTTGAATGAGGATTCAGGTGCTTTTTTTACATTGTAAAAGCTGTGATAAGTAATTTGCCTTTGATATTGACTGGATCAACTGATTTTTGGAAAATCAACTGCTTTTAATGCTTTTTGAACTTTGTAAGCAAATAAATATTTGACCAATGAACGTTTTTATCTTGAAACCTAGCATGAGAATTATAAACTAGATAAGCGCAGTTGCTTTATTCTCTGTTCTGATTAGTCTGATAAAGTTTTATATCTGTATGCACCACATGTATAACATTTATAATAATGAATAAATTTCTATTCTATTCTTAGTGTATGGGAATAGGTGTCGCTCTTTTTAGAACATTGAAAAAAATACCTTGGATAGTGAAATGCGTGTCAAAAAGAGTATTGTAGATCTGGTGTTTTGGAAAAGTGCTTGTTTTGGACCAATGACAGTGCTCAATATCGAAGCTTGGCTCCGCAAGACACGGACATAGGGGCGCTTGTTTATCTTGGAAAAGCAAGATTTGTTTTTTTTTAATAGCGATGCGATGCGAATTAACAGGAAAAAAATGCTGGGTATTGAATCCTACTGCGCCAATAAATTAATATATTTACATTATTTATAATGATCCTCTTCAACAACTACAAAAATCTGCCCTAACTCATTGTACGTATACGTTCTCTTTAAAAAAATATCTTGTAGTTTGATCCCTGAAATTGTTCTCAAACCTGGTATCAATGGAATGCATTTAAATTCTAAAATTACATGGGAGAGTGGGGGAAGAGGTTCCAATTTTCGCCCAGAGATGTCGCACCAGGCTATTCCTTCCACGTTCTCCAGATATATCATCAGTTCTACAGTACGATCACTGGAAAAAGGTAAAAATAATGATAAAATTATATGAATCAACACCAAAACCTACCAATTATTGACAAGTTTACACTTGAACGTGAACAAGTCTTCGAGAAGAGCAAAGTTAGGCAATTCTGTAATCGTCATTCTGATGTCTCCATAGTCAGGACTCTGCAAAAACAAGAATAACACTTGAATGTATGAACTGATATGATTCCTTGAGCAAATTAGCTCACCATTCTCTGTAACTGACTGGTCTGCAGTCTGCCTCGTTCTCCGAGGTTGGACCTCCACACAATGTCCAGTTTTCCGATATTAGTAGCCCCACTGAGCAACTTCAAATCGGACGATAACTTTTCGTTTGGTTGGAGACAATACAGAAACTGACAAATGGATTGTGGCTGAAGAATCGTTGTTTTCCCAAAAATACTCTCGCCATTTGAAGTAGAATTCAAAGATGCAACTAAAGAAAATTAAATGTATTTTAAAACCAAACTGAAGCCTGGTCTATACTGCTCAGAACGCACTTTCATACCATTGAACAGATGTGAAGCATCCAGCGCCACTTTTTCCAAGCAAATGGGGCCCGTCGTAATGTTTTGTACCTGGGCTTCCAGATATACGTCATCATTTTCAGCATTATAGAACTTTGTCTTCACATCCAGTGGTTTCAAAACCATTATTTTGAAAAATTTCCTGAAAGACATAGGAGCTCCAGTGGGAGATTGATAGGTGACTTCACAAACCAATCTGAAATAAAAAATTATCTAATACAAACTCTAAAAATACATTCTGATAATCATCAAGTCTGTTCTTCTTTTATTATTGCCTCATTGAATTCGTATAATTGACTCTAGTATCTTTAAATTTATTGTTTTAATAATTTCCTATACAACTCTGTCTTTATGCAAATAAAGTATTATCATTCATATCTAAAGCGGCTTCGAAGTTATTGGAACAGGTAAAAAATCGAAGACAAAGTTGGAAACCACCCATTTGAATTCTGATAACAATATTGTTCAGGATTCCTACATACTCCCAACAGTAGGAAGTATATTTTCATATTGTAGGAAGTATATTTCATTTTGAGGAGGGAATATAGCGCTTAGAGGGACAGAGGAAATTCACTGGCAAATTGAAATTTGCTTGACGTTTGTTACATCTTGATTTGTTCTTTTTTTAAACAAGAAGCAGCGCTCTCTGAAACCATTATCAGTATTCCCGACTTGTTCTATGTCATCATGTATAATCTTAAAGAACCAATAATTCATAATCATTTGCATATGTGATACATACATGTGTGTTCCAATTTCCTTAACTTCGTGGTGAATGACAACATCAACAGTTTTATCTGGAGGTAGCTGAGTTGTTGGTGGATTGGAGAACAGAGGTAACCTTTGCGAGCTTGTTTGCAAGTCGACCTTCATAAAAAAAGTTCACTTTATAATATCAAAAATGCACTGATATCTACACTTACTTTAACTGTTATATTGTTGACTACATTCTCAGTTTCACTGTACACGCATATGTAGCTGGAAAAAGTTTCACCGAGGTATATGTTGACTGGTGTTTGTGGCAGAAGCAGAAATTGTCCTGTACAGAGCGTTTCGGTACCTTCGACCGAAGTGGGATCCTGCTGCAAAGCATTGTTCAATAGATTTCCTGGCAGGTCTTTACTATCGCAAGTAACTGGAAAAGGACTGGCTAAGGTAGGGCGTGTGAGGCGCATCACTGAAATTATTAAAAAGTGTAGAGGTTTTCCAAACACTTCAAGGTTGTACTACCCTTCAGTGAAAGCAGATGTTCTTCGGTTTCCATTTTAGTAGCCGAAAATCTAGTATATAAATAGTAAAGTACTCAATATTTCATAACTATGAAGATTGTGCGGTCCAAAACATTTTTAACAAAATATAGGGAAATTAAGGTTACCAGTTGACATTAAAAATGTAAATACTTTTCCACAGAACACCAACTCTGTTATCATGTTCTGTGGTACGTTTCTGTCGACCGATGAGGGCGCTGAAATTTGGAGGAAAATGGCTGCAACTAAAAGTAATAAAATAACGGAATCCGTCAAAAATTGTAGTGATAGTAAATGAGGCGACTGGTAACTTAGTAGGCTAATCTTCAATTCTGGAGAACTACTTCTACAAGGTATCAGTAACAAAAAATGGTTTGTATTCAGTCAAATGGCATCAAGACCTAATTTAATGAAATATTTAATACCATTGAACTGCATACATTGCGCATAGCAAAAGCTTCAGTGGATTTTCATTAGAGATTAATTGAAAACTACACCGTTTAATTTCTATAATCTTCATCAAATCTCAACGTAAATCAAGTTGTCTTCGCCAACAGACTTCCACATACTATATAAAATTTATTAATAACCTGTCAAGATTCAATATAGAGTGAATTTTCATGATCATAACTTTGAAAAAAATATACTGTTCAATTTCGATAATCTTTATTAAATCTCAATGTCTGTTCGAATTGTCTTCCTCAACAAACAGACTTCCACATACAATATATAATTTATCGATAATCTCATAAGATTCAAAATACATTCAACATACATAAGCATAATATAAAAAATCAATCGAAACAATATTATTCCTTTAATTCGTTCATCTTCATAAAAATACTAGAGGTATCAGTTATTAAGGCTGCAAAAAAAAAATCCGGAAATGATTTTGAGGAATAAAACCTTTGCAAAGAAATAACTGAATACCTCTAGTTATAAAATTCGTTTAACTAATATTTTGCACCATCAGTTTTTTTCAATATTGCAACAATACCCAGTAACCAAAAAATGGAAGTGGGGCTGATAACTGTATTCCAAAATTTCAAATTCAAATAAGGTCTTAAAGAGAAATGTTTCAACCGATATCCTGCATTTGAAGAGGGCATGTAAAATTCAATAACTAATGTGCACATAAAATTCCAATGAAAAAAAAAGTCGGAGCCAGAACCTGCTATACTTATTTCAATATTGCCAACAGAAATTTGATATAGTTTTGGGATCCCCCTACCTGCAATTATTTTTTATAACCAAAAGGAGAACTGTATAGGTAATTTCCTGATGATGCCAACTTAGTTGGTGAAACGCGCATCGAGAAGGGTGTTACACTGAGAGGACAAGTGTTTTTGTTGGATGTTCATGTCAGTGTTGCTGAAATGCAACAGATATACTCCCATGACAGTTATACTCCACGTTCTTGATTGTTGAAAGAGAGACGTTTCGGTACTCAACTCTAGTTGAGTACTGAAACGACTACAGCATTCTAGAACGATCGTTACCGATATATAAGGCAGGCTTCCCGTCCCAAGAGGGCAGTTGAGTTCAGAAAGTGAATCGAGCGGTTTAACAAGGAATTCAAATAGTGGACATAAATTAAGCGTCAGTTGCTAAGTGTTGTAAATAAATTAGTTTGGGATAGTGAAATACTGTTAGAAATGAATTTGTTTAACACAGCTAATTCTTTAATTTATTACAGTATGTACGAGCTCACCTATACAAGAACAACGAATTCTTCATCCATAGAAGAGAATTTCTTCTTCTTCTTTTGTCATTTCAATTCAAAGCCAGGCATAGTCAATTGCCTTTATAGTTGGACCGCAACAATAACTTAATAATTCTGAAATGTCTCTCTCCCTCTCTCTGATCAGTTTGAAACGTGAAGCAAAGTTGGAAAGTAGGCCATACTTGATAATACATTAGATTCAGCCATGTTTCATAAGAATCATCGTTTGAACGTAACTGTTTTTTTACCTGCTCAGCTTCTACTAAGGATTTGGTGCAAGGCAGATATTCATATTGGAATAGAATAAATCCAACAAAAACATTTCCTGCATATCTGAACTGATTTGGATCATCTATTGAAGAGCCAAAATATTTTCTAAAACAATAGAAAATGAAAAAAATGACTGCATGCACCAAAAGCATGCGTCTCCATCAAGTGACCAAGTCTCTATGAGACAGTACCATTGTAGTGTTGCCAAATGTGAACACTTTCAAATACATTCTATCTGGAATAGGTTTGGCAACACTGAGTCGGATACTGTCATTCTATTTGGTGTTGAACTGTTAGATTGTTAGGCTTATTTTCAAGCTGGTTTTTGTTTATAGTTGTTGTATACTGAATAAAATTGGTGTTTCTGTGAATAGATTTGTTAGAGAAATAGTGGTTTACAAATACTGTATGGTACTGTATAGGGTGTCCCAAATTCGAGGGTGACCATTGGGATCTCGGAATAGGCACAGGGTTAGTTGAATTGAGGCAAAGTTTCGTAGTTTGGTACACTTCAATAATGATTTTGTTTTATTTTATTTTCATTCAAACAGTAGGTTATGCCAAAGCGACATTGGCCGGATAACTAACGAAAACGAAAAGCGACTATGGACTGAAATAAAAATATCATCGTTCAACTAAAAAATCAATGGTGAATAGTGAAAAACAATCTGAAACATTTTATAGCAAAATATATAACACTCTATTGCAAGAATGAAAAAACTTTTCAATTGAAAAACTTAAATTCAAGGTGAAACGGCCAAGCATTTCACAAAATAAATGATGTTTTTGGTGCAGCTTGGACAATTCAATAATTTAATGAAATGGCACCTATGTAGCTAGTTTTTCTTATATTTTAAATGCGAATTTAAATAATGTGCACATTTTCCGTTTGACGTGTCTAAACATACTATGTTTGTTGCCTTTTCAAATTATGTATTATTGTGAAGACCAATAATTTCCATTTCCAAATTCTATAAAAAAAAGGAAATGCCGTTTTCACATTTAGAAAAGCCCAATAAGTTACAAATTCATAGCAAATTACGCAACTTTGCCCTAATTTAACCGACCCTGTATCTCTTACGGTTTCCGAGATTCCAATGATCACCCTCGAATTTGGGACACCCTGTACTGTATAAGTAGCACTGTGTCTGCTCAAAAAAATATAAGGATAATAAATGAATAACCTAGTTTAAAGTAGAGTCACTAATAAAGACCAATTGGTTTATTTTTGAAGACCATTTAAATGTAGGTGAAATTTGTAATAATTCTTTAACAGAAACCATTTTGACACGACATAAGATTCAAAGGAGTTAGATTGAACTCAGAGTGAGAATTTTACTGCATATAAATTATGTTTTGAAGAAAGGCATATGGTAGAAAAATCACGTAAAATTAAAGACATTGGTAAACAAGTAAAATTGCATTGATTCTGTTTTCACTCTTTTGAAGAAATTTGCAGAAATAGCCCTTTTTGTATGTTCTTCAAATGCGAATTGGCGGATTTCAATAATCTCCTGTGGCTATAACTTTGAAAAATCAATAAATAAAAAAATAAATTACAATTTCACGGCAGAAGTAACACTACGAAATCTAAAGTTAATATCAATTGAAACCATCGAATCTCCACCTTAAAGATACCTTAAAATAAACTTCACAGAAATGGCAAATTTATTTTACTATACTGAAAACTTACTGTGAACAGGGAATCACCCCCCAAGTTACGCCCTGTTTCAATAAAAATGCTCGTACCCGGATTCACGCTAAACAAAGCTCAAACTCAGGACACACCCCAATGGCGCAACCCCAATCAAACAAACTACCCCTTACTGCCATACATTACCGGTATTCGCGGTCTGATTATTCAAATTCAAATTACTGAATTGCTGCTGGAGATTTTGATTGGCAAAGAAAGGGTTCGGGGCTTGATTGAAACCAGGAGTCTGGAACTGCTGTTGGTAGAACTGATTCGCCGCAGGGGGCTGCTGGGGGAAAGCAGCGAACTGCTGGCTGTTGCCAAACTGCGCGAGAGGCTGAGTGACATTAGGCAAGAACTGCCCTTGCTGCTGGGCGGGAAACTGTCCCTGCTTGCCCCACTGCTGCTGGGGCCACTGGGGTGGAATCTGCGTTATGCCGTTCTGCATAGGAAACGTGGCTTGTGGTTGCGGGAAACCGCCGAAACCTTGAAAAGCGTTCTGTGCAGGTTGTTGGTAGGTCGCCTGCGGGAACTGGTTGAAATTATTGGTAGGGGGAGTGTTGGCGTAGAGCGCCAGAATGCTGTCCTTGTCCAGCTTAACTTTTTCCTTTTCAGTGGGCAAGACTTGGTTGAAGAAGCTCTCTTCTTCGTTTTTCGTGAGATCAGGAGTTTCTGTCTTCTCGGGCTGCTTCGCAGCTGTTGGAGGAGCAGAAACGAAGCTGCTGAAGTTGTCTTCGCCATTTTGAAGACCTAGAACACATAAACTTTCTTAATTTCATGGTGATACTGAATGTCAATCCAAATGATACACACAAGAAAAAAATAAGAAAGAAAGCCACTTATACCACCAGTACGGATGTTTTTCTTTTAAAGTATTCAATCACTGATAAATAAATTCTGAAACTGTTTGCAGTTCTCAGTTTTTAGGCCGTCGTCTGTTGAAATTTCTCCCTGAAGTCTTCAGAAGTCTGTGTTATCACTTCCAAGGTCGCGAGTATACCCAATTTTGGAAGCGTATACACAGGCCTCTGAAGATGACAGCCACTCGCGCCGACGAAACGTCAGGAAGAAATTCCAACGAACGGACTAAAAACCCAAAACCACAAAAGGTGGCCACAAAAGCCCAAATCCCTCCAAAAATTCTGAAGTCTGTATTTTGTGAACAGTTTCAACTTTGATATATAAAAAAGGTAACCCTAAAGGGCTCTCTTATCTGAATCTTGTGATATCGTCATCGGGTGGTAATTGCTTTCTCACGAGCCTTGGATTTACTTTATATACCAACACTAAAATCCTCTCGGAGACCTTTCTCACTGCTTCGGCAGGATGGTGAAGGCCACTTGAGCCAAATTCCGATAGTATTCGACACGTCAAGCCGCTGAAGAAACAATGTTTGAGTAGCACGAAAGCACAAAACTTTGTAGTCTTATGAGCAGTATTAATTAAAGCACTCTCCCTTATAACACATTTTCAAGGCAAACATACATTTCGTTAAATAAATCCAATTGAAATACTCTTCCCACACACCACAATTGTAACACTATTTTCAACTCAAGTTTCACCAAACGATTTCCTAAACGGTAATTTAGCTGATCTACATCAAAATTTGTATATAAGGGTGATGACATATCCCCTTACGAAAACGCCATCTATGTGATCGACANATTCAGAGAGGCAAAGTTCAAACTTTCGTTCTTTTTAAAATTGAGGTAGGAGGATTCTTCTACATTCGACAGTGGTAGAGATTCCAATAATATTCTTTTTCGAATCGAACAATTTATTTTGAAATTAACAGATAAAAATGTACAAGAAATTTTTTTTTTGACAATAATAAAATATCACAAAAACATTGCACAATAATGTAAGTAGACTAAAAATTGGTGGTGAATTAGGAAAGAATGAGGAATATTCAGCTTGATTGTAGACAAAATTTTGCCACGATCAACAAATGCATCAATCATCTCATCTTATTACCAGTTTTTCATATATCATTCGGTTAATAAAATGTACATGAAAAGTAGCCACAATCACCGAGTGTAATTAAACTACTTTGAATAAATGAATAATTATTTAACGACAGGATTGTTTTTGTTTTCAGAACGATCCCACAGTGGCAAATTTTTAATGAATCGATTTTTCATGCTGAATATGATTTTTAGAACAAAATGTATTACAACTTTGGTTCATTTCAAACTTCCACTGCAAATATTACGTATTGAATAACTGGCAATACGATAAAATGATTGTGGATCTTTTAATAAATGTAATTAGAGAGACATTCAAATATTACTATTAAAAACATTGTGAACTGTATTTGACGATTACAGAAATACAACGATCTGAAATACTATCAACAAATCATCAAAAATGGATTGAGATGTGATTTTAATATTTGTAAATGGACGAAATTTACTGTTTATTCAACAATAGGGTGAAAAATATAATAATTTCAACAAGGGTATTCGTTCTTTCATTGTTCATGAGGTCCTATTTGAACTGTTTTTATGAAATTTAAATTTATGATTCTTCAACTGGTCAAACAGTTCATTTTCATTCAACATCGACAGTTTCATAATATGTGACGAATTTAACCGATACATAATGTAGTTATAAGAAGAAAAAGTCGGATAATTCGAATTATTATTGTATATAAATCTCTGAGTGGATAGAACTCAGTATCAATACGTCTGATGACGTATTGTAAAGTGAAACAACCTGTTGCGATGGAAACGAATCATTTTTTGTATTTTCTATCTTTGTATCGTATCTCCCAAAGTAGATTCAGATAAGGAAATTTTACCGTGAATTATATCCAGTTTCAAAGTTATCGCCACTGGAAGTATATATTTTTCATAAACCCCTTTACTGTTTCCAAAAATCTCGTATAAGGCAAACGAGACAAGAACATCTTGAATAAATTCAACAATCGAATGGTTTCCTCTCTAGAATATAGAGATTTGACACGTGGAGAATGTTTCTTGATTATAACAGAATAAATGAACTAGTTGTGTACTTCTATTCCTTATTGATTCGAATAAAATGGTCCTACTTTCAATTCCAAGCACTCTACTACGGCCGTAAATTGAATTGAATGTCTGACGAATACTTTTGTGCAAGATTTTTCACAGAAGCAATTCTGCTAGATATTTTTTATGTGGATGTGAAGGCGATGTGGTGTATAGATACTTGTGATTTTATGGTTCATATTCTGCAAAAAATAGGATTAAAAGTTAAACTTTTCGGAACTTTGGAGGGCTGTATCTTTGAAAATAGGGGAGAGCACCAATTTTTCCTTTCGGAATGGTAATCTACTCGCCAAAATACGTAAGTGACACACAATTTTTTTCAAAATCAGCAGAGTATCCAGTATCGACGGAGAATCCAGAAAAAACTCTGTATGGGCCCATAACAGAATGATAATACCAGTCGAAATAATCAATAGAAACTAATCCCAAGCCATTATTGTAAATCGCATATCAATGAAACTTTATAGGTATATGCAAACATGGTTCATGTGAAAACTTGCACAAGTAATAAGCCGACTTAGTAAGATATTAATCGAGTTCGTATTCAGAACAGTAATAAATTTCATAATAAGTATGAAAACACTGTATGGCTGACGGCATCATATTCCTGAAGCGGCTAACTGAAATGGAATTATATTTCCATCTCGTCTTTCCACCTTCCAGCCATTTGAAACATTTTGGACGGTCCTTGCTTTTCCGCTTCAACCAATTTTTTGTACTTCAATCTTGAGTCCTTTCTGATACGTTCGAAACATGTTTCTTTCCAAAGCTTAGTTATTATTATTATTTTTCAATATTTTCTGAATATTTGTATATGAGTCTCATTTCACGTTTTCTCTCTTTCGTTGACACCATTTGAATTGGATGGCTGGGGAGGATAATTGACATCATACCTACTTTTGTCTTCAACTATGTCGAAATTCGTGAAAGATACCTGTAAAAAAAATATTCTCCGTAAACACTTCGTTGATGGTCGGTAGTCATCGAGAGTTATTTCGTGAATTATCACACAGGGGAGGGGAACTTGTTTGTGAATACATTTTTCAATCTAGAGGGTCTGTGGAGGGGCATGTGATTTCAAACTTTGATTTTGACTTGCTTCTGATGAAGAACTTTCATCCTAGTATTTTTCGGGCAAGGTTTCTCGCCCATCAAATGAATTTTCCAACAATTATCTTCCAGTTCGAGGTTTTCGTGACACAGCGGGCAACGGTTGCAGCTCTCAGAGAGTTCTGAAATACAGAGAGATTAATAATTGATTCAGTAATCCAGTAAGAACAGGCATATGGTACCTTTGCATTCTCCACGATGCCTTTCATAATTTTCGGTTTTGACTGCTTCGGAACATTGTGAGCACTGTGTGTAACGTTCCCGCTGTTCACATTCAGCGAGCAAATGTTCTGTTAAAGTCGACACTTCTATCACTTGGCTGCAGTTCTTGCACCTCACTAGCATCGGACATGAGCGCCAGTAGTGGGAGTTCATAGAGTTGCTGACGGACAGGATCGATGTTTCTGGGTGGTTGCAAAAAATGCAGTGCCTGTAAATTGAAAAGCCACATTTTCATTGCTCTCATGAGATATTTTTCCGCCAACACATAGAAACTCGATTCGACTTTTAAAAAACACGATCAAAAAATGATGAAAACAATTCGACATTTCAATTGAAAAACTTCAGTATTCAAATATGTATTAGCTTCGATTTCAAAATTATTGGTGAAGTCTGTCATAAAACGTATTTCTTGATAGTTGCACTTTCAAAATAAACCAAATAAAAAAAAATCAGAAAATTCATTCAGGCCCCACGTTGGGCGCCAAATTTTTGGCACCATAATTTCTAGAATGTGGGCAAATGATTTATGTTTAGTGTTATATCAGTGATATACCTTAATAGCCTAGACTGGTAGACAGACAGATCTTCATCTAACCACATTATGTTATGAACATTAGTAGCACATCAATTGGTTTACAAACAAGTATGTATATTACAATTGTGAAACATTGGATAACAATTAAAACTTTCTAACCTGACCATCGTCAAGATTTGATTATAAAAAAGAAGAAGAACCGCCATTCTAAATGTCAGATTTGTATTGACATTTTGGACAATTGCATGTCATTTGTCGGTGTCCAATAGGGCTATGTTTGCTTGCTGTGTTGTTGATCGTGCTCATTCATTGTTTATGTGGATACACATAAATCAAACTCTGTGAACTTATTTGAATCACAGTTTCACTACATATCTATTAATCTGAATTTGTTTTTCTTTCTATTCAAGTACATTATTTACTGACCCATATTGATTTATTTAAGAAATGGCTTGGTGTATTGATTAACATTTACATTTCGCTTGACAAATGACAGTCTTGTAAAAATGGCGACCCTTTATTTGCGCTGTTGGTCGCCTCACTTTATTTGTCATATGTATGTTTTTATTCAGATATACGGTATATGTAAAAGCATCTGAAAATTCATTAATCTCGATTGAAATCAATACTTACTTTTCGTCTTCGTCTTTTTGTGAATTGTTACTCGGCGTAGAAATACCACTCGCAGAACTGGAGCTCTGTCCGTTGACGCCGTTATTACTATTAGCTTGTATGTTACTTCCGCTCAAGCTTTTCGCCAAGGCGAAACTTCTCTGCTGACTGGATACTTCGAATTGGAAAATGCTGTCAGATACGGGTTTAGGATCGGTAGAAATGTTATCCTTACTTTGTTCGTGTTTCCCGTTATGGTTCTGAACTGGCTCTGGACTGAGGCAGTTCGCATTTGTCGGAGTTATGGCCTCCAGGAGCTTGTTTTTATCCAGTATTTCTTTCTTTCTCTGGAGAAGAACGACTACTTGAGGAAAATTCACTATATGCAATATTGGAGCAGTTTCTTTTCGAATAAAAGTTAATAAATAGGAAGGGAGTCAGAGACCAACCTTTTTAAAACACAGTTCTCTAATAAATAAATCAATCACATTGGCACTACTGACACATGTTTCTAACGAAATGATTGACTAATGTTGTTGCACGCTTTGCTCAATACTAAAGTTAGGGCATGGGCATGACAATGCGTAAAAAGTGCATGAGGAGCTATGGACTTCATTTTAGCCCTCTCACAGGTTTGCGCAATTAAGTTTTGCCTAAAATTATAGGTGTCACACGTACGGATAAAAAAAAATAAACAAATCGTCAACTGTGCGCCCAGATGAAACATCATGNATTAAAAATTAATGGTTAAGTAATGATACCCAATCATTTTTAGAAAAAAATAATCATAATTATTTGTCAATATCTTTTAATTTATTGCGATGAATAGCCTCAAATTTTATGGGGAGGCTAAGCCTCCCTTGCCTCCTCTGACGAGCCGCCGCTGGCACGGTTCTATATAAGTTGTCTAAGTTGCTTCGATTATCAGTGTGAGAATATTTGAGAATAAACGGAACGGAAATGTGCTAATAAATTCCATACAGATTGTTAATATCTTTGCCGAAATTGCAACAGTGCCAGCCAAAAAATCTACTTGTTCTACTGGTGGACAACAGTGTGATCAATAAAATTTCTAGTCAAGAGAGACCATGAAGCATGGCACCGACATATTTTTTTGATGTTAATCACTATTTATTTTACGTGTCAACACGAAATCTATAGTATGCTCTAAGTATCATATCAAAATGAAACTTAAGAAAAATTAAACTCTTAATCATCATAAAACTTCTATAGTCACTTCTGATTAGTTTTAGCAAATCTAATTATACGTGGGCTGTTCAAAAATGAAGGTGAATGTTCAAATTTCAAATTCGATTAGCGATTTATATGTTGTTCAGTTGTTTCAGCTTTGTTGATGAGTCAAAAATGTTTACAAGTTGTACAAGCAGAAGGTCGAGAAGAAGTAAATGACGACGCTCGCCCTAGACGTCCCAGCACAGCAACAACCGATGAAAATATTGAGAAAATAAAGAAAATTGTTATGGAAAATCGTCTAATCACTATAAAGGAAGTTGCTGAGGATATAGGCATATCGGTTTACTCATATCGTGCAATTTTTTCGGAAATTTTGGGTATGAAGCGTGGTGCAGCGAAGTCTATTCCAAAACTGCATCGTTCAGGAATTGTTGAATGACATAACGGCGATCCAGATTTGCTTGAATGATCACAACTGGTGACAAATCATGGGTAGGTATATGGTTATGACATCTAAACCAAAGTCCAATCGTCCCTACGAAAGAGCCCAGAAAAGCCAAGACCAAAAAAGCACGTCAAGGTTATGCTCACTGTTCTAACTATTTGATTTGTTGAGCTGTTTCTGCCTCTTTTTTCCTTTTTTTTGGGACCTTTGCCACTTGGCTTTCTTCGCCCGACATAATATCGTCGCTTTCCAGATCGCTGATGTCAGAGTCGGAGTCAATAAGACGATGAATTAGAGGTTTTTTGTTTCTCAAATTCAAGTCCATTCCACTAGTTCGGTACTACTTATTTCATAGTATTCTATAATAGCTGGTATTATAGTCAGACCTGCTTCTTTTGGCTTTTTACGAACTTTCGTAAAATTGAAAATCATTTCTATAACTTGTTCCATCTCGAAAGATAGATGCTACACTTCGAAATTAGCACAACGAAAATTACTCAACTTGTCAACTTGAGCTGTCTGACTAATGGCGTCGCCTAATGGCGACGGGTAGTAGCATCGCCCACTTGCCCAGCTACAACCAGCATACCGAAGGTACTATTTGTTCGATTTCATGTCTATTACTAGCAGTTCTGACGAACAAGTCATCATTATAGTGGCCGCATTATTGAATGTAAAAGAAAATAGTCACAGCAAAGAATGTTGTGGGTCCATCACATTATCAAAAGAGGGCAAATCTAGAAGAGTATCATCATTTTTCCAACAACCTGAAAAAAGACGAGGATACATTTTTTCAGAGTTTCCGAATGACTCCAGGCAAATTTTCAGAACTTCTANAGGGCATGTCAGATTGAGTTATAAAACGTCTAAATTCTGAGTTTGAAATAGGAATTTCCAAATTACATAATATAAAGTGAGGCTCAGATTAAACTAGCAATTGAAAGATATGAAAAGTGTTGATTGACAGATCCGACAAGTGACAAATGACAGGTTTTAAAAGTGTCAATCAACAGATTTGATACCACAACCATTGATACCAAACCATTGTGTTGGAAAAGTAGTTTTGTTGGATTCAACTACAGCTCTACAAATTACTTTCAGGAAGAACAGCCGTACCTCTGTTTATCCGTTGATATTCCGTGATTAATAATGAGTTGTTCGACCATTTCTGCCCTACTCAACGCTAATCTAGGATGAGTGCCGCTACTAACAGGCCTACTTAGATGAACAGGGATGATGTGAAGCTCTCTATAAAAAATCACGACGCGATGATGTACGCCTCTAGGTTGAAAACACACCTTTCTTTGCTTACCTGACGTTTTTACAGTCTGCCATCGTGAGGATGGTGTGAACAGCCATTTGATTTATCCTCTGACTCGTATCACCCGACTTTGTGAGTAGTTCAGGAAGTAATTTGTCAACGCTTCTCGCTACCTCAGCAGAAGCGACCCTAAGAACATTTTAGGTTTTGTAGTCTACCTCAGAGTTTGCAGCACAAAAAATGTCGAGTCTATTAAAGACGTCAATTAAATAGGTGTTTCTGATAATATTTCTATCAAAACAACTCACGTTAGGTGAGCTAAACTATATAATATCTGCATCACTCACCTGCCGGGTACGAATTGCACGAAGAATAACCTAATCACCTCATTCGCTAGACTGTACACGGAGAAAACTTTATCGCGTAACGCCCTGTGCAGCAGAAAAATTGCTCCTCTGGCAGTCTTATTTGGCGCATGTATTTTGCTGGCGTCGTAAGACAGTAGCTCCTCCTTAAGCTTGTTCAAGCCTTCTTCCTTATCGCAGTAATGCTTTGAGTAGAATTTTTCGACAATGTCGTTCCCAAACACCAGAATGGGCATAGCGGCTTGTTTCTTTTCCCTTTCCGTCAGTTTGGAGGGGATCTTATAGTCGGCATCTAGCTGACATTCTCTTAGAAATTCGTTCGTTTGTGAACTGAAAAAAAAACAAGTGATGAATTCATTTGTTTGTTCACTGTAACCGTTTTTTTACGACTGATTGAACATGAACGACGATTGAATCAATCGAAGGATTGCATTATGAATGAATTAGTTTATTCAGCAATGCGCATTTATTGGTTCATTAGAAAATGATTCGTCACTAATTGGTTGGTTATGAATATGCATTCAATATAAATACGTACATCACCAATTTCAATTCCTTGGCTGGTTGGCTTTGGCAGCTCAGGTCATATCTGATCTTCTTTGTCTTGTACAACTCACGTTAGGTGAGCTAAACTATATAATATCTGCATCACTCACCTGCCGGGTACGAATTGCACGAAGAATAACCTAATCACCTCATTCGCCAGACTGTACACGGAGAAAACTTTATCGCGCAACGCCCTGTGCAGCAGAAAAATTGCTCCTCTGGCAGTCTTATTTGGCGCATGTATTTTGCTGGCGTCGTACGACAGCAGCTCCTCCTTGAGCTTGTTCAAGCCTTCTTCCTTATCGCAGTAATGCTTTGAGTAGAATTTTTCGACAATGTCGTTCCCAAACACCAAAATGGGCATAGCGGCTTGTTTCTTTTCCCTTTCCGTCAGTTTGGAGGGAATCTTATAGTCGGCATCTAGCTGACATTCTCTTAGAAATTCGTTCGTTTGTGAACTAAACAAAAAAAAACAAGTGATGAATTCATTTGTTTGTCTACTGTAACCGTATTTTGTTACGGCTGATTGAACATGAATGACGATTGAATCAATCAAAGGATTGCATTATGGATGAATACGTTTATTCAGTAATGCGCATTCATTGCATTAAATAAATATAGTACATCACTGATTTCAAATCCTTGGCTGGTTGACTTTGGCAGCTCATGCCATAAATGATCTTCCTTTTATTGGCCGTATTATAGCCTCAGCTGCTAGTGCCATCCAGCCAATGACTGATTTTTTGACACGTTTTTTGACATATATAGCGTTTTCCATTGGTAAAACTGATGTACATCTGGTGTATCTCCGTTCCCCATTTCTTTAAACACTAATGAAGGATAACAATACACGATGTGCTAGTTTTATCAATGAAAAATGCTATTAGTTCCATTAAAATCTAATAATTTAGAACCAAATTACTCACTGTCTCAAAGCCGGTAAGGGTTTCTCTTCATACATCTCATACGTCGATTTAACTGTAGCCCCAGCTGATTTGTTTCTTCTCTTAATAGAGCCTCTGGATTGATTATTTGTCGGGCTGCCGGTGCTCGGCGAGCCTGTTTTGGGACTCTGGTGTCTGGCCATGTGCAGAGGAGAGACTTGACTGTGGTTCAGCTGATTCGGAGACGAAGCTCTCTTGTCTGAAGAAGTCTTCGGCAGAACAGGAGATAAAAGATTTTTGTTGATGTTGTCGGCATCATCTGAACATTCGTCGTTTTTGGGACATACCTGTAAGAAATGTATGAATCATCATATATAGTATAACAATTTTCAATTGAAGGTGATTCATTAGCAAATGGATACTGAGCTATTAGGTTAGGTTAGGTTAGGTTAGGTTATAAAGCTTTTGGGGAAAATTTTTGGTATAGGATGAAAATTTCTGAAACAATATCAAATCAAAATAGTTTAATTTAAGTAAATCTTCAAATCTAACTTTGATTTGCATTAAAAAGGTGTCCAATATTTCATTATGAATCTGTTAATAATTTTGTCTCAAATCGGGTAAGTCTAAATTGGTTTTTCTTTTTTCGGCGCCGGCGGTTCGAGAGTTAAATCAATTGAAGTGCCAAATTGTGAATCATATTTGCCCCATAACAATAAAAGTTCCTTGTAATTGCCGCGATTAATAGAATCTTCGGTTTCATCGTGTCCTCGAAAAGCTAATTCTTGGGAACCCAAATAAATCGTAATATCGATAAGTTTTTTTAAATTCGACCGATTTTCCCTATTCTGATTATTAAAAGAAATTATGGCCTCTTTTTGAGCTGTATCTGAAGCTGTTGCTATAATTTGTTTGCTAAACAATTTTAATTTACAAGACGAAAATATACGCTCCTTAGATTTAAAATGTGTTTCTGTAGAACGAGGTAAATTTTTTAAATCGGAGTATCCTATTTTAGACAACGTTTGGTATTCCATTTTTAAGGAAAATAGAACACAGGACCAACAAAAAAGTTTTTGTCGTTTAATGGAGCCGGTTAACCAATCGCATTTATCGTACCAACTAATATTAGAATCCTCGATTTTGTCGACTATCTGACGCTTCAATTGAAAGAAATCAAATTTGGTTAAGGCCTTCCCAGAGTTCCAATAATGTAAAATTTATTATCATAAGATAAAGACTTGAAATTATTTGTCAGCAACCATACGACTATATCATCAGATTTTTCAATTTCGTCCAACTTATCCATATTAAATGGAAAAAAACTTACCGAAAAGTGAAAACCTGAAAACACCTTGAAATTGAAAGGAAACACTTTAAAAACACATTAAAAATATTACCATAAAGCACTGCTATAATACAATACTGCCTGTTTTATATACAAATACAAATATTATCAAGAAACACTAAAACGATTTACCGGAATATTTTTCAGTCCCGGTCCGTCACGGCATCCCGTCCGAATAATTAAATAAAAAACAAACGCAATCGTACACTAACTGGAGGCTAGCCTCCTCTAACGATATAATTTCTACAACTAAAATTACAAATCGGGACGTATGTCGCTGGTTGAATCGGTCTCGCGGAGCTTGTGTTTTTTAAAACGGTCGGAGGCTTGGCTCCCTTGTAACGTGCCGGCCCGTTTGAGGTTTGTTGATGCAGGATACAGTGTGGTACGTACTACGCAGTGAGTGATAGTGTTTTTTCGGGCATATTGTGTATTCATATTAAAAATTAATGGTAAAGTAATGATACCAAGCATTTTTCGAAAAAAATAATTGTAATTATTTTTCAATATCTTTTAATTTATTGCGATTAATAGCATCCGCTATTCCAGTCGCCGCTGGTTGGACTACAGAAAATTCGCATTAAAAATACCCCAATGGAATAAAAACAGATTTCTAATAAAGGTTTGCTAACTTTGCTGAGCATTCGGGCTCCTCTCAAAAGCATATTATGATAAATGAGTTCTTACGCCATTACGTTCCATCAATTGTTCAACGCGGATTTCTTCGTAAATTTCGTTCCTAAACTGGTCCATTTGATTTTTCTTGTGCCTAGCCCGTTCATAGTCTTCTATTTCTATAGCGTGTCTCTTCTCTAGTTCGTATTTCCCCAGTTTTTCACCCGCCACTCTCAATTTCCCCATCGCATTCTTAAGTTTTCTTGCATACTCAAAGCGTTCATCTACGAAAACAAGTACTCGAAAAACAAATTCGTATAATTCACAACTTTACTCACTTATCACAGCCAAATGCTTCTTCAACTCCATTTCTTTAATAATCCTAGCGATATCTACGTCTACATACATTAGGAAAGCTAAATCATCGTAAGGCGAAATGTATTCAGGGTTATTCATAATGTCCGATACTTTAGCTTCATCATCTTTCTCAGCTACAGATAACCGTCTACTTTCCAAGTCCATCCCCAGCATATTCACTGCTATAAGGCTCACCTGGAAAAATAACCTTAAAAACTACCCTCGTTTGGGACAGACGAAGATAACACCTGATTGAATTTGTTGTGCGAGTTAAAATGGTTGTGGTGAAGATTCATTTTAACAAATGTCACTTGGTTCTTGGGCACATTGGCGGATTTAAGTTCTCTGCTCTTAAAGTCTGTACTTTCATTCGTAGACAATGTTATGTATCCTAAATATTCCCAATTTATGTTCGTGGCTGATTCGTCTACTGTATTAGAATCTTCGTTACTGAGAAAGAGCTCCACCTTGGCAGCTGAAATTGAGAAAGAGAGATTTTCCAACTCACTTGAAAAGACAACGTTTTTCAAAGAGTTTATAATCTAATAAAACATAAATGCATCGATCAAAATCGTTTACAGAGGTGTCTACATCATGCAGCAGAAGTTTATTTCATATACAAACTGAAAATGGGAAAATCCATCTGAAACAACTATTTTCAAATATTTGAACATGGAAATCACTTTTCTCATTTAGTTCATATACTATCCATACATTCGTACTAATATCGTATCCAGGAATGCTACACAATATAATATCTGTATGTGAGAGTATATTGATACGAAATTTCACTTACAATCTTCAGGTGTACTTCGAAGTTTCAGGCGGAAACACTCTTGAAAGACTATTTAACCAATCCTTGCAAAAACTATACTTTTTGTTACGGAAAGAGGCTCATTTGGTCTTATCAGAATGACAGTTTGTGAAAAAATCGATTTATTAGTAACCTAGGAATTTCGTTTGATTGAAAATGGAATATTTATTGAATAAGGACAAGTTCTGTTAATGTCACTGATGGAGATGATGAAAAGAGGGGGCCAAGTACCGAACCCTGAGGTAATCACACAGTGATTTTCATTGGATTTGATATTTCATTATCTAGAATATTTTATTATTATTATCTAGAATGTTTATAGAAAGTATTTTAATGACGTATTTCTTCTCCTCAGAAGTTTCCCAGTTTCCATATATCTCGAATGAGAAATAGAGAGCTAAAGACTTTATTCCAACTTACGTATCAGGAACTGATGGGCTAGTATTTGTATTTTGTTCAAAATACATCTTTTTTCCAGTTGCAGTATCAATTCTTGTGGGTAGTTGCAGTTCTTTTCAGATTGCCACCCTTTAACTATCGGACCATGTGTATTCAGTTCTGTATACCTGTATTTTGGATCTTCACCTACAATTTGCTATGTTTATTCATAATTTCAAATACAATTATCTTCTTTACTTGTTGCTTGAATAACACTGAATTCAACCTTTTTAGGCATTTCGGCTATTGTTGTTTGCTCATTTCATTCCGTTCGACAAAAATTTAATATATTGATTTTTTCTAGAACTGCACATGGGAAAATTAGTTTACTTCACATAATTTAAGGGACGTATTGATTTTTCATTTTAATCGTCTGCGCATTGCGCGAAGTATTTTCATAATTTAAATACTAAAGAGAAATTTTTCAGTTGGTATTATGAATTCAGTGCCGCCAACGTTGTTACGACCGGTATTAACATGAGTTCGGTAACTCCACTTTACTCAAACAAGGTCGAATTAGTAATAAAAGATTATTTTTCGAAAAATCGACGAACACTGATACTTTGAGAGGATTTTTTAAGATATGTTGCATGACGACTACCACGCTGTAACTAACGTGTGCCGTGAAAAGTTATGCTTTTGATTTGGTTTTTTCAAGCGATGATGACTCCAGATTACCTTCCACTCTGTTACCGCATATCAAACAGCAACATTTCACAACTTAATATAGGTACAACGACAGTTCACTGAATTTAAGAACATTTTCACTCGGTTTCTAGCAAAAATATTATATTTGGAAGGTTGTGTCACACTGATGCGTCGACATTTGAAATACATTTTCTGAAAATTGGTTTGAAATTGAAGTTTCGTTCTAAATGAGCGTTTATAACCCAAACAAAAAGCACTGTATTTGGTGGCGATCTTACCTGGGCTCAACAGTACAGTCATCCTCTTGCTATTTCCTCCCTTTCTATCCTATGATCCTTCCTTCCTGTCCCCGAGTCCCGTATGGGGAAGATTGTTTTGGTATACATTGTAAACAGATTTCACCAGTATTATAAGAAAAATAGGTAATAGAGATTTTGATTTGGTGGCGATGTCATTACAATTATTCTAAAGTCTGCCACGAGGTGGCAGTGCAAAACCCTAGGAAAGCGAAGAAGATGTCTAAATGACATTTTGATTCAATATTTCCACCTGATTTTACGTTTATTTCAACCATATCTCTTGTAAAAGTATTGTTGACGGAAATAATGCGATGTTTAGAAGATGATTCATATTTATTCAAGTGTACTTACAAACGGGGCGGCTATTCTCGAATCGCACGAAAGATTCGCAGAATTGTGAGTGATTCAAAAATAGGGACCTAGTACAAACACAAATAAATCTGCCAATGAACGATATATTGAGATCCCATGTTTCAAACTCTAAAAATGTTTTACTTGTAGATTTTGACCGTTACTTTGGGCAACTTATTTTTGATTTCAATTCAGTTACTTTCCACTTATACTATTGACATTCATTTTGTATTTTCAGCAGCCCAATGATCAAATAACACTTGAAGCTTCAAAAACTAACACTGTGTGGAACCAACATTGATTTGTTTGTGTCGATGAAGAAAACTATCAAGTTCATCAAGTGTAGAATCAGGAAGCAAAAAAAACAAGTACAGGGTTTTTAATAAATTTATTTATAAAGTATTCAACATCTATACATATTAAAATACTCTACCTCCTACTTACAATATAACTTCATAACTCATACTGAGAAGTCATCACTCCTGCATGCCCTCCATTAAAGGCGCCTTCATATAATTATGAATTAAATAAAATCATTATGAATAAAAAATAATTACAAAAAATACCTGGCACTTCGATAGATTGAATAATCTGAGCAAAATCCCAATTTGCTTAAATGTATGTAACCAAAATGATTCAAAATAACAATATGTCATAAATAACTGCTCCCAAATTCCCTCCTTACATAGAATCGTCCTGACTGGGACTGGTAGGAGAGTAACTGGGTGACGAAGGGGAATATCTCGGAGGCTGAGGAGAGTAAGCCGGAGAGGCGGGAGAATAACTAGGACTCGTCGGCGTGTAGGTAGGAGAGGTGGGGGAATATTTAGTGCTGTGCGGCGAATACTGAGGAGAAGTAGGAGAATAACTAGGAGAGCTCGGTGAGTAATTCGGAGAAGACGGTGAATACCTCGAGCTTGCAGCGGGAGTGTGCTGTGGGCTCGAAGGAGAATAACTCGGCGAAGTGGGGGAATAACTGGGAGACGTGGGAGAGTACTGAGGACTGCCTCCCGAGAACGACGGAGAAGTGGGCGAATAACTCGGTGACGTCGGCGAATACTTCGGAGATGAGGGGGAATAACTCGGAGAAGCAGGAGAATATTGCGGAGACGTGAGAGAGTAACTGGGAGACGTGGGAGAATAGCTGGGAGAAGCGGGAGTGTATCTCGGAGAAGACGGCGAGTAACTCGGCGACGTCGGAGAGTAGCTGGGTGAGGTGGGACTGTAATTAGGAGAAGTGGGAGAGTAGCTAGGAGAGGTGGGACTGTAATTCGGCGAGGCGGGAGAGTAACTCGGCGAAGTGGGAGAGTAACTGGGGGAAGTAGGGGAATAACTCGGAGAGGTGGGAGAGTAACTTGGAGAAGTTGGACTGTAGCTAGGCGACGTAGGGCTGTAACTTGGGGAAGTGGGAGAGTAACTCGGAGATGTAGGGGAATAACTCGGTGAAGTCGGAGAGTAACTTGGAGAAGTTGGGCTGTAACTGGGAGACGTCGGCGAGTAACTTGGAGACGTTGGAGAATAGCTGGGACTGGTCGGGCTGTAATTGGGACTAGTTGGAGAATAGCCTGGCGAGCTTGGAGAATAACCAGGCGATGTAGGAGTCATGGATGGTGATGTTGGCTGGAATGCAGGACTCGACGGGCTGTAGGAAGGTGACTGTCCGTGTGGTGATGCCATGTAGGGAGACATCGCTGGAGATTGTCCTCCTGGTGACCAGCCACCGTAGCCGGGAGACATTCCAGAAGCGTCTGAAGCCGCAGAAGGAGAAAAGCCAGCGCTGGGCGTCATGCCTGGCAAATCTGGAAAAAATATAAAGAAATTAAAAATAAAAGTTATTCCTATAGTAGGTAGTTGGTGCAAAATTCGAGTGTATGTCCCACTAAATCGAAAAATATTGATTTATCACTTATTTATAAAGGTATCAACAGATTTTAATATAGACTAATCCAAATGATCATCATTAAACTAAAGATTACATAAGTCAATAACAGAAGAGGGCCCAAAACAGAACCTCACGTAAACAAAAAAAAAAAAAAAGTTTGACTCACTTTGAGGCGACCAAACGCTGCCGGCGTATGGAGTAGCGCCCTGGTTCCAAGGCGTCAGCGGCACCGCAGGGCTCATACTACTACTTGGTGTTGGTACCGCAAAGAAGTTCGAAGACATGATGTCGGTTCCGTGAGCCTGAGGGATCGGCATGCCCATTTTACACTTCTCCGCGTCGAGCAGCAAATCAAAACAGCCTGTGCCCATCCTTGGCAGCTGGCCGAGGATAATATTCTCGGAGACACCTCTCATTGGGTCGACTTCGGCGTGACTAGCCGCGTCCAATAGCACGTCGACCGTTTCTTCGAAGGAGCATCTCATCAGAGCTCCGGTGTCTTGTCTGTTGATACCGTGACGGGTGATGGCCATCAAGTGACCCTTGGCTGTCATGACGTCGCAAAGCAACGCGAGATGGCGATAGTTTACATACAGACCGTAGAACTGCAGGACGGCGTTCATTTCTTTCTCAACCGATTTACGAACAGCCTCTATTCCGAGCACCTAAAAGTAAAATAAAAGTCACTAGTCAAATACAAAACAGGCTAATGCGGATAAAATATATTGATGTTTTTCAACATTTGAATGAATGAATGTATACAACAAACTAACTCACCTGGAATATCTCGCAAATATCGTTGGAGAATGTTCTCACAGGGTCGACATCTCTTTCTGACAGTACTTTCATCATGCTCGTACCGTCTGTTTCCAGCAACCACTCAGCGATGGCCTTGAACTCTCCCGTCTCGGTAATAACTATTCTTTTTTTTGAGTCGGTTTGCGGCAAGTGCATGTACACTTTGGAGATGGCCTCGATACCTTGCAAAGTCATGTCACTCAACATGTTAGCTTCTATACACCTCAGGAACATGTCGTCTTCCATTTTGTCGACGTCTTCGTCTCCACCTGCGCGAACAATTCAGAAGATAAAAAGAGCTGGCACAAAAAAACAACCACGCATATAGATTTCAAATGTAAACCCAAAATCTGACTTACCTTCCCCACCGAACTTGCCATCGTCACTGTTCATTATCCTGATACGAAGTACCAGTTTTTCGGCATTGTCATCATTGAAAATACAATTCAAATCATCTCCGAAACCAGCGTTGATCTTTTCTGCAATTTGTTCCATAGTAAGTTTTTTGTCCGTCATACGCTTTCTATCGAGCTCGATACGTAGCAACCAGGGTGATATTCTCGTTGGGTCAAAGTCAGGCATTTCATAGTAAACATTTACGAATTCTTGATCTTCAGTTATGACAGTGTTTTGTGGATCAGGATCATAGTAAATGGCTGTGTTCGCTGTAACTTTTCGCAGAGTTGTGTGTTCCAATCTATAGAAATACAGGAAATTAAAAAAAAATAACCAGGCTAATGCCACAAATCTTGTAAGATTGGAAATATTTTAGACATTTTCCATCATCAACCCGCTTTTGACCTTGAAATAAGTTTGAGAGCCAAATATTATACTGAAGAGATGATAATAAGGAAGGAAATTGTGACTTATTAAAATGGCTGGCCCAAACTTTTGGCAGTCAGCGGGAAGGGTTGACAAAAACCCAAACATTTGGCGATCGCTTGGGTTATCACCCCGTATTTTCATTTGGTATAATAAGGCATGTTAAACATATGCCAAAAGTTTGGTACTAGTTTGTCTCTAGTACCAAACTTTTGGCATAGTAGTAGATTTGCTGAATACACGGTTTGCCAAATTTGTGACAGACACAAAAACAACGTCAGAATATCAAACATGTTACTTTTGCCATACAATGTACTCTTATCTTCACTCTATCATGGCATCTATCAAGAAAATTTTGTATGACAAAATTCAATTAGAAAAAAAAAAAAAAAAAACAGGCCCCACGTTGGGCGCCAAACGTGTTCCCTAAAAATGTGTCAAGACACTCACCTGCACAATACGTTCTTGGCCTTCTCCGCATCCCTGGCAGCGGCACCGGTAAGAAACACCGTAAGAGACGGAGCTTTTGGCTTCTTCGATATGTTAATAATTTCCTTCAACCTGGGCACACCAAGCGTTACGTTCTTGGAAGACACTCCGGCGAAATGGAAAGTGTTCAGCGTCATCTGAGTGGCGGGCTCTCCCAAAGACTGAGCGGCCAAAGCCCCTACCATTTCTCCGGGATTTGCCTGAGCCTGCTGGAACCGTGTTTCGATTTCTCCAATCAACCACTCGAAAGCTTCGGTGCTCAATCTGAACTGTTCGGAGACAGATTTAGCGCATAGCGTAGATCGCACCAAGCACTGGAAGAGGAGAGTAGCGTTCTCGTTGGCTTGTTTCGAGAGGCGATCCTCTCCTGCTACGATGACGCACTTCTTGAGGAGTTCCCGGACGCCGTTGATGACGCGCAGCGGAGATAAGTCTGTTGGAGCTCTCTTGTTGATGTGGAAGATCTTCTGGACATTCCAGATCATTCTTTGCAGGTTGCACGGCAATACTACTTTAGATTCTCCACTAGGGAAAATCTGCCTGAGCGCTTCTCTGTCCTTCTGGAGTTGCTCCCACTCTCGCTCGAGCTCGGAGATGACCTCGCCGGACCCCATGAGCTGCTTGATGACATCTTCAGTGAACACCCTCCTCAGATACCGCTCGTTGCTAGGGTCAAATCTAAACTTTCTCTCGAAGGCTTTGTTGCTCAATTTAACCGTCGGCAGCGTCTGAAACTCTACCATCTCCCCACACAAGCCATCTTCTCCGTACCTCAACTGAATTAGCTGTCCCACCGAATTTCTAACGGTACCGTCATAGTGTACCATGACGCTCTCCATAGCCTTTATGAGACGACGCTGAATATAACCAGTTTCGGCAGTCTTTACAGCGGTATCGATGAGACCTTCTCGACCTCCCATAGCATGGAAATAAAACTCGGACGGGGTTAGACCGGCGAGGTACGAATTTTCTACGAAGCCTCTAGACTCGGGACCGTAATCGTCTTTTATGAAATGCGGCAACGTGCGCTTGCGGAAACCGAATGGTATACGTTTACCTTCAACGTTCTGTTGACCCACGCAAGCGATAACCTGGAAGAGTGTTTGGAGTTTTTAGCCTACATTCATAAAGGAACCAATCTTGGAGTTATTTTATTACATAGTTCCAAGCAAAATTTAAATTAAATTGGTCCCGCGTTGGGCGGCAAATTTCTCGTCAGAAAGTCTTACCTGGGAAATATTAATGTTAGATCCTTTGGAACCAGAAACGACCATAGCCTTCAAATTGTTGTACTCTGTAAGAGATTTCTTAGCGGAACCACCAGTTTTGTCACGAGCGTCATTCAGAATCCTGTTTACCTGATTCTCGAAAGTCTGACGCAACGTATTACCTGGCGTCGGCTCGAGCTCCATGTTGTGAGCCTTCTGTATAACCTCTATTACGTCCTCTTTGGCCTTTTTGATGGCTTTCTGAATCTCCGTGTAAGTCTGAGGATCGGCAATGGTGTCTCCGATACCTATGCTGTGACCTGGATAGGAAAACAATTTGAATCAAAATCCCTTCAAAATATAGTAAAAATATCTGCGAACAAACAAAAACTAGACTGCTAATGACTGATCACAGTTCAACTTACCGTCGAGTAACAACCAGTTGTTGATTACGGTCTGAATATTACCGTAAAACCTTCCGCAGACCTCGTGACCCAATTCCAACATACAAATATGAAGCAAAGATCCTGTAAAAACCCAAACATTAAATCTTACTGAGCAATTTCATATTTGACTAAAACCCACCTGCCGAAGTACCCAGAGTCTTCTTACACAAGATCCCCATGACAAGCTCCCCGTGCTCCACCATGACTTTGGTGTCTCCGGGCGATATCCATTTATATGGTCCGTCGTCTTCTTCATCAGGATGTGTCGAGTGCGTTCTGATCATGTTGACGTTTCCGGGAATGATAAGAGAAAATATCTGTTTGCCGGTCCACAGCGGCTTCGGTTTCAAGATGGCCGGCCGAGGCATTTTACCGTCCCAAATCGGCAAGAACATGAGCAAGTTCATCATTTGTTCTTTCTCAATGAAAACGTCGCGTTTTGTCATTTTCCGGACGGCCGTCAGCGTGTCCTGTACGATACCCATGACGGGTTTGTTCGCTTGTGGGGTGATGATCTGACGGGGGGTGATGTGCAAGTTTTCCACCTGTAATTTTGAAAAATTTGTGAGAGTGGAAAATAGTCAAAGTAACTGTAAGTCTGTAGAGTAAGGTCTTCCACGCTGTATTACACCCTATAATCAAACTCAGTTTGAATGAAGGACGGACATATTTTGTGAGTCAGATGAAGCGAATCTCTCTAGATAATCGTCAGATTATGAGACAGCACGCCTAAAACATAAAGATGAACCATATATATCTTAATCTGACGCGCTTGAGTATTTCAAAGTGGCGAATTTTTTTTGCACATTATAATAATGGCCGCGAGTTTGCGTCAGATCGAAATCGTCAGATTATTGAATGAGAGCTTTTTTTGTTGCACTTACACGCGCTCGATAAAATTTTTTTCTTTTCACTTTTAACCTTACGTACAACCACCCACATCATGCAAAGAGTCAGATTAACATACCAACATTATTAAAAATACGTAGGACATTTATGCTATCAATATCTGACGCGCTCGAGTATGTCCATGCAGTAGTATTTTTTTTTATATTTTTACAATTCTATAGCCGCTTCCCCCACCGATAAAAAGGTATATATTATATAACATTTTTTTCTTCTTGCCATCTAAGCTTTGCAACCTAATGTCTCAATGATGCTCGAGTAAATCTCCATTTTGCATCGTGGGCTCCCCTGCTATTACACATGATTTCAAAATAGCCAAAATAATATGGTTCGATTAATTTTTAATTGTATTAAATTAAAATGGCCGGAACTATGTCCATGTGGTGGACCTGTTTTTTCTTGCCGTGGTCTGCAGGCTTTCATGTCCGACGTTTCGTCTAATACTGCGGTAGACATTGTGAAAGGCGATGTGGTAAAGGCCGGAGTGCCCAAGTTGTTGTTAACGTTGTTCCAAACGCAGTAACTACAATTCCAGAGGGCGTGGCTTGGTTTTTTTTAATTGGATTACCTGACCTTGGTTCTGTGCCTCCAAGGACAGGTAGCCAGATTTTGTTGATGTTCATTGCCTCTACTTTTCTATGGAAATTATTCCATATTTCATTTTTACGACAATTATTCATGAACAGAACTCTAAGTTTCATACATTTTGAACGAGATTCAACAAATATGATGTATCTTGGGATACAGAACTAGTTTGGAAAAACAAAAATATCGATAAACAGACTCGAAAATTTTACCATGCACTAATCGTTCCAAGTTTTCAAAATCATCTGGGCTAAACAATACAGCCGATAAAATTTGGACCTGTTACCGCATAGTAATACTACTTACAGGATTTGCTCTTATTCATTCAAGTGGGTTTTATTCGCAGATAATTTGTGAACTTTTAATATCAATCGAACAGATGCCGTGAACCTGCAAACCGAATGCTAGTCAGGACACCAGCTCCAAATAATGATCCTAAAAAGAACCTCAAAGGACAAGAAAGTGAGACATACCTCTGCTCTCGTCTCCATACTCTGCGGTACGTGGAGGTTCATTTCATCGCCGTCAAAATCGGCGTTGTAAGGGGAGGTACACGATAAGTTCATCCGAAACGTCGACCAAGGCAACACCTTCACCCTGTGACCCATCATACTCATCTTGTGGAGAGTCGGCTGTCGATTGAAAATGACCAGATCACCATCTCGAATATGTCTCTCCACTCTGAAAGAAAAAGGTTAGGATTAGTACTGAACTAGGTAAAAAGAACTCGCCAAAAGATAGATAAACTTACTTATATCCGCACTGAAGATGTAAATCTGATGGCTTGGGATGAAACCTCAGATCGATTCTTTCGCCATTGTCTCTGATAATGTATTTAGCTCCTGGGTACTGCGAATTACCCCTCTGTACCAACTCCAACATTCTAAAAGGAAAGACATTCTAAATCATCTGGAACTTAGTTATCACATGGTTTTATACTTACTTGTCGAAATTGAAGGGGGTCACAATTTCTGGAAAGGTCATGTTTTGAGCAATGCTTCTCGGAACTCCTACTTGATCGATACGTAGGTTAGGATCAGGCGTGATTACGGTACGAGCGGAGAAATCCACACGCTTACCCATAAGGTTACCTCTGATCCTGCCTTCTTTACCTTTCAGTCTTGATTTGATTGCTTTCAGAGGTTTACCCGACTTCTGCATGGCTCTAAAATATGAATGATAGCAACGTTCATGAAAAATTTTGAGGGATTCGTTAGGTTTTTGTTGTATTTCTTGATACAATATGTAATAAATCTTTATAATCGCCGGATCTATTAGAATATGTGTACAAATTAGTACAGAAAATAAACGGAACCTTAACTGGAAATATTTACATTTGGAGCAGCAATGAATCATTATAAGTGTCATCAATTTAACACATACATTTATATATAGAACCATTTTCTTTTAAATTTGGAAAATGAATATGAAACAATTGACTTTTGTGTGCTGATTACCGAAAGTTCTTGTTCTGATGATGGTTTGCACTTGGTACATCGAAAAGAGATAGCTATAAAAAGTGGTCATTGGCAATTAAGTTTTGAGAGGAAATTGATGATGATGTCAGTTGAACGTTATTTACTATAAAATCTTTCATACTGAAAAAATAAAAGTTAATGTGCTATTGATAAGTTCAAAGTCAACAAAAAACTCAGTGCATGCTCCATTATCTTAAGGTAGAATTCATCCGATACTTGGGGTTTTTAGCTGAAGGTCCGGCGATGACATTATTAGGCCTACAAGACTGTGCCTGATGGCAACGTAAGCTATCTCCCTGAGTAAAACTTCTATCATACCTACTACAACAATACATTATGATTCTACGTATAGATTGAAAATTCGACACTGAATTTGTAGCTGGAGATTTCTCAATTGAATGAGTTAAGAATGGTGGGGGATCATTAATGATGATCAAGGTTGAATAGCCTTCAAAATTACGTTCAAGGTTACTCAAGGTCAGAGCTAAAACAATCTGAAAGTGGTAGAGTTAATGTCGTTTCAACATGGTGGGGGAGGACTTCGAAGCGGTATAAATCAACTACTCATTTTTTTGTACGTGGATTTGTGTTTTCACATTGTATCCGAAAATGATAATGATAACTGTGTATTTCACATTCCATAGTAAGTAAATTTTATATCGTAATTATAAATTTTAATCTGAAATTCGGAATGACTCTGCCTAATGTTCTGTATTTAAGAATAATCAAGTTGAAATACGGAATACAAAATAATATATTCAGAGAATAAACTTAGAAGTAATGACGATTTCTTTTTAAATTGATTTAAAAGCTTATTATGCCAAATCGACATTAAAAACTATTCAATTACGGTTAAGTTGTATAAACATTTAGTTCAAAAAACAAACCTTGGCATGCCCGGCATATCATTGTCCACCAAAGTGGCAACATGGAACTGCAACATCTTAATGTTCTCTGTGATAATATGAGCCGAAGTACCAGCAGCTTCGTTCTTCTGTAGTTCATTGTTGGCCTTGATGATATCTGCCAGTTTGTGGGTTAAATCATCCTGATTCCTGGCTGAGCCAAACATGACTACGGCAGGTCTAACAGCCAAAGGCGGGACAGGGAGTACTGTTACTATCATCCAATCGGGTCTGGCAAATTTAGGGTCCATACCTAATGATAATTATAAAAATGATGTCACTAAAAATTCACTTTTATCCTAGGCGTTTCAAATTTACATGATTCAATGGTTTTCTTGAACGAATTGAATTTCATAAATATGAGAGATGAATACAGCTCCTAAATACACGAGTAAAAGGAATATACTTTTGAATGAAACCATGGCTGTCTAATTTTAACCCAAGACACACTGTACTAGAATTTTGATAGGTACCTAGTCATTATTTTATTTTAAAACTGTTGCTAACTTCTGAATTTACCAATTTGGGATGCACTTATGGTTTCAAATAAAATTTAAAAGGTATACTCATGATAGTTGAAAGCATTTTGGCTGCTTCATGCCAGAACATAGTAATCGAAAGTTAAAAATGTACGCATATTTGTGTGAACCATGTGCGAATGCATCTTCATAGCTGGTTTGTTTGTTATTCACTGGTTCCGGAGATATAGCATAGCACTAATTCCGGAAATGTAGCATAGCACCAGTGCCAGAGATATAGCATAACACCAGTGCCGGTGATATAGTATAGCACCAAAACCAGAGATATAGCATAACACCAGTTCCAGATATATAACATAGCACCAGTGCCAAATATATAGCATAGTACCAGAGCCAGATATATATAGCATAGCACCAGTGTCTGATATATAGCATAGCACCAGTGTCTGATATATAGCATAGCACCAGTGTCATATATATAGCATAGCACTAGTACCAGATATATATCATAGCACTGGTTCCGGAGATATGGGATAGCATTAGTTCCAGATATATGTCGTAGCACTAGTTCCAGATATGTGTCGTAGCACTAGTCCCGGAGATATAGCCTAGCAGTAGCTCTGGAGATATGACACAGCACTAGTTCAGGAGATACAAGATAACACTTATTCCAGAGATATAGCATACTGATAAATCTTTGAATTTCATTAATAGGTAAGACGATAACTTATGTTATAATATAGTAGGGAGATCAATAATATTTTGACTGGGAGAATAATGTAATTTTTTACAATCAATCAAATATTGATTGTTACTTATATTTTCATATAGCTCATACCACAACTAGTGAAGAAAAAAATGAATGAAGAGAAAACCAACATATTATACAAATACTTACCGAGGATGAAACACTCCTCATCCGTTATATGCTTCAAAATTTCCCACACTCTCTCTGCTGACAGTGCGCTCTTTTTCTCTTGTGTATCTTCGTTTACGTGCTTCCACTCGGCAGTGAGATCGAGACCGGTTCTTCTGATGTTAGGTTGGTACCTACCACAACCTCCGTGACCTGCTTTTTTATTCGGATCTTCCCCCTCTTTACCGACATCCATTTCGTCTCCTCCCTCGCAAATGTTTTTGCCCTTGCAAAGATCGTACACAAAAGCCAACCTCTTCCTGGGTTGTCCCTTTGATTTCATGACGACTTCTTTGATTTTGGGGTTATTCTAGAAACAGTATAAAGTGAGTCGGGCAAATTAAATTTGAAACTGCTCCACCTACCGGACTGACTAATAACTTGCTGCAAAAGAAACAAACGCATCGGAGGATTTTGATGGTTTTTGTGACGAATCCGACGTGGAAAACGGGTTTTGCTAATTCTATGTGCCCGAAATGACCGGGGCATTCTGTCATGTTACCAGCACATGTCTGGCATCTGGAGTTTCTGTCGATGACTCCTTGTCTTGGGTCCATGAGACCGCACAGCTTGGGGCGGCCAGCTTCCATGGTTTCTGGAAAGCGAATGCCGCCTTCTGTGACTGACATACGACGCTGAAAGAAAGGAAAACATTCAGAGACACGGAGAAATTAGGAGTTTTCATTTTTGGATTGTTACGGACATGTATTTATCTCATTAAAGAATATAATAAGTTAAACTTTATGAAGTTTTTTTTTCGTGACATCTACTTAGTTCACTATTTTTTTCCACTTCTCATTTTTAGTCATTGAGCTTTTCAAAACATACTTTATTGTCCAAAGATTTGCATCTCATTGACAAAGTCCAAGAAATACAATGTTAATATAGAAAAAGTACCAACACAGTATGAATGTAGATATAAAAAAGTTCCAAAAATGTATAATTGTGAATATAAAAAAAAGTTCTAAAAATGTATAGATAAAATACCACTATATATAAAGTGATAGTACAAAGAATTGCTGATATATTGTTGAAAGTATTCGCTAAAAAACTTCACCGTCTTTTTGAAATAAATGTTGCTTAGATTTGCAGATCTCATTTCTAGTGGTAAATGATTGAACAACTTACCACCATTATAATATATGGAATCCTTGATTCAATAAAAGTATAATTGCTATTACGAGTAGCATAAGAAGTAGAAGCAAAGTTGAACTTCGATTTATGTTTATAAATAAGGCAAACCTTCTCTAAGATGAAAAGTGTGATGACTGTTAAAATTTTATTGGCAGGGAACAAGTTCCTGCACGATTTTCTGGGTTTGACTTTGCAGAGACATCTTAGTGCCCTCTTCTGTAGAGAGGGGATGAGTTGCATGCTCCCCAAAAAGATATTCCATAACGTAGTCGAGACTCAATAAGTGCATGGTAAATGGTCTTTGCGATATGAAAACCCAACTCATTTGAAACCACTCTAACTGCATAACATCCGGAGTAGATCTTACTCTTGAGTTGTTTAAGGTGTTCATCAAATGTCAGCCTATTATCAATGAATACACCGATAAATTTTGTGTTAAATTTATTTTGTAATATGGCAGCGTCTATTGAAATTTCATCAAGCGAACATTTGAATGATATTATATTCGTTTTGGATGCATTTAGAGAGAGTAAATTTGCATCGCACCTGCTCTTCACCTTCTTCAAGTCGGATGATAATAATAATAATAACAACTTTATTCGCCTTTTCGATCATATACATTATATAAGACATGTCATAAATAAAAATATGAAAATTATATAAAACAATAATAACGGTCCACAGTATAACATAGATCGGACACTTGAAACAGGTACTTAACTATATACATATATAAAAAATAACACAAGCACACATATATGTATACACATACATAAATATACACAAAGTAAATTTATCTTTTAGGATGGAAGAAATGCAGTGAAAGCAATAATCATGATAACAATGTATCCCGTTCTAAGAATTCTTGTATCCTACAATATCCCTTATTAGTTAATAGCTCCTTTATTTGTTTTTTAAATGGTATAATATGCAAATCTTTAATATCTTGAGGCAACATATTGAATAATATTATGCCATTATATGCAAGTGATTCCTTGAATGTCGATGTTTTATGTTTTGGGATAGTTAATAAATGTCGTATTTCGTGGTGCATAGTTATGAACTATTGATTTAGATTGATTTAGATGGAATACTCAGTAATGATATTGGCGATAGTTATCTATATCTTCATGCGAACCCTTTTTTATGAATAGGAATAACTTTGGCTGTTTTGAAGACACTCGGACACACACGCCTTCCATTATAGAGTGATTCATAAGATTCAATAGAATTTCAGATATAGATGGAATGACATATTTCAGAACTTTTATTGTTATATCGTCTAGGCCACTCGATTTTTTATTTTTTAGTTCGGTTATTGTTGAAACTAGTTCAGATTCTAGCACTTCTTCAAAAAACATTGATATTATTTCATTTAAGTCCACTGAGTTTTTTTTTTCCACAATATTGTAGTATCATCCGCGAATAGAGTGAAACTAGCAGATATGTTAATCATAGAGACGTCATATACTACTACAACTACTATGAATATAAACAAAAAAGAAAAAAATATTGTGAAATCAAAAAAAGGAAAACCAACAAAATGGAAATAATAATTCTGATAATAATAATGTTTATCGTCATAAGACCCACATTGTCCTGAATATACGAGTATAATGTCTATGAATAAAACTAAATACATGTCCCAGCACATTCAGAGAATCAAGTTGAAAGATGAAAATAGATGACAGGAAAAAATTAAAGTCTTGGGCTATAAATAATTGTAAGTGAGATATTCCTCAACATAATAAAAACAGTTTGTCATTAGGGAGTAGGGACAGATCAATTAGTATCTTTTTCACTTCAATAAGAAATTTCCGGTTTGAAAAGGATCTATATCTTTGTGGAAGTTGAAGTTGTGAATAAGTTGACACTCACAATGAATGTGAGAGCATTGTATACAGGGCGTCTTAACAGATGTTACTGAAACCAATGTTATTGTCTCTGTAAATGCCACTTACTTTGAACATTACTAAACCGATTTACTAAATCTACAGTTTTGAAAATCATGTATTTCTTGTGATAACTAGGTTCAAACGTTTGACAGCTCATATGTCAAAGTTATGAACAGTAGGATTGTTGTTTACCATGTTTAAAACTTTCAGGAAGAAGGCAAGTACAATCAAAATAGGAATAGGTCCAATATTGAGTCTAGCAGAAAACTACTTCTCATTCCTACAAGTGCAGATAAGATATAGTTACATTTAACTATTTGAAATCCTATTTGAAAAAGTGAACTATCATCGAATCCGAGGGAATGTAATATTGCTGACAGTAGTATATGTCTAATTATGTCGAAGTCTTACTATAATCGTTCTGAAACCAGGGTCGATAAGAGGTAACAGTGGACGTTTTTGATTTCATTTGGCTAAATGATATTGGAAAGCCTCTATGATGATGATGAAGATTCATGAATATACGAGTATAATGTCTATGAATAAAACTAAATACATGTCCCAGCACATTCAGAGAATCAAGTTGAAAGATGAAAATAGATGACAGGAAAACAATCAAGTCTTGGGCTATAAATAATTGTAAGTGCCGCTTACTTTGAACATTACTAAACCGATTTACTAAATCTACACTTTTGAAAATCATTTATTTCTTGTGATAACTAGGTTCAAACGTTTGACAGCTCATATGTCAAAGTTATGAACAGTAGGAATGTTGTTTACCGTGTTTAAAACTTTCAGGAAGAAGGCAAGTACAATCAAAATAGGAATAGGTCCAATTTTGAGTCTAGCAGAAAACCACTTCTCATTCCTACAAGTGCAGATAAGATATAGTCACATTTTACTATTTGAAATCCTATTTGAAAAAGTGAACTATCATCGAATCCAAGGGAATGTAATATTGCTGACGGTAGTATATGTCTAATTATGTCGAAGGCCTTAACTATAATCGTTCTGAAACCAGGGTCGATAAGAGGTAACAGTGGATGTTTTTGACTTCATTTGGCTAAATGATATTGGAAAGCCTCTATGATGATGATGAAGATTCAAGAATGCAAATATAATGAAAAATATAACTTATGTGATTTATGAGGAAATCCCCTCTGGGAAACATATTGAGTATTATGACGTCATTTAAAGAAAGTGCCTTGACCTTGACAGATATTTACAAACACTAGTTTCTGGTTTTCCAGATACAGGGATTTGTCAAAACATGTCCTAGTGTTTCTTAGAGGAACGAACATCATTTTTGATTAATTTTAACAATCAGAAAAAACCAAGTAACATTTCACACAAATTAAATAGAAAATTGGTATGTATATGCTCAACAGTATTTTTCTGATATTCGTGAAAATTGTACAGTATTCGATGAAATAGTAGCTTTTTTTCGGTTTTTGCACAACAAATTACATCCTGTGAAAATTTAGTGTCCTCACACTGCTTTGTGAAATTGTCCAAAATGTTCAACAAAAACCACTGTTTTTCTTATGAAAACAGATCTGTGATTGACTTGAAATTACTGTAATACTGACGGCTACGACATAAGGCATATTTTACTCACTATTTCATCTGGACTCAGTATTCCAAACTGCACTCTTTTCACTGTTCTTAGCGGAACTTTACTATCAGACGCCGCCATCTTGACGTCTAAATCGTTGTGAGCCGATGATCAACTGATCACAGACTGAGGCTGACAGATGGTTGTAGAAGGGACCCCACAGAACACCAACTTCACAGAATGCCAACTTCACAAAACACCAACTTCACAGAATGCCAACTTCACAAAACACCAACTTCACAGAACACTTAACACCTTACCTTGTCTGAATTCGTAAATATATTCTGGGGAACCAAGGAAAATAAAGTGAATGTAAAAGTTACATATCGAAGTAAAATGTTTACGTTTCTTGTTTCAAGGAAGGTTAACTTGAAATCTTTGAAATGACAGTACTATTGGCCAAAAAATCCGTTATTTGAAATATAATACGAGGTAGACAATCGGAGGCTAGGCAGTTTTCAGAGGTAAATTATTTCCCTAGGAAGTAGAATTACCACTAGTATTTCATTTGAAAGTTAATAGTTTCCTTGCAGTGAAAGACAAATGACGAATCTCGTCGCAGGCGATGTGGAAGCTTATCTTTGTAATTGTCCGCCTTGGTGAGCCTGGTTTATCTTTGATATTCGAGTATGGAGTTCTCTGTCGATCCCATAGATGGCGTTTTTTCAACAAGGGATGTCATGTCCTGTTTTTTCAGATTCGTTCTTTAGGAACAATTGAGTTCAGTAATGCATTTGTGGTTCAGTCTAGCACCACTGAAGAGACCGAAACACCACTGTCTGTTGTTGGACTTCGTTATTTCCAATTAACAAATGGTGTTTGCGTTTTAGGTAAGTTGATACTGATTCGTGTACAAAACTTCAAGGAGTCAGCATCAAAAAAGACAACTTAAATTTCTGTAATTCATACAATATTTCAAGAGATTTCAACCAATGTATGTTAAAATTGTTTTTTTAGGACATCTCCCAATATTTACATAATTTGAGATGCAACAGTTGTATTTCACAAAATTGTTCTCAATCTAAGCGATTTGAGTGAAACAAACAAAACCACTTTCCTCTCCTTTTATTAGTAAAATTCATGAAAGGTGCAAAATGCGTATAAAATTCAGTATATTATACAAAAGTGATAAAATAATACTGTGTTTAAATACAAAAGTACGAGATTTATCGAAACCCAGCCGCTCGAAGCTCCATCAGGGCGCTCTGCGTGATGATTCCGTGATTTTTATTGAAGCTGTTGAAAGAATTGCACAGGTGATTTTTAGCCGGAGCGAATCTTCTCTTGGGCACTTCGCTAGTCGACTTCATCTGGACTCTGTGATCCCCCGCGGCCTTAACAGACTCCACCCTGTGCTTCACAGGAGGTTGAAGAGTCTGTGCCACGATGACCTTGGAATCGGACCTGATATTCGCGGTGTGCAGCCAGTGCGTCTTCTGACTGCTCATTTTAGGTTCTGACTGCGACACGTAAGACCGGTCTTTGAGGTTGACGTGCGACTTTATATATTTTTCCGCGTTCTTGGTAACTTTGGAGTAGACTTGTGGCATGATCGGCTTTTGTTTTACAGACACAGGATTGATGAACGGTCTGTGATGGTGAGCAGACATCAATTCGTACAGTTTGTTGCGGTAGTCATCTACAGACAGCCGGATATCGTCGTTCAAAGGAATAATAACGTTGGTTTGCATCACGATTTCTTGTTCCGGATCGTGAAACCTCGCCACGTACTCGTGCTCCAAGGCCTCCTCAGCTCTCAGTCTTTTAAGGGGGTTGAAAACGAGCAGTTGGGTGATCAGACTCACGGCGTCTGCAGGCGCGCTGGGGCCCAACACCGATTGGAGGGGGATTTTTTGGACGGCCGATGCGTTTCGAATCATCGACGACCCCACTCCTGATATGCAGATTTGATTTACATCTGAAAAGTAAGTTGGGATAAAAACGATATATTTCAATTGAGCCAATATAGAGGGAGCATTTTCTGTCAAAGGTATTTCTCCAAGTTCTGAGTTTGAAGTCAAAATAATGAAATATCGTGTAAGTCAGAATTCAACGATAATCTGAGATTTAATTCAGATTTCAATATATTTTTTTATTTCTACTTGTTATATTCTCTGGGGATCCTTGGTCAATAAGACACACTAGTTTTCATGATGTTTAATGATTCAATCAGGACACAACTTTACATATCAAAATTGTCGGACGAAATGGACTCTCAGTTAGAAGATGATCTACTGTCGAAAAACATAGAACACAAAATAAATGATACAACATAGAGATTATTAAATTTAAAAAGTTTATTGAAACCTTACGATATTAAACTCAATATTTTGTTGAATTTTGACTTTGAATTCGTAATTTCATAATATTCCAATTTCAAATTCGGAACATCGCGAAACTCCGAATTCGATTAGGACATTCCATTGCAAATTCCGATTTTAAACTTGTAGTTTTAATAAATTCTGATTTTGAATCAGAAATTGGATGTTTTTTGTGGGAAAATATCTGGTAGAAATTTTATTTGAACTTAGGAAGCCAGGGTCAAGAGCCGGGCACTTCAAAATCAATCAAAGGAGTTTTTTGCTGTATGGGATTTCTGAGGCCAATCATATTGGATAAGGATTTCAAATGCATCACATGCATCTATTTTTTTTTGAGTTGTCTATTTGTTATTAGTGCCAGTTGTCATAATGATTGTACTAAATGAAAAATGAGAACAATATATACAGCAAAATAAAACTCAAAAATCTACAACATAAACATCAGTTATATATGACAACTGAGGGTAATGACGAATGCACAGAACAGTCAATTCAGACAAATACATTTGCTGCAATAAAATCTCCAACGACGTGGAACAATGATGAACTAAATACAATGAAAACGAACTGCAAACGGTACATAAAAATTTAAAATAAACAATACAAACATCATCTAGAAATGACAGCTGACAGTACTGATTTCAAAATATGAAAATGGGATTGAATAGTCAGACTTTTTGGCAATAAATGATATGTTGGAAATGAAATAAGCAAATTATGATTTTGGTGTGCGTTACCATAGGGGAAGGGCAGGAAATGGCTGATAGTAAGACATTGACCCAGGCTGAAATTATGAAAATGGTTCTCTATTTGTTAGTTCCCGGTCCGACATATAAATGATTACATGACTATCAATGGAAGTTACCATCTGGTGTTGGCGTTGGAATGGTAGCCATAATTTTCTCTACCTGGTTGACAGTTGAAGATCCAGGAAAAATAGGTTTACCAACCGTCATTTCCGCTAATATGCAGCCCAAACTCCATAAATCTATACCTTTGGTGTACCTGCAAATTGGCAAATATATGTTTTGACTATATATAAAAGAAATAACAATTTTGGTACCTTCTATTCGCTATAAGTATTTCTGGAGCTCGGTACCATCTTGTTGCTACGTAGTCTGTTAAAGTTGGATCACATTCGCCAATGGTACCATCTAGGTTTTGTGATAAAGACCTAGCCAATCCAAAATCGGCAATTTTACATCTGAAATTATTAATTTTAATGACTATAGTAGGCTTAGAAAAATAAACTCATTTTTAATTTTCATAGTAATGTTTGTAAATCTCTGAAAATATTGAAATTGATACCAAACTTGATAACGAAATCAGCGTACCTACACAGACTGTCCAATAATACATTACTTGGTTTCATATCTCTGTGGATGACATTCCCAGAGTGGATGTATTTCATTGCTTTCAGCAGCTGGTACATAATGTATCGTTTGTGTATGTCTTTAAGTATGTTCCCTCTCTTTATGACGTTGTGCAGATCCGTTTCCATATACTCGAAACCTAAATAGATGTCTCTGTTGTTGGCAGCTCTGAAAAATTACTATATTCAACGATTTTCAACGGTTTGTTCGGTTTCGATGTTCTCAAAAGTAGATTCAAACTTATTTTATCGTTTGATTAGGACATTAAAAAATCGTAGTGAAAGAAATAAAAAATGGGATCACAGCTGCCCTAATGATATACAAAAATGAAAAAAAAAACAATTCTAAGCTATAAAGGTTTGTTTGATTGTAGACACTTTCCAACTGTAGCCTCCTAGACTATTATAACGCCTATAGGTTCGTTCTGGTTCTACGAAATTCAGGTTCTAGGACGTCAGGATCATGTGCAGTTGATATAGAGCGTTCTGGTTTATTGAGGATAATATCGGATCGATGAATCCTTTGTTCTGGTTTCTACTGCGAAATGATCCTAAACTGTCTTGAACCGTCTCGAATTGTTCTTGCTCTAGAGGCTGAACTGTTGAGAACTGTTCCCGTTGCGCGTTCATGTGGAAATTTATTTGGGCTATTTTCTAGGATGTTTTTTATTTATTTGATTTAAATAATTGATGATTGAAGTTAGATAACAACTGAGCTGATTAAAAGGATACGCTACATAAGAAAATGGACGTGATCAACAGTATTTTCTCGTCTTCATCTCTTCATATATACCTTTGTATATAGACTATTAGTCGTAAAACGTAAAACACATTTCTCTATTCCGTTTGTATTCCAAACATTCGTATTGGAATCGAATCAGATATCATTCACAGAATTCCTACACAATATAATTAATGAAAGAAGTGAAGTTTCACTTACATGGAACACTGTCATCCTCACTGCTAGACATCTGATGTTTCGCCGTGAGACACTTGCCTTACCGGCTCTTCAGTAGCAAATACGGATAACATTATAAGGAAAAACAGTCAATTCGTTCATAAAATTACGACTTTTTTTCACGAAATGGGTTGAATATACCCACGGCATCGATGGAAGTACGTTCGCTTATTTGATTAAATCCCAGCCATAGGAATCTTGTTTGAATTGAAAGGATATATTTTTAAGAGAGAGAAATTTTGACTTTCTACTTCTCCATCTTGATACAAAAAATGTTTTCCGAAAGTGTAAAGGTTTATTCTAGTTTGCTACCATTAAATCTTGTATTCTAGGCAAAAATGTAGCCCACTACTTAATAAATGCTCGTATATCAATCTCACCTGTGAATACTGTGCAATTTAACGATATTAGGGTGATTTTTGAACGATTGCAAGAACATTATTTCCCTGAAAGTTCTTTGAGCGTCAGTCTGATTTCGAAAAGCATCGAATATCTTCTTAACTGCCACGACTTCTTTGGTTTTTCTGTCGATGGCCTTCCAGACAATTCCGTAAGCACCCTTTCCCAATCTTTTCTGGATATCGAACCTCTTCATGATATGTTCGTCAATTTCTGACATTTTGTCCTTTGATTGGGCCATTGTAGAATATATCCGTACACTTTCTATTGCGATTTACTGTGTAAAATACTTGTAAAAAAACTAACTTATAAATGTAAAGCTGTCATTTTGGCGTTTACTACAAACTGAGTGACGGATCGTACTGTTATCACAGGGTGACCCTGAAAATAAAAAAAATAGAATAACAATAATTAACATTATCACTTCTTCCCACTAGTGTTTTCCAAAATATAGCGAATAGTGTCCGACCGAAACTGGTTTTTACTTCCGAAACCGAAACCAAATTTCGGCAACGGTCTCAGTTTCGGCCGAAATCGAAACTTCCTCACAAGGATTATATTTTGAGGGAAAAATAAAGAAAACGTTATTATAATCAGTTAGTCTTTATTTCTTTATCTTTAAATCACAACGTTATGCAGTCTTCGACATTATTACTTATTGACAATCAACAAATCAACATAACAACCCCTTATTTAAGAAGAAATATTAATCGCACCTTAAAAATGATTGAAATAGGTGAGGTGTTCATTTGAGTAGGTGTAGATTCTTCTTTTGAATATTATTAATGGTTTTTCAAAAATATTAAACATAAAATTAGTTATTTGAGTTGTTACCTAATATTACAATAGGTACTTTATATTTAGGTAATAAACAAAGTAAATCATGAAGTATGAGTTGATTAGGCACGTGGACGCGCCAAAATGTCATTTCAATTTCCTCTATCTCAATTATAATCGGATTTGTGCAAGTAATAAGTTTTCAGCCTTATTTTGTACATCCTTATACAACGTATTTTATGAAAAGTTTTCAATACTTTCTGTTCTGTTTTTCCGTTAACCAGCTGTCGCACCCATACGCAGCACTATATCAAAATAAAGCAGAAACTGACGTAACTTAATGTCAAATTCCGTTCATAAATAAATTTCACGCTAGTTTTGAAATAATCAGAACGAATGTTTTTGAATCTGGTCTATTGCGCCGAAGGGAACAAAGACCATAAAAAACGAGAAGAAGAAGAATGAATTTGAATCACAGACATGAGCGCCAGAAAACGCCTTAAATAATCTGAAATTCAAACTAATATGTGTTTCAAGCAACATTCATTGATTTGAATTCGCTTGACATTACAAATTCATTTCACTATATCTAAATGACAAATTTGTTAAACCGAAATAAAATGAATTCATTAGAATCAATAATTTTTTGTGCATAATCGACAATTTTCAAAGAGTGCCTGGCGTTTAAAACACAAAAATGTATCCAGAACATACCAAAAGCAGTTACTGAAATAGTTAAATTCTTCAATTTTGCTGCGATTTAGAGACTTCCTCCATATCATTGTATTTTTAATTATTTATTAATTAATTTTATTAACACGCTTTTCTTAACTTCACCTGTATGTATGTATGTTTATTTACTTGTAACTCTCATTGCTTGATCTGTTCGCGAACAGATGGCGCTGTACGTGATCTCCTTGATATAATTCGAACTCACTTTACATGTATTTCTTCATTTGAAAAAAGTATTTTTTTATTAACATGCGCGTCTGCTTCCTTTTTTGTAACCCTTTTTTGCGCGCCTGCTGCCTTGGGTTTGGTAGCTGATTTCCAGGATCCCTTTCCCGAATCAGAAAATATCAATGGTCATTTTTCTAAACAATATACCTACTGCTGATTGTAATGCTTGTGTTTTAAAATAGTTTATGTTGTGAAAAAGAAGGCTGAAAAGTTGCCATTTTCTGAACTTTGAAGGGCCTCAACTTTGTAAATAAGGGAGAGCGCTGCTTTTTTTCTTTTGGATTCTTAATCTACGCATTAAAATACGTAAGTAGACTCAAATTTTTTTTCAAATTCGTGGGGGCCTTCAAAACGAATATCTGCATCTTTTCTTATGTAGATATATCCCCCCCTTGTTTTTGCTACTATGCACAATTCATAAGTAAACAAACTGTTAATGTAACTAAACAATCCGGTATATCTCTGAGCAAACTTTACTTTATATATAAATAAAACACTCATTTCTGTTGAACGTACAATAATAATCATTCGTAAAGACCGATACGAACTTTGAACTTCAAGTTACTCCGCACCAACATCTTGTTTTCCATCTCCAAAAAACTTACCTGAAATTTCATAGATTTTGCATTTAATTCAAACGCACATTTTCTCATTTCTCGCGCTAACTTCGTAAACAACCGTGAATCACTCGCAAACAGTTGCAAACTCAAACAAAAACTACCAATCCGGCCGGTACTGAACATAAAGAAGGCACCGAATGTTTAATCATTAAATGCTGGAATTAATATGATATAGTGTGGTTTGTTTATTGGTCACATTCACATGCGACTGTCGTCATGACAACAATCAATCATTATATTTTATTGTGGGCGCACGGCAATATCTATATCGTCAATCATCAGTTGAACATCTACATAACGAGAGACATCTAACGATTTTCGCATCATCTAACAAACGGGTCAGGTTGTGGGTTGGACGGGATAATGGACGCGTTTATCAATTTTTTATGAAGGGCGGTTTGAGGCGACCCAGTGACATTGAAAGTATCGAAACGTTTATTAATAAATATCGAGCTTGTTATATCCAACATTGGATTTTTTTCATTAATAGTGGAGGGCTTGAAGTGAAATTGCACCTTCTGTACAAAAAAATTGTTTTGATATTCAGTACAGATGCTTTCGAGGGCTATACAACGTATATAGCGGTCAAACAATTTTTCGGTACCATTTTTTCAGTACGATTTGTCTTTAGCCTACGTTTCGACGATTATCTCTTCATCGGAGCTAAATTTCTTTCCAGCGAGCATTCTCGTGAGCTCTAAGAACAGGAAAAAGTCGCTGGGGGCCAGATCTGTAGAATACGGTGGATGCGAAAACAATTCGTAGTCCAATGTCAGTTTTGCCATCGTTTTCGTTGATTTGTGACACGATAGATTGTCTAGATGAAACAACACTTTCTATTTCTACAAGTAGGGCCTTTATTTCGCGATTTCATCCTTCAAATGCATGTTTCAAGAGCCTCAGCTATCTTGATCAACTTCACTTTACGGTCATCCAACATTATTTTGTGGATCTTNCCTCCACAAGCCACATAAACAACAGTTGTTTTGTTATTTATTTATATAGAGGAAGATAGGTTAGCTGCACAAAATGTCATATGTCACAGAATGTCTCGGAACATAAGTAAACAGAACAGCACGCCTGTCAAATATGTCATCTTTGTTTGTCTCATACAGGTAACAGATTCATTGTCCTTTATTAGCTATAACCGATGTTGCCAAATGGTGAAATAGAAACGAATCCCTTTAAATGTTGAATGCATTATTTTATTCCTCTTTTTCAAGTATTTAAATAATTTTTTAAAGAAAAAGATTGAAATGATAAGTTTGAAATGCGTTGTTTCAGAACTCTTTTATGAAAACTACTTGATTTTCGTCAGGAGGAACATTCCCCATTGGGGTTCAGTACTGCAAAAATAGCGTACTATGCACTCATAGATTCTCTCTTACGCTACGGAATACCGTTTTGGGGAGCATGCAGTCCAACTTTATTCAAAAGTCTACTAATTTTACAGAAAAGGGCAATAAGACATATAGAAAACATTAAACCAAGAGACTCCTGTGTAACCTTCTTCAAAAAACATAATATTCTAACGGTAACTGTCTTATTTATACTAGAATCTGTGTGTGTAATAAATAAGCATATAAATTGAATTTTGCTGCAACCTCTTCCCATTATAACACCCAAAACAGCAGATACACTCTGAAACTGTACCAACTAAAAACATCACCAGACTCCATATTTCACAACGGTGGAAAAATGTATATTCATTTGCCTATGGTCTTTGTGAATAACTTATTTTGAAATTAATTGTTCTCTTCCTTTCTTTGGAAGATTCTCACATTTTTATTGATAAAGATGCAGAAGTAGAAACCTAAAATCGAATATAACCTACGGGAACTTCCAATAAGGTTTACAATGTATTCGCTAGTACTACACAGATGGCGCCACATACCACGAACAAATTTATAATACTGAAAAATAAATTGGCAATCAATATACCTACACTTCCAACCAAACTGATATGTTTAACCAGACAAAACAATTTTTGGACATCTGTTAGTTCAGTCAATATCACCTCATCAATGCCGGTTTGGATAACATTACAAAAAAAAGCACCCATTTTTTATATTCTAGCCAATTACAAGAATTCAATATGCAACCACTGAAAGACCGCCGTGAATCCTCGGAAGTGATTTTTGTTATCAATATTCTTAGAAAACTGAAAATACCTGAAATTCTCTATACTATTGATTTTATTGTATACCTGACGTAAGACTGAGAGGACAGACAATCTATTTCGTGTCTCAAACAATTTGTCTCCCCTTCAACAATATCTCGAAACCGTTAACAAAATGGTGAGGAACTGTAGTAGTAGTAGTTTATCTACTTAATTCACTTAATTATCACTTAATTCTATGTATTTATAAAAGCGTACAATAGAAAAAATTGGCGAATAATATAAATATAAGGAAATGTTTGTCAAAACGAGTCTTATTATCGAATTTTTATTAGAGGAAACATTTGTATTGATGATTCACTTAAGTTTTTGGAAAACTTGTCTGCGAAACATCAATATAGAAATTGTTTCATTTGAAGATGGTCAAGATATAATGTATTTTGAGTTACTCAGGCAAAAAATTTCAGTGCTTATATTTGTAAATAGTGTTAACAATGCCGATATTATCTTCTCCTAAAAAGTAGTGAATAATATTCTTAGTATACTACATAAAATACACATTGAATATAAAATCTAAAAGTATAAAATCTCTAAACGTGTACATAATGTAAAACATATAAAACCTAAAAATTTAAATGTGTAAACGTATAAAAATATGAATGTTACATTATACAATACGAATTCGTCTTAAATTAAAAGTATTCAAAATGCTAGGTAGGGATGAAAAATACATATGAAAATTGAGACATTAATTCAGTAGAATTTGTTTATAATAATGTTATAGTTTCATTTTTGAGCCAATTGATCACTGAAATTTTGAAAAACTTAAACACATATTCCGTTTTTATATGATCTGGAGCAAGATTGAATAATTTGAGCCCAATGTATGTAATTGATCTTTGTCCAATAGGTTCATTTTCGGTATATCTAGGTTACTCGCTTTGAGTCGGGTTTCGTATCCATGTTGATGATTTTTTAACTTATTTCTGTTGTGAAATATAAATAACAATAATTGTTTAAAATGAAGATATCTCAAACTCATCAGATCACAATATTGGAGTATTTGGGCCGATGAGAAATGAAAATTTGAATTAAAGATAATTTTCAAGAATCGTTTCTGTAGTACCATAAACGGTTGTACAGTTGCATTATAGACCCTACCTCATCCTAGATTTCCATACATTAAGAGTGACTGAACTAACGAAAAATATACAGGGTATTCCTTAAACACATGCTAATATTTAAGGAGGTAATTCTTAGACCCATTTTAAGAAAAAAACTTCCTATGGACGTATGTCCTAAACGCCTTAACTTTTGAGATACAGGGTGGCAGGGTGGTCTAAAATAATCAGTT